TTTTATGACGAATGAAACTTTTTATTGCTTTTCGTGTCTAACTTTTTTCCACCTACTCTTTTTTCCTATTGGTTCCGTTTCATAAAAAATGTTTTTGAAGATGAGACTCAGAAAATGTCTTTATAAAGGCCCTTGAAGGTCTCTGACGCTTTCCAGCTCTTCGTCTTTGACTCTTTCTACGAGTCCGAGTAAACTTGGATTTTTCTAAAAGTTTAAATGAGTTGAATGACAAAGAGAATGACTTTTTAAGATATTCAGTAGTTTACGGAACCTTTTTTTATCAGCTTTGATTTGCCTTCTAAAATTCTAGGAAAGATGTATTGCACCTTTTTGAAGCTTTGTTTACCGATGATTTTATTTTTTTCATATTTCTATGCAAAAATTTTTCCACTGGTTTTCGAGGAAACTTAAATTTTTTTGATAGAAAAATTGCAATAAGTCTCTTTTTTCAACATTTCTAATTTTTTTGAGGGAAGAAGTGGAAAATAAACACTTTTTCAAACTCAAAACTCAAAAAATCAATTTAGAGAAGAGCTAAAAATTTTTGACAGTTTCTTTTTTTTTTTTTCTCTTGCTATTTTTTTGTTTCCTTGTCCCTCATCCCTAGTATCTTCTTCAACTCGATCAGCTCTACAGACTATTTCACGTCATTTCTCGTTACAAAGTTCCTCTCGGAATTCTTCTTTTGCCCAAACCGAAATGACGAGGAATGTGACAAGTTGTGTTTGTATAGAATATGTGTGTATTTGCTGATAATCGTGTCGGCATGTCAAAATGGCCGTGTTTGCCCCGCCGCCCAGAAGCTTAACCTTCAGCTTAAAACAATGCCTCGGGGCACGTTTGCGATGAATTCATGTTGAGAGACGGAACGGCGGATTCGAGCATTTTATTAAAAAAAGGGGGAAATGCTGAATTTTGAATAATCGTCTTTGGAACAATTAAGAAAATCAATTTCTCCCATATTTCAAGCTTTATCTCGAAAAAATTAAAAAATTTTTTTTCTTATTTTCTGTGTTAGTCAGGATCATTCTGCGTGGTCCGAATTTGAGTCCAAATCTTTAAATTCAATCAAAGTTGTAAGGGAAAATTTTTTAATGCGCAAGTCGCTTCAAGTCGGGTGCGCCTTTAAGTGACCTTTCAAAGCCATTTTTAGCCATTTTCCGTGCGGCCAAAAAGTCGGAACGCGCCGTAGCGCAATAGGCTGTGTGCCTGTCTACGGTCCACAGGGTCACAAGTTCGATCCCCGACCCAACCAAGGGGTTTAAGAAATGTTGGTAGTTGGAAACCACGACTTCAAAACCCCCAGCCGTCACACACAAGGACGGATATGTCACTAGAGCCAGTCCACTGATTATCACTGATCAGGATAGGACCTCGGCTCATCGACTTGGGGCGCCGACGCCGCTCAAGCGGTACAAAGACGTAGGAAGAAGAAGAAGAAGATATTATAATCAAAGTCAGTGGAACTTTATCATACTGAACTTTTTTAAAACTTTATCGCCTTCCTTTTTGAGTCAGTCAGTCGCAGGTTTTCTGATATGCAAATAATCACGTAAAAAATCTGTATTTTGGGTGCTCAGTTCAAAACTCAAGAAGATCCAAAAAAGGCGCTTTCGTGCTCCCAATTCGAGCGGAAGCCTGGCCGGTGTGGCTTTTCGCAGACTTTGTGCTGATTTCGAGGGCGGCGTGTTTCTCGAGAACTTGTGCAAATTTCTCAACAAAAGTCGGTTACAACTGGTGGCTGCGCATCCTGTGATACGTCTACAAACATACTGATTTTTCGACAAGGATTCGCCGAAAAGAGGGAAAAAAAAAACGAGTAATGTCAACAGCATTGGACTATTTTTGACACTGTCTAATCTTCCGATTGAGTTCTGAGAAGGTATCCTCGGCCTGAGGAGATAAGTTCAGTTGGGAAAAGTTGAATTCACCTTCGTTCCACGTGAAAATTGAAAAGATGTGCTTTTCCCGGAAAATTCCAGATTTTAACACTGTAATGCTTCATTTTGCAGCCCAACATGAATAAAAAAAAGTTTCCTTTTTTCGAAAATTTATGGAGAAAATATTTTTTATAGACAGTTTGAAGTGTGAAAAAATATTTCCATTGTTTCACACCCTAAACCTAGGGAATCCTTCAAGTTTCTAACCTTTTCGAACAAGTTTTTTCTGTTTTTTTTTTACAAATTTTTATTTAAAACCTCAGTTTCAAAGGGAATATTTTTTTAGGTTTATGATATCTGTAAGGGGATGCTAGTTTCTTTACAATGTTAGCAACTTTTTCGAAAGCACGAATTTCCCGATGATCAGGAGGTTTTTTTCATTTTTGATGATTTTTTTCCTATTTTTTTATAAATTAATACTTCATTATTAATGATGCGAAAAAAACAAGATTCGAACTTTTTTTGAAGTAAACCGCTCAAAAAAATGTGAATCAAAAAGGAAACATATTGAAAAAAATCACAAAAGCGCTCAAAACAAAAGAAAAATATAACGTTCTGAATATCGCAAAAAACTTTTTATACAAAAAATGAAAGTTACAGCCGAACTTGCCAAAAAACCGTCTTGACTTTCGTAGTGTCAATCTTTTTCATCGATGATCTTCCCATACTCTGAGTTTTTCATGGTGAAATTTTTTTCTGACGAGTGAATTCACTTATTTTTTTTTTGCCATTGACAATGTCTATGTAAATCTTCTCGAGCAAGCATTTTTGAGAAAGTTTTGCTTTTCGTAGATCTCTGAAGGACTCTCTGGACTTGGTCTGAGGTGTCGATGATCGTGATCAGTTTTGTGATCAGCGAAAAAGATCAGGCTCTGATATGCGTGGCTCTCAGACGGAAAACGAATGATTTTTTCTGGTCGTCAAGTGGCTCGGCTTCATTTCCGCGCTCATCGTTTGCATTGTCGGTGTTTCATCCCGATTTTCTTATCCTCTCCGTTTTTTTCACGTATTTTCAACTCTGACCAATTTTTTTTCCCTGTGTACTGAACTTTTGCAGCAATTAGTTCTTGCTGAGTGTTTGAAGGATCATGGGCAAGCTTTCTTCAGTGATTTTAAAATTTTGTGAGACTTCTGCGCTTTCAAAAGGCAGAGCAGGGATCATGAGAAGGCTTTATCGGCTTCAAGGCCAATTTTGAATAATTTCAGTGGTTCTTTATGGCGTATTCATCGGAGAAACAGAACATGTTTCAAAATGAAAAATCGTGTTCATCGGCGCGCCAAATTTGCTCCAAAACAGCACTAATTTTTATTTTGGAGCACTTTTTTGCGTTTCGAAGCAATTTTCGTTTTGTCCGATGCACATGCCATTTACTTCTTTATGTCGAAAAAACTTGCGAAACCTTTGAAACGATCTAGAAATGGATGATTTGAAAAAAAAACGTGTTTTGAACTGGAAATAACTTTGATTTATTCGAAACGAATCAGCCGTGTCCCTCTGGCTGACTCAGCCGCCCATCAGTTCGCCTACAAGCCAAAAAAAGGGTTTTCAAGTGACAAACGCCCTCCGACTCAAACACAAAACGTGTACGAAATGGCCAGTGAAACCCCTTATTCGACGTCGACCTTGCCAGCAAAAAAAAAGTAAACAGAACACAAAAGTTCGGCCGTCTAAAGCACAAATGGCCCTTTTTTTCGGCTGCCGACTCGGGAAATTATGACTTATTGCCTGAATGAAATGGCTGCTGCCAAATGGATGTCTTTCACTTTTGCTACTTTAAAAGGAGCTGTAGGTGTAAAAATTGAAGACCTTTAAGCTCGGATCGGGTTTTAAATATTTTTTTTTCTTTGTTTGGAACGTTTTTGAGGATTTATTCCTTTTTCTGGATACCAGGAAAGTTGTCAATCACTTTTGCTACCTTAAAAGGAACTATAGGCGTAAAAATTGGAGATTTTTGAATTCGGAGCGGGTTAAGAAAATGTTTTCTTATTTGAAACTTTTTGAGATCATAATTATTTGCCTTAATACTAGGAGTGCTGCCCATAGGCCTTCTATCATTTTTAAAACACCGTATAGAAAAAATCCCAGAGCTAGGCTGTCAAAAATTTCTTGGTATAGTCTTCGAAGGTGGGATCTACAAGCTTTGATGATTATTTTTGATATGGGAATTAATTCTTTTTTGTTGTTTATTGAAACGAAGGTTTGGCTTGTCTGAAGTCTCATTGATAGTTTCTGAGAAAAACGCAAATTTTCGAGTAATTTTTGAACTTACAAGCCAGTTTACGTTGGTTCAATGCCTAATTCATAATTTTCTGATCCAAAAACGGCACATTTCCCCTGTGAAAACCTTTTATCGCCCACTCAAAAGTCGCATGCCCATCGTTAAGTTTCAGATGAGGGTTAATCACCTGTACTTCACATTGACCAGTTTCGATGTTTCCTGAAAAGAACTTCCTCTCGAAACGAGCGATCTCATTTTGATAACAACTTTTCTTGATTTTAGCTTCCAAAACCTCGTTAAATGTACAGAAAAGGTACTCGAGGTTCTTTCTTTATAAAGGGGCTCGTTTTTGGAGTCTTTGTACTCTTTTTCAATTTCTTTCTAGGTTCTAACTATTTAATTTTTTTTTTATTTGAATTTCAGCCGCTAACGAAAAAGATATTTGAGAGAATAAATTTTCAAAAAAGGCTTTTTTTTCGGATTTTGGGATTGAACCAACAAGTTTTCTTGAAGTTTAAGAATCTTAGTTTAACCTAAACGAAAATTTTTTTTAGAAAATAAGAAACAGGGATTCTTTTTTTATATCTCAGCTCTTGCAACTACTAAACTTTCAAGGGAAAACTTGTTCAAAAAAAATTATTTTCTGGTTTTGTCAGAAAAGTTCCATTCCTCAATCTGGACAACAGCATTGTTTGAAAACTAGGTACAAAAGTCTCCAAAATATGCCAGTTTGTATTTGAATATTATTCGCTTGATCAGAGACGTCTCTGATTTCAACCACCAGTGTTCAACGATTGGGTTCTGTTAAACTGAAAGGCATATAGGAGTTTTTCGAAGTCTCATGCGGAACAAGCCTCAGCTGGCGCCACCCATCCGAGTTTTTCGCAGTCGGTATTTGCACTCATTTGTGATCAGCGTTCGTCTGACCTCGGAGTCCTGCTCGGAAGGAGGAGCCTCCCTTTCCCCACGTTGGCGCCACCTTTCCCCCACGGTTCGAGCTCCGCGGCGCCGCCCTTTCCTATCATTTTCTCGAAAGTTTTCGCCTCTCTGACGTCTCTTCACTTCAAATCAACGTTTAATTTGCATTCTGATCATTCGCCTCTCTTTATTAATATTCTAGCAGCTTCAAGTGTTTAAAAAGGTCCCGGACGCACTTTTCTTTATTCAAACTTCATTTGAAACTGTTACTTACTGATTTCGAACATTTTCGGGGATCCTTGCCATTTAGTCAGCTTCGAACCTTTTTTTTGGTTTTTAAGTCTTTCGAGACTTGTAGCTTTAAAAACGACTTATTCGCATTGAGTTCTTCATAAAACTGTCCGAGCTTCTTCATCAAAAACCTAGCCCTAGGAAGGTATTTTGAGAGACGATGGGTTTTTCAGTCAAAATTTTTTTTGAGTTTTTTTTTCTTCTTATTTAAAAATTTCTTTTTAATTGCCAGAGAATCGATTCGGAACAAGACGAGAAAAAAATCTTGAAACTTTTTTTCGAAATTCAAAAGTTGCAGCAGATGGCGAATGAAAACCAAAGGTCAAAAAGAAGTTTTACTTTTCGAAAAGATGTTTTCCGAGATGTTGAGGTCACTTTACGATGTCTACGAATTCAAAAGAATTTTCGAATCTTATCAAACCCAAAAAAATCAGTTCAAAGGCTTGACATAGCAGAATAGTGATTCACGAACTGGTTTTTTCGCAAGTGACCGCCTTTCTTAAAAAGTAATGTTCGAGGAAAAAGCCAAGAGTTATAAATTTTCATTCCATTACTTTCTTTTTCAATTTCTTGATTTCGATTGTCACGTGAAATATTTAACTTTTGCCCGCTTTTTATTTCTAAGGTTTCTGCTTTCACCGACTCATTCCAATTCTAAAACGGTGTAAATCTCCGAATAGAAAAATCGAAGCAAAGCTTTTCGCAACGCGCGGGATTCAAACTGACCAGTCGCCGTAGAGCGAACTTTCCAAGGAGGTTTATTCAATTTTTTGAAATTTATTTTATTTTCCATTTCGTTTCTTTAAGATTTTTAATTTTTAATCTATGTTTTTCAAGTGTGAGAACGTTAAGATATCTTTCAAGTACAAAACCAGCAAAGAATATTTAATCTAATTTTTCGGTATAAATTCTAACCTCTAGACTTAATTTTTAGCTTCTGAATGGTTGAAACTGTCTTTTTGTAGACCTAATAGACCTCAACGAAACGAAAGAGATCGTATTTCTGAAGTGTCTCGTCAAACCTTTTTTCCATTTCCCTCAGCCAAAGAGTTGAATTTTACCATTGCCGTGTTTGCCCTCTTGTTCCCTTTCGACCAACTTTTCCTCCCCGTGGATTAAGTTTCATTTGTCGCGTTTAACGGTTTCCCTTAAACTTTTGTCTTGAAAAAGTTTGTAAGGGACTGTAACTCCAGTCTATTCACCTGTTAACTAGGCCAAACAGTTCTTTGCGAGATTTTTTTCGGCCCAAACCGCGTAATTAAAGGTTTAAAATTCAACAGAAGGCCATAAAATTGCGCATCGTTTCGGATTTTGTTGCGACGACCACGAATTTTCCACTAGTTCCCATATGTTTTTTTTATAATTCTCATATATTTTTTCCACAGTTCATCTATGAATTTTGCATAAATTGGAATCGATTTTCTGTGCCAAACACCTGTTCTTTTGATGGCTCATGTTTGTTTTTTTACAGATTTTCGATTTATTTATTTAAGGGAAGAGATATTTTTTTGGTAATTTTTAGTGGATCATGCTTGAATTTTTGCAGAATCAGTATTTTTGCTTCATATACTTTATTAAAATATTTTTCAAAAATCTTTCTACTTTGAAGAAGAATTCGTTTTATGGGGGATTTTTTTCTCCACCCAAAAAGTTTTAATCTTTTTTCAAACTATTTTTTTAATTTTTAGATTTGCCTATGACAAAGATAAAAATCCATCATCCCGAATGCGACCTCCATTTCAATTTTCACTGAACTTTTGCTATTTTTTATTCATTTTTGTGTCTTTGGATCTTTTTTTTTGCTCCGGAAAACATCTCAAAGTTGAAGAATTTCGTAAATTTACTACGATTTATAGCGACTTCAGAGAGTTCTTTTGCGTTATAATCGTTTCCTACTTGTTTTAACCTCACTTTTCATCAATTATTAAAGGATGCACGCGGCGGAGACGTGCAGGACCGCTCTGGCGGCGCTGCTGGTGCTGATCTCCGGGGCGAACGCCCTCGTCTCGACGTTCAACTACGTGCCGCTGGGCAGCAATCCGACCCTCTACACGCCCGGCTTCGAGCCAATCATGCACCTTGACCAGGTTTTATTTGGAAATTGGTTTATTTTATTTTGATTTTTGTATGGTTTTTGATTTTAGTCTGAAACAACTTAGAAATTTTTTTTTTGGAGGATTAATTTTGAGGAAAAATGAACGCGGAGAAAGCTGTGATTGAATCGATAAACGTTGAAAAAAGTAGAGAATTTAGAAGAAATAACAGGAAAAATGGAAAAATAACAATTTGCTCTGATTTTTTTTTTCTGTTCCGAGGTTTTTCTATTTTCCATATGCAAAGCTGTTGTGAGAAAGTTTGCAACAAATAGTTCAAATTTTTCGTTTTATCGGCTTATTTTTTTCCAGATGACATTCAACGATACCGTCTTTGGTGACCACGCCTATCTTGTCGAATTTTATGCTGATTGGTAGGTTTAGAATTAATTTTGAAGGATAATTAACCATTTCTTGTACTTTCTAGTTTCTTCCACTGTATATTTTTCCAAATTCTAATTTTTTCAGGTGCGGACATTGCCGAGCCTTCGCCCCGTACTTCCGGCAATTCGCAGGCCTTGTCCGCGAATGGAATCCCGTGGTTACGGTAGCCGTAATCAACTGCGCCGATTCGTTCAACGCCGCCGTCTGCCGCGACAACGGCATCACATACTTCCCCATGATGAAGGTGACCTTTCCTGCATTTTACACAGCGTGTTGTGGAAAATCGATAGAACTTCATGAACAGAAGGATTTTCTAAAAGGCTCATCCAGAACTTTTCAAAATAATTTTACCGCTGTCAAGTTAAGTTATAAAACCTAAAAGTTCAAATTGAGTCGAGAAAAAGTATTTTTGGCGTTTTCGAGGCTTCCTAACTCTAGAAGAAAAAAGTCGATTTTTTGATGATTTTTATAGAAATTTTTGTACACAAGTACTTTCAGGTAGACTGGAATTCTTCAGAAATTAGCGCTTTTTTCGAGTTTTAGCCAAGTTGTAGCACATGAAAAGCTCAGAATTAGTTTATAATAAGCGGATTTTTAGCGTTTTTCGATGCTTTACAGCTCTTCTGAAAAGGATAAAGTCGTCTTTTTTATACTTCTATTTCAAAGTACTTCTGTACAAAGTTCCATCAGAATCTGATGACATCACCAAAAAGGATTAGGTGATGAAAAATCAATATCCAAAGCCAATAAGTCACAGTGAAACTTCTCAATGAGGCTAGGTTCATTTTTTTAAATTTTGATCCTGGTTCTAGTCTAAAAAGTCGCCTAATAAATTTTCAAAAAATCACAGACCTGAAACCTTTAGAATTTCCCATCCCTCTGGTTAGAAAGTATATTTTCTTTTTTTGTTCTGAAAACTTTTTTTGATTCTAATTTTTCTCTGCTACTTGTGGAGCTTATAGTCAGAAAAAAAAATGCGTAATTTCCTTTCACAAAAAAGAAAAGAACTTGAAGTTTGAAAGAAGCACAATTCAACACCTTTTTTTGGTTTTTTTTTTCAAATTTCAGACGTCGCTCCTCAAAAAAATAGGAATTTATATTAATTTAAAGTTTGGTAACTTTCATTTGATACATCGTGAAGTGCTGTGGCCAGTTTTTAAGATTCCGCACTTTTTTCTTTAAAATAAAAACTCCATCTTTTTTTCCTATTTGAATTTTCGATTACGCTGTCAGAATCAACAGTTTTTTGACAATATTTTCAAAAAATAAACAAAAAGGTACTGTATTTTAACCTTTCCCCAGACGTTTACTCACAAAGCTATTATTGTCTTTTTTAACTCCAATTTCCAGTTTTTTCAACTTTTCAAGCGACTTTTTGTTTTGTTTTCTTTCACTCCAATATTGACTCAGTTGATGATGACTGGTTATCCTGAGAAAGTGGGAAAGTTCTAAAATCTGTTGATTCATATTTTCGGAAAGGGATTTTCTTCGAATCGGTCTCCGTTTGAGTCAATATAAAACCTCTCGTGTCTTTCGTTCTTGGAAAGATATCTCGATAGAGTTTATCTTGTGAGAGATACGTTTCTTCCGTTCTGTTTATTGAAAGAAGTTTTGGTTTTAGGACTTGATAGACATTTCTGAAACTTGATCAGCCTTTTCTTTCTTTGAAAACATTTTACACGATAAAAAAGGTTCATAAAAAAGTGGGACAATGAAAATGACTAATTTAGGGAGAAGTTCATTTTTTTTAACTTGTAGTTTTTTTGAAGTTTTTTTGAGTTTAGAAAAATTTTATTCATATATAGATCGGAAGAACTTAAACAGAGAAATAAAAATGCCTTTAAATTTTGAGTTTTTACTACGCGATTTCTATTTCTTTTTCCCCTTTTTCCCCTTTTTCATAATTTTCTTTTCTGAGAGCCTCCGAAGGATCTTACACAGAACACACTATAGTATGTGACCTCAAACCTTGTCTTTACTTTCAAAAAAAAAAACCTGCAACTCGGAACTCAAAAATGAAAAAAAAGGAAAGAAAAGAAAGTTCAAAAGTCGATTGGAAATGAGCAAACAGAGCCAGTAACTGTTTGGACAGGCGCTGGTCTCATGTTTCCAAGGAGTTGGATTCGAGGGTCCAAGGAAACGAGGCTGTAGAAGAACGGCCATCGCCGGCGTCATCGCCAAAACCAACAGCCTCCATTTGTTGGGATTGGCTCGAGTTTCGGCATGGCGAATTAGAACAGAAAAAACGTGTTTTTGCGAAGATTTCCTTTTGTTTCTAAGAAATGGAAAAGAGGGTTTGGAAGTCAAAAAGGGACAGAAATTGGGGTTCGTATGCTGGTCTCAAAGCTTGGATTGGAAAGGGGTTTATTTCATTAGGTTTTTCGGGTCATCCGGGGTTTTGAAGAGTAATAAAATGATAATGAATCAATTCTGAGAAATTAAATAAGAATTTTTTTGAAGTTCAAAATAGAAGCTTATAAATTAGCTGAAATCAGGAATTTTATTTATCAATTCGAAGGTGATCTTCTTAACACATGAAAATTGAAATAAGTTTATTTCAACTGCTTTATTTTCCAAAGAAGTGCTATCTATCTAAAAAAAAAACCTGTTTTTTTATTAAATGATTTATAAACCAGAGCATTTTTTTCAGTACTTTGCTCGAACGGCGCGGAACCCATCGCAAGGCAAAATGTTCGAGACGCCTCATTCGGCCGAACTGATTCGCGACACGTTGCAGCGCACCATCACCAACGAGTACACCTTCAATCGGTAGGGTCCTTTCAGAATAAATCAGATCAGATCAAATAGTTTGATTTCTCACCCACACGAACTAAAAAAATCAAATTTACAGAGTAATAATGGGAAACCTAGAAAATATTTTTTTCGCGATTTTGTGGTCATTAAAGAGAACAAGACGTTTGATTTTTAACTCACTTTTCGAGTGTTAAATTGAAAATGAACGTGAAGTTATTTTAATGTTCTAATAATTCGAAGGCAAATTCACAAAAAAATATGAATTTTTTTGCCTATAAATTTTTTTCTGATTTTTAAAAAAATTCTTTCTACTTTCTCTTCAAAACTGAGCTTCCTGTGAAAATCTGCTTTATTTCTTATCCAAAATATGAATTTTTTTATTCTCCAGGTATCCCGATTGGCCGAGCTTCACGCACATCAACGTGGATAGGTGATCATTTTTTTATTTTTTTATTTTTTTGAAAGTTTTTCCAGTTTTAGGTTTTTTTGACAAATAATTGAAAGTTGAACTTGACAATTTTTTTCACATCGAAACTGAACCGAAAATGTCTTCAACAAAAAGTTTTTTTCCAGCCAAACGACTTATGGACAACTCTGGGAAGGCGTTCCGGAATCGGCCGATTACCTGGCGATTCTCTTCGAGGAATACGATGGAATCGGAGCCCAGGTACGACAGAAATTGCTTCGATTATTTTAGTTTCGTGTTTCGAAGCAGTTTTAAATATGTAGAAGGCTTGATTCTCTGCTTAAAGGGAAGTCGCGCAAGTTAATTAATTTTATATTCATTTCATTCAAACAGGGATTTTTTCCAACTTTCTTAAGTTTTTATTTGAAACTACAATGTTTAGCTTTTTTTTTTACTTTTTTGTTAGTCATTAGGTTTGTAGAATAGAAATAGAGGACATTTGAGATTGGTTTTAGAGCAAAGGTTAAAATTCATGTGCGTTTTTATGGAACTGTTTTTTTAGAGGGAGTTGTTCATAAAAAAATTTTTCGAAAAAAACTTTTTCGAAAGAAAAGTAGAATTCCCGGAATTTCTAGAAATTTTTCGAAAATTGTTCGCCTCAAATGGAAACTTTCTCAAAAAAAGGAAAAATTAAGAAACTGTTTTTCAAATTTTTTTCCTAAAAAGTTTCACAGAAAAAGTGAATTTTTTTACTGTTATATCTGTTCATGATGTATCTGTCGATGCTTCTTCTTTTGTATAATGCCAGAAAGTTTCAAAAAATGCGTTTTCTATTTCCAACTGTAGCAAAAAAAAAAAATTGAAAGACTTCACAAATTTATTTTTTTTTCAATGATTCGCATAAACAAGTTAATTTTGTACCTTTTTGCAGTTCATGCTTGATCTGTCGACGCGTCGCCACGCGATGGGAGCCCGCCGAGCCCTCTCCAACTCGCCGCTCGTCCAGATGCTCAACGTCCGCAGCTTCCCGACCGTCGCCTTGTTCCGGCGAGATCATCAACAGGCCCTCTACATGCAGCCGTAGGCGGATCCGTCTCATTCCCGACCGAAATCCTCTTCTGCAGGTTCACCAACTCGACCTACACGGATCTGGACAACGCGGTGATCGCGGATTCGCGAGCCGGAGGCCACGTCGCGCCGATTCTCACCACCACCATGGCCCCGATCACGACGACCACGGCGACGCCTCTCGTCGACTGCGACCGATATCCCGACAGGTTCGCCCTTTTTTTGAGGGCCAGAATAAGTTTGAAAGGAGGGGCTCGTTTATCATATTCTTGGCAGGTTGGCGATTTTTAAGTCTCATGAGATACGGGAAAGTCGGGGAATGGGAAGGTCCATCACAGTGTCATTCTTTTGAAAAAAAACTTTGGGATAATGATAGAGTTACCGAAAATGTTTGAGGGCTATAAAAATGAAATTAACATGTCTTATGAAGCCCTGATCAGCTCCAAGACGAGTCAGACTCCTAAATAGAAAAAAAAAATGAAAGATCGAGTGAAAATGTAGCAATATGGGCCATTCGAATTAGAATAGAAGTATTTTTCTTATATTAAATTCACAATTCTTAACTTCTTTAAAAGGGCTAAATAATAACAAAAAAAACTAATCGTCTTAGGATTTTCATGACCTCATGCTCCTTAATAGTTTCGAAAAAAAAAACGGTTTAGAACCAATTTTATGATTTTTGGCTGCGTTCAAAAGAAAATCCGTAAAATTGCGATATATAATCTCTTTCCAAATAGGAAAATTTTCGTTTAACTGTCTTCTTGAAGTTGATATTTCGGACTTTTCGGAGCTCTAGATGTTTTTTGAACATACTTGTCTTACACATCGAAAATTCGAATTTATTTGGATTTTAATTTTCATTAAAAATTTTTTTTGAAATCTTGTTAGTCTGAAACTGTAGGACCCTGAAGAGAATGAAAATTAAAAAACAGTATTTTGACGAGAAAAGCTTATTTTACAGTTTTTCACATCTGATCTTTTTTCAAGGAGTAGTTCTGTTTTTTTGATTATCCTGATAAGAAAGACTGACAGTTACGCGAAAAGAACTCATTTTTTTTTTCCGCAAACAAAAGCTGATTAGGTGTTCACGCCTGATCCTTGCCCCTCGGCCCACGCACTTCTTTCTCCCGTGTTGTTTTCACCCGATGAACTGTTTCCGTTCTTTTTCTGGCCGCCGTCGAAAGGCCGCCGCCCCAACCGCAAACAATCGAAGCGAAAAACTGAGAAGAAGAACAGTTTTGACGGTGTTTTACGGAGAAGTCTGTTTGGATATTCACGTGAGATTTGTGTGCGTCTGGGATCATCGAAGAGAGGAAAAGCCGTTTGGCGCCAATCAGTCGCCGCCCGCCGGAATCCGTGGGGCGACTCTCGCCCGGCGCCGGACAGTCGCCCTCTCGAAAGCTTCTTTGTTTTTCTCGGCAATCATCAACAAAAGCTGTTACTACACTCTGGCTCTCCTCTGCAAACAGTTTCGAATTGTGTGGGAAACGAGTTTTTTGGGATCACTTGGCTCTATTTTCTCTCCGGATCAGCTTATTTTTTGAAGTTTTTTGAATAGATTGAGGTCTTCCTGTAATGTTAGCTTACACTTTTTATAATTAGTCATGGAATAAGGAAAAGATAAAGTCAACGTTGAGGGCGGGATCTTTCAACTTTAAATGTCGACCTTTGAAGGCACATAGCAAGCCAAAAACCATAGGTTTTTGAAACGATTTATTTTAACAAAAGTTGTTGCTATTAAAGGAGCATAGACAACTTTGTGGGAGGTTTTGAAGAGGTACTGTTCACCCCAGAGATTTTCAACTCTGCATCGGTGCGAATCCAAAAGTTTGCGATGGAAAGAAAAGTATAAAAAATATTGAGAAGCTAATGATTTCAAGCTTGCGAAGAAACCTAAAAATAAAAGATAGATGAAAAATGTTCTCGTTTTCAGATGCCGAGAGATGTACTACGTATCGGAGACGGACATGCTCAAGGCGATGAGAATGGCGTTGGTCGACGAAGTCGTCAGAATGCCCGGCTACGTCCGCGGAGACAACTTCACTGCCCTCGCCGACTTTGTCACTCTGCTCTCCAACGTTGGTTTTATCTTTTCAAATTAATAATTCACTCATTCAAAACTGATTTATAACTATATAGAATTGTTTCTGCAAATCTTTTTATTTTTAGGCTTTATAACTTTTTTAGAAAGTTCCTCAGAATTTTCTTTGGTGAGACCACTTTTCCAATCAAATATTTCAATGAAAGTTTTTGAAAAATAATCGGGACATTTTTATTCTTTTTTTATGAAAAATTCATCATCAGAAGGCTTTTTTTCAGCATTTCCCGGTGCTTTCCTTCCAAAATGACGTCAAGCGGGCTCGATCCAAGAGAACAACTTCTGTGGTTTGTTTTTTCATGATTTATTGTACCGGTTTCAAACTTTAGAGAAACATCATACTATTACTGCAACAGTTTGAATATATTATGAAAAAAAGGCAGAGAAGATTTGATGCCAAAGCTTAAAAAATTTTTTTTTTACCATTTTACTAGAATTTTTTTCCTTTTCTTGCCTTCATTCTTGAGAGAAAACATTTTTTGGAGCTTTCAAGCCAAAGGGACACTTGAGTGATCACTTTTTCGTTTAAACCAAGAACTTTCAAATTTTCCCGAAATATTGGAATTTTCCAGATTCTTCGAAACAGCGAACGTGCCAGACTGGTCTTCACTCACATGCGCGAATATTTGGAAGGACGTCGATCAGTTGGCGCCGTCTCGACTGATGAGTACCGTCGACAGTTCGAGAACGTCGAAGTTTGTCTCTTTAGGATTTGCACTTGATCAGAATTTGATTATATTGGCTTTAGTTCTCATTTTACAGTGATTTATTGTTTATATTGAATCATTTTTCTGGCTATCCACTGAAAAATCCTGGCAAAATACAATTAATTTTCCATTTATTGATTTTCTTCCAATTTTCAGCGCGTCTACGCAAATCCCTTCCCGGTCAACTCCTCCTGGCAACATTGCAAAGGAAGCAAACCAACTTTCAGGTATTTTTTTACTTTTAAAATGTCAGTAGCTGATTTATTGTTGACTTGAGACGCGTATAATGCTATGAGGGCTTAGAACGAATGTAATTTGACTTGATACTTTAGAATATTCTGAGAATTGGCTAAATAACTCTTTGGCCAAACAAAAAAAAAAGTTCTGATAGTATACCATTCTCTATAAAATCTGCGTTTATGAGAAAAAAAAACAGTTTAAAATCGAATAAAATCGTCGAAATTTGTCGAATTGGTCCGTTCTTCAGCGTGGAGCTTCTTTTTTTTAAGAAATAAGAAATCATGCAGGTTAAAATTTGTTGACTGTATCTCTGGTTTAACGAAAAGTATTATGGTCGATTTTAAGAAAGTCCAGGAAAAATCTTGTTCGTTGTTAAAATTCCCATTCTTTTTGATAACTTTCCACGGATTTTCAGAGGTTACACGTGCGGCCTCTGGACGACGTTCCACGCTCTCACAGTCCACACCTACATCGACACGATCCGAGACGACTTTGTCGACCCCCTGAAGCCCCTCACCAGCATTCAAGTTTGTCCGAATGAGTCTGACCGATCCACGAAATGTCCTGCAGGGCTGGGTGAGAAGCTTTTTCGGCTGCGAACACTGCCGAAATCACTTTATGCACATGACCACCACGCAGTTCCCGCTCAACGAACGACGGGTCGGTCTTTTTTTTTCTTGTTGTACTTTTTTTTTGTCAAAAATTACTTCTCTTGTAAGAACTCCTTGTCAATTTCAGAAAGCTTAACCTCCAAATGACTGGACCATTCTCTCGCTTCCCTTATTACCTAAATGATGGTTTGAAGGTGCGACACCCGCACGACATGATGACGTACTTGTGGAGGGCGCACAACATCGTCAACAACCGGCTGCACGGCGACGACACCGAGGATCCGCAGTTCCTCAAGGTCCAATTCCCGCAGCCGTTCCTCTGTCCGACCTGCCATGCCGGCGGTCAGTTCAGTCGACGACAGGTTCGTTTAACTTTTTTTTTCTTTTTGAGGAAGCCAATCAGACTTCAAAAGAGGAAAAACTTTTTTGCTTTTTTCTATTTTTCAAATTGAGACGTTCTTGCTTTTCTTATCTGCATAGAGTTTCTGGAAAAGTCGGATTTTAGAATGTTTCTCGAAAACTCAGCTTTTTCTTTTTGCAAAAATACCTTAGCCGAGCCGAGTTTAGTTTTTCAACTTTTTCGATAAGAAATGTTTTTCTCAGCTTCTTTGGAAAAAAAAAGTGCAGGTTACTGTTAAAAAATTAATTTTTGACAACCGAAATAAAACGTGAAGATAGAATAGTTTTTTTCAAGCCGAAATGATACTTTATTTCGCGATAATCGTCACGTTTTTATATTATTTGTCGAAATTCAGATCCGCAACTTCATGCTGCGTTACTACGGCAGCATCAAGCCGCACAATCGACTCGCCAATCGACGCCTCAGCTTCAAATAATTCCGTTCGTTTATTATCTTCTTCCTTCTCCTCTCTTCCTTCCTAGATTACCTCCATTAGCACCCCTATTTCCTAGTTTTTCTTCCCTCTCTTTGTAATAATTTCTAACTTGTTCTCTTTGTAGAAATTAGTATATGCTTCTTGTTTTTTTTTTCTTCGTTTTCCCCGGACTGCCAGTCCGACTTTCCCCTATTCGGTTGTAAAATTTTGTATTGTACATTTACGGGTTCTCCAATGCTTTTTCCCTTTTTCTTCTGTTTCCCGACCGGCGGTTAGACTTTACTTATTCACCGTGAGTGTCTTAGCCAAGTTGCACTTGGGTGAATTATGCTCCACTGCACTTTTTGCGACCAATCGGCCACATTCAGGAAATTATTCCATCCTTTCAAATGTATTTTTTTTCTCATTCAATGCACAATATTATTGTTTCAAATGATGAACGTTCAACAAAGAGTCGTGGCTTTTATTTGCATATTTGGGTACTTTTATTGTTATTTTTTCTTCTTTTTTCGCAGTTTTCTGCACTCACCTGGATGTATCATATGTGTCCTACCACTCACTATTTTGTCCCTCTTTTTCTATCGTTTCATGGCTTCTCGCTAGATTGTAAATAGTTGTCTTCTGCGCTATTTAAAAATCAAAAGAAAAATCATCGATGATTTAAAAAATCAAATAAACGTTTTCTGACGATTGCGCTTGTTGGTGTTCATTGAAATTTATCTGGATTTTGATTTTCACGATTACTTTTCCGAGTTCTTCCAAAACTTAAAAGAAAACTTCCAAAAAGGTGTTGAAGCTTCCGAGTACCTTGTTATTGGATGATTCTCACATGGTGTATGCTTTTACCTTTCATTTTGAATAACTTTCGGGTAAACTTCGCTTGAAATTCGGAAATTCGTCCTTTTTGCGCCGCTCATTTTTAGGGCTGGGTTGATTTTCCTGCTGTTATTATAAGTTCAGAAAAGTAATAAGGTTTTTTTTTCAACTACAAGAAGCTACAAACTATTTTCACAGACGTCTTTAGCAATTTTCAAGTACAGTCCTAGAATCCGCCTGGAAAATTTGATCCAGTTATCCTTGTCTCCTTCAAAGTTCCCAGCTCAGATCATTCCCTAGAAGTACAAACTACCATTACCTGAAAAAAAAACCTCAGAAAATCTCTGAAAATGATAAATTTGTGCCAGAAGCTCAACAACCAGCTCCGAAAAGCTCAAATTTCAGCTTGAAGATTATTTGAGATGATTTTTAACGCTCTTAATCCAAAGTGGACTTTTTCCACACAGTCCTCTTGAACAACCCTATTGATCTCTAACCTCTAGTTTTGGTTCGAAAAATCAATCAGTGAGGGACAATTTCGAAAATATTCGTCGCGGAATGACGGCGCCGCGGCGGAGCAGAAGAAAAAGGAGAAAAAGCGTCGTCACCCACTCGAACTACTCGAGACAACCTTTTCCGCGAACCCCTGCTGCACCTTGTTGACATTCACGTAGCCTTCCTAGTTTTTCTATCCGTTTCCCTTCTTTTTTCTTCTCGATGGCCCCGAGGTGAAGAAACTGTGCTGATGGGAGGATCCACAAACAGAACGTGTAATGCAAGCTGAGCGGCCGTTCTTTGCAGCTTGTGTCCAGGCATCTCTCGCGTATCACAAAATCAGAGAGGGACTGATTTTCAAGGGATCAGAGCTTTCGAAATGGAGTAAAAAGTGAGAGAAGATACTGACCAGGAAGGTCATGTTACTTTTTAGAACATTCTTTTAGTACCAGGTTCAGCTCCCGGAAGATTCAACGGGTTTGATTTACTAGCTCCCAAGAAAAAGTCCATTCAACACCAGTTGGATAGGTCATTTTTAAGGTTAAAGTTCTGACTATATTGTTCTGCAAAGTTCTCAGATAAAGTTTCCTTCCTTATAAGGCCAGTTTATCAGAAAATTTTCGTATGGATTAACATTTATTTTTCATTAATCCCTATGTAATGAACCCAACTATGGGGTTTCTATTCTTTCATTCTTTTAATACTGTCTCTTCTTCAGTTTCCACAAGAAAAATTTTTTAACCTATTCTAAATTACTTAGGACCACGGGAGTGGTCCCTAGAGGGGCAATCTTAAAGGCACTTGAAAGCAAAACCTTTTAGGAACCACCTAACCTCTTCTTGAAAGTTTTCTTCTAGAGACCACCTGAACTCCTCTATAGGGGCACTTAAGCTTGCAGAAGTGGTAACTCTAGGGTTTTGCTTAGTACCCTTCTATAGTCAACTAAAAGCTCTAAACGATTAAAAAAAAACTAATCTCAAACCCCGTTTTTTACTGCCCAATATTTTTCACCTTCATTTGAACATTCCTTTTTCGAGCAAGAAAAAGCAATTTAGTTTATTCGGAAGGAATGACCAGTATATTCGGCGACTACGTTTTCTCTACAGTTATTAGATTAGGACTTAGAGACGAGGACGGACGAGACCCGTGTCCGGCGCCGACGTCATGATCAGTTTCTGGACCTGTAAGGAAAAATACCATTCCAAATGGATCATGAGAAACTTGGCGAGAGTATTTTCAATCCAGAAAAAAAGAGGAAACCTCCTTGAATTTGGGATGGTCGGATCCTTGAACGAGGCCAAGAATCACGCATTCCGAAGTCGTCAAGACGGCTCCAGCGCTTTCCAGCTGCTTGAACGCGAACTTTCTGAACAGAGGATACGATTAGTCATGATGACAAGAACAGTATCTTATCAAACTTCAAACTTCTATCAGAAAAAAAAGCCAAAATTTAACGTATGCTCTTTGCTAAAAAGGTTTCGAAAATTTATTTTAACTGAAAGATGCATTTTTCAGTCATAAAATCCTCATTTCCTCCTCTTGTTCTCCCAATAATAAGACCAGACCCAAACAAATTCAACCTTCCCGGCATTATAACTTTTTTTTCTGAAGATTTCGATTGACGAATAGAAAAAAAATGAAACGAAAAACTAAGATTTTAAAGCATAGAAATTTTCAAGAAAATTGTACTTGAAAATCAAGGATTTTTCTAAACAATCAACAATTTTTTTATATTAAAAAGGCATCTTTTTAGAAAAGAAAATTCAATAAAAACAACGGCTCCATATTTTTTATTGTAAAAACCTAGGTTGAAACCGGTAAATTCGCTAAAGAGACCACTAAACAGCTCAGAGTCGTCCAAAACACACCTGGTGATACCCCACTCGGCGTCCGAGTGTCACTAAACAATAACTTGTCTCATTGGTCTCACTTCCCGCTGATCTTGAGGGCTCTCCACACTTACAAGTCGAACAGAAATAGCCCAAGTCAGCAGCAAAGTTGAGATAGTTCAAAAACCGCGGTACTCGAAAAGAAGGGTTTCCTATCGAATCGCTGATCACATGCAAAGATTTGCACATCAGCCACGTGCTGGCAAACAAATAAAGCTGAGCTCCGGTGAGCAAGAATCAGCCGTTGATTGAGGATAACCAAGTGATAAGACATGTCCTTCTATCATTTATCGAGGTCCCTTTATGATCAATATTCTTCAAACAATTTCCAGCGGTTGGAATACGTTCCACGTCTACGATTGGCTATTATTTCAACGACTTGGGTCGAAAAGTCACACTTCTAGGCCTCGAAAAGCTGTCGAGAAAGGGCTAACTTTGAACAAACCAGTAAAGATTCTCTGTGGCTTTTCGATTTTTCGGATAGGCAAAGCCGGAAGGACCCTTCGAGGGTGAAAAAGGCTGCTGGAAGGCTCCATAGAAATTTTCCTTTTAGGGTGATAAAGGCTTGGCTTCAATAATTTACTGATATCGGACCCGAAAACTATGACAATTGTCCTTATTTAATAAGCGTTCCTAACTTTCTTTGAGATCCTTGTTCTAGTCTTTTCAATATTCAGTTCAGTCATATGATAAAACTCGGTTATTTTCCGCTCAATCAATAAATTCCGAGTTTGATCAAAATTGATCAGGCGACACGGATCGATTGACCGAAAATCGAAGCGGATCAAAGGTAACGCTTCTGAAAAACAAACGAAGAGGACTTCGGCGCTGGCGCCAGCATCATTTGGCGCCGATTTGGACGCTTCGCGTTAAGTCGCTGCACAAGCAGGTGTTCCCACGCAATCGCTTCTTTTTCCTTTCTCCTTTTTCACGTTGGATAATGACCAAAGATAGAACCAACACAGAAAAGGAAGGGGAACTACTTGGGGGATTTTCATTAATCTATTTAGAAGTATGAAAAAAGGCTTTAGATTGACCTGTCAGTGAGAGAACGGCTGCTGACGGCGTCGACGACGACGTGGACCGCATGTCCGCGCTCCAGAAGGTCGTACCTGCAATGAATCATTTCATTTTGCTGTTTCAATCTTGCTCTCCTGGCTCGTATTATTTATAATCTTCTCTGAAGAGAACAGTTCCGTCTGAAAAGATGCTAAAAATGATTACAACTTTTTTGTATGAAGTTTAATCTCTCTGAAACTTTCTGGAAATGTGATGACTGTTATTTGAGATACTCTGGGGGGATTTCAGGCCGCAGAAAAAAATAGAATTATAACTTTAACGTTTCAAAAAGATTGAGCAAGGATGTTTTAAGCATTATGTTTTGTTTTTCTGTTGTTACTGTATGTAATGTCAGAGTATTCAGAAGCTTTCTATCCGGAAAAAAATTTCAAGGCTAAAAAAGAACCAAAATATTTTGGGATTGACTTAAAAGAAAAAAAACGGTCATCGAAATATTCTTTTTTTTGAACGACACAACTTTTTAATAGCCATCCTCTTTTTTTCGTAAAAACTACCGATGTACAAAAAAGTTTCACCAAATCTAGAAAACCCAAAGTTGAAGATTGATTTCCTATTTTAGGTGAAAATTTCCTTAAATTTCAAATTTTCTTTCTGAATTATGAAAATTTTCTCAGAGATTCTAGTTATGCTCAAGTTTCAAAATGAGCTTTGCTGAATCACTTTTTGAAATAACCCATTTAAAAATGTTCAAACACAAAAAATAATTTCCATGATAACCCACGTAGTTTGAAGGACGCAAACGTGTGCCTCGATCCCGACGAGAATCACGTTTTTGATGTTTTTCAGGATGCCTTCCGAATCGGGGAGACACATCGAGAACTGAAAAAGGAAGCTTTTTTTGCAGTTTTCTTTCTGCTTAACAAAAAAGGGGAAAAGGAAAAAAATCTTGGAAAAAATTCAGGTTATTATAGCCTGTGTATCACGACTTGGAATTTCACCGAACTACATTCCGCTGTGCCGCTGCGCGCCTTTGCAAACCTTGGTCGCGTTTTTAACTTTTTTTTTTTATATCAAGGTACTCTATTTTTATGTGTTACCACAGCAAGGAAAATCAATTGAAAGCGTGAGCTAGATTCGAAAGACGCTTCGCGAACGCACGCAACGGAACAGCGGAATGTCGTTCGGTGAAATTTCAATTCGTGGCTCACAGACTATACTGAGAGTCTCAGCCTGAATGAACTTCTATTTTCTGAGAACTAATAAATGTCGCTTATTAAGTAATATGAATTTTTTTTATCGAAATATCGGAATTCGAACAGGTTGCTGCTTCTGAAACTTTCAAATAGCTCTTCAGAGTTTTCTTCACTCAAATTTCAATAAATTCCGAAATTTTCCCATGTTAGGCTACTTTTTCACGGTCATTCAATCGAAACTTCAGTAGGATATCCATGAAAACCTTGGTTTTCTCGAGGATCGGAGTGTCGTCGGAAAGTCCCTCCTTGAGTTGAGGGACCGTGTGGCCGAGTCCCTTGGGGTATTGCTCAGTGACGAGCGTCGGGATATTCAAAATTCGCGCCGTGTCGATCAGCCGTCGCGAGGTTTGAACAATCTCCGGGAAGTACTGGATCGTCTTGCTGAAAAGAAGAGCGTCGAAAATTTCAAAAATTGCCACCTTTATTGAAAATTTGATTATTGTTTTCACTTTGATACTTTATTCATTTATGATTCGCTAGCTTGTAAGTTTTAGAATCAGAAAAATATGCATACTCCGAGATTTATTTACCTACAAAAAGTAACTTTTTTCACTAGTTTCCCATATGTTCAACCCCGACCAATTCGATTTTTATTGCCCGAAATTGAGCCTTTTTCCTTTTCTCCTTGATTTAGAAAATTCTCAATAAATTTAAGCTCGAGGGTTACTTTTAAAGTTTACTTATTCTTCGAAATACGTGATAGGATGACAAGGATTGGAGTATTCTTTTGTTGAGCTCTTGAAAAATTTCAAAAATTTAAGCTTATTTCTTGAAACTTTATTATTAAGTTATTTTGAAGAGTTTACTCGAATAATTGGTCATTCTCCCGAAATAATAAGATTACTTGAAGAAAGGTCTCCTCACTGGAATTCATGTTTAACACTGTTCCGGAAAATGTACAAAGTTCAAAAAAAATGAACAAAAAATAAACTTCAAAATTTATTAAGCTCGATTATTATAAACCATCCCGCGCTAGCTTCTCCCGTTTTTCTTTCCGCCAAAAGGCCAGGTCAAATTTAACCAACTTTCGCTTCAAGACCTTTTTTTTCCTGCCGTTATAAAAGTAGAAATTTGATCTAATTAGGTATACGGTCTTTCGGCGGAAAGAAAAACATGACAAGCTGGAGCAGAATAGGATATAGTGTACGAGCTGAGCTCAAACTTCGAAAAGTCGGGGGTTTTTGATCGAAAAAAAAAACAATGATCACTGTTTCGAAAATGATTTGAATTTATCTTGAAATTAGGTTCTCACAATCGAACATTGTTCAGGTATTCAAAACAGAAACTCATTAAAAAAACAAATGAGACAAATTTCACTTGCCTGAACTTTTTCCTGCAAGTCGCAAACGAATAAAGCGCTATTTTGAGGCGAAATGCGGGAAATCGCTCGACGAGCCGCCATTCTTCAACTTCTAATTTCCAAAGACAAAATATGAACCACGAGAAAAAAAAATCGATTGAGACCTTTTCGCTGAAGTAGAAAACAACGTTGAGAACTGTTATCTTTGACGCGATAAATAGAAAAAAAAAATCATATAATATTTATTTTTGAACATAAGCAGCCAATAAAAATAATCTCTTTCGTTTAATTTGTACAAGAGGTTCTGATATCGACATTATGCTGAAAGTTTTTTTCATCAAATTAAGCATTTTTGAAATGAGGTAAGCAGGAAAGATATAGCACAAATGCAGTATTGCCAGGAGATTTATTTTTTTTCTTTCACTGGACCGAAATATAATCTCTGAAAGGAAAGAAGTTCACAGTGAAGATGAAATAGTTGCCTAAATAAGTAGTCATTAAATACAACCGACCAAGGAAATAATTGAGCAAACAAATCAATGCAGGATTATTACGGCAAGACTCGTAGTTATTCTGTACTAAACACTTTTTTTGAATTCACAGCGTATGGCAAATGAAACAGAAACTGAAAGAAACGAATAGAAAAGCCTAAATAGAAGGGGGATTTATACAAGACACAACAAAATACTCACTTTGCACCAATTGATTATCCGTTTTCAAACACAAAGACAAAGAAAGAAGAAGATATATAAATCTAAGAAAGCAGTATACAATTCGCAACCCTATAAATACATACATTATTACAATAAATAGAAATCACAGGTAAACTAAGCTTTGAAACAACTCTTTCCACCACCTCGTAACTATTGAAAATGCTGTAAAAAGTGAGACGTTACAAAAAAAAGTATTCAAAAAAGGCAGAAGTCATACTCGCGAGACTTGATCCGAAGAAAATTGGGTACCTGAAAAGGACAAAATGTCGATAAAATTTTTAGAAGGTTCTGAAACGGGAAAAAAATTACACACGTTGAAAAAACTCAGATTGGAAAAACTGAAATGAAAAAAATTTATTAATTTTTTTCTCAAAAACTAAAGAACTTCTAGAACTCAAAAATTATTTAAAAGAAAAAAATAATTTAAAAAAATAAATAATATTAATTTGTCGTAGGTTACTTCGTTTTGGCCGCAGAACACGATGCACAAAAAACATTTCAAGTTACGCGCAAAGTTCACGTGAATTTTATTTTTCAAAAATAGCGTGAAGAAAAACTTTTTTTTAAAGTACGTAGACGATATTCAGATACAGAACTGAATTTTATACGTTTTTATAGAATTTGCCTCCTTCTATACTTAAAATTTTTCGACATTTAGCGTAAAGTTCAACATGAACCTCTATTTTTAACGCACATTTCCGGATTTTTATTATCTCTTACCTTCCCGAATAGGTTCCATCCGGTTGCTGTAGGTTCTTCCTCGGGGCGGAAGTCCTCTCAGCGACTGAGAAGAGGCGGAAAGGGTCGTTGAATAGGCCGGTACCGGACGGTGACCCAGTACAAAGCCGCTGAGACTCGAGGAGGACGGCTCCAAAGTTCCGGTCGAAGAGACAGAAGTCAGGGAGAGCGACCGGCTGTTCGGAGAATAGGTGGCGACGCCGCTCGGCGAGATGATTTGCGAGGCTGAGGAACGTGGAGAAGTTCTGAAAGGATCCTCGTCAAAAGAATTCAGCTCGAAGTTTTTACGAATTTTCAGAGACACGTCTGTCTTTTTCTAAACTCACAGTTTGGGAGCCTTGCTGGGAATGACGACGGAGATAGAAGCCGTCGGCGGTTTGACGGTGATGGCTCGGGTCATGGAAGAAGGCGTGGTCGGAGAAGGCGTGGCAGAGAAGACGTTGGGGTCGGCGTCGATGTAAAACGTCGAGGAACCCAGACGAGCTTCAGAGCACGACCTCCGCTGAGCACCTACTAAAAATGAATTATCCTGGGACAACCGGATAATTGATAGATTGCCTCAGCTGCGTCAAAAAAAATAAAAAAAGTTCTCCTAATGGAACTTGGGCCCTCCAAAAAAACATTCTTAATTCAAAAAGATAATTTTTTTAAAACATAACTTTGAGGTTGACTTTTCATTCCGAGTTAAAAAACCGTTATTCGAATAGGAAAGTTTGAATTTTGAAAAAAAAACTCGGACCTTGTAACGCGAACCGGACGTGTCGGAAAATATCTAGTGACCACTTTAGTAGCGTTAAAACTCTTAAGTGGTCCCTAGAATTGCTCAGAAACGTCTGGAGCGCGTCCGGCTTCCGTTACCGGGGTTAGAGCAGTCAATTTTATTTGCACTGTCCGAAGAATTATTCATGGAGCGCTTATGATTGACATTCTCTTTCTTAGTTCTGCTTACTGAGAACAAACACGTAAATTTTAAAATGAAATTTAAAAAAAATCCTATATGACAGGGTTTTTCAAACTTGGGTTAAGAATGAAATCACACAAAAATCAGATGATTTGAGAAAAAAAACCGACAAATTGGGTTTGGCATGCTCTCACCTAAAGAAGCGACATCCAAAGACGTTTTCTGATCAAGTTTTGGTGAGAAGAACAACTGCGACAAATGGAAAAATGGGACGGCGACGGACTGGGAGGTGGATGGAAGTCGAGGAAATCACGGGGGAAATTCGAGTGCGCCGTGCAACTTCAAATCAACACATCTGAAAAAACGAAAACACTGGATGACACGTCAAAAATCGACATCAGGGAAAGTTATGGACTGTTTGAAGGCCTTGCTGGAGGGTTCGTAGGAGCATGGACTAATTTTTAAGAATTTCGAGGCAAAGATCCGTTTTCCGACATTTATAGAGTCACAAGGCCTCCGCGCCTTCGAAAACCTCAGCAAGGCTTTTCGAACAGTCTTTATTCAAAAAAAAAACTGGGAAGAAGCAAAATCAACATTATTTTAGTAAATTTGAAAAGGAAACCACACTTCATGAGAACTCCGTCTCATGACGATCTCAAAGTTGTTTTTCTTCAGCTGGACAGAATTGAAAATTTGATCATCAAAATAAATTTCTAGTTTTGACTTGAACCACGAATCTATGAATAAGCTCTGTTGCCAAATTTGACTTGATTGACTTAAAAAAAAGTTGTGACTACCTTTACAAATATTTCTTGAGTCACCAAAATTATTGGGCGGAAAAATCAAAATTAATTCTCTATTTTTTTTTCAAACTGAAGTGCAAATATTTGAATAAATGAAGCACAGAATGGCGGGCTAAGGGGAAAAGGAAAACGGATTTTCAAAAACTGAGCTTTTTCGAATGAGCACACGAAAAATAACTACTTCTCTTCTATACATTTTTATAAAAACGGCTCGAAATTGGAACAAAAAGGTACTTTGAAGCATGTTCCATTTTAAAACACGTTTTTTTTTCATCATTTAGTTCTTATGAAAGCTCATTTTTCGTAAATCCAGGAAAGGACAACAAGGACACGACACGACGAACCGGAAGAGTAGAAGGTAGAAACGGAGCTGGTCTCTTCGTTGAGATCAAGAGGCTCAGCGCTGTGGATCGACGAATGGCGTTGGACGCCGATCGGGCCTGGCCCTCCGTGACGGGCCGTCACTCGGGGAACGTTCCGTTGAAGGCCTCGAGGTCCACTCAGAGCTGGAGACGTCGACGGCGACATTCCTGGAAGACACAACGGAGTACGAACGGACAACATCGACCGAAATGGGTCATGACTTCACGGATAGCTTGGGAGAAGTAAGCCGAAGAATAGAAGTTGGGAAAGTAGAAGTTCGAAGCGTCATATTGTATAAAAATTCGTTCAAAAAATTTATAACTTTACTATTCTCCATTGGTCTCGAATCATATCAGCTTAAATTCTCGTTTATCTCACTGGAAAAGTTGTAGAACTTTGAAATGGTCCCGAAAAAAACATGAGCGTTGTCTAGGACAAATAAAAAGCAAAGACTGGAATGTTTCGAACTTTGGGTGTTCCAAAAAAATTTTTCAACTCAATTCTTCTAAGCCAACTTGTGTTGAGAGTTCAAGCTTCTATGAAAAATGATGGATTTGATAATTCTATGAATCCCACTCAGACCTCCCTTTTTTAGCCGTTTGAATTTTGGACTTTGCTATCACTACCAAGTCTTCTAATTTTTTTCAAAAATTTAGAACTATAAAAACCTAAACAAGGCCTTTTAAATTTTCAATAATCTCACCTCCTCTCCATTCTATTCTCATATTCAAATCCCTGCTCTTAAAGAACTGCTTCCAACCTTTAACTTTGCTATTCTGCACCAGCGAGAGCATCTTCTGAACGGCTTGCGGCGATTCGACGCCGAACTTGGGGCCGCCACTGCCGCCGAGCATGAAACGGTGCCGCGAGTGTTGGTCGGCAGAGCCCGTCGACTGCGAGGAAAGCGACGACGGCGTCGGCGACGGAGCTCGTCGCGCGTTCGTCATCGTTCCTAGGGCGGCTGTAGATCCGCGAGTCGCTGAAAAAAAGTCATTTCGTGGCTTCTATTAACTTGAAAGCCCGTTTTTTCTTTTCACAAGAAAAAGGCCACAATAATCGCAGATTCAATCCAAAATTGCATGCTGAGGGATTTTGAACGATTTAGAAGCAAGAAAGATATTCTAGAGTTCAAGGCTGGTCAAAATTACGTGCTTGGGATTTACACTTTTGAAAAAAACCACCTTGAAATATCTTATTATAAGCTTTTTCATGAAAATTATGAGACAAAATCAGTTTTTAAGTTTTTCAAGCGCATTTTAGCTGATTCTGAGTACTTCCGCTTGAAAATATTTAGCACAAAAAGAACCAAACCTGTAAAGGACAAAAATTTACCTTCAGATTTATGAAAAATAAGAGATAAATGAAATCTGCGCATTTTGAACATTTCGAGAGCTAGAAGTCTCACTTTGAACTTGCGGCTCGAGATCTGAGCTCATGGCGTCGAGCTCCATCTCGTTGTCGACGACCTGCATTCCTTCGATGTACGCCTTCACCTTTCTCACCATCAGCGCTTGTTCATAAACCTGAACAGCGTAATTTGATATTGAAATCAGACTTTTATGATAACGACAGATGCTCTTTTCCAACCTCAAACGGAAAGGTAAGTATTAAGTGGCTACAACTATTTTGATTGTGAGCTTTTTGCATGAAATCATGATGCGAAACGTTAATTGCAGTTTCGCTCAATTTTTTTAAAGATCGAAATAATGCTTTTTTGCAATTTGAGTAGATTCACAACATGATTCGTGAAGTTTGAAAAGTAAAGAATATCAAAAATAGAGAGCTTCATGTTGACTTGAAACTCTGTGTATTTTTCCTATTCTATTTATGTTGTTTACGCCTAATTTTTGTCCTTTCTAATTCTCTCAGAGCCAAAATCTAATTATCATCACGCTATATTAACCTTTTTCCTGGGCTGATTGGCCCGATGAGCCATTCCCTTGCGCATGGTCGCCACACTGCCGCCGCCTTCAAAGGTGTTCATGTGCAGCAGAGCGTCGTTCACTGCGCCTCCACTCTTAAAAACCATTGTAATTAAAAAAAAAGTGTTGTAAGAAAATAAATTAATCCCTTAAAATCCGTAAAAATTGGTCATTGTGGGTCTTCTAGCCCTATTTTTCAAAAACTAGGAAGTTGTGCAGGTAGAAACTTTCAGAATATATTTCTGCTACAACGAGGAAATTTCCGGCCAAATTACAGGAAATTCCCATGATCTATCTTGTCAGAAGATTTCATATAAAAACCCTAGAATTTTTGTACTCACTAGTAATTCTCAAAATGACTATGATTGAACTTTTCTCATTTTTTTTCCTTCGAAAGAAAAAAAAATCGAACCCTCTCGGCCATGCTGGCAATTTCGTAGGGAGCGCTGCTCAACTTGGTGACAGTCCTGACGGATTTGGCGATGAGTCGCAGCTTCTCGAAATTGACCAATTTGTCGGTGTACGTGGGATTTCCCTCGTGCGAGAAGGTCAGATCTTTCTTGATGACCGGGTAAATTGGCACCACCTGTAGATAATTTCGTGGTAAAACATGAAACGGAAGCTCAAATTTATCAATAATACTTGAAAATATAAATAAATAATGAGACAATTTCGCCCTTTTTCACCCACTTTTTCCTTTTTAAAAAAATCAAGTAAACTTGAAAATAAATAGCCAAAGTACATATGAAGAATATTTTTTTAATAATGTTGAAAGCCTTTTTTTGAGTTGAAAACTAGAATTTTTCGAGAAAATCTTTGAAATTGATTTATTTTTTTATGAAATCACTTTTTTTGAACACGCTTTCTAACCAAAAAGTATATTTTTTTCTGTTTTTTTGAATTTTTTTATTTTTATCTTCCGAATTTTTCTCCTCAAAGCCATGACTTCCACTTGAAACGTTTACAAGAAATTTTTCAACTCTTTATTTTTTTGTTTCAAATAAAACAAACCGGAGGCTCCTGTTCGACTTCGGCCAGATGTTGTCTGTATTTGGACATATTTCGGGTCGGATCCATCAGTTGGTGAATTTCGTCGAGCATTCGATGATATTTGCTGGAAAAATCGATTCAATGTGTATAAATCAAGGGAATTACCCTAACTTAGAAAAATTCCTGTCTATTTCAAATTTTCGTGTTATTTTCTTTTTAAAAAAAGTATAAAATAAGTGAAATTCCTTAATCTTCGAGATAAAAAATATCAGGGTAACGGAAAAATTGAAATCGATGTTATGAATTCTCGCAAACGTCCCTGAGGCCTATGAAAAATTTATTTTTCTAAAATTGAAAACCGTTTCTTACACCGAAAAAATAAGTTTTAACATTTTCTCCCGATTTTTTTTGAAGTTCATTGAGCCCTCATATCACCGAATATATTCTTAATATCACCATCATTCTCCCGTTTCCACAAACCTGGAAATCCTCTCCCAACTACCGTGAAGACGTCGCACCGCCGGTTTATCGAGGCCGCTGACAATGGCGAACATCGAATTGAAGTTTCGAAGGTCGCGACAATGTCTGAAAAAGCTTTTTTGGTTTCTCTTGAATTATTTCTTGACTGTACCTAGCGATTTTGATAAACTTCTTGATGATTTTGGCCCGTCGTTGAACATGTCTTTCTGAGCAAACTTCCGTCGCCACCCACCACATTTCCCGGTTGAACAGCCGTTCAAATTCTTCCAAACGCGGAGAACCGTATCTGAAATCAATCCGGTTGATAAAAACGTGAAAAAAATTTTATAACTCATATAGCCGATTCAAGGCAAACTTGGGGCGCTGAGAAGGCGTGTCTGCGCTCTTCCCCAATCAGGCGTTATCTCTTTTATTATCGTGTCAGGACCCTTTTTCTGATGGCTCAAGCCAGCCGTGAAATAGCTATAGTTCGAAATTAGGGTAGGCCACACCGCGGGGTGGGATCCAGCCGACGTATGAAAACTTCTCAAAATTTTCAAATAAAAATCTCAAAAATATTCAACTTTCTAAGCTACAGTTCATAGATTCAGATGAAAACCAAGCAATCTCGAAATCTCAGAAAACATACTTAGAATCGAGATGAAACAGGTTATCGATGTACTCCGTCGGTTCGATCGCAGAGAAAACGGCAAAGTCCTGGAGGGTCAGTTGGGCGGCGACCACCTGCAAAACTTGAGTCTTTCAAATATTCTTTCCATCTCAATCTTTCCCGTTTCGCATTTGACTCTTAAGATTTTCCATCAAAGGACTCTTGATAAGTTTGGGACTTAGTGAAGAAAGTAATTTGCAAAATTATTTCTTTATCTCCAAAATTCAATAATCTCTTTCTTTTTCTGATGGGTGTTTCGAATTTCGCGGAACCACTTTGAAGACGCCATGAAATTACTGTGTGAAAAGAGAGATTTTTTTGGTTAGATTTCCCCAAAAATCGAAAAAAAGTTTTCAATCAAAAACTTCGATCAAACTATAAATGCGGAACCAAAAAAATGGCAAAAATATAAAGTTTGGAAAAAAAAAGTTACCTGGGCGTTGAGGAGAAGAAGTTGAGTCTGAGCGTCTTTCAGAAGTTCAGGGGCAAGTTCATCCGGAACCAAGGGATCTGACCGGTTGTTGTTCTTCAGGTAGTACCTGGAAGAATACGAATATGCGAGGAATCATTTCGAAAAAACCGCTAGGGAAATTTCCGCGAGAGACGTTTCTCACATTTTTTTTTGCTACAATTTAATAGTTTTCACGCCCTTATACCCTAGAAAGTAGGATCAAAATTGAAAAAAACTAAAACAAAAAAAAGTATAGTAATTTTTAAGATTCAAGGAAAAAGAAGGCAATTTCCATAGCGATATGAAAAAATCGGAAAAAAAAAAAATGAAAAGTCGGATGATATTCAATTCACTCGAACCGATTTTCATATTGAACATAGCTTTAAGTCATTAAAAAATTTACGTAACTGGCAGAATTATAAATTAAACAATTTTGCGTGAAGTTTTTCTTCATTTCAGTCTATTTTTTCTCAGTTTCAAATAAATTCAAGATGAACCTGCTATTCAAAGCGATACGCTCGGCCAGGTTCTCGAGTTGAGGCGGAAGTCGTTTTTGCTTGATGACGCCGTCCGGAGTGACGGTACACTCACAGAGCGACCACTCCAAACTTCCTTCGGCGGTCATGTTGAACTCCTGAAAATGGGTATTTTAAATCTTGTTCTGATTATGTCGATTAAAAACAGTTTTTTTCTCACCAGGATGATCATTTTCTGAAAATTAGGCCGATACTTTTCCGAACCGGGATTTTCCGAATCGAAATCCGAACCGATACTTTTCCGAACCGTACTTTTCCGAATCGGGTGTATACTTTTCCGAACCCAAATTTATTATGCTTTTCCGAATCGTAATTCAATTAATTCTTTAGGTGGTACCGTCATTTTCAATCCGATTCCTTATTATTTTTTTCCCAGAGTGCAGCCTTCCGTCTGACCATTTTCGAAACTCGAATAAGATTCATTTTTCCTCGAGTGCTCTTTCAGAAACTTTTTTTCTTGGTTCTTTCGATTTCAGAACGGACTGTGGCATCGCCAATGCCAACGGTCCGCTCTGAAGTTGACTGGCCCGTTTTCGTCTTAAAAATTTGAACTTGGAAAACAGTTTTAAGATTCGAAATTTCGGTGTGCAGGAAGGACTTTAAATCCGCAAGTGCTCTTCAGAGCTGACCGTTGGCATTGGCGATGCCACAGTCCGTTCTGAAATCGAAAGAACCAAAAAAAAAAGTTTCTGAAAGAGCACTCGAGGAAAAATGAATCCTCTCGAGGAAAAATGAATCCTATTCGAGTTTCGAAAATGGTCAGACGGAAGGCTGCACTCTGGGAAAAAAATAATAAGGAATCGGATTGAAAAGGACGGTACCACCTAAAGATTTAATTGAATTACGATTCGGAAAAGCATAATAAATTTGGGTTCGGAAAAGTATACACCCGATTCGGAAAAGTACGGTTCGGTAAAGTATCGGTTCGGATTTCGATTCGGAACATCCCGGTTCGGAAAAGTATCGGCCGAAAATTACGCTTAAGACTCATCCTGTAACAGAAAAAATCCGGTAATTCCCAAACTTCACAGCTTTTGAGTGAAGAAATCTAGTATCCAAAGAAACTCACAGAACCCAACAAAATGAGCTATATTGGGGATCTGAGCTCTTTTTGCTCTCAAATTAGGAAGTTTTTTATTTTAAAATGGGCCTTGATACATACTCTCACAAGAAACTTTTCAAAAGGCCATATTTGAAATTTCGCTAGAAAATAGTATCAGATTAACTGAGTTAAGATGAATTTTAAAGAATCCTTATCAAAATTTGACAAAAATTTTCACTTTTTGTCTACAAATATTAACGTCCAGCGTTTGTACAGTATCATTGGCAGAAAAGAGAGGTTTTTAACGCATTTTAGTTGAAAGCAGGGCACATTGAAATTCAGCATGTGTTCAACAAAATCTCAAAGGCAGAGTATTCAAAAAAGCAAAGAAACAGCAAAATAACAGAAAAAAAGTTGAATCTCAAACCTGCAAAGCCAATTGAACCACATTCTGCGCCGAAGTTTCTTTGTAGACGGGCAAGTATTTGAACGTTTGGTCGCTTCTAAAAAAGATAAATATCGAAATATTCTCATGAAAAGTGGAAACCTATAAATCTTGAGGACATGTTCGGGACATTCGCTACGCACTGGACCGTAATACTGGGAAATGGACGTGATATCCGGATTTGATCGGCTCGGACGCAGTTCCGAAGTTATTTGTCTTCCCTGAAAGAATCCAAATCTCGATAATTTCTTTTAAATTTTTAAAAAATACTTTTCAGAAATTTCGATCTTTCAAAACTTCGCATTTTTCAAACTTTTTTCAAGACTCTGTGGTAAAACCACCTCATTTAGACTCTAAAATTGAAGCATCATCAAAAAACGAAAAAGATTACCTCATCAGCGAAATCCTCGTCCTTGTTGGACTTGAGGATGGTCATGAGCTTGTCCATCATGCTCGACTTGGCTCCTCCAGTTCCCTTGGAATTTTTCGAGGTCAACAGACTTTTGTGGACCGGAATCACGACGGGAACGCTGTTTCTGGTGGCCACATGGCCCTTGGATTTGCCTTCGCGATGTTCGGTTCGACCCAGAAGCTCCTTTGAAGCCGAGAATGTTGCTTTTGAGCAACAAAGTCAGCGACAGGCTTCCCTGAAAGATGGATAGAAATAAAATAGCTATTGAGATCGTGTGGAATGTTCAAAAAACGAATGAAAATGAAGATACCGTGAGGATTTCCTGAGCCCTGGTGACGGTCAAGTACTTGACCGACTGCTGGTTTATTTCGAGCATCTCGTCAGCTCTTTTGACTCCAGCTCGTTTCGCATTTGTGTCAGGAAACACCTTAACAACTATAATAATATTGGCAAACAACAAAAAAGAAAATAAAGATTAGTGCAGTTTGTAAAAGAGATTGCTTAGTTCTATTGAAACCAACAAGTCTCAGATGAATCTCACAAGGAAACACTGAAAAAAAAAACCAAAAAATATAAGTATTCCGAAAAAACAAAAACAAGGAAAGCCTAAAAAGATGACCACTAATTTTACGTTCACGTTATTTTTTTTTTCGTACACGAAAATAATTTTCATGCTTTTTTTTGAATCCAAACTTTCAGAATGTCGACTTTTTTTAACAATTAGTATACCTTTCGACGTTATCAAAATTTCAAAGAGAACGGAATTTTATCTTGAAATTCATTTCTTACTGCCCATATGATTATAAAAAAAGGTAAAAAGTCGTATCCCGATGGTATATTTTTCACGGTCACCTTCAACTTGGAAAAAAATATAAATAAAATAAAGAGAAGGGGGAAGAATACAATTTTTGAGCTGATATGCATCAATTCAGACCACAGCCTGAGGCAAAATTTAAAATTTCAAACAAAATCCTTCCAAAATTTTTGATTCGACAAAATATAGATTCAAAGAAAAGCCCACCTCAGCGACAAATAACGAGCTTCCGCATTCTTTTCCGCCAATCAACAGAAACTGCATTGGGTCATCCTTAGCGCGTGTCATCTGGAAAAAAAATTTCATCAGATCTTTTCAGATGAAAATAAGCTGAAACAGAAAAAGTTGAAGCAAAAACAAACCTGAATGGTTCTCGGCTTTGCTTTCACAGAACAGGCAATGTTGAGCAAACTCAACTGACTGTGCATTCCGTCCCGTTCCAAAGCCCCTTCGAATCTGGAATTCACAATTTTTTCCAGTGAAAATCTGATGAAATCAAAGTGAAGACCCAAACAAATCTTCAACCAAATTTTAAAAAAAAAAGGGATATGAATAAAAAAGGCTTGAATTTGAATTTTACATTGCCAAAAAAAATCTATTCAATTTCAAGTATCCTTATTTGATGTCTAAAAAACTTCTTTCACTGAAAAGTTTGAGACATAAAGGAAATTAAAAAAAAAAGCCATGGGTTTACCAATCAATGTGAAAATTATTCAAAAAATCCCTTAATCCTTCAAAAACTGCGAAAAGAAACCTTTCGAGAAGCCTCGACATTTCTTCATTCGTCTCAAAGTCGTTGTAGTGGTTGTTCACCCACAAGAGGACTAATCGAGCCACCTGAAACCATCAAAGTTGGAAAAGCTTCAGGTTGACAAGGATACCTTATCGCGATAGACCGAGTCGGCGAACCACAACATTAATTTCTCGAAAATAATGGTTGGGTCACGGATGAAAACGCGGTAAGTGAGGAGGAAGTCCTCCACGTAATGCGGATCGACGTTCTGATCTCGGTCGTCGACGAGATGTTGTATCAGTTTGTCAGGCTGAAACAGGGGGGAATCAGAGGTGAAATGAAGGTTTTCCGAGAGAAAAGCGTATTGATCTCCCGAAAAAAACCTTGGCAAGAGACAAAAAAAGATTCTGATAAAGGAAATGAAAAACACCAAACATTGAAAAAAATTCATTCAAAAAGTTTGAGATTGAAAAAGCTCAAATCTTTGGAAAAATTTTTTCAAATCTAAACACGAAAAAAATGGAACATTTAATTCGAAAGTTTGGTTTTGTACCTCAATATTTTTCCAAAAATTTAGAAAATTAATATTTTTCAAATTAAAAAAAGCTGACGGTATTTTTTTATTATTTAGTCTTCATTAATTAGAAACTCGGTAGAAAGTTTAAATTCAAATTTTTCTAAAAAAAATTAATTTAGCGATGGAGCGCATTTTCTTTGAATCCCCTAATTTGTAGGTCTTTAGAATCTAATTTTTCATTTCTTAAAGTCTTATAATCAGTGAAAATTAAGATTTGAGACACTTAATATGCGCATAAAAACAGTAAAAGATGATTATCAGAAACCTTTTTTGTCCACCGAACTTGATATCACAATTTTCAATCAAACCTTTCCCTTGATGAGCACGAGGCCAACTTGACTTCCAATGGTCCTTCTCTCCGTTTCGGAAACAACTTCTCCAGTGAGCCCATCGCGATCTTTCTCAATATGGTCGCCAATCGTCGACATTATCGAGCAGAAGTCCTATGAAGCATTTTTCGTTGACTTTCATTATTTCCCTTTACAAGTACCCTGTGCTCGACGAGGACAAACTCGCAGTCGTCGACCATCGTCCGCATTTCTCCGACGTGAAATTGTGAAGTCGGCGTTGGCTCGGCGCCAAAAGCGTCGCCGAGTTTGAATTCGACGCGTTCGCCATTCGGCTTGATCACTTCCACCACGCCGTTCACGATCACAGACCTTAAAAAAACACGGATAAGCTCAATTTCTGACAAAAAGTGTTGTATCTAAACAAATAGCCAGTAAAATTTTGAGCTTTAGCTTACTGGATTCTCTTTTTGATATCTTTAACTTCAAATCTTCTTCAAACAACTCATTTTTGTTTTTTCGAGGGCAAAATTATTGATAAGCTATCCTGCTCAATTTCTATAGCCCATTCGCCACGACTTCTTTCCAGTTTTTTTTTGACCACTTCAATTTTGGAATTCGAATTTCTTTTTTCTTTTTTTTCAAGGTCCAAGGATCTGTTTACCTATTCTATTTGATTGTTATAGCCCATACGACACAATTTTGAAAAGTCTGACCTGTCTGCGGGCTTATTTCTCTACGAGGTCAAAGAAACCTAAAAATAGCGAAAAAAAAAATCAAAAAAAATTACGTATCATGATTATTGCGTTATAGATGAAAGTATCCAAAAATTGAGAATAAATGAGAATAAAAAAAATGAGAATAACTATTTACGGCTAGAAAAAATTTATACAGTTTCTCATTCACTAGACTTGAAAGAGTCTGATTTCTCGTACACGCTCTTTTTTTCCCGTGTTATTTTCATATTTTATTGTTTGAAAACAAAGATGACGTCGATATGAAGTTATAAAAACAGCTTCTGAGAGAACTATTCCAAGTTTGACTCGAAAAATGGACTTTCCCAACAGCAAAAATTCACACAAGATGCCCTAGATTCTAACAAAAATAAAATTATAAACGGACCAGGAGTCGAGCTTCTCGTTGTGACCCAAAACAACGGTCCCGGCGTCGTTGACCACGGCAAAGACCATTTTGAGACAAAGTTGCCGTTTGATGGACATGGGAAGAGAGGCGAAAGCCGACATGTGCTGCATGAAATCCTGAACAAAAATATCGCTATATGATATGAAGAGGGGAAATATTACCAATAAAACGGCCAAATCTTCTGAATTCCTTTCCGACGGCTCCTTCTCCAAGCATTCTCGTACTGAATCCCGAAGATCCAGAAACGCTCCGTTGCTGCTTTCCTTCAATTAAAGCTATCTTTCATCGGAAGATTACTTCGTGTTACTCATCATTCTAACAAATTAGTAGTTTTTATCTATGTTAAATTACTCATTTGAAACATAGATTGACCTTTTCTAACATAAACATTTCTCTGGCGTTAAAATTTAAGGTAGAAAACCGTTATGAATGATTTGAGATATTGACAAAAAAATAATTTCAAAGCAAATCGCCAAAAAAACTTCGAAAGTAACTTGAAAGTTAGGAGCCACCCATAAAAAAATATAACTTTAAATTTAATACCCTTCCTTCCAAAAAAACGCGATAAACCTTTAATACCAAAGCTTAATATTTAGTTAACTGAGCTCATATTCAGAATAACCACAAAAGACCCTGAAAGGTTTACATATGATAGCTGGCTCCGCCCCTTTCTAGGGTTACGGTAGCGAAAATACCGGAAAAATCAAACTTTTTTTCCTCGTTGTCCCTTTTGAAAGAAAACTTTTTTAGACCAAAGTTGATGACAAAATAAACATTTTTTGGGTAAAATCTTTGTTTAGAATGATTGCTTTTCATTAGAAACCGGAAAATTTTCTTCGACAAGAAAAAAAGGAAACGTTTAAACATTCTAAAAAGGATGTTTAGAAATCTCTAAGAAGTCACTTGAGAATCTGAGCTATTTGCCCATCTGAAAAGGAAAAAAGGTAAAAGAAACCTGAGAAGGAACGCTGCCGTCTTCGTCCTCCGAGTCGACGCCTTCATTGCTCGCCGTTTCGCCTTCTGTCGTCGTAGAAGACGCCGTACTGCAACAAAGGAGTTCAGAACATTCCTGGGAGAGGAACTCCACCTGCGGCCTCTCAACCTTCGGATAGTTCCGCTGGAAACGGCGGCTCCAGCGATAGAGTTGCTCTTCTCGCGACGATGTTTGACACGAACCAGCGTGTCGTCGTCGGCGGAGAGACCATTGAGGTAGACCTGACTCCGGTGATTGTCGTTGGAGTAAGTCGAAGACGTCGTCGGCACGTCTACCGGGAAGTCCATCGGATAGGTTCTGCAAGAGGGCCAATGATGAGATTCGTGTGTTCTTTATAACAATGAAAAATTCTGCTAAAAAGAAGATTTAAAGTTCCGAGCGACCCAATGATCACGAAATTCTTTTTTCAAAAAGCAAAAATGTGAGTGAATGTTGAAAATTCATTTTAAAAAAAGTCCTCTTTGACCACGAGGCATTTTGGACCATAGCCAATGCAAAGTTTTGATCCATAAACTCGAGATTCTCACATAAAAATTTTAATCGTCGTTGAAAAATGTTTTTATTCATTTTCTATAGGATCTTTTTCCGAAATTGCAATGAAAAGCTTATACACTAAAAATAACTGCCGAGATAAACGCGAGACACTGGCGGTACATTGACGAGCTCGCAAACATCTCGCTTTTTTTCTCGCGCCGGTCTCGCATTTTTCTGGGCGCGAGCTCGCATTTTTCTAGGCGCGAGCTCGCATTTCTCTCGCAATTTGAAAATTTCCGAAATGCAAGATAAATGCGAGATGGCGCCGAGAAAAATGCGAGGTCGCGCCGAGAGAAATGCGGGATCGCGCCTAGAAAAAAGCGACATTTTTGCGAGTTAGTCAATGTACCGCCACCGAGCTCGCGTTTATCTCGTCAGTTATTCTTAGTGTAACTAGAAAAAAAAGACCTCGAGAACATGATCCAAAAATTTTTTTTTATAGAACACCTTCAAATAAATACCTCAATAAAATCAGGAAAGAGACTGGAGGACGCAGAAATGGAGTCTATTAAGAAACTATTTTATAAAAAGGCCTCAAAAACGTTTGAAAAGTTGAAGTTCATAGGCAAAGTCTCACGCCCTTAAAGATTTTTCAAAAAAAAAATCCATGAGTCATCAGCAAATTAAAAAAAAAATTTGAGGAGAATATATATCAAAAAGAACGACAAAGGCCTATCCGAAAGTTCGCAAAAGTCTCAATTGATAAGATCTGGCGCTTCTCGGTTCCCACAACATACCTGGGGAGGCCCCTGGGAGGCAAGGGCGCGGGGCCTTTGGCGGCAGTCGGCGGGAGTCGCGGGGGCCTCGGCGGCACGGGCGGCGGCGGCATCAGAAGCGAGTCGACGTCCATATTCGGCGCCTGGAAACGTTGGGGAATCTCGACGAGCCACTCAACGCGTTCCAATGTCTTGTGTTTGAAGACGAAGAAAGAAGCAATTAAAGCGGGGTCGAAGCTCTGGCGGCCGCCATTTCCGAAAATACATCACGCAATCGAACACTTGTCCAACACTATCTTGCGCGAGGAAAAAAAACTGGTAAGAAATTTTTTGTTCATAAAATTTGCTTTTTTTGTTTTGTAGAAGTCCTTTCTCTAAAACTAGGAATTCAAAACATTCAGCTTCTTTCAAACTTTTTTCCTTTCAAAATCTCAAAATGAATATAATAGAACTTTTTAGAAAGTCAACGACTCAGTGCAATCAGTTACCCCATGTCTTTTTATTTCATGAATTGAGATAGAAATGGCGAAAACTTTGAGCTTTTATGTTTGTGTGACTTTTGACCTTCGCTACATTTCCCCAATATTCTCTTCATTCTCACCGATTTTCGTATATGCCGAACGATGCCGGGTCCTTCGTGGGACGTCCCAGAAGAGGAAGAAGACGTGGCAGAGACGACGGCGTGGACCGAGCCGTTGGTCAGATGTCCGTTTGTGACGACGGTCCTCTGGCCGATTTTTCGGAGAAGCGCCGCCGTTCGTCAGCGACACGTCGGGGTAGTCAATCTTTAAAATTCTCTATTTTTGTCTATAAAATTCAACTAGCTTTTTTTAAAGTTTGACCACGCAGTTTTTTGAAGTCCATGAGAAATCGAGAAGTTTTATTTTTCAACCGTCAACTCTTTTACAAAAATGAAGCAAAATTTGCGTAGTTGTCAGAAGTTTTATTTTTACAAAACGCCTGAAACAACTATTGAGAAATGAATCATACTTTTTCAAAAAAGAAAAAAACGATTCAACTCAAGAATCACGATAAGAACTTTGAATAATACGCAATTTCAGTCACCTGAAGATAATTTTAATTTTTTCAACGTGAAAAAAACTTTTTGTACTACTTCAACTCGGAACTGAGAAAATGATTGAAAACATAAAACTTTCACAAAAAATACCGAAATTGAAAGTTTTCGAAAATATTGAGGTGAAGAAAAATTGGAAAATTCAGTTCATTTCAAAATGGAGCTGCCAATAGAAAATCGTTTTTAAAAAAAACTGTATTTAGGCCAGACAAAAATTTTCAAATTTGAGAGCCGAAAAATCCTAAAATCAATTGACACCTGGTAACAGTCGAGTGGTATGAAACGTATGGGAAAAGTGACAAAAGGGATGCCAGAGATGGGATCTACGACTGGCAGTGTTCGCACCGCGGGTACAACGCGATTTGCCTCTCCACTGCGTCGGCCAAATCTAATCAACGGGCTTTGCAAAAGAAGTCAAGCAGGAGGGAATCTGTTGCGAAGACAAGCCGATTAACCCACTAAACCAGGTAATCTCATCCAATGAACAAAGCTTGTAGGTCTGTTTTCGGCTCAGGAAAAAAAAAGCTTTCTCGAAGAAACATTCATCAATAATCGGTCTGCATCAAATCTCAAATCATAGATGTTTCTCTAAAGGGATTTTTGAAGTTAATCTAAAAATGAACAAAAACAATCTCACTAAATTCCAGGCACAGTGTCATACGTAGGCAGTTACAGAACTCATGTTGTCTAGAAAACGAGCTTGACTTACAAAAAACAAAAAGTTTTAGACCTAGGTATAAAACTATCTTTAAGCTTAGAAAAGGGGTGTTGAAATAAAAAAAATTGTCTACCCCTGTTTAAAAAAATAATTACTTGAAGAGCCCATCGGAAAGTATTTTATTTTTTTTCCGAAATTAACAAAGTATTCAGAACTTTTCGTCAATTTTAGCTCAAGTTAGGGGTATTTGAAATTTTTTTATATCTCTAGTTTGGACCAGATCTTCCAAGTTAAAAACAAAAAGGCTTAAATTACAGAGCTTCCTCAAAACATTTAGAATAAAAAAAAACTAAATCTGAATTTGTATCACATATCACTAACAAGATAATCAAATCAGCGAAAAACCAGCAACGGAAAGCTTAGACGATGGGGCAACTAATCGAATCTAAACATCGTGTTTAAGGTCAAAAACTGAAAAAAAGTCCGGGGCGGAAAAAAGGTGAAATTCAACACCAAAATCGTGTTGACTAAAGAAATAAAGACAAGAAAAAGGGGTCCTCACGCCTGAGAACAATGAGATTGAGTCCTTTTCTCATCGAATAAGTAGAAGAGAAGGAAATTAGGTCATTTTATGACTAGGAAAAAAATAATTAGAAATAGTAATTGGTTAGGGCATGGAATAAGAAAAACTAAAATAACCCTTTCAGGATAAATAAATAAATGAAATAAAAAAACAAAAAAATTTTTTTCTACTTTTTCCTCTTCTTTTTACGTTAGAAAATCCAACTCAAAAAAAACAGTAGTTCAATATAATTTTCTGCTTTAACTTTCATATGGAAAAACCTCATAAAAAAATAATTCAAAATTGTCATGAAATTGATTTTCAGAAAAACTTTAATTTCTTATATTTTTAGATCGAAAAACCAACCCCAAAATAAGAAACGCAAATTTTCAAAACTGATCTTCGAGATGAACGTTCAAACTTGGTGAAAAACAAAACTTTTCATTAAAACAACTTTAATTGGTCGCTAAAAGAGCCGTAAAAAGGAAAGGAGTGAAATAAAGTAAATAAGATTCTGAAAAAAATTTGTTCCCAACCTATTTTTTTTTAGTAAACCGCACGAATTTTCGAAATTGATCTACGAGAGTTGAACATTTACAGCTGAACAAAAAAACCCTAATTGGTCGTTAAATGAGCTGTAAAAAGGGGAAAGGAGTAAAAAAAGAAGATTGGAAAAACATCGTGTGGAGGATAGTTTACAACAAGGCGAACTGGTCAAAAGTACGAGATGGTGGGCGCGACGCGAATTAAATGGCTCATAAACAATTGTGTTTGGCAGCTTGGCTATAGAGAGTCCGTATATTAGGCGCTCATAAAGAGGTTATTGGGCTTTCGGCAAATAAAATTCCTCGCTTTCGAAAAATTGAGAAAAAAAAAGAAGAAGAAGAGGAAGAAATGAACCTACGATGGGTTTTTTTCTTCTTATAACAGATGGCGGTCATTGCTTTGGAAACGAGAATTTCGGAATTCATTTGAATCTGTACTGCGTTTTTGAGAGAAAGAGTTCGATAATTGGATAACTATTAGTTTGATAAATTTATAGCTAAGAAAAATTGAAAAATTCCCCACGTCTTGAAAACGACAGAACTTTTTCAGATGCATTCAGCACTTCAAATAAATTTTGAGAGTCAAAGATTTGAATTAGAAACGGAAAACTTCTTGGAACTGTAGATTTCAAAAAATTGAAGCAGAAAATCTCATCAATAAAATGCTTTTTCAACTTGTAAAAAAATTAGAAATGAAAGTAAAACAAACCACAATCATTTCCGATTCTTGCAACAGCATACAGTCGTGCGTCCTTCGGTAGTTCAGACCGTTACGTTTGCCAAAACTGCAAAAATATTTGATATGTTTTTTTCATATTGGTGGATTTTTTTAAAAAAATTCGAAAAAAACTTCTGAAAAAAAGATAAAAACTCAACGTGAGAAAAAAATTTTTTTCAACGAGGCAATGATCTGATCAAAATCTCCTACTAACAAAAAAATCTTTTTATAATTTTCTATTCATAAAGGTTCAATTTTATTTCAAGAAAACCCGCAAATCACCCCAACTTCTTGCCCAAAAATAGGCTCAAAACCAACTTTATCCGATTATCGAAGAGATCATCATAAAAAGGGGTCCCAAAAGCAATTTTCTCCTCTTTGGAACCAATAAAAATCAGTTTGAGATAAAAATCTCCGTTCAAAACAAGACAAAACGATCGTTTCAGTAGTAAGATTCGAGAGGGGTCGTCAAAGATTCAAATCGGCCAAATTCGACACTCAAAAATATTAATCGCATTCGCCATGGGGCGCATTCCATATCGATTCCACGAAAAGAGAAAAGCTGGAAGAAATGGAAAACGTGACAGGAAATGAACGTATCTGCTGGGAAAACGTTCAGAAAGTCAAAATGGTCAACAACAGGAAGGAAAAAGGATAACTGGGTCAGTGGCGGTGATTATAAACACGATGAAATTCGTCTGACCGCAGATAAGGGCGAATATTTGGGAATTCCCACGGAAAAACGACGATTTGCCCAAGGGTCAAACCGGTCCTTCGCCAGTTTTATTTCTTTTCCAAGCTTTCGCTGATTAGCGCGGGATTAAGCAAATCATTAGCTTCATATAAAAAAATACTTCTCGAGATAAAATAATAATCTCAATTCTTAAAGATTAATACAAAGTTGAGTCTCAAAACTTATTTTAACAAAGAAATAATTTTTGAGAAATCGAAAAAAATCAGACTCAAATCTTCAGAAAATTAAGAATTGTCATTATATAGTTGGATCCAATTTTTTTACAAGTAGAAAAAAACATATTTGCATTAGATATCTGATAAAATATTTTTTTGAAATTCAGTTAATTGATTGTCAAAAAAATTTCTAAACTCCAACTCAAACGAAAATGGGTAAAAAAATTTCAACTCAAGAGTGAAAAATTGGTAGGAAGGATAATATATGGCTTTATGCACCAAATTCAATCTCGTTTCCACTGAGAAAACCTCTTTCTGATTAAATTTATAGCTTTTAGTTTAATGAGGTCAACGAGGAAAACCTTTGTGAGCGAAAAATTCTGGTTAAAAAAATTCTTCTTCGAAATCAAATAAAATATTCGAAATGCTCAATGAACTGAAGCTAACAAAATTTCACGGATAGCGCAAGGCAAACTTGAAAAAAAGGAAAGCGAAAAAGTCATTATTGAGGAACGTTTTTTTATCAAACATATAAAGAAAAGTGAGAGGCTTGTGAAAAAATGCTGTTGAAAAGGTTTTTTTGTGAAAGAAGGAAATTAGTCCTTTCAAAAATGACTTTTGATTATTCTCAATGAATTCGATAGCGGAATATCAAAATTAATTTTCTCTCAATCCCACTTTCCAAAAGGTTTGGAGTAAGTAGATGTCTCTACAACTAAGAAGAAAAACTGACATCAATGATTAACATTTGGAGGTCCCAAGAAACATGTTTCTTAATTAATTAGGCAGGAAACATGTTAGGACCCGGCAGTAAATTCTCTAAATTCTAACTGAAACCAGGAAACTAACGCCCCAACCTCTTACAAATCATTGGGGAAAAAAAGTAAAGGGACCGGAAAAATGCTCAAGAAATGAGAGAATGATGAGTCACGAGTTTTCTTCGGGGAATTCATTTCGAAAGAAAACAGATCGGAGAAAAATTATGAGGGTGGGAAAGAAATTAACGAATTCCGAACTTTTTTTCTGAATTGAAAGGAAAATGAAACAAACCATCCATAAGGCAGGTAGATGTGGTTCTCGATAAAAACCGATCCAGACAGCAGAATGTACCAACACGAGGCCACTTGTCCGTCACTGGAAATAAATAAACATTCGCCTGGCCACCAAAAAAACATCTGTTTTTGAACTTCTGTCCCTTTTGTGTAATTTTTTGGTTCGGATTTTCCTCTTGAGGAAAAATAAACAAAGTGTTTATTGAATGCTGCTCAAGTCATTGGGAATGATTTAGAAGTGCAAATTTAATTGAATTGGGAGGAAAATCTTGACTAAAGGAAATTATATCTTCAAACCTTTTAACTACACCCTTTTAGGCAATAAATCACTCTAATGATCTTTTTTCCCCGTTTTAAAACTTTTTACTCCTAATTCGAGTTCAGACAAAATTCACGTAGAACCATTTTTAAATTTACGTTTTGCTGATAATTAATATTATTTTCTTTTGAATTCTTATGTTTCCATTCAAAAAGTTATTAAAAGAGATAGTAGTGATGAATTAATGTGCGCGAGAAGCAGTGAAAAAAGAAGAGAAGCGCTAAATTTCAATTTAATAATTCACTTTTTTGCCAATTCGAAGACTCCAAATCGTGCTCCAAATTTCTTTTTTTCATCAATAATTTGGAAGGAATTGGAGCAAAAGTAAATTACTTTCTTACCATTAGAGAAAAACTAAAATCAACAAATTCTAAAATTTACTGGGAAGAAAAAAAGCAAAAAAATAAGTCACTCAGAAAAATAGTTAATTCGAGACGAGAATTATGGAATCTTGTTTATATTTTCGGCATGAAGATACTATGGTGAGGACAAAAATAAGCAAAACGATCTACGAAAAGACATTGAAAAAAGGCTTGAAAACCAACCGGAAGAGAATATGATGCGCTGGATGGCGTTCATATCTGGCCGTGGCACAAATCGCCTTCAGAGGAGCATTGTACAAGTTGCTGAACATCTCCAGCTGCCGCAGTTGCTCGTAGATGTTCCGGATGTCCTCAAATACACTTTTTGACAAATTTCCAGAAGAATTCTCGAAAAACCTCAGTGGTCCGCATTTGCGGCGGCTTGATGAGACTTTCGTAGAACCTGGCATCGTTGACGGGGTCCTGGCGACCTTTTCGGTCCATTTCACAGGCTCTCCGCCCAAGGCCCCAGTTATACTTCTTCCGTTTGTCGGCCACGTGCTCTACCAAACTATTCCTGGAATATTATGTATTTCGAAACTGCGTCAGATAGAAAACACTAAAATGCGAGTGAAAATAGAAATCATGAGAAATGAAAGGAGCAAGAAACAACTGAGAGAAAGGGTAATATTATATATTTTTCAAAAAAATAACTTTTTTTCTCAAACAGTCTTTCCCTGTCGTTTCCACAGATCAGCTGTTTTTACACGATGTTTCTGTAAATTTCAAAATTCCTCAAAAATCAGTTGTCACAAGAAAAAAAATTTTTTTATTTTGTTTTTTTGATTAAACTTTACCCAGTGTGATAATTTAAAAATTTAAATTTACTGCTTTGATTTGTATGTTATTGTATTTGAATGAACATTTAAAAAGGCGCTGATTATTTGGAGAATCTGTTAAAGAAAACTTTTTTTGGTTAATATATGAACTAAAAATTATTTCAAGAAAATGAAAACAAGCCTTAACGAAAGATTTCTGGACCTCATATACATCAGCATGTATTGTCAAACAGCCTAATAATGTCATAAATGAAAAACAAAAAAACAAAAAAACAAAAAAATCCTGAAAAACTATATTTTGCTAACAAAAAAGTGAATAAAAAGTATATATATGATCTTTAAAATGAAACAGTGCTTAAAAATGAAAGAACTTCAGACAAATTCAAAAAAAAAGTGAATTATCAAGATTTGAGATCAAAAAAGCCAAAGGTAAGCCGGACGGAGAGAGAAATAAAAAAAAAGTGAAAGCTTCATCGGATACATGAAAGCCAAGCATGAGAAATGAGCATTCTCAGCGCTAATCCTCCTGGCGTCCTTCTGCTCAACCATATGCGAAATATCGATGTTCTTCAACCGGAAAAAAAGAAAGACACCACTGCCAAATACGAGAGGATTAGCCGAAAATGATGAATTCGCCAGGAAGATGAATTATTAACAAAAATTACGATGAAAGTTTTTTCAAAAGCAAGTTTCAAAACCAAAAAAAAATTCAGAAATTTTTAACTTTCTTCTTGGAATTCCATATATAAAGTCCTGCACAAAAATGCTACAGAGACGTCTAAACCTCTTCGTAATACGTAGTGCCCGACTTAAAGTTGTAGGATGAGTAAAAATATGATATTTTAAAAAATTGGATGAATTCAAGAAATGTTCATGAGGTTTTTCCAGAGCTATCACTATTGAGAAGTTATAAAAATGAGGATGAAAGTTCAAAGAAAGAAAGAAAATTGAACTATGCGCAACTTTTGTTAGATTCAGCCGAAAGAAAAATCTAAGACGAACTCACTTACTTTTGGAACACATTTAAAATCATGCTTACTGGATTTTCTTCTTCTTTTTTCCTACACGAGTGAAAGTCTAACAGCATGTCGTTCAAGCGGGAAAAAAAAAGGGAATCACGAAAACTCGAAAAGATTTGTAGAAGTGTTTTTCTTCGAAGCGGATCAAAACGGAAGAATACGCGATTCAAGACATTTAAAACCAGCCAAATGTGTGTCGTAGGCGATGGAATCGATCGATAAATCGGCACCTGGGCTAGAGGAGGTGAAAGTGTGTGAGCGTTGTGATGAGCGAGTGTGCGCGACATTAGGCGGACAGTCGAAGGAGAACAAGAGAAAAGAACGGACGACGGTGGTCAGCGAAAAATCCGTTGCGGGGATTAGAGCGCTCCGAAAACTTAACGAGAGCTTCAACCTTGTTCCGAACTACTATAAAAGCCATTTGACCTTTGGAAATTACTGATAGGGCCAAAAAAAGGGAGATTTTTGTTCTAGTACAACTGAGGAGGGAAAAATTTTAAACTTGCGTTCTGGAAATTCCTGAAAGTTAGCCAGAACACTTTTTGATGTACCAGAGTTTTGAAATGTAAGCTTCGACCTACCTAAATCCCTAGTTTCCAAAAAAAAAATAAAAAAAATTTTAGAAATAACCAAAAGTCCTATACTTTCACTGACTTTCGCGATTAATTATTTAAAACTAGAGAAGTCGATACTTCCAAAAATATTCATATGGAGCATCAGATAAAATTCAGGCAAATTTTCAAAAATTCAAGTTTTCAATGCAAATAGCTTCTTTTTTGACAAAAGAAAGAAAATCTAAACGAGAAAGTCAACTTTCAAAAAACCGAATAAATTAATTAGATATTTGAAAAACTCAGATAATTGTTTGCTGCTTTCGACAGCGAGATAGAACAAAAAAACCATCAAACCAAAATGAAAAATTTCATGCATCAAATTGAAAAAAAGGAGCAATAATAATAACAGATTACATCAATGACACACAGGGAAAAAAATGAAACTGAATATAATTTTTGAATTGACTTTACAAGTTATTACTCGCTCTCTCTGAAGGCCATCCGCTACAAAACGATGTCTGAAAAATTACAATTATGATTAAACTAACTACTGCTTAAGATTTTTAGAAAGGAAATTACATCGGGATCTGGAGCTACTGTCGGTCGAGGAGCCATTTTTTGTACCCACCCAGCATATTGTGCCCGTTTTCTCATTTGTAGATATGGATTTTCGATTCGAACGTCGTTTTCCAGAGTTTCAAACTTCAAAAAATTAGGAAATTAAAATTTATAATCAATCAAAGCCCCAACAAAGCCAGTGCGTTTGTAGCTGGGATCGGCGACCTCGGGTAGTGGAAAACCAGAAGATTGTGCGATGAAAGCGTTCATTCTCTCAGTCGACTCATCTATCCATGTCGTTTTTTCTACACTAGCAATCTTAAAAACTGTTTTTTTATTCAATAAGGTGGATTTGGACATACAATAAATATTATTTTTTTATTAAAAAAATTAATTCTAAAAAAAGAGCAACACAAACTCCCAATTCAAGAAACAAAAAAAATAGAAATAAAAAGATAAATATACCGGCTTTCGCATTCCAAAAGGTTCGTTAGTCCCAGTTGGTGGAAGACGGAACACTGGGGGTTCCCTCGGAAAATTATACAGACCTACTGGAGTACCACCTGGAGTTTTCAAAAATGAACCAAAATCTCTCTAGAGACTTTCCAGTACCTCTACGAGTAATGAAAAGAGTGTTATTGGACGTGTACATTCGAAAACTCTCGTTTGATTCTGAGAAGTTGATCTCTAACTCGTGTGCAGAATCATCACTCGGAAGACTTTTCGGACGCAAGCGCAAACGGATCTCATAATTACATTCACATGATTCCTTCTGTAAAAAAATTCTAATTTTTGGAACATTTGAACGAATCTCACCAAAAATATGATTTTTTTGGGGGGCAAAGTTCGGTAGGCGATAAGAAAATAGCAAACAGAGGAAAGCTGAAGGAATGTCGCAAAAAAAGTCTTTTTGACAAGTTTAATTTTTTTGCTATGGTTATGAAGACTCAAAAAGAATTAAAAACTATGCAGAAAAGCTGATGAACTAACGCACAAAAAAGCCTTTTCCAGGCCTTTCTGACTTCGCCTATAGCCTTTTACCATTTTAATTCGTAAAAAAAAAGGTTTCTGCCAACCTTGATTTCATCCTTTTGCGCTCCAGTATTCAAGCGTTGGCAAATCTGTGTTTCGTTAATAGGAGGCAGACAAAAACGGGGACTGCAGTTTAGAGAAGAAGTCCCTGCATTTTTGTTTGAAACTTCTAAAAATAAATATCAAAATGAACAAAATGCAAAAAACCTGAAGTTTCTTGCGCTTTATCAACCATTCTGTGAAATCAACATGAAGTATCTAAAACATAAAACTTCCTTGAATTGAAAAACAACAAACATATTCAAAAGACTCAGAAATGCAAATCGAAAAAATATTTAGTTCTCAGATCCATCGCAAAAGTTTGAAGCGAACGAAAAATAAAATCTAAACACGGAAATCGAAAAATAGGTCTCTCTGGGTTGAAACATAATTTTAAACTCTTGAAAACTTGGAAAAAAAATTTTAACCAGGAATTGGAAAGTTTCCAATTTAAAGGCGCATCGCCTTTGCTGGAAAGTTTCGCCACGATTCAATCATGTACGGTGTCCCCTAGAGCTCCGTAAAATGTGGAATTTTGGGATCCTTTTTGTTTTTTTGTATTTTTAATATTTTTTTGAATAATTATTCCATAAATTATGTATTTAAAAGGGTTCCGAATGATGTGTTGATATTATTTTTGATAAATTTGCTTGAAAAAAAAATTTTATTTTTGAGATTTTTTTCTAATTTTTTTCTTGAAAAAAATTAATTTAATAGTTTTATTTTTTTACTCAATCTTTCTTCAATTTGCATTTTTTTAATATAAAAATTAATTTTTTTTTCAGCCATAATGTCTTTTTCATTTTTTTAATAACTGAACTTTGCTATATGTAAATATATTTTTCTTCCAATCGTTCGAAATTTTTAAATGAATTCTATAATATTCTCTTCGTTAGATTATTCAAATTTATGTAAATATTTTTCACATTTCTTTCTTTTTGCATTCTGAATAGATAATTTTTATTTAAATATTTAACTAAAACTGTTCTTCGTAAGCCAGTTGTTTTCTAAAGGCCTGAATGTTGAATTTCAGGTCATCGAACGAGGGTCACAAAATGGTCCATGAGCAGATGAAGCTTAACGGCACCCTTGAGGGCCACACCGGATGGGTCACTCAAATTGCTACTTTTACTCGTGATGACAAGACGACCGTCATTTCCTCCTCTCGCGGTATGTTTTAAAATTGATTTTATTTCTATTAAGTAGTTTTTTTTGATTACCATTTGTTTTTCTTCGTTAAACGGAAAATAATGGGAAGATTTTTTTATGCCATGCTCAAAGTGGTTCCGCCAAACTCAAAATAGCCCTCAGAAAAAGAAAAGTATAACTAAATTTTGGAGAGTCAGATCATTTTGCATTTCGCGTAAATTACTTTAAACGCGGCATTAACAGTTTAGAGTTGAGGAAAGATTTTTTTTTTTTTTTGAAATTTTTTTGTTAAATATATTTGTTCATATTTTTATATCCTTGCGACGACCAACGAGTTCCTCAATAGTTTGTTCAGATTTTAAATTTCAATTGGCTAATTCCGCCCCTGTTGAGACGATGCCTTTTCGCGTCGATGTTTTTTCGCGCGGGACGGTTTTTAACCTTTTTGTTCTAAAACATAGAAAAACAAGTCGAAAAATGCAGTCATATTGAAGGTTCATCGTCATCTGGAAATAGAACATCGACGCGAAAGATTGAGGGTGGAGTTAGATACTTGAAACTCAAAATCTGAACAGACTATTATAATTGTTCATTCATTTTAGTTTCTGCTCGTTTGTCTCAGCAGAGTTTTGATTCCGATATATATATATTTTTTTCCTAAAGAATGATACTTTTAAGACAAGACTATCCTCGTTTGGGATGTTGACAGCAACCCTTCTGAGGATGGCCAGATCGGCCGACCGATGCGATCGCTTACTGGCCATAACCACTTCGTTTCTGACGTTGTTATCTCCTCCGATGGACAGTTCGCTCTTTCCGGATCGTGGGACAAGACGCTGCGCCTCTGGGATCTTAACCAGTTAGTGACATCACTTTAATTTTAAACTTTAATTTCATATTACTTATAGCGGTGTGAGCACTCGCCAGTTCATTTCTCACACCAAGGATGTTCTTTCTGTGGCCTTCTCGGCTGACAACCGCCAGATTGTTTCTGGGTCCCGCGACAAGTCGATCAAGCTCTGGAACACCCTTGCGCAGTGCAAGTACACCATCACTGTGAGTGATCATTTTTTGATATTTGTGACATTGCATTGTTGATTTTAAATTATTTTTTCAAACTATCGGTTTCACTAAAGTTGGAAAATATACCATTTTCAGTTTCTTCATAGTTTTTGTTTAATTTCATCGAATTCTCTTTCCGAATGTAACCTTTTTTATCATTTGGTTTTGGTAGTTTATAACCTATTCAAAATTTATGAAGGACGTAGTTGTCGAAGTGAGAAAGATTTTAGTTTTTTTTTTGTTTGAAAACAATGGTACGTTGAAAAGAGCAAAGGAAAGTGTAGTTTTACGACGATTCCTTTAGTGAAGAAAAGCTCTCAAAAAAAAATTACATTTTCTGTTTTTTTTTTTCAAATCAATGAAATCTGCTTCAATATACTTTGGATTTTTCAACTCTAATATTTATAAAATTTAATTTCATAAGAGCATAATTTAAGGCCTTTAAGATAATTAAAGTTGATAATTCATAAGATAATAATGTAATTTTTCTTTTTAGGAAGACTGCCACACCGATTGGGTTTCGACTGTCCGCTTCTCCCCCTCCAACCGCGATCCAGTGATTGTCTCTGCTGGTTGGGATAAGATCGTCAAGGTCTGGAACCTCGGAAACTGCCGCCTGAAGACCAACCACGTCGGCCACACCGGATACGTCAACACTGTCACCGTTTCTCCTGATGGATCTCTGTGCGCCTCTGGTGGAAAGGACGGTCAGGCTATGCTGTGGGATCTCAACGAAGGCAAGCACTTGTACACGCTCAATGGCAACGATGTCATCAACGCCATGTCATTCTCGCCTAACCGATACTGGCTTTGCGCTGCTGTCGGACCAGTCATCAAGATCTGGGATCTTGAAGACAAGAAGGAAATTGATGAGCTCAGACCAGACGTCACCGGAAAGGGAGGATCTTCTGCTCCACAATGTATTTCCCTGGCCTGGTCTCAAGATGGTCAAACACTGTACGCTGGATACACTGACAATGTTATTCGCGTATGGCAAGTTTCTGTTCGATCGGTTGTTTAAGAAAAACCTGTTGTTTTGTTATTTACACCCCAATAAATATGTTGATATCGCTTTGTGTTATTTTTAAAATAATGTAATAGCGCCAATGAATTATTTCCAATTTTGAAGTTTGCACATGAATTCAATAATTTGGCTGAGGAATGGATCGAGCAGAGGTGATTGGGATTGGTATTCGTCTGATTTCTGTTGCGGCTTTGTCTTACTTCACAGTTAAATACCTTGTAAAGTATTTGGATCCTAATCACTCCACTGTCGAGGAAAATAAAAAGAAGGTTTTTCGCAAAAGATTCGAATAAAAAGTACACCACTGTAGGTCGCTCAAATATTTGCTGACCTTGGGCTAAATCGAGCAATCGAGTTGAACGAGCATGAAATACGTATAGCTACACAGTTCGTTGGTGGTGAGGATGTCGGGGCTGATTGGGATGACATCGGTTAGTTTTTCAAGTCTTAAAGCGGTTTAGTCATTAGAGATTGTATCGCGTTTAATAAAAAAAAAATTTGGTTGCCTAAAAAATTTTACTGTTGTTTCGAATGTTTAAAAAAAAACCGAGAGTAATCGAATCGGTTAGAATTCATTATTCAGAGATATATACTCTTCCAATTTGATATTAAATATTGCTGTAAATAAAAATTAATTAGTTAATTAATTCTTATTAACTTCCGCGCACTTTCCCATCAACTTATTCATTGATATTCGTGAACCCTTTTCAGTCTAAGCAATTTTTTTTGAGATCGAAGAAAATTAATGAGTAATCTCTTTTAGGAGGGTTCAGTGACTTGATTTCTGAGCTGAAAGACCGAGTTATATTGCCACTACAGTTCGCCACACAGTCCACAAGTTCGCTTTTGTCGCCTCCGAAAGGAATTCTCTTGTACGGTCCTCCGGGTTGTGGAAAAACGTTGCTCGCCAAGGCAGTCGCTCGAGCCGCCGGATGCAGGTTAAAAGGAAAATAATTTTTGGAAGGGAATTATCATTTCATGACCAAGCGAAGTGAAAATTTTTTACTGTGAATAGGAGACTAAAACTTTTTTCATGAGGTTTTTATCTGAAAGTCAAAGTGCAATTCGGAAAAATCGGAAAAAAAGGTTTCGTTTTTTCAGATTTATAAACCTTCAAGTATCAAATCTCACTGATAAATGGTACGGAGAATCGCAGAAGTTGGCGGCGGCCGTCTTCTCAGTCGCTCAGAAATTTCAGCCCACGATTATTTTCATCGACGAGATCGGTTCGTTGTTCAGTTAGTATAAAGACAATATTCAATGTAGTTGACTTTCAAGAAATGTGATTAGGAGAATATGAGAAAAAAATATAATTAATTTTCATCTGAAAAATGCATGAGTTTGGGCTTTACTATCTTTTTTCTTTTATTATGAACTTTTCGTAGAAAAAAGTAAGCATTCTTTAGATTTGTTCCCTAATTTCTTACAAAAAGGAAGGAAAAAGTTTTGTGCTCATAATTTCGAGCGTGATGCAAGCTTAAATGGTCGATATTTTCGTAGTCAAGATTTCTATTTCGTCTTTTTCGGTATCAAAATAGGAATTTTTTATAGTGCAAACTTGAGCAGGCGATGTTGAACTTTGAATGGCTTGAAACAGTTTGTTTGGTTCTAATGGTTCTACAGCCGGCTAAAAGTTTATTAGCTTCAATACTTTCTGATGCATTTCAAGTTATCGTTTCGTGCCAAACTGTTCAACCTGCTAAAAAAAAAGCTTGATCTTAGGACGATATTTTACTTACACAAAGCTCTTTTTTAAGATTCATTTTTGCGCGACCGACAATCGCATGACCACGAAGCGACTGCCATGATGAAAGCTCAATTTATGACTCTGTGGGATGGATTTGCCAGTACTGGCGATCAGGTTTTTTACATGGATGGCTTCGCATAGAGAAACGAATTCCTCCAGATAATAGTAATGGGCGCCACAAATCGGCCGAAAGACGTCGACGCGGCCATTTTGAGGCGAATGTCTGCAAGATTTTGCGTTCCCGTGCCGACAGAAAAACAAAGAAGAGATATTCTGCAGGTTTTCATAACGGTTTTAAAGCGAATAAAAACTTTTGAAAGGTTATTCTGCGCTCTGAAACACTTTCGGAAGAACTAGATCTTCAAGAAATCGCCAAATGTACCGGAGGCTTGGCTGGCTCTGATCTAAAGGAGGTTTGTTGATTTTTTTTTTTCTAACTTTTAAAACAAAGCAAAATGAAAATAATGGATCTCTCTTTTTCTTAAAGTTCGATCGTGATTTCGCTATGTTCAGAGATTTCGTTTTCTAAGCTTAGATTTTTCTGTTACTTATCCTGTTTTAGTGTGAAGTTCATACATAAAAACTCGAGAAAAGGTATTTTTATCTGAACCAATGAATATTCAAAACCTGTGAGAAATAGAGAAAAAAGTTTTGCGCGGAATATTCCAACACCGAGTTCGAATAAGAACCAAATCGGGAACTGTTTTCTGAGACCACGCTTTTCTCTAATGAAAACTAACTCCTTGGCTTTAGAAACGTTGATCAATTGAAGGTGTGTCGTTTGGCGATGTTGTCACGAGCCAAAGAGACGATTTCCGCCGGCGGGACTCTCTCTGAAATCGAGCCTCTCCTTCAACGAGATCTGCTCGACGCCGTCCAGAAGTACATGCGAGGCCACAGTCTATTAACTCACGACGACGCCCTCGATTGATCCTTTTCCGCCCCTTTTTCTCCTTCTTATGGCCTATTTTAGATCTATTTCTTCTCTAACAGCTTTCATTTCTTCCTTTCCGGGTGTATCAAAGACTTTAGCTGTACCTCTTACTAATTTTGGTTCCATTGAGATGTTTATTGCATTAATAATAATAAATGAATAGTTGAAAAGGTTAATATGCAAAGAAACCCGTGCGACGCGCGGCTCTACAGTAATCAGTCGTCGTCGTCTTCGTCATTTTCGTCTCGATTTTCTTGTAGGGCTTGTAAACGCCTCTGAACGGCTTCATACGTCATTCTTTGAGGTAGGAATTCTGAAAATAATTTATTTTTTTTTGATTGAAAATCGATTTGAAAAACCTCGGAGCTCGTGGAAAGGAAGTTTGTGGACGACATTGGCGATATCGTCGTAGGAGATTGGCTCATTTCCAGCAAGGTTTGAAGATTCACGAGCCAAGTTTCGTAGGAAAGTTTCCTGGAAAGAAAAACTTGTTAAAATGTCTATTTAGTCGTTCAAGAGTTATTTTAGAAGAAAAAAACCAACAGCGGCTTTCGAAATGGCGACAAAAGCTTCTTCTTCGGCCAACAAATCGTCCTTCACGATTTTCACTCTTGACTTGACGTAATCCAAAGGTACTAGAATGAGTTTCTGTTGACCATCTGTCGCTTTTGGAGTTACTTTCACTGGCGATTGTGGGAGTAGCGGCCCAGATTCCATGGTAATCTCTGAAAAGGTCAGGAAAAAAATAATTAATTACAAAATTTGAAGAAAAACCACATAAACGTTTCAGTCCAATGATATTCTAGTTCAAAGTCTAGACTTTTCTATTAGTTTGAAATAAAAACCTAATAGAGAACAGAAAGCAAAAACAAAATAAATAAAACAGAAAAAAATAAATTGCCGCGCGCCATAAAATAAAACGCAACTTCGTGCAAATTGCCATAACATCGCGCGCCGATTGCACAACCTCCAGGACTCTGGCTCCGCCTTCTTCTGAGAGAAAAGGGGCGTCGGCAGCCGTTTGCCCTCACTTTTGAGCGTCTTCACTGCTTCGAAGGCCTCGCTGAAGATGTTGTCTCGGCTCCCACGAGTTGCCACTCTTCAAGGTATAGTTATTCCAAGTGCCTTCCCAGTTCACTTCAGAAGAAAAATTCGGAATCTTAGAATATTTGTTGATCTCCTGATGTTTCTCATGAGACGCCTGCATGCGTGATCGATTTCGCCCGATCACGTTTGCAACTGATAACGAATAGTGAGCGAAGTAGAGACAAAAGGAATTTCTGGCTTCATAAACTATTAGAATTTATGAAGTGTTTCATAGAAAGAAGTTTTTGAATCAAGCCAAGTCTACATGTCTTATTGGTAACTTTCGATTAAGATAAGTTAATATTCTTCATTTATCACGTTTTTATGTCGAAAAAGATAGGCAAGGAGACGGAAAAGTAGAATGGAAAAATCTTTTTGCTTATTTGAGCACGCTTTGTTTATGAGAAACGGCCAAAGTGGATGAAAAACGAGGAAAAGAGCCATTTTTCCAGCTCGAAATGCCTCGGCCATCGCTTCTCAGGAGCCGTCGGCGCCTTCGATGAAAACCGCCGTGCCAGGACCCAAATCCAAGCAGCTCCGCGAGCAAATGGACCCCATTCACGTCGGTTTTTCTTGGTTTTGAATGAGCTGGGTTGGGAATGAGTCCTATTTTTAGGGAATAAAAATTAGAAGGAATGTTCAAAATTTTATTTCGACGTTTTTTCTAGGGTCTCTCGAGTGTAAGATGAAAAATACTGATCATTTTCCTGAAAAGCTAGTTAAAAAAACTTTTTCCTTTGAGTAGTGCCGTTCTGAGAAAAAAAAATTTGAGAAGCGTTTTTTTTCAAAAGAGAAGCTCAATCTTCACCTTCAAAACTTTCCCAACTTTAAATTCAAAAGAAAAGAAAGGGTTCTCTCAGCCAAATTTGAAAAGAAAAAGTTTTAATGGAATTTTTTTCAAAGGAATGTTTAAAGAGGTACTATGAAAAAAATAATGTTTTTTTCGACTTTCTGAATTTCTGGTGGGAATTTTTTTCAAAAAGTGAAGAAATTTTCGATTGATCAAGTTTTTTTAGAAAAAAATTAAAAAGTTCTGCTGAGTCTCAGAAAAATCAAAAGAAAATCTTGAGTATTAGAGCCTCACTGCCAGGAGGTGTATCTATAATTTGAGTCAAGAATTTGAAAATTGAGCTTATTCCCTGCTTAATCCTCTGATAGTGTTTATGTGGTGTGGTGCAATGTTGCGCGTCCTTCTGTCGAATTGAGCCAAGGTCGAGAGCCGCGATATCGGTTGTTACAACGAGAGGCGACACCAATTGTCCAATGAGCATTTGAACTCTGGGTGATATGCTGCGAATTCGAAAACTGGGAGATGTCTGGGGGGGATTAATGGGACCTCGAAATGATGCCCTGGAGGGGATAGAGTGAATTGAATGAGATTGGCAAAAGTATGAGAATTTCTTAAGAATTTGAAAAAAAAGAGGAAGCTGAGAAAAAAGAAGCTTCTACACTAGTTTTTTTGATGGTGCATTTTTTTCGCTCATTAAACTAAAATTTTTATATATAAAAATTGCCAAAACTTCTTGACTCTCAAAATAAAAAAATGAATAAAACTTCATATCAATTCTGATTTTGCCGAAAGTGTTAGGAGGTTTATGCAGTCTTGAAAGTGATTCCGCAAAATTCAAATAAGCCGTTGGAGAGTGAAAAAGATAACGAAACTTTGGAGGGTCAGAGATCATTTTGAACTTTGCGGAAATTACTTTGGTCGCGGCGTTTATAAATTTTTTTAAACCGCCCTTATAATCTGCAGATAGAGATGGATTTAGTTTCAAATCTAGAAACATCTTCACATATCGAATTCAAATCAAAATCAATGAAAATTGAAGAAAAAATAGTCTTTTAAGTTTATGTCTTATTGTCTCCCTCGCAGACATTTCTCAAATAATGTATATTTTTTTCAAATTTTTCAATTAAAAAAACACCATTCCAGGTTTTTGAAATACTTGGAAGTAATATAAATGAACTTACGGTTTCAACCTTCGAGTAAAAAAAAGATTAACATTTATGGGGATTCTATTGCAAGGGTAATTATGTTAATTTCAGCAAACGGCATCTGTGCGGATGTTCGTCGACTTCGAGAAGTCGTTCGGAAATTACATCGTCGACGCAGATGGTGATTCCTCATCGAGGAAATAGATTGACGTCTTTTTCTTCTCAGGAAACACGATGCTCGACATTTACACCCAAATTTCCTCGCTTCCGCTTGGATATAACCATCCTGATCTGGTGAAGGCCGCTGCTGATCCCAAGTTTATCGTGAGTTGTGAATAATATTTTTAATTGTTTAAAAAAATTCTTGTTAATCTTCGTTCAAATATAATTTTTTTGTATGTTTCCTGATTCGTTCAAAATTAATCTAACAAGTTTTTTTAAAATAAGGATATACAAAAAAATGAGAATTTTGTCGTTACTTCCAATTTGACAATTGAATATAAGTTTATTATAAGTAGTAATAAAAAAAATTTTTAGTAGGAAACTAAAAAAAGCAGGAATTTTTTTCGAAATTTTTTTGTTGGTCTTTTCATCTTCAAATCTGGCCGCTGGTCCGAGTTTATTATAAGTTGCAATTATTTTTTTGAAAAAAACTTAGAATTCTCATTTTTTTCTGAACTGTTTCGTTCTTCTTTATTTTTTTTTGTGCTCTGATCTTTTTATAGCTTTTTTTTAAACTTTTGTTTTTGATCTGAAAAAGCATTCTTCAATTTTTTCTTTTTCAACAAGTACATATAAAACGAAAAACTATCATTTTTCGCTACTTCAACTTCTCTTTAACAGACCTCCTTGGTGTCGAGACCGGCGTTGGGCTCCTTCCCACGAACGGACTTCCCTTCAGGAATCAGCCACGCCCTCACTTCCATCGCTCCAAAAGGACTCAAGGTAAAGCCAATTTTTTTATGAGAAAATAAATATTTATGTATACTTCCAGGCCGTTCAAACGATGCTCTGCGGCACTTCGGCCAATGAAAACGCCATCAAACAGGCTTTCATTTGGTATCGTTTTTTTTTTTTCAGAGTATTTTTTGAAGATACCATCTATTCGGAGTCTTTTAACCTTAATTTTCGAGAGTCAGAGCTTAATATTTTATTTATAAAGCCCTTCCTATTATTTTCTAGAGTTAATTTCAACATTGTGAGTCTATTTTCTTGAATAGTTTTGATTTGAGCTCAGTATTCTGAAAGTAGTTTGAATTTTAGGTCAGTTTTTGTCAAGTATTATTAAATTTAGGATGATTTTTTTAGATGTTTTTTTCCTGATTGGTCAGAACTTCATAGTTTCTTTTTTCGATTTTTCCAGTTCAGGGTATTTTTCTCGAGTAATTCCTTTTTCAATTAGACTCTCCCAAAATTCTTTCCTTGCATTGCTCTCCGTTTTCAAGCCTAGTGAAGCCAAACAAAGGGTTTTTTTTGCGGAAACTAAACTTCTTATATCTCCCGACCCACAAGCTCCACTAGGAAAACCGCGTATCAATTAAATTTCCTTGAAAAGTGCGTTTTTCAAACTTTTCTCAGTATCCAGTGTATATCACATAATGAATTAATAGGTACATGGCACAGCGACGCGGTGGCGCCCCTCCAGACGCGGCTCATCTCGAAAGTTGCATGGTTCAACAGAAGCCTGGAACGCCCAGTCTTTCCGTTCTGGGTTTCCAGGTTGATGCTCAAATTTTTCAGAAAACTTCAACTGAATTTTCACTTTCAGGGATCTTTCCACGGCCGCTCCTTGTGCATGCTTTCCGTCACCCGCAGCAAGGCTATTCATAAGGTTTTTTTTTCAGAATTTTTGAGAAATTAGTTGCGAAGAAATCGTTTATGTTTCTTAATAAGAATTTGATTCATGGAAATTGCAATTTTATCGTTTTTTTCAAATTTTTTTCAAAAAAAGCGTCAATTTTTTTCTTTTTAAAACCTTTTTTTCATTTCTTATAAAATTTTGAGGTGGAGAAAAAAAGTTGAAGATTTCAGGTCAAAAGGCATTTTATGAGAATTTTTAGAATATGAATTAGGAGAATTTTTTTACAGTCATAACTATGAAAAATATGAAAATATAAGCTTTTTTTCTGATAATTCCCTTGATCATTTTGATGATTTTATAGACCTCTCTATTCTCTTGACATTCGATGAAAAAATCAACGACTTCAGGTCGACATCCCCGCTTTGGACTGGCCGATCGCCAAGTTCCCTCGCTACAAGTACCCACTTAAGGACAACAAGGAGTACAACGACGCCCAGGACCGCGAGTGTCTGAAAGACGTCGAGGAGAAGATCCAGGAGTGGAAGAAGAAGGCAAATTCTGACTTTTTAAAATTATATTCTTCTCCCTGAACAATCTAGCGCAACTAGCTTAGGAAGGGGGTTCCGGTCCCTATAAGACTTGAGAAGAAACATCTCTCTTCAATTCCATTCGAGCCTTGACGTCTTCAGGACAACGACGTCGCGGCAATCATCGTCGAGCCGATCCAGGCCGAGGGCGGCGATCACTACGGCAGTCCTCAGTTCTTCCAAGGCCTCCGCGACATCACCAAGAAGAACGGCGTCGTGTTCATCGTCGACGAGGTTCAGACGGGAGGCGGAGCCACCGGAGACGTCTGGGCCCACGCCCATTGGAACCTCTCCTCGCCGCCGGATATCGTCACCTTCTCGAAGAAGCTTCTCACCGGTGGATACTACTACGCTGACCATCTCAAGGTCAAGGAGGTGGGTCGCGAATTTCGCCATGGTGACCAAATTATCTAAAAAAATATTTTAATAATTTCAAAGTGGTGTGTCTGGTTTCTGCCAAGAAGGTGAAAAAATCTCAAATAATTTTTTTTTTCATTAAAAAAGTAGGACAGATTCTCATTTGCATACGGTTTTTTTGGTATTAATTAATATATTTATATTAAGGTCAGATATAACCAAGTCCCCCATCTCAAAGTCGAGAAGGCGTGTTTAAGCATGTAAAAAATCTTGGTTTCTTTCATTTTACACCTTTCTCAAGAATTTTTCAATAGAAGGAAAACGATGACTAACCCTTTTGAAGTACTTCTCAACGGTATTGTATGCGAAATTCCTGACCCTTTTTACTTCAAAAAAACTCAATGATTTTTTTATGTTTAGGGTCTCTATAGCTGATGAAAAACTAGCTTTTGAAAGTTTTGATCGTAAGGAGTTCAAGTTTATCATTCGATAGAGCTTCCAAAAATAATTTCGAACGAGGATTTTCGAGTAATTAAAACCACTAATTAGAGTTGTTTCCCCCTATTTTCTTCCATAAAATAATTTGAAACGGAAATTGAGGAATAATTTAAGGGCTACCGAATCTACAACACGTGGTGCGGTGACCCGACGAAGCTTTACCTGTTGGAAAAAGTCGTCGAAGTGATTCAGAGGGACAATCTCATCGAGAAGACCAAGTCGGTCGGCGAAAAGTTCCAGAAGGCTCTCGCCGAGCTTCAGGTATACTTTTAGAGCTTAAAAAGGGATTCACGGTTTGAATATCTTCAGGCGTCGCACAGCTCCAAATTGTCGCAGGCGCGTGGTCGAGGAACTTTCGCCGCCATCGATTTGCCGACTTCTGCTCTCAGGGACAAGCTTGTCGATACTGTGAGTTTTTAGAAGTGTCCAAGAAAAGTTGAGGATTAACTACAACTTTTGATTTAAAAAATGGCCCCCAAGACCATATAGCTGATTCACGGCTGGCTTGAGCCATTTGAAAAGGTCTTACCACGACAAAAATCGCGCTTTTTTGGTAGAGGGCACAGACAGACCCAAGCTACTTGATTCATGATTAAAAAAAAACCCCTTGAGAAAACATTTTGAGGCGGAAAAGTGGCCTAAATTCGGCCTGCACTTAGATCTGCAAAAAGATGAAGCTTTTGAATTTTACGGTTGCAAAATGAAGTTCCATTGTACTTTATCCTGAAAAGGATCTTCTAGAGAGCTTTTTGAGAACTTTCAGAATATTCGCTGCAGGTCAGTTGCAACTTGATGACAAATAAAAAAAATATGAAAAAAATTTTGAAAAAAATGAGCGAATAAAAAAATTTCCGACTGTTTTTAGATCCCTGTATCAAAAATAACTACTTTTTTTGAGTATTCCGATTTATTTAATTTATTCTGTTTTTTTCTCTGGTGTGCGAAACAATACCCCAAAGAAAAATTTTTTTAGAAGTGTTCTTTTCCGGCGGTAAACAGACTCTCTAGTTTGACGGTTCAGCTTCAAAATGATAATAAATCTAAAATATTATTGTCATTCGAAAGATTTCATAGCTTTAATGAATGAACAGGTCCGTAAAGAGGTTCGCTTCGTAGAAAACTCAAAAATATATTATTTTTTTCAAAATTTTCAGGCGATCGCCAACGGTCTCCACTGCGGCGGCTGCGGCGACAAGACGTTGAGATTCCGTCCGGCGTTGATTTTCGGCGAGAAACATCTCGAAATCGCCTTCGACATCCTCGACAAATCCGTCAAGCAAATCTAATCACTACCTTACCAATTTTCTAACAATTGCCATCACATTCTTGTCAAAATTCGTTATTTAAGCACGGGAAATTTCATTGAAAACTTGATAATAAATACATTTAAAAATGTGGCACTCGTTTTGGGGTTTGGGTCTGACGGGGATTTTTGAGCAGGGGACGGTTAGACTCGAGTTCCGCCCACAAGTAGTGAGATCTTCTCGTAGATTATTTCGATATCTTGCTGAAAACCAGGCAAATCTTAGTCTTCAATTTGAAATATAGGTTCGAACCTTTGAGGTCCACAATCCGCACTGGATATGGGCGTAGGACGATAAAACCTGTACAACATCTATACATCCTGTGGTTTCCAGCTGACAAGCCAGAGTCGTCAGGGCGCACATCGCATACGGCAGCGACGGGGAATGGTCTGAAACAGTTTTCTCATTTAGTTCTGGGATTCAGAAGTTCTCGTTTCTTTGAGGAAACGTAAAGCTGGATTTGTATCAAGTTGGAGTTCAGGCTTCAAAAAGGAAAAAAAAATCCCTAGGCAGGAAAAATGAGCTTGAAAAAGTAAAAACAGGAAATTCTTCGATAATAAATCGGATTCCTCTGAAAAGTCCAATTATTCACAAAGAACTTTAGACTGTTCTCTGAAAAAAAAAACTGACCATTTGCCAAAAGCGACAGGGATAAAGTTGAGCCTCGGGGCGACGGTAGGGAGGTAGGATGGATTCCGGAGGCAGAAACGCCGATCTTCTGAAAAAGAAGTTGCAGAAGTGGCTTTTATGGAAATCGAGACCGGCACCGGGCTGAGGATCAGAAGCGGCGCGTCGTGATAGGCGATCCGTTGCTTTTGAACATTTTCGACTTCGCGCCAGAAGTCGATCTCCAAGTCGGATCGAGAAACGCACACTATCCGCACGCAGAGCTGAACTTTTAAATAATAAGAGGTTTTTTCAAGCTCGTTTTATAGCTATCATACGAGTAGGGTCATTTTACTTTATGGTTGGGAATTTTTTTTTTTTTGAAAGCTAGCCATAATAATTTTTGATTACCAAAAAGATAAGGAAAGCGTCAAACTGCATAATTTTTTCGTTTTTGAGAGAAAAAGCCTCAAAACTATGGAAAACCATCTAAATCCACTATGAAAGTGATTTTAGTCATAATAAACATTATTTTTCGCTTTTTGCGCGTCGCTTTTGATGCATCGCGTGCACTGCGTACAACACATTTTATCTCCCGCCGCTGTTAGTGAAACCATTTTCAAACTTTGAGCCTTTATTTCTTGTAAGCTGAGAAATTTTGCAAGTTTACACCATCCAGATCTTCTTTTGGCATATCAAGGAGTATTCTCACCGAATTTTAGGACTTTCTGAACTAAAAGGTAGAATGACCTTCTCTTTCTATAATTCGCTTATTGAGAGAAAAAAAAATGCCTGAATGTCAGCACCTGTTCCTCGTTATTCTGGAGAAGAACAAAGTTGTCGCTGTGCTGGACGGTCATCGTGTCCACTGCGGTCAGTTTCTTCCAGAAACTTTCCTCGCTTCCTAAATTAAGCGAAGATTTAATTAACCAACTAAGTATCCAAAAAAAAACTTTCACTGAGATGAAAAAAATTCCAAAAAAAAACACAAGACTTCAAAGGAAAATGCATGAAGAGTATAAGAGTAAATTTAAAATTTTTCAATGAAAATACTTTATAGTCTGCTCAGTTTTTAAATGCCAAGTCGTCGCTCAAGCTCCGCCCCTTAAGCACAGATCAAACCAATCAGAGAGCGAGCCGTTCACAGAGCCTTTTCGAATGACGTCATCCTATTTGACATTCAAAAACTGATCAGACTATAAGCTTTCAATTATTGGCGTCATAAATGGAGCGCTTTTCCCGCTTGATTAATGCTGGAAATTTTAGCATGGGCTGTCAAATTCAGTCCATCATTTTTATATAGTCTATTCACGGCTAGCCTGAGATATAAAGGGGCGTGGCCTTTCCGCGCTCTCCACCAACCAAGCACTATCTCATTTTTCTCGCGTTAAGACCCTTTTTTCGATGGCCAAGCGAGCTATAAAGTGTTTTTCTATGGACCTAAGTCTATTACACATAAAATTGTCTGTTTTTCCAATTTTTTTTTTGCCTTTCCAAGCCTTTACCACTGACCAGGAGTCGTCAGAAAAACGATCGTTTGGCAGCTTTTCTTCCAGACCAATCTCCAGAGATCTTCGACCTCCGTTTGCCAAGTCGCGACTATGAATTCGTCGAGTCTATGGTGTCCCTGCAAATGTTCTCTTCCTAAATTTTCAGCTTGAGCTTCGAAAAACCGGCAAAACGAGGAAATCGGTGTTGACGACGCAGGCCGGGGAATGACGACACTCGCAAATGTCCTGAAAAAAGCTTCTTTTTCGGATTTCCTGCGGTTGAAATCACTTCAAATTGCATTTGGAGCCGTGTCTTGCCGCTCATGTTCTCTTCGGCGAGGTAGTGGAGGTACCTGAAATCCTTTTTCATGAATGAATCAAAGATATTCGGAGATCGACCGCCAAATTTGACAATTAATCCTAAAATTGCGGATCAATTTTTCATCTTTTTAAAAGCAGGTTAAGAAAATGAATAGGTTTCAAAAAAAAAATCCTCGTAAAAGTTGGAATCGAATGTTTTTTTCAAAAAGCTTCAAATTTTTTTACAAGCTCAGAGTCAAAACTTTCGATTCCAAACACTACGAAAGATCCAGAAAAATGAATTAAAATGTCCAACTTGTTTTCGCTCCTATTTTAATCATGAAGAAAGGCTCATTTCAAACAAATTTCTCTTTGAAAAAAAGAGTATGAAAAAAATTTTTTTGCTATAAGATCGCTCAAAAATCCTCTTTTTATTTTTTTCAAAATTTTTTTCTATGCATGAAGACAACGTTTCAAGAGGTTTTTGTAGAGCAGAAAATCAAAATATTTTGATTTAACGGACTTTCTAGCTCTTTCCATCGAACAGGCCATAAAAAACGGCAAAGAACTTCAAAAATTTCAAAAAATCAAACTTTAATACAGGTTTTTCACCAGGATATTTCGGAAAAACACTCTATCGAGCCCCCAGAAATCATCTCTATTCACCTCATGAAGAGATCAGAATGAACCCGAGTGATTCCATGGCGAATTAGTTGACGAATCGCCTCATGGCAGAACACGTATTGTTCCTATAATTGAAAAATTGAATTTTTTTCCAAAAAAGGTCGAACCAAAGTTTGGACGAGCTTCTCCCGCTGCCGTCGCATATGTAACAAGTGACCCAAGACGTTTAACCTTCAAAAACAATTTCAAACGGTTCTTGAGACTTCTACCAACTTCCTGAAGTTGACCAAGTGGCGTCGCATGCTATCAAGAAGAATATAAGAGCCTGATCGGCCGACACCCGCACTGCAATACAAAAAAATACACTTTTTTAGAACTTATCCAGAGTTTTAGATAGCTTTTGACCCGCAAAATCTTTAAGCTCTCGATAAAAAATTTCGTTTCTAGATTTTATGGGAAGAGTTTGAATTTCAGGTCGTTGAAAATTCGTAAATTACTAAATCTGAATTTAATTTCACTAACTTAGAATCACTAACTGTCTCGTTAACTTATTCAATTTATTCTTTTTTCGGTGGAGCACACTTGATCTCTTCCACCGAGGCCGTTTCATAGGGAATCCCGTTTACGTTGAAAAAAAATAAGGAAAAACCACAGTATACACAGGTTTTTTGCGCGCTTCGTTCCGAGACCCGCAAGCTTTCGTACCTTTGATTTGCTTTAAGACCTGCTAAGAATAGGTATAAGGTATTTTTGTTATAGAATAAAACGTGACAAGTTATCTCAACTTCTTTTTTTTTTCTTATTCTAGCAAAAATTCTCTATAAATTTGTCGAAAGAGACACTTTTTGGTTTTATTTTTTATTTTTCAGAAACCGACCTGCAATGAACGACAATAGGACCCGTAGACTGGATATCTGAGACATAATGGACGAAATCAAGCAAAGGAAAAACGGTGGCGGGAACTCCGTGGTCCGGCCAGCCGGTGAAGTGCAACTGGTGCACTTTGCGCTCCGTCTGAATATATAAAATTCGTTCGTTAATATTCACTTTTTTAAAATTCTATGCCAAACAAGTAAATGTTTAGAGATATTGGTTAACTAGACTCTACTATTCCTAACTGTTTCATTACGTTTTTTTTCCTTTTTTTAATCTTAAAAATCATGACTAAATAATGATTTTTCGCTGAAATACTGGGATAGTTTAAGGGAACAGAGCGCTCGAAACGTTCTCAGATTTTGAACTTTGAGAAAACAGTAAGACCGTCATTTTTGCATTCTTCTAATGGTTTTCTGCGAAGCTGAACATGAGACTTCCGCTTTTTTTCTGCAAAGCTAAACATAAAAATATCTAACAATCGTAATTCATTCTACTATTCTATTCGAATTTCACCTGCGGAACGCTTTTCGCTATTCGAAGACAAAGGGTTCGATGTACAAAGTGAGCGTTGGAGGTTTCAGAGACGAGGCTAATCTGAAGCGATTTTTTATCGGAAAAGTTCCATTTTTTAATCGATAAACCTCATAGTTCCCATAGGTCTGGTGGGCATTCACATTTGAGGGCCAGTACTGATCGCATTTCCTCTGAAAAATATGAAATTTCGGACGAGAAAAGAGAAAATAACAATGAGAAAGTCCTTCAATCTAACTCTTCATTTGTTTATCAGGGAGATGACCATCAGAAAAATTCGGAAATTATTTTTCATGTGAATGAAGCTTGTTAGGGAATTATCAGAGTTGCTAATTATTATTTTCTCACTGAGCTTCATCCTTGTATGAAAACCCGACTATTCAGGCATTTTAGAGCTGAATTTTGACAAAAATTCTTCAGAAGCATTTTTCTTCCTTTTACCAAACCCAACGCTTTTAAAAAAGACTTCCTAAGGAATATAAGTTCTAAGAGTTCTCAAAACGGACCCTGCCGTCCTCGACCATGTTGGTGATCATGACGACGATGCTGCATCTCTCCTGCCAGACCATCCCCCAGAAATCCTCGAAAGTCGACGGCAACGGGGCCTGCGTCGCAATGTAGGCGTGTCGTTTCTCGCACGACTAAAAATTGATGAATTATAATTTTTTTTTCTCGAAAATTCATTATTACGTCGATGTAATTGGCGTTGATGTAGTCATTTCCACCGTTGTGAGGCGAGTTCAAGCGAATCCGTGTCTCTTCAATCGCTCCAATGTTCATATATCTTTAATAATCATAGCATAAATCAAAGCCAAGCAAAGAAAAATATATCGGTTAAAAATTCAAGCCCATAAACTCATAAAATTATAAAACTTCGCTGCAATTTTTAGAAGCGACGTTCTGAGGAACCTCAGAGCGGTCCCTAGAGGGGTTAAGGAAAAAAGAAAGCCTTTATAGGGGAAAAAAATGGTGCTCGCCAGAGGGCTAGGTGCCCCGTATAGAAATCGAGTGTCTAACCCCTAAGCACCCGGGTCGTTATTTTTTGTGTCAGCTTTATCCAATAAGACCCTGGAAGGCTTGGGAACGTGTAAAAAACACGGATGGTATATAAACGACCGATGTGCCAACCAGTGGCAATCGCGAATTTCAGGTACATACCCGGTAGCAACCAGATACCGATCAGGTACTATCCAGGTACCATAGAGATAGTACCCGGTCGCATACAAATGACCACCGATTACGATTCGCCGATTCACTTGAGTTGCTACCCGGTACCTACTTGTATCTACCTCTCGATTCACCAGTGAATGAAAAAATCAAACGAACCGATTTTTCTCGACATTTTCACTGAAAGCGTCCGTCGTGTCGTGCTTTCCGCTGTAAGTCGCCTGCTCAACTTGCTGAAAATAGTAAAATTGATGAAGACAATTCAATACTAGATAACAAACCTGAAACTGTGCTTTGAACTTGGCATTATCGTTCCTTTTCAGGTCTTCGACGTATCCGTAGAACAACTCAACGGGAATATCTTCGTGGCCCACGGAATCTGGAAAATTTCAGAATTTCTTTAATTTTTTTCATTCTCCAGGCCCTACCATAAACTAACGGACTGACTTCCTCCAAATAGACGCATTTCTCTTTTTTCTTCAGGATCTGTTTGAAGTTGATGGATCTGAGATTGGAAATCGATTAGATTTTGGAAATGGGATAACCTTACCCTCGAGCTAAGTGAGCGATTAAGAAGCAGATCATGGCGAAAAGAATTATGGCGATGACGCCGATCAGAATCGAAATGGGCCGAGAAGAATCGAGCTGAAAACGAAAAGTCAACTAGAAAATTTTTTCCAACAGTTTCTTTTTCATTTTTAAATTTTTTAAGCGTTACTATAGCCTGAGTACCACGACTTGGAATGTCCCCGAACGACATTCCGCTGTACCGCTGCTCGCTTTTGCGAACCTTGGTCGCGCTTTTAAAATTTTTTTCCTTTTTTAAGGTACTTTCTTTCATGTGCTCCCACAGCAATAAAAATCAATTGAAAACGTGACCTAGATTCGAAAGACGCTTCGCGAACGCACGCAGCGGAACAGCGGAATGTCGTTCCTTTAAATTTCAAGTCGTGGCACACAGACTATATCTTTTGATGAATTAAAAAAATCAATTAATTATGTTCCTTTTTTACTGCCTGTTCCATTATTTTATCGGAAAACCGCTATGGAAAAAAATTTAAAAAAAAACTTTTTTTCGACATCATTAACGTATCAGAAAAAAATAAAAAAAGTACCTCAAAGAAAAAGAAAAATTTATTAAATTGCTTCGAGGCTATTTTTTTCACGTCTAATACTGATTCCTGTTCAACTTTTTATTAATCAAGAATAAATAAGCTTTTTTTGATTTATTACTTCACGCACAAGTTTTTAGAGTTAAAAGACGATAAAAAAATTTGGAAAATTTGAGATAAAAGCATATCAAAAAATCAAAATTTTTGAAACTAATCAATTTTCTAAGGTTTTTTTGACTGTGAAAATTCTAAAAACTAAAAATTACCTGCATTGCGAGTTTCAGGCAATTTCCGGTCGATCCAGAGCACAGAGACGACTGATAATTGCAGTTTTCTTGGAAAAAATAAGACATAGTTGATTTTGAGTGAGATTTCGGGAGTACCACTGAGCAAGAAGCGATTTTCTGGGCTCCAGGGTCCTTGTAGAAGGGTGAAATTGTCGGCGACACTTTTCTCGGAGACCAAAATCTGGACGGCGTACTCGTCGTTGAGCTTCAGGTCGATGACGTCCAGCTGGAAAATTGATATTCAGTGAGAAAATATTTTTTCTGTTCAATACTGGAACATTCATAAATTTGATAACTTTCAACTTTTCACAGCAGTTATTCGAAAAAATGCAGAAAAAAAATTTTTTTGAAGCAGTTAATTTTCAAGGTTATTTTTGCCAAATAAGGCTTCACTTAAAACGTCTTAATAGTCCTGAAAAACACGAACTTTTTCCAAGGAAGTGTTGAAAGTCATCGAGGAGGTCCTGTTGGCCACTTGAACCGTGTAGAGAGGTGATTTTCTAGAAATAATCAGAATATCAAGTCTATTTTTCATCAAACGTACTTCTGAGGATACTCCCAGGAAAGTTTGACGCCATTCTTGCAGTCAAATGCGATGGTTTTCAAGGTAGCTGTTCCAGGAACTGAAAAATCGATTTTTTTGAGTTTTTTCAGGTAAAGTTATCGTTACCTTCAACGTCAGTAGAAATCTTAACTTCGTCACTTTTCCGTCCTTCCCCGGTGCTTGAAGACGCCGACAACCGTATCAGATATTTCGTGGCGGGAGCTGGAAAAGTTCAAATTTTGGACCCACGATAATTATGGATTCATTTAATTTATCCCGCGAAAGAGACAGAATAAAGGAAACTACTTGAAAAATATCCAGAACAAGATTAAAAAAAAGGAAAATTTAATTATTTTTGATTAAAAAAAGGATAAGTTAAATTTTATTCTGTTCATCTCGTTTCAGAAAAAAATAAAATAAGGCAAAGATTTATCGAAAGTCCGTGCTGAAGTTATTAAAGGAGCATAGACTGATTTAATCAAAAGATCCCGGGGCGAAAGCCCGTTTTCAGTCCAATTGAATGTCATAAGAGAACTTAAGCATGTCAGAGTGGTAACTAGAGTGGCGAACCTAATTAAAGACTCTTTTAAAACAACCAAAAAGGCCTTTTTTTCTTGAAATGTTGAATATACAAATATAGATGTACAATTTTTATTACCTAGAGCACTCAGTCGGTACTTATAAATCTTGGGTCGAATTTTGCCGACACTGAGATGCTCGACCTGCCATTCTGTCGCCGATTCTTCCTGAAATTTGATCCTAATAAACTTTATTGGCACCTCTCCAACCCGATAGTACAAGTGATATTTGACAATATCGAGGGCTTTTCCGTCGGCAGAAGGGGCGGGCCAAGTGACCGTCACTTCAGGTTTCCCGACGACGGCACTGGCCGAGAAGTTCGACGGCGCCAGGTCGAGAAGATCGGGCTCGGTTCGGAAGACGGCGCGCGCCGGCGGACTCGTCCCGAAGCCGTTGTCCGCCTCGATCGTCATCGCGTATTCGGCCGACGACGTCAGGTCGCAGATCTTCAGCGATTCGGGAGTCGGTGACTTGAATCTGAACCGGAAATAACCTTGGAATTTTTTCTGAAGACGAATTTTTTAGCCCGTTCCGCACCAGCTTGTCACAATTTTTGAGTTATGACATATTTTTTTTATAAGTGATAGTAAATCGAGAATATCAAAATTTATCCAATGAGAGATTGAAAATATTGAAAAAAAGAACTGGTGATGTTCATATATACTTTTCTGTCAAATGTGGAGGCTTTTCCTTTTTGTGAAATTTCCTCAAAACCCACACTTTTCTGACAGGTTCCGTCTTGTTGATCATCTGCAGGACGACGACGTAAGCGACGAGGTCGCCGTGCATCTCATCTGGAGGCTCGACGGAGACCTCGACGCAGTTCTTCGTTGCATTCCTCACTCCGGTGATGTCAGGAGGTCTGACGGGAGCCTCTCCGAGTGTTCTGAAGGTCGTTTCAGGGCCGAAATCGCTTTCTCCGGCGGCATTCTCGGCACGGACGGCGAAGGCGTAGAGGGTGAAGGGGGCGAGGTTGTCGACGATGACCGTCGAGGCGTTGGAAGGAGCCGCCATGACGAATCTGGTGCTGTCGGCGACGGTGCGGACGGCCACGGAAAAGCGGAGGACAGGACGGTGGGCTCGAGCCGCGTTGTGCGTCCAGACCAGGGTCACCGACCGGTTCGAGAAGGCTTTCACTTCGGGGGAAGATGGAGGTACTGGTCGGACTGCAATATCGAAGTTTTTGTCGCCAAGTAAAATCTGGAATAATATTCTTTCCAATGATTTCTATTTTGGAAACTGAAAATCAACTAACACGGGAGGTCATTTTTTCTACAAAATTGCTCAAACACGCTTCAAATTTCTAGATCCCTCATTATCTACTTCATTTTCCATTTTTTTGAGTTATTATTTTTGAAAAAAATCGGGAAGTTGAGCTAAAAACCCACATTTTGCAAATTTACGATTCAAAAAATTTTTATCTTTTTTTATTAATGTAAAGCAAAAATTTAAATGCTTTTTTTGTGATTCGAAATAAAATATTTCGAATATATTGAACTTCTCGAAATCCATAAACCCTTCATTATGTTTTTGCTTGTCCTACCTCCATAATGTATTCACCCTAATCAGTACAGCCGCGATTTACGCGCAGTCAAGTCAAAACGTCGGGAACGCGCTAATCTTTTAATTATAAGCTGCGCGGCTATCAAAATTGACACCTGCGTGTGATTCCACCTGCGCGTGTGGTGTAATCTTCAATTGGATCCAGAATTTCTGTTAATTCTCGTTTGTTATGAGGAAAGGGAAGAAAATAGCTGCTGTTATAGAGTCCATTCTGCCTTTTTGCCGGCATTTTCTTACAGGAAGTTTTATAGCGGCTATTTTCTCTCACAAGGAAGTTTTTTTTTACTTTTCGGTCGGGAGTTTTCGAGAAATTCACCAAAACTCTCGTTGATGTATCAAATGAAGATCCTGAATTTTTCAACTTGCCCGTCTTTTTATTAAAAAAGGTTCAGTTTCAAAATAATCTCTTTTTACGGATTTCGATAAAGTTCTTCAACTTCTAGATATCCTTTCTCAAAAGCTAGAAAATTAATACTTTCAGGATTTTCTTCTGACTCTTCAAGAAGTTAGGATATAACTGAAAATATTATGTGAATATTATTCACCTATTCCTTATTCCATCTCTAAACCCCTTTTCCTGAGCGATTTCAGTAAGGTCATTCATGTCCCCCTATGTTTTGCCTAAGCTCACCGGAAAGATCCCCCCGAAAAGGTTACAAGCGCGCTTCGGACGGCCGTTCCGACGCGCCAAGAACACTTGAGTGGCGAGGCCTTTGTCCAGCCGGTCGAAAAGCCTCGCCACCTCACTTCATAAATGCGAGAGCCGCTGCTCATTTTCACGGCTCACGGAGCACGGAGCTCATTCGTCAACCGGGGCCGTTTATATCGTCCGCGACACTTTCGGAGCATGTTTTCGGCCAATTGTCCCGAGCTCGTTAATGATTTGTTATTTTGGCGGAGAACGCTTCCGTGCACGGAAGGTGTTTGAAAAATTGCACATTTATTATTATTTTTTAATCTTGTTGAAGCAAAAAACTGGGCAACGGTTTGGAGGATTGTACGGATGCTATGAACGGGTCAAAAAAATTGGAGATTTTTTTAGCAGATCTAGCGAATTAAAAAGAAGAAATGATACAAAAATAGAAAAGCACTGAACTTTTAGAACTTTTAAAAAATATTATTTGATTTCTTGAAACTTCTTTCGCAAGATAATAAGATCCACTGTGGCGTCACAAAATTATGTATTAAAATAATATTGAAATTATTTTTTTAAACGTTAAATAGTATCTCAAAAATTCAAAGTCTTTGTCTAAACCTATGTAGTTCAAAAAAACTTTACTTGGGCCTCAAAAAGGAGGTTTAAAAAAGTCTCGAAGCATTTTTTTTTCTGTTTTTTCCAGGTTATGCAAGCCCTCAGTGCCTAAAATAACACCTTAAAAATATCGCCTAGGTTAAAATTTTTCGAATAAATGTTTAATCCGAGAAAACAAAGAAAAATATTGGAATTCCAGAAAAAAAGCGATTTTTCTAGTCGGATTTTTTTACAATTTTTTTAATTGGCTTTTTCTTCGAAAATGCGGACGACTAGTCATCTTTCATGGATTTTCGTCATCCTCAACTTGTCAAAAACCGAAAATTCCCCTTGAAATTATCTCGACTTCCTGCTCGATTTCATCAAATGTTCCGTCATGTATGCTCGAATTCGTCGCGTCCACGTCAAGATTCTTATCTTTTTCCGTCAGATTCCTCGGGAGCTCATGTCCTTTTGAGACTTGTGCACGATTTCGTCAAAAGACAAGAAATTCCCCGTTTAGTAGCTTCGAATTGAAAAATTTAGGCACTTAGAGAGAACCCAACAGGAAAGGTGACCGCAAATGGTGCAAAACACTTGAGAAGCCAAATCGAACCGGGTGTCACATGCATAAAAGAGCTCGGCGATTATTCAAGGAGGTTTCAATTCCTATTTTCGTTGAGAAAATTTAGAATTCCTTCTGTTTTTGATCTAAAAAGTTTCGAAAACTGAAAACCCTGCTTCTTGAAGCTTTTGGAGAGTTTTTTTTTTTTGAAAATATTTTATCGATTTCGTACTCCTTATCATTGGTTATAACTAATCATGGGCTAAAAAAATAGTGAAATTTAGAGACTTTGGAAAGTTTTTTTGGAAAAAATTATGTAAAGACTTGCTGTTTTCAGTTTTTTTAGATGCGAAAATTTTTTTTTAGGAAAAATGGACAAATTTGTACATTTTTCGATTATCTTGTCAATTTCTCAAGCAAATATTTAACTACATACATAACTAAGAAAAAAAATTTTTTCCTTTTTCCTAGTTATGAAATCTCAAAAACCATTTCATTTCTAATCTGCCGCATCTCCCTCAAAATATCCATTCTGCTCCATAAAACTCAAAATAAAGGTCATACAAAGATGAAATTCGCAGATGCGGGCAGATGGACCGAAGAAAAATCGGCAGCGGTTTTGAGTTTTAATCCCCCAGTTTCGGACAAATTGCATTTGACGCATGTTTCTCAGAGATTTCAATCTCCCGCGGGGCAATTAACCGTTGAGTAAGCGACGCAAAAATCACGCCAATTTGCAACTATCAGGAGAAAAAAGAAAGCAAATTAGCATAACGCGTGACTTAACAAACGGATAATTGGCGACTAACCCATAACAGCCAATTCTTGTTGAGCCGTTGAAAGGGTGACGGCAAACAACGGATCGGTTTCCAGGCGACAACGGTAGGTTCCAGAATCTTCAGGAAGGACGGGGGACACGCGAAGGCCGTAGAAGGGCCTTATGAGTTCGTACCGGGCGTCGGATACCCACCATTGTCGTGAAGAGTCTCCCAAAGCGTCCTGAAATGGAACTGATGAAAAAGTGAATGGAAATTGGACTATTGCAGCATTTAATTTATTTTTAATGAGCAATGAAAAGGTTCAATGAAAAGGTAGAAGATTGACTTGATCAATGAGAAAATAGATATTTGCAGAATGGGATAAAACATGAAATCTTTTTAAAATCGGAAAAGCCAAAAAAAAAATTTGTGATCCGAAAAAGAAGTTTTCGTCCCGAAAGGCTCAAGTGCGCCCTACTGTTCTCGACAAAAAAATATAATTTTTTTTTTCACTTCTATTGATTATTTGATATTTCCATATATTTCCAACACGATAATAAATAAATATAAAAAAAAATGTCGAAAAAAACCAAAAAAAAAAAAGCAAAAGACGTTTTTGATTCCACGCCCTCATTTTTGCTCTCATCTGCTAAATTTGACTCAATCCATCTCTAAAAGTCTCCAAATGTCGTGCTAACACGTGTTTCTAATTCAATTCGTCACTAATATTCCCTGGAACTAAAAAAAACCTCGGCTCTGTTTTGTGGCCGGCCTAGCCAGTGTAATTATGCAAAACTACATAATTTATGATACGGCAGCAAGAGCCAACGGCAATTTTCGCCTAATTTCCCACTTCCCGAGAAAACCTTCAATCGACTACACTTTTTAGAGCCCAATCTGTGAGAAGAAACGTCTCGCGATCTGCGGAATGTTGTCACGTCCTCAGGATGGGCACAAACATTCGGAAATTCAATCCACCACGGCTACAACTCCATTTCATGGGCTTGCCAGAACAATGTATAGTCATAAAAGTATACATTTCAATCTTCAACACGCAAGTTTGTCCACTATAACCATTTTACGGGCGCATGTTAACGCAAAAGTCATGGCTTGGCAGCCAGTGATCAGGTGGCCGAGTGGTTAAGGCGATGGACTGCTAATCCATTGGGGTTTCCCCGCGTGAGTTCGAATCTCATCCTGATCGAATTCCTTTTGCCATTTTTTTGCAAGAAAAAATTGAATTGCACCGTTAGTTAGAAAGCATATTCAGTTATGAATTTTGTTTCTTTCACTTTTTCGTGGCTTCAAAATGCAGAATAAAGTTATTTTGGACTCAATTCGACAAACGCTAGCGTTACCTTGTAAAAAAATATTTCACAGCTATCGAATGGTATAAAACTATATAAAACTGTTGCCCAGTGATTATTAATTTTTTATTTTAGAGATTCGTGACATATCTGGAGTTTTTAGGAATTTCTAAGCAAAATCTGTACTCTCGGAGTCCTTTTTTTGAAGGTATTTCTTTCAATTTTTCGGCTTTCCAACTTGAAAAACAGCTGAAAATAAGTGGGGAAAGCCTTTTTTAAGGAATTTATATAGCTTTGAGAGGAGAAACTTCAAAGGGGTCGTTTTGAATCCTCCTTTTGCCAGTTTTCCACACTTTTGTGAGAAAAAGCCACCCGCTGAGGTGTGGATCCGCTTGTAATTGGCCATTAACAGACACGGTCCCACTCTCCAATTGAATCCCAATCAACAGTTGGCAAACACGACTGGACCCGCCAACATCTGCCGGGTCCGACGAAAAAGGAAAGGATTGGCCGGATGCCGCCGTGCAATCTGAGCGGAGACGTTTTCCGCCGGCCCCCCTTCAATTCTCTCCTGTCTGTGTATTTGTTTTGTTTGATGTGCCCACGGATGGTTGGACTGATTTGCATGTAACACGGAGGAGAACCGACGCGGGTCAATTCCGGTCAAACAAATTGTTTGTCCGGCCGTCGCCCTGGGTTTTTGGCACGACTTCTGACTCAGCTTTTTGGATGAGTTCGACGAGAAGTTGGTCAGCAAGGTAAATATCGCATCGTCAGCGGAAGGTAAACTTTTTGGATATGAGGAGGTCATGAGATAAGGAGAGGAACTTGCGAAAAAGGTAACTCCACTTCGGCTTTTTTCTAAAATTTTCTTCAAATTTCTTGGGGTAGAGGAAATGGAGATGAAAGTTTGAGAAAAATGATTTTCGGTCTTTTTCGTTCATTCGGTAGGCTTCAAATCTCATAGGATCATCAAGAAAATGGTAAAAAGGTGAATTAAACTTATGTTCAGGTCTATCAAAATTTGGTCAAGTTTTTTTGAACCAGATTTTTAACCTTTCAAAACCGTATGAAACGCAAAACAAAAATAAATCCTTATTAGAGAAAAAAACCAATTGAAACGTTTTAAAAATATTATGTGCTCTTTCTGAGTAACTTAGAGTGGTTTTGACATTTGACTGGCCACCATAACAGTCGAAATAGTGGTCACTTGAGTGGCTAAGATTCAGTGGCCTCTTAAGGAGTCTAAGTGGTACTACTAGATCACTTAAACTACTGTAGTACCCACTGAGACGCAAAATAGTGGATTCTATAAAGGTTGTTCCAGTGGCCACTTTAGTGTCCTCCCAAGTAGTCTTTGAGAAACTTTCTAAGTGGCCACTAGAGTTTTTCTCAGAAAGCTAAAGTTACTTTTTTCAATACTTCCCCTCCTCAAAATTCCGTACAATAACCGACAGAGTCTCCCTGAGATTAGCCAGTCATACTCAGAAGCGCATCCGATTGAGACTCCTGCCTTGTTTTTGAACGGAACGCGAAAAAAAAATTAATTAGACTTCGTAGGAGAAGCTTTGTGGCAGGAAAAAGGAAACAAAGTGCTCAAATATGCACAAATCGGCGAGCCTTCCTCCCCCCAAAAATAATTTGGATCTTGTAAGCAGTGCTCTTTCTTATTCGCGCCTTCTCGTATCAAAAATAAGGCGTCTGCAGGCCGTCTTCGTTGCAAAAAGACGGAGGTCCTCGAGTTACGAGAAACGGATATACTTCGCTTCCTTTTCCACGTTTCAAGAACAAAAAAGGAAGAAAAGACAGACGAAATCCGCCGTGGGAGAAAGTCTGTACTTGAAATTTTTGAGTAGAAAGTTTTTGAGCGAAAAAGTTCAGAAAGCGGTGGTTTCAAAGAAAAAAAAAATGGCTGACTGAAATGAATTTTTCATAGTTTCACTGTCGTCAGTATTGAGTTCCAAAAAAAAATTAAAGAAAATTGAAATTTCGCAATGAAAGCCTTCAGTTTCTGAAAGGAATTAAGAAACTGAAAAAAAGTGACTCAACCAATTATCTTCTATAAAACTGAGAAAAACTTTTGAAAAAAAAATTTAGAGCTCACGGTCTCCAAATCTGAGCTTCAAGGCAGCTGAAAACCGAATTGTTTACCAGAAAATACCATTTTTTTTTGTTTTTCATGGATCTTAACAATGAAATGATCTTTGAAAGCTCCGTAAAGATGTCAATGAATGGAGTACTTAACAAAGAAGTGTGAAATTTCAGACTTTTCAACCTTTGTGACTTTTATTTCTCGGAAAAATGGCAAAAAACTGAACGAGATTGAACCATCCACCTTCGTCACCAAACCCACATCCAAAGATACAGTTTTTCAGTTGATCTCCACTAAAAGTCCACAGCCAATTACGGCCTTCTCTTGGGGGGATTCCGTCCAATTCGCACTTCCGATGGCGACTTTGTCATCCATTCACAACACTTCATCTTCATCCGGTGCCCGAGTCGCCATTAATCCTTCACCCAAAATGGACTCGCGCCTCCCGAAAAGAATTGCGATGCTAACAATAGTCCTGGAACTTCGGAAATTCAGCCAGCTACATTTTGTACTTTATGGGAAGCTGATGGGGAAAAAGAAAGGTACTCAAGCCAAAAACTTGATCAGAAAAGAAGAAAAAAAAATATTCGAGGAATTGAAGAGATTTTCAAAAAATCAAAGATCTTATGAGAATAAATGTTTCAGCTTCTTTTTTTAATAAATTAAAAATTTGATTTATCACCTTTGTAACCTTACTTTTGTACGACACTCCGCTAGAACGCACGAATTTCGCTTCAAAAGTTTTTTTCGAATTTTTCGAATTTTTTGGGGTTTTCAACGATTGAAGGCCTCATCGAACTCAAAAAAACCTCCTCTCGAAAAAAAAAACTTCAAAAACCTAGCAAACGGAAAAAAATGACTTTGAAAATTATCCTTTTTTGAGCGAAGCTCCCTCCGAGGCTTGTCCAGCTATTCCTTGCCTTTTTTCTCCCCTCTCCAAGTCCAACAACTTCCTCAGATGAGTAACATATGGTTAATTGTGGGTGGGTCATGGATATCAGGGCCATAATGTCTTAATTGACAGACGGAGTCGACTCGACGGGTGTCGCAATATTGTGCGCCAACGCCTGACAGATATACGGCCGGGGCTTGATCAATCTGAATTATCGGCCCTTTCTCATCGAATTTCACGCCCGAGACTTTTTGTTTGGCTTCCTTTTCTTGGTTTTACACTTGAGGAGGTCAAGAAGAATGGCCGAAAACTTGGCTCATTAAACGGCGATTCGCCCACCTGCTGAGCTTTTGTCTCCAGATACTCAGGAGCCACTTGGGAAGAGCTTGAGTTAGCAAGTTCAGATATAGACGGTAAATACGAGAAGAAATATAAAATTGAGGGATCTTCGCAATGGAGCACACTTACTTGGATGGAAACGTCTCCATCCTTTAATCATTCCCTTTCTAGTTAAAAGGAGCTTGAAACCGTCTGAAATCCTTTCTCTCTATTCGTTCGTGAGGCACACTTTTTAATTAATTTTTCAAGGTTTTTTGTGATCTCGACGGTAAGAAAAAGAGAGTGCAGACAGGTCAGACGCATTTCAACGATTTTAAAAAATCGCGACGAAGAAAATTTCAAAAGAAAACTATTCAAAAATCGGATACTTGTTGATATTCGCAGTTGCTCGTACGAAATCGGCTGCTGAGCGATCCCAGTCTGTCAACACGGCCGTGGATGCCCATACAAGACTCGACATCCGGCTAAAACGGCCGAGCCATTGCGCAACCTGCGCTCCAACGGCTACAGTAAACCAAGATTGTTTGCCGTCGGGATCGAGTGTCGCCAAAAACGAGGCGTGATTGGCGTGAATTATTTATTAGCCTCGTGTTCACGCGCCGTTTTTTTTTTCAACCTCCTTCGAAGATATTTCGGCCGCAGAAGCAAACAAAGGCTTTTCGTACACCTCAGAATGAAGTTCCAAAAAGAAAATAGCATCTAAAAACTGATCTTTGAAGTTGGAGGAAAAAAAAATTAGAAGGTTTGAGCCTCGGCTTTTTTTTGGAGTAAATTTGCCCTATTAGAAGGATATATTTTTCAGTTTTTTGAAAAGAAGTTCTGCTCAGAGGAAAAATTTAATAGAGAAGAATTAATAAATTTAGGAAGTTATACTTCTTCCGGCGGCACTTAATATAGTCTGAACAGTCTGTGTTACGCTCTATTGCTTTAAAAAAACATTTATCGATTACTTGGACCTTAGTAACGAAAATCGGACGTGTCTGAGCAATTCTAGGGATAACTCAAGGATCCTAAAGCTACTAATGTGGTCCCTAGAAATGTTCCGACACACCCGGGGCGCGTCCGGTTCGCGTTACCAAGACCCTAGTAATTATAAAATAGTTTCACCAAGAACTTTTTTCACTTGTTTCAAAGATGTTCAGCACGGCTTAATGGTAATCCTTGTTTCCTGACCAAACTAGAAACACTTTTCCGCGTCTCTGAAAGTGTCAGGGGGTCGCAGGTTCGAACTTGACGGAGCACGTCGAGACTTGCCGAAATCAGACGAAAGAGCCGTCGAAGGGAGAGCCACGGCTTCAAATAGTATTTCCTGAGCGTGCGAGAGTCGTTTAGATGATGTGCTGGATGATGAAGCACCGCCGTCCGACCGCCGAAATCGCCGCTCAACTCTCTTTTTCCCTCGAGTTGGTTCGGGGAAAAAGAACGGGTCTGGTTTTTGGAGTTTCATGACGGAATCTGGAGACCAGGATTACATGTTTTTTTTTGTTTCCGTTCCGCCAAGTGTTCGTCAATATTTTGGGAAGGATTGAGTTGGAAATGTGTAAAAAAAGAAACTTCCAAATAAAGACTTCATCCGTCGCTTTGAGACAGTCTGACATGTCTGCGCTCTCTTCTCCCTCAGCAGCATGGTCAGATACGCAGGAGAAATAGGAAATGCAAAAGAGAGCGCAGACGCGTTAGACTGTCCACCGAATGATGCAAAATATGAAAACGCTGCCTATCAGAATTTTTTTCCGAGCTTTCTTTTGAGTAATTAAAATGAATGAATAAATGAGAAGGGTATTATCAACTGGCGTTATTTTATAGATATTTTGAGGATTGGTCCCATTGGATTGCTCAAAATTGATGATTTCGCCAATAAAAAATGAGCGGAACTAATTTTTATGCGTTCTTGTGTCATAATTATCGTTGCGTGTGAATTATTATGACTTGAAATTTGCACTATTCCTTCAAAAATGAAAAAAAAAATAGTCAAAAAATTCAAAAAATTAAAAAGATCTGCTCCAAACTGAAACATCTTTAAAGGGCAAAAAATTGAGGCTCCCATAACTTTCCTGCTTTTTTTTTTAAAATTAAAATCAACCAAAATTCTTTCGAAAAAAATTGGGCCGTTTCAACTTTTCAGCTTTTTAAAAAGGGAGAACTGAACACTTCTCGAATTCTCAACCCAATAACTCCATAAAGACCAAAATAAATTCCATTTCTCCATTCAACCTTCCAAAAAAAGCCCCAAAAAACCTAGCGAAAGGAGCTGTTTTTTTCTTCTTTCTCTCCAAGTCCATCAATACCTTGGGACGTAGTTGCCGTCAATTGGGCCTCCAAAAACTGGAGCGAATCTCGGCCTAATGGGCCGGCAAAAGGCTCAAAACAGGGGAAAGACGACGAAGCTTAACCAAATAGATGAGTGGAGAGCAACTGATGCGGAAACGCCACGCGACTTTCAAAAAGGTTCTCTCCGTTTGGAACGCGCGAAAGGGCAATTGGCAGGCCAAGGAATCCTCGTTTAACATGTCCCTTTTTAGAAACATACGTCTACGGATCAGCAAACTTCTCAGAGGAGCAAAGATTATCCATTTCGGCCCATGGGAACCGTAAAGAATTTGGAAAAGGCAAGGTTTTGGGAAAACTTTTGGTAGCCACTTTAATGTTCTGCGTTTTAGTGACCTCTTAAGTGACTGAACTCTAGTGGCGTCTCTGAGAGTCTAGAGGGTACTACCAGATGACTACAACACTAAAAAAATTACTCTGGTGGCCGCTGAAACGCAAAATAGTGGTTTCTCGAAAGGTGGTCTTAGTGGCCACTTTAGTGCCCTCTTCAAGTAGTCTTAATAAAAGCAAAGTCGCTCAAGGTCGGGCGCAGATATGGTCAGTATGAAAGCGCAGAAACTATTTAAGATTTACGAGCACATAATCTTTTATAGCACGAAAAATGAAAATAAAATCTCTTATCAATTTTATATTGCAAAATACATCGAAAAATCGTTTAATGTGCTGAATCCGTAAATTAAGAGTTTTGCAAAATTAAACAAAAAGTGAAATTGGATCAAGTGGAGTTTTTTTTTGCTTTTTCTGGATACACTATAGCAAAATGAAGGTAGTAGGAAAATTTATGTTTTTCTTTTTTTGCTCAAACCGCCACCCTTCTCAGCTTTTTTTGGAGTCGCTCGTAAAAATGGAAGTTTCCAGGACAACTTGGTGAAATTTTAGGGTAAATTTTGAAAGAAAAAAATCAGTGCAAACAGAAATGATGAAAAATTTTTCTAAATATTTCCTACATACAAGTTGCTTTTTTTGCTCAACCTATCTATCGCTTTTTTTCGATTTGTTCCGAAATGAAAAGCCACGAAAAAAAGGCAAAGTTCGTTTTCGCGCCAGAAAATTGAATTTTTTTGGTGGCAGTTGTTGCACCTATCACATTATGTGGTTGGAACGAAAACCTCAAAAAGAAGTGAATTTGTAAAAAGAAAATGTTTTTTTCTTCTCTTTTTTTGAAAAGATGCGCTGAACCGCAGGAACACGTCCCATTGTGACACTGAAAAGCTCACATAATAAAGTTTTTTTTTTTTTGAAGTTGAAAAAGAGAAAAAGTTCCGACTCAGGAGTTCGTGACAAAAAAGGAAGGAAAATGACGCAAAAGATGTTTCAGAACATTCTAATCGAATTAGAATCGAGTTCAGGAAGTTTGCATGAATGTAAAAAAGGAAACGAACTCGGAAATGCAAAAAATAGCATAGTTTGAGTAACTCACAGAAAAAGATTCAAAACTTGAGAGAAAAGGAAAGAAATTTTGTCAAAAAAGTAGGAAAAGAAAAAGAAAAAGATAAATTCAAGAGAGACAGAAATGAGGTTAAAACGACATGAAAATTGTTCAATTTTCAGAAAATAAGTTTTAAATGTTTTGATGCCAAAAAGTAATATACTTTTTCCCAAGATGAAAAAAAAGAATTCAGATCAAAAATATCTCCAGAAAATATTAAACAGTTTTCCACCACGCTATGTAAAAATTCTGACTTGTCTGTACTCTCTTCTCTCTCGTCAATGAGAGAAAAGAGATCTCACACCGGTCAGCGAAACTGTTCAAAAAATTTTCGTTTCAAAATGTTGAAAAAAAATTATGATGAACAGAAACAAAATCAAATAGAAGGAAAGGAAGAGAAAACGGACCTGCTGGTAGGTGGCGACCAGAGAATCGTCGTGGAACCAGTCGAGACGACGGACGAGACGCGGCGTCTCGAAGTCTGGCGCCATGTGGGTCCTGATGAAGGACTCGGCCGGACCGCACTTCAGAATCGTCTCCGTCGGCGAGCCTTCGACGGTCCTTCGGACGATCGTCGTCGCGTCCGACGTCGTCAGAAGAAGGAGAAGCAGAAGCCATGGCGGCGTCATCGGTTTCGCATGTCGATTTAGGCGGATATGCTCTGAAAACAAAGTTTTGAAACTATAACGAAGTCATGAAATGTTGATACCACGTTTGACCCTATCGACGTTTTGAAAAATGATAAAACGAACTACTATGAAATGAAGAAAAATTTCAAAAAATGGTTGAAATGAATAGGAACTGTGAAACACAAAAATACCGTAACAAAATGGCTTTAAAATGTTGGAAAAGTTCAAAAATATGAGTCGAAAAATTACGAATTTAAGTAAAAAAGCAAAAATATTGGAAAAATAGAAAAATGAAAACTTTAAACCTTTAAAAAAATCTTTCTTATGCAAGCGAAGTAATCACAGAAATTTTTTTTAGCTCTTCCACTTGATTCCAAAACGAGAAAAGGTTCAATAATAAGTTTCAAAAAAAAGATTTCTTGCCCAAAAAATAGTTGAACGTTCATTTCACCAACAGAACTTTTTTCAATGGAACAATATAAAAAAGAAATACATTTTTGAATTTTTAAAGTTTGTGCAAAACAAACCTTTAATTTAAAAAAATTCGTCAAAAAAAACTCTGAAAATTGAATTTTTTAGAAAAAAAAACAGAGAAAAACGAAGTACGAAATGGGATGAAGTGCAAAAGAGAGAAGTAAATAATTGGAGAGTTGTGACGCGAGCCGATAATTGCTCACTTCGGGAGCGATCAGAGAAAAAAAAGAAATAAAATTGTGTCCTCAACCATTTCGAAACAAACAGGAATAATTGAATAAATGAATAAGAACAATAGGAATCGGCTAAATATTCATTGCGTGGGAGCCGATCGGTCAGAAAACGGGGCTCTCTTTTCTGGAATGGGCGGCGACGACTCCGCCCACTTTTCTCAAGCGACGCTCCGCCCACATCTGCAATTTGCATAACACAGGAGAATGGGATTAGCGTGCGTGGCAAAGTCGTCGCTTCGTGTTGGGATAAGGCTCGGGCCAATAGAAAAGAAAGTCCATCGGTGGATTGTTCCGCCAATGAGCTTCCAAATAAGGAGGTTCCTCGCCGGAAGTGCGAAATGAACGGAACTTCTATTGCTCGGAATCAGCTTGAACAAGGGAGATTTTCGAACATTTATCATGTTTAAAATTCATTTTTTGATTTTTAGAGCATCATCGAAACATTTTGAAGAGATTAGTCTTTTTTAATTTTGGTTCATACAAAAACTAAGCATGAAACTTTGAACTTAAGGAAAATTTTAACGAAACAAACATATTTTAAGGATATTACGATATCGTTGGAATACGTGTTCCGAATACAACTGTTTGCACAACAAACGTAAAGTTATACGAAAATTTTCTTTTATTTTTTCAATTATTTTTTCTCTCTTTTATTTTTGACACTTGTATTTAAGCGCCTACGTTTTCAATATTAATATGACATGGTTTTATAAATTACCAATTTTCCCTTGTTTCGCAACTTAACGGTCAAAAATTTTTTCCGTTTTTCATGGAATGGTTGTTAATCGTTTGATCGGTTGTGTTCCATCTGATCTTCTGTATATTTGCCTGTTAAGATATTCGTTTTTTTCGATAAATTTTCTAGAATATTAAGGCTTTTTTTAAAGATTTTATCTTTAAGTTCAGAGTATTAGGAAGAGCGTCTCATGATGGTCCTGAAGAGGAAACGTTCTCTCATAAAGCAGGTCTGAAAATGTTGTAGGGGGAAGGATTACAATAACAAGTTGCTGCAGCGACATTGAATATGAAGTAAGTTTTTTTTAATGAAAATCTTGAGAGTTCTGCATTTAAAAAGAATTACTCTTTGATATATTCGAAGCCTGGCTCAGATATTCCAGGATAGAATACATAGTTTGTATTTTTATCTGAAGAACTTTTTGAAAAATCAAACTTAAGATCGACAAAGCGATGAAAGTAGCATTTTCCTCTCACTAACCAATTTTCCTTCATTTTAAAAGTTCGAAAAGAAGATTTGAGTTTGAGAAAGTTTTTCAAGGACTTCAAGTCAAAAATCTTGCACCACTTGTAGTTTTTGCGTCTGAAACAAGCTTGGAAAAAAATGTAAATTCAGAGAAGGGATCTCGAATTTTCAAAAAAACAAAAAAAATTCTTGTTCACGTTAAGGATTTACATGAAACTTGAAGAAGAATCCCTCATTTTGAAAAAAAGGAAAGGCTGAATATTAGATGAAGTGGACTTCTCTGAGAAAGTGTGGTCGGAAATGCTCAAGACAAGCCAACAAATGTTTTCCTGAACAATCGCGATGCAAATTGCAAGGCGGAACGCAACGTTTCGACCATCTGCAAGCCATTTTTCACGTTTCCTGCCACAAAACCGACTACCAGCCGCCGAAATTATTTCTGGCTTCTTTCCAACTGTTTCTACAATTTGTACGTTGTTTGAAAACTGGTTCGAAACCGAGAGAGAAAAAAAAGCGTCGGCAAAAATTATTTCTTATTTCTCCAACGCTGAGATACTAACTTACTTCCCGTGGACTAATTATCGAGAATCGAATTCCAATTTGAATCAAGATATTTTCCCATGAAAGATGTTTCCAATCGAGGAATGAGAAAATGATGTCGATATTATTTCTATTCTTCCACGATGCGGTCTCCTGTATGGCGCCTTCTTTCTCTTTTTTTTCTCGCTGTATTTCCAACTTATTCTTTTGCCCTCGACTGTAGGGCAGTTTTGAATGAAACCTCAATCTACAATAACTATATAAAGGTAAATTTTTGGACATTAGGTCAGTAAGAAGAGCTTCGAAATGAAAAAAACCGTCTCCGTAACTTTAAAACTTTTTGATTTATTTTTCTCAAATTTTTTTCAAGAGTAATATAGCAATCTTTGTTAGCCAATAATCCACATATTTTTTTCAGATCCAGATGAAGTTAAATAAAAAGAAACATCGAAAATCAGGAAATTAAAAAAATAAGTTAGAAAGGTCCATTCACCTTTACTTTTACTTCTTTTTGAAAGAACCTCACATTTCTTAATCAGTGTTTCGAAATCACTGTTCCTCACAAAACTTTTTCTTCAGCTCCAAATATATTTTTAAGAAAAATCTTCACAGAATGGTAGTCTTATCTCAAACTTTACTTGTTACTGACCATATCTCTAAAATTTATGCCTTGAAACTTGATAATAAATTTACAGAGCCCGCATAACGTCATTCTGCCTTCAAACGAACAGTTTGTGGAGTGCGCCCTGACGAAAGTCAATGGAACATTCAAATCGGCGGTCGTACATCTTGTGCACTTGGCTTTGAACCGATTAAACAGTGAAATTTGCTCGTCGGATTCGATAGGAAGAAGAATGACTTCAACGGTTTCTTCTACGTCAACCACTCCCACCACGCCAGCCACAAAGTCCACGTCTTCTACAACCACGCCGACCACGACGACTTCAACGACGTCAACGACAACGTCTCCAGCCGTAACGTCTACGCCTTCTACAACCACGTTGACCTCGACGACTCCAGCCACAACGTCTACGTCAACCACGACTTCTACCACGTCAACGACGTCTTCAACCACGACAACTACGACGCCCACTACAACCACAACCACTACAAGGCCTCTTGTCTGTAGGAATTACAGTTTTCGAATAAGAAATGCCTTGCCAAACAAACACGGGAAAATTCCGATATTCTTGGAAGAGAATCGTTTTCTTTTTCCTAGAGTTCCTGCCTAGAACTTTTAAAACCTAGAGCTCAACTTCATCGGTCTAGTTTGTAACTCTATTCTGAATTATAGTAGTTTCCTAGCGAGTCAAGGGTTTTAAAACCATTGTGTGCTGATCTGAGAAGGTCTACATAAAAATAGGAAGTTCCTGAAATTCTAGTTTACGTCATGACTGGAACAGAATGTATGTTAGAAAGCGCTTCTTTTTTTGTAAATTAAAAGTTCAATCGAACTTTGAGCTCTCAAAAAAAGAAATTAGTCTCTATAAAAAAACATAAAAACGGGATAATAAAAAAAACAAAAAAAGAGGAATTTTTTTAAAAACATGACTTTTTGTGCTACAGCGTGCCCCAATGGCTGGAACGCTTTCGCTCGTTCCGGTTACACCTGGTGCCTAAAGGTCAGACTTGAGAATGCTTCAGAATCAGCTCGAATCTTAGGTCTTCGCTTTCAACGACGTCGAGTACGACATCGCAGAACAGAAGTGCATGAGGGAGAAGACTTTGCTCAGCGCTTTTGAGTCTGAACAAGAGTGGGAGTTTATCAGAAGTAAGTCTCATGGAAATGAAGGCAAAAAGCAGTAAAATATAAATTTTAAATGAAAACGTGATTTTAGAAGCTGTCTTTTGTGCTTCAAAAACCGACTTTGTAATAGAACGAAGGGATGTATTTTAAAACAGTCTTAGGGACGCCAGAGTGGTCTCTATAGGGGTTGGGGGAAAAATAGTGCCTATAGGGATCACTCTGTCATTGCTATGTTTTTGACCCGAAATCTTTCGGTTTTCTTTGAGAGAAATGTGTAACATGAAACTTTGACGATGCTCATCGGCATCAGTTTTTTGAAAGTATTCGCTTTAAACTCTCAAAAAATTCACCAAGTCACCAAGAAAAAAAAAACTTGGAAATAAGAAGCAAAGCACATTTTTAACCTCTAGACGAAGCGAAAAGAATGGGACTTTTCGGGGAAATCTACGTCGGAATCCGTCGAGAAATCGGATGTATCAAAATCCAGCAAGTCAGCCGAGATCTCAATGCCCAGTGCAGTATCAAAACGGTTCTATTAATTCATTTGAAATGGAATATTTGGGACTTTAGGCCTTCAGACTGGATCCTTTCACCAAGAACGACTATTTCTACAACAAATGGAACAGCGGGGAGCCCAGCGGCAGTGATCAACGACGGGCCTACGTTGTCAACCTGTTAGTGATAAAATAAAAAAATTATTTAGTAGAAAATCATATCAGTTCATTTTTTTATATTTATATATATATTTATTTCATTCACAAGGAGAATTTTTCATTGAGATTCATTTTAGAAAAAAACACTTCTGAAATCATTTTTTTAGAGTAACAGCCGTCTCAATGATAATTTCCAACGACAACAGACATGGTTACCTCAAAGAGACCTTGTAAGTTTGAAACAAATTTTGGTTAGATTTGAAAAGAATTTTCTAACGACTTTTTTCTGGCATAAAATATGGTTTTTTTGAAAGAGGGGAATAAAAAAATTGCAAAAAAATAAGTGAATAAAGCGGAGAAAAAAAATAATCTCAGAAAAAAATTTTTCGCATCTTTTTTTAGGGACTCATTCAGAGGTTTTTTTAAATCGTTCGAAAAAAATTTTTTTCAGATTTTGCCTCTTAATTTTTCCTTATCTCACATTGCAGTTTTTAAGGCCTTTATTTTAATAAAATATAATAATAAATGAAAGTAATTCATTAGTTCCATTTATGGCATGTTCAACATGATTCCGCGAAATGCTAAATACCCGTTAGAAAATTTAAAACATAACTAAATTTTGGAGAGTCAGAGATAATTTTGCATTTCGCGGGAATTAGTCTGAACACGGCATAATTTTGACTACACAGAAGTCAGACTGAAAAATTCGGTCGGTTCGGTCGCTTTTTTATGATGCCTATTTTTTGAAGTTTTCAAATTTTGAAAGTTTTTTTTTGGCCTTCATAAGATGTTACGGTTCAAAAGCACCTATTTCTTCACCAGTTTTGAACTCAGTTTTCGAAAATTTGGTCATTAAATTTACAAATTTCACTCTCTTTTTCTAAACCTTTCTATTTTCGCCAAAAATGTGCTCTCAAATCTTAATTAACACTATTTCGCACTCAACATATTTTTGATTTCCGGTCAATTTAAAAAGGTTGACATGAAATTTATTGGAAAAAATACCAGATTTCCTACTTTGGGCTGTCAACTTTTGGTTTTTCGAAACTGAAAATCTAACCGCAATCGAGAATTCAACGCATTTTGGACACTCAAACAGTTTAGAACTAAAAAAAACTTCAAAGTTTTCAAAAATGGTCACTTTAAAGAAGCGTAAGGCCCGACCGGCTTTTCCAGCATGCCTTCTGAAAATGACAAGAAATTTCAGCAAACGACGCTGGGAATCCGACTTGAAATACGACCCTCGTGGTTTTGTCTGTGGTACCAAGGCCCGTTGAAACTTTTCAATAAAAAGAAAGAAAATAAATCTTTGACCCAATAACTTTGAGGAATAAATACACGTGTAAAAAGGCGTTTTCTCGGTCATTTTCGATTTCGAAGTCATCTCGTGATGACGTCGAAGCAGGAGCAAATACTTGATTACGAGCATCAGTCCATTTTCTACGATGGATTCACGTTCCTGAAGCCCGTCGGCAGCCTCATCGGCGTCGGCGCCGACAAGGTACTTTTCCGAGTTTCAGAACTTTTTTTCGGTTAGCCTTGGTGAAAAAAAGTCTCCTTCGGTTCATGTTGTTTTTTAAAAACGACCGTAACATAGTTTTTCTTGTGTTTTCGCTTCGAGACTCTTCAAAAACAGACTGCAGGAACACAGGTCTCCAAGCGAAAATTGGTGTATTGTGTTTTAGGTGAAAAAAAAAAGACTCACTGGCCTGAAGTAAGATTTTAAAAGGCTCAAACTCAACATTTGACCAAAAATCGAAGCTCAAGGTACATTCAGAAAAATTTTAAAAATTATTGGAGGTTGTAGAGTAAAAAAAAACGGAAAATCAGTGTTATAGCATCTCAACAAAGAGAGCTTGATTCTCGATTACAACAAAAATTCTTTTTTACCTTTATTACTTTCAGGTGAACTTTCTGGTAAGCTTGGTCATCGCGATGTTTTTCGCGCACTGGTTCCGCAAGAACCTTGGCTCCGCGAGCCGCGCAACTCGCGCCAATGCCGCCAGCGCCGTCGGATTCCTCCTCTGCTACTTCTGCTACGGAAAGTTGGTCTGAAGACCTTCCTCCAGAGGGAAATATTCTGCCATAGAGCCACGCTGCACTTGGTGCTCAACGCCGTGATCAGCTACGGAATCATCGTGCTGACCGACCCTAGAAGAGTCCACGTCAACGTTTTCCTCTTCTCGATGGCCTATCTCATGTGGATCCACGGATATCGATGGCTTTATCAGCGCGGATACTGCCTCGACATGACCGGGTCCATGATGGTCGCCGTCGGAAAAGTTTCTTTTTATGGGTTTAGCAGTGAAAATGAAGCTTCTTTCAAGGTAACCTTGTTGGCGGCGTCGGTTTACGACGGCAAGGGGAGAGAAGACAAGACCGGCATGACTCACGGACAAATCAAAGATGCTGTCAAGTCTTCACAATATTCAAAAATCACTATTCAAAAAGATTTTCAGAGAGATTCCCTCCTTCCGCGATTATTTTTCGTACATGTTCAATTTTCAAGTTAGTTGGTTTTATAAGCATAATTTAATCACAAGTTTTCGTGAATCTCACTAAAAAACTGACTTGAATGTTGAAAAATGCATAACTTCCTAGTTTTCTAAGATTGTACCTTTTCGAAATTAGAGGCTGCGATTCTTCAAAAATCGAGAGATCATTATGATATGATCTAATATATCAGAGTATTTTGTTTTTCAGAAAATTGGAGAACCCAGACTAAAGCAAACTTCCTTTATTGGGTTAAGGCTGCGCCCGACTTTTAGCGACTTTCTTTGTTTTCGCAGGATACCACAAAGTGACGTGAAGTCACTTGTCGGAAGAAATTATTTGAATCATTAACGAATCACTAGTGACTTTGCCTTACTTGAAATCAAATCCCTTTCAATTACTGTAAATCGAGGCCGTTCCAGTCAGTTTTGTGTGGACCAATGCACAACTACTCGGACTACTCTAAATTTCTGGACAATACTCACGTCAAGTTGGCCGAGGGCAAAGTGATTTATTTTCTGATGGATTTTTTTTGAAAAATGATCAATTGATAGGATGCTGATCCGACCAACGTTGCAATCCGAAAAGCTCAAGTTGGACTGGCTTTTCTTGCCGTCTCAGTTCTTCTGGGAAAATACGACGTCGCTATTTTGACCACACCTGCGTCAGTACTTTTTTTCTTTGTTTGTGATAGTTTTTATTTTCAGCTATCTGTCTTTGCCTCTTTGGCGCTGGTGTCTCTGGTGGGTCTTCAACACGTTTGTCGCTCGAACCGGATACTATTTTGCGTGGATTTTTGGTGAGAGTCAATTGAAACAATAATAAAGGTGCTAAAGTTGGATGATACAGCTTTGCAGTTCTAAATGAACTTTTTAGGCAACAGTTATGTGGCTGAAAAGCTCCATTTCCATAAAAATTAGTAGAAGAAAAACTGTAGCCCACAGCGTTTTCATAAGAGCGGCCAGTGGGCGTGGCTTTGCGCAATTGGCGCGCAGTCATAGGAGATGATTCTCCGTGTAGATTTACGCTCCTACATTGATTTTGTTAAGTGTTAAACTCTGTAAAGCTGCTTCTTTCTAAGAAGATCGTACGAAATGTTGATTATTCGTTATTCAGAAAGCCTATGTTTTCAAAAAATCTTAATTTTTGTTCTTCAAAAAAATCCACTTTTGAGAATTTAGCTGACGGCATCTGCAACATGTCGGGCTTTGGCTTCAGTGGATACGATAAAAAGACGAATTCGGCCAAGTGGGACCTCACCACCAATGTTCGGCCGATGCACGTTGAAGTTTATCCATTTCTGCGAGTATTCGAAAAAAAAAAAGAAAAGTTTAGCTGGGCTTGAACTACAAAGAGATGGTGGACAACTGGAACATCCTCACGGTCGCCTGGCTTCGCCGAGTCGTTTACGAACGCGTCGACCACAAGTTTGATTTCATAGCTGAATTACGGCTGGCTTGAGCCATCGAAAAAAGGGTCCTAACGCGATAAAAATAAGGGCGTCTGCGTGGTGGAGAGTGCAGACAGGATCTTCTCGGTTAAGAAATTAGGAACCGTTTAATGCTCAACTGGGACCTCGGTAACGCAAACCAGACGCGCCCCGGACATTTCTGAGCATTTCTAGTGATACCTTTAGCGGCGTCAGAACTCTAAAGTGATTCCTACAAATGCTCATAAAAGTCAGAGGCGCTTCCGGTTACATTGCCGGGGTCCACGTCTGATATTTGTTGGGCTTTTATGAAATTTGACGCGCAGGTACCGAACTGTAGCCGTTTATGTCGCATCGGCAGTTTGGCACGGCTTCGCCGCCGGATACTACTACGCTTTCTTGACGGGAGCACTTTTCACCCTTTCTGCGGCTATGGTGAGTTCAAAAGAAGTGGTATGAGGATTTTCCTTCCCGGCGTTTTTTCGACGACGCCACGCTCACTTTTTCTCCGTAAAGTGTAGTGTGTAGTGTGCGTGCACTGCGCCGCGCAGAAAATTGCTTTTGTTTTAGAGTTTTGGATCCTTCTTAAAGACCTCTGGCAATACGGCGGCCTGCGCCTTTAATATGCCCTGTTATTTACGTTTTTAGAGCCGGAATCTCTGCCTTTCCCATGGTGTCGCGTGGGAACGGCGGATATTCTGGCTCCGCCCACCGTTTTTTTTTCTTTCAAGAACTGCATATGATGCAAAAAAAAAGTGTTTGTACGAAAATTCGAGCTCTTTGTTCATCTACAGGTCCGCCGATGCGTTCGACGGTTTTTCCTGGCTGATAGAACGACCAAATTCGCCTACGACGCCGTCGGTTTCGTCGCCTGCAGAATCGCCATCAGCTATGTCGGCTACCCTTTCTTCATCACTGACTTTTGGCCGGGACTGTACACTTATCGGTGGGTTGCTTTATTCTATCATTTGTTAAGGCTCTTAGAAAAAGTCTGAAAAATATCGAAAAATTTCCACAGTCAAGTTTTTAATGATTTTGATTTATATAACTTTTGAAAACATGGATCTATCCTTTTTTTCAGACGTCTCTACTTCATCCCGCACTTGTTGGCCTTTGCTGGCTATTTTGTCCTTCCCTTGATTTTCCCGCCCCCTTCTAAGTCCGTCGACACTTGTTCTTCAAAAACAAAGGTACCCAAAACTGAAAAAAAATTGAAAAAAATTCTGAAAGTCTAGAAATATCAAATTGGTGTTAACTGATAGCGTGTTTTCTTGAGCTGCTTAGGGACATCAGAGTGGTCACTTGAGGGTCAACCTTAGGGGCTCTTGAATGTCCTGCTCTCGGAACTGATCTTTTGGGCCAGTGAGGTTTGCAAAGGTGGCCCCTATAGGGGACATGCTAGTCGATTATTGTTTTGAATTCTGTGAAAAGAAGCATTTCCATGCGCAAAATTTAATAAAAAAGCAGTTTTCGAATGAAAAATATCAACAGGACTAATCGATCAAATTATACGAATTACGTCGTTTTAATTTTCAAGTAAGAAAAAAAGGCGTTCTTTCTTAACCCCTCTAGTGACCACTCTAGTTCCCCGAAATGAAAATCAATATATTTTGACACCTGCAAAAGTTTCAGCAAAGAGCAACTGAAATTTACAGAAAAATTGACTTCATTTTTTTCTTGTCCAACGTTTTTGATTTTCAGTCGGAAAACTCTATCAAGACGGGTTGTTTCACTCCAACTTCCACCACTGGTCAATAAACTTTTTTCTTTTCTTTGTTCATTCAAAAGAAAAACTTTAGAAGTCTTTGGAACCTATTTATTCACGTTTCCGATAATATTTTGCAATGATCTGTTTGAAAATTTTCTTCTTTGAAGCAATCTTCTCGTCCTCGCTCCGATAAATATCCTTTTTTATTTTGATAGGAAAAACCAAAAATTATTCGAAAGGTCAAGGAACCTCAATGTTTTCCACGCGACTCGAACCTTTCCTAACTCGTTCCGAAACGCTTTCAACACGATTAAACTTTAAGAGGTGCTTGAAAAGTTCCATAAAAAGAAGTTTGACTTTTCGCCTTTTTTATAATTGACCGTAAAAATCGTGGTGGTTTTGAAAGTCACGTGTGTTGTTTTGAAGAGGGAAAAATGAGAAAAAGGAAAAACGTCAAAAAAAAGTATTCCGTTTCGAGCTTGACGTAAAAAGAGAATGGAAAAGTAATGTTTCTGTAAATTTTTGTAGAAACTTTTTTTAAAATCTTTTGAAAATCTTTTTTTGAACCCTTTTTTTCAGAGATACCTATTTGAAAAAGGATATCAGATTTCTGAACTTTTACGGGGAATCTATTAGGAATTGATCAAAGTCGAAAGATTCGGAAATAAGTCAAAGATAAGTTCAAAATGATCAAGGTAAACTTTCAGTGATAAAAAAAGAACAATTTCCTGAGACACGTTGTAAAAACAGATGAACTTCTCAAGATATTTCTCAAGGACATTTCCAGCCTTATTGTTCTTTTTGTTTTTTATGTCTACATTTTTGGCCTTATCTCAACTGGAGGATCATCGAAACGGCGATTGGTAACTTGGAAAAGTTGGTTTTGGACTGGAAAGAATGTTGTAACAGGTGGACTTTTGTTTGTTATTCTTCAACTAAAAAGGTGGCCCCAAAGAAAGATATGTGGACTTTTTATTATTTCCTTATTTTCGTCTATATATCGAGGTTGATTTTTTTCGTTCTTGGGAGCGATAGAGTGATCTCTATAGAGGTTATTGAAAGGACAACCCCTATAAGGGTCAAAAAAGTGCCCACTATAGGGTTTCAAACTTACCAGGAAACGTTTTTTACAAAAAGAAAATTTCTAGCAATAGATCTTGTTTCCGAGTTATAGAGCTTCAACGTCTGCAAAATACGCAAATCAGGCCAAAAAAGCTCTATTTCGGGCTTTTGAAGTGTCCTAACTTGAAAGCGAGATGTATTGCGAGGCATTTAACGTTCCCTAGTTAGGTGATTTCTATAGAGGTTCCAATTTTTTTAATTTCTTACCTGATTTGAAAACTAAAAAAATACAAAAAGCTCGATCGAGTCGTCCTTTTTGATATTGTTTCTCTAAATAATGATTATTTTTTGAGATTTTCGCATAAAAGTGCTCTTTATTATAGATTTCATTAAAAAGTTGCCCAATAAGTTTGACCTCAAAGAGTTCATAGTTCATCGACCATTTCCCTAAAGGCAATATCCGAGAATTTATTCACACAATTGGAAAAAAAAATGTGCGAAGAAGAGGTGTCGATGCCTTTCTATTAGTTTTTCGTGTCAAACCAGTGGAGAATAGAATCTAGAGTCATTATTTTCGATATCATACGAAAAAGAGGAAGTTTCCAACAAGTTTTTGGGAAAGAACAGTACAAAATAATTGTTTCGTCACGGACTTTTTTCTTCTTTTTGACCAGTTTCTCGCTAGAATCACAGTGATATCACTGGAAATTTCTGTTCTTCGGTAGAATTTGTTCGTTACTGATCAATTGTGCCTTGCTTCACGTTTAATATTAGCTTTTATATTAATTTTTTTATACTTTTGAAAGCTTTGTAAGCTTTTAAAAAAATTCATGATTTGAACCCAGTTCAATTTTCAGTAGGAAAAAAATCCTAGCTTACAAATTGTAGACTTTTTTTCAGAGAAAACTTCCGAATTTTTTTAACTTGATAATTTATTATTTAATACAACATAACTGGTTTTTTTCTAGACTACGTTTTTTTGACCCTTTTTTTCGCATCTTTTTGTCTACAAAAAAACATGTTTTTGAACCGAATCTCTAGCAATTGTCTTCGACATTTTTTTGAGTTTGATGAACTTTTTGATTTCATAAAAAAAGTGAGCAAGCTTGAATATTAGAAAGATTTTTTTGGTTAGTTTGATAAATTTTTCATAAAGAAAGGTAGTGGGTCCCTGAAGATAAGATATAATTTCCTGAGATAATAATAACCTTTTTAGGGCATTCCGACGGTTTATCGAGGCCATTTTTTCATTATTTTAGTAAACCGGAAAAATTTTTAGTGGCCACTATAGAGGCAGTGGTCACTATAATGTCCTCGCCAAGAAATACTTGGAGAGGACATTATAGTGACCACTGTTTTCCGTTTCAGTGGCCACTTCTGTAGTTTTTCAGCCAATATTCCTTCCAGTAACTCTGATAATTTTAAAACAAACAGATTGGACCAGTTATCTTGATCCATTGACCCCTTACGTGGTCACTAAAATGTTTAGTGGTCTAGTAGTAGTACTTAGAACCCTTAAGTGGCCACTAAAACGTCAATCCCTATAGTGGCCACTAAAAATTTTCTCAGAAAGGCAGCTAATTTGTTATGGAAAAGAAAGTCTGAACGCAAAACATTTAACGTTGGAACGGTGGGAAGACTGACCTTCTCGCAGTAAATTTCCATTTTCATCAAACCAAACTACTTTTTTTTGTAACGACCAAATCGAGTTTCTCAGTCTAACACATTGAATAACACACTTCATTTGACAATTGTAGGAGAAAACCGAAGAAAAAAAAAAGCGAACAATGGCATTTTTTGGTGGGAGCGACCTTGCCCCAGGAGCCACGCCTACCGCTTTGGTCACAAAGCGTGACTTTCCCGATCGTTTGTTGCTATTTTCCGTCAGATCGTCTCGTTCATTTTTCTGCTACTTCTTTTTAACTGAATATGTTTTATTTCACTGTTAGAATTTCACAAAAGAATACTTCAATTACTGTATTTCAATCATTTCGTTAACCTGTTTTGAAAATATTCTTCGGATTTCGTGGATATGAATCGAAAAAGCTTACTAGCCTTTTTATTCTTGTCTCCTGATTTTTTTTTATTTGATTCCACCTGGTCTTTTTCATCTGAATCAATCGTTCGGACAACTGAAAAATCAGGAATCGTAGTAAATAAAGTTTTGCATTTTCTGAAAATAAAATTTTTCCTTAAAGAAAGTTTTTGATTCACGGCAGGTTTCTGTGAATTGAAGTTTTCTTTGACCTAAAAAAACCTAATTTTTTTAATATTCCTTCTAATTCCTATTTTTTTAAATCTTTTTTTAATAATACATGTGTCAATTAATTGATAAAATTAGATGTCTAAAGAAATTTTTTTAACGATTAAGAAACTAATATTTACATTTTGAAAAAAAAACTTCGATTTTTATCGTATTCCAGATTTTGCTTCGAAATAAACTTTTTCTTGTGATAAAAAGCTTTTTTTTTCTAAGCGCCTACTCAAAAATGTTTGTATTGAAACCCTTTTCCCGGCTTTCAGACATTTTATCGAAGCACAAAGATTATTTTCCTTCAAAACCTCTGATTTTTTCAGAAAAGCCGGAAGGATGGGCCGTGCATCCTTGCCGCTGCAGATCTTGTTCACGATCAAATTCTCAGTTCTCTACCTCTTCGTCTTCCTTTTCCAAGACATTCCTCGAGTCCTTTTCGGCCGGAAAAAGAAGGTCGCCGGTCAGGTTCGTCGTCATTTCAGAATCAACTCTCGAAGATGTAGGTAAGGAAACAGATAACGATCAGATCTCTCGAAAAAATCTGACCCGCTTCCAAAAACGCCAAAGTCCAAGTTGATATCAAAAAACGTATCGAAATTGGAGATAAACAATAGAAGGTCGTCTCGAAGTTCCTGTTAAAACTTCTGATAACAACAAGTTGATAAGATGATAATACGGGAGGTTTCTCAGGTGGTAGTGATCACCGGTTCTGGCATGGGGATGGGCAAGGAGGTCGCCAAGAAGTTCGCCCTCAGACAAGGCGCCAAGGTCTGCATCCTCGACATCAATGAGGTCCGTCGCCAAATATTTCAAGTTATCCTCAAAGTTCAGAAAGAAGGACTCCGGACGATGGAGGAGATCACAGAGGCCGGCGGATTCGCTCAGTTCTTCAGATGCGACGTCTCCAAGGCAAATGAGCTGGAAGACGTCGCCAGTCGGATCTACAAAGATCCAGCTCTCGGTACATCCCTCATCTTGACTTGATCCAGAAATCACTTTCTAGGATTCGTCAACATTGTCGTCGCCAACGCCGCGATTCTGAAGTTTGGCGAGGCGACGACTCTCACTTACGACGACTACAAACTGAATAACGACGTCAACATCCTCGGACATATCTACGTGAGTTTTTCGTGGTTTTTTAGGCTTGAGAATATCCTGAAAAGTTTTCTAAAGCGTTTTTCAAAGTTTTAGGGAGATACTGATACATTTTAGCTGCCCAAACTCCTACATTTTTAGGAAGATGATCTAAGCTTTCAAAACTAGAGAATTTTTTTAAAAAAATCAACTTATGAATGACACTGAGCTCATCAGAAAGAACTTTTTTTAAATACTTGAATTTTTTTCATTTTTAAACATATTTTTTTCGGTAGTTTTTCAATGAAGCAAATTTGAAAAAAATAAATTTCTGGGGGTGATTTCAGGATTTTCAAACAATACCTTGGACATATGTATTAAAAAAGTCTCTGAAATACTCCCTAAAAAAGAAAAATTACCTACCTTGTAGAAGTAAGAGATTCTCCATTCAGACGGTCAAGGCATTCCTGCCGAAGATGATCGAAGCCAAACAAGGACACATCGTCTCGATCGGATCCATCTGCAGCCACTTCGGCGACTACACCGGCACGGCTTACTGGTAAACGACCTCCGAACATTCCCCACCTAGAAACTTCTTCAGTGCTGCGAAATTTGCATGCCGCGGCTTCATGGAAGCTCTCCATTGCGAGCTGCTCGAAAAAGGTCTCGAACAGATCGCGGTGACCTCCATCTACCCCTACTTCGTCAAGACCAACTTCATCTCCAACTTCGAAGAACCCTACAGCACGTCAGTGAATGATCCAGAAGTTTGAGAAGAGCTAGTTTTACGGAGAGTACTGTATGTGAAGGTCCGCATTCTGACGAGTGCACTTTGTGTGTATGCACTTTTTTGGCGTGACCTCTCCGCGGCGCCCATCTCTGCGTTATTTTCAATTTTTTGAAAAGTCAAACTAGAATCAAAGATTATTAAAACTGTTTCCTATAGTTACAGTTCCTCTCGATGTTAGAAATAAAATTGAAAAAGCTCAAGAACTTCACGGAACAAAAGTGCAGACACTTGAGGTCAGATTGCGGACTTTCACATACAGTACTCCAAGGAAAACTGTAAACTCCCTCTTTTAGTAACACCAGAAGTACCCTTTTGAAACATGACCTTCAGATATTGGGACGTCGTGCCTCTGGAAGTGGCGACTGACGAAATCGTCGACGCGATTCTCTACGAACGTCTGTCCCACTACATTCCAGGAAGCATCAAGCTCCTTTGCGTCTACATGAAATGGTCTGAAATCCAAGAAATACCACACAAAACCCGTAACTTCAGGATGACGACGAAAGGAACCATCCCAATAGGCCGAAAGGTCTTCAACATCACGTGCAAGCCGAAAACTGGCGAAGTGAAGCAGGTCTGAAAACCTTGAACTTCCATTTCTGTACATAGGACTTCATCTCCACACACTGCGCGGTACATTCTGTTTTAATTCTCGAAATTTCCAAGTCAAATAAACTGTTTATCATTGTTCTGGAAGACGGCACAATCACTGAGTCAAAATCGAAGAAAAGTGCAAGAATTGAGCAAAAGTTTCTTTTTTTGGGGTGAGTCATGGATCAATTAGACGCCTTGATCCGCGGCAAAAACGAGTGAGAAATGCGTAGAACTTGACCGGGATAATTAAACGAATTGGATAGATTAAGAGAGTTGAACAAAACCGGAATCGCATGAAACGATACACAGTATCGATGATGGAAAGGTATCCGAAAGATGAATTGAGAAGGGTTTTTTGAAAAACAATTCTAAAATTGTGCGTTATGTTCGCGCCATTGAGAAAAAAAAAGCCAAAACTTTTACCTCGGTAAAAAACATTTCTGAGCATTTAAAGTAATCACTTAAGTGTGCTGACGCTGACGCCGCTAAAGGGATCACTAGGGATTCTCAGAAACGTCCAGGGTACGTTCTGTTTGATCTACCAAGGTCCGAGAACTTGAATTATTTTTTCTTCAAGCTTTTTAAAAATGTGAATAGAAAATCTTGGCAAGCATTAAAAGTCCATTTTTCATCCTTCTTATCCATTTTTCGGATCCTTCATTTTGATCTATCTAAAACAAAATTTGTATTTCTATAAAGCCTAGAAGGATATGTCTCAAAAAAAAAGGGTGCACCAATCGTGAAAGCTTAAGTATTCAACACTTGAAAAATAACAGGAAGCTAGGAAAAAAAAAGAGTGTAGAAAATGGTTATATGGCGCGTCAGACGCGTTTTTTGAAAGATTTGAAGAAAAATTGAGATGTTCTTGAGGGTTTCAATGGCGCTGGACGTAGTTGCCAGGAAAAGTCCCGAAAATTCCTGTCCGCAGGGAAGTTCCTGAAAAAACAAACAGCTGAAGTTACACATTTTTTTATTGAGAGGGCAATTAAAATCGCGTTGTGATTCTACTGTGTGACGTTAAAAATGGCACGTGATGTTCTTTTTTGGCCGAAAATTGATTTCTGATAGGAGGTGAGACAACAAAAAGATGTGAGAACATTTTTAGTGGCCACTTTAGGGTTTTGGCGTTTTAGTGGCTATTATAATAGTCTAACTAGTGGCCGCTTGAGTGGGAAAAATTTAGTGGCCTCTTTAGAAGTCTGGAGGAACTAGTAGACAGCTAAAAGTTTTATGGACAATCAAGATGCGAAGTAGTGGCATCTATAGGGGTGGTTTTAGAGACCACTTTAGTTTCTTCAAGTAACCCCTGAGAAACTTCTTAAGTTGCCACTAGAGTTCTTCGCTTCGAGAAGTTCGAAACATACCGATGTACCAGCCATCATCACACTTCTCGACGACGAAAACGATGTCATTGACGTGGAGTTCGAGCTCGTCGCTCTTCTCAGGCTTGTAAGGGAACACAGCGCGGTACCTGAATATTCAAATTTCAACACTTCTATGGGAAAATTTTAATCAAAACTATAATGTCTCCAAAAGAGTGTGGTGTATGTAGATAATAGATCACGTGAAAGATAGAACCACTATATAAAGGCCTGTTTTCACAGACCCTCACGGAGAACCTTGCCCCTGACAACGACGACGACAGCGACACACCCGATGGGTCCGCGTCGCCCGCGACCAACCATCTCATCCTGATCGCCACTTTCGCGGACCCATCGGGTGTGTCGCTGTCGTCGTCGTTTCCAGCAGTGTCGAGGCTCTTCGTGAGGGTATGTGAGAACAGACCTTCATATAGTGGTTTTATCTTCCACGTGATCCATTATCTACATACACCACACCGTGTTCAAAGTTATTTTGCGAAAAAGCTGTCAGAGAATGAGAATTACAAAATGTAAAATATGTGTTGCAACTACCAAAACCCATTGCCGATTTTTCAGTTCAAAACTAAAAAAATCTTCAAAATTATCAAAACTATGAGAAGAACTGAACCCAAATAATTATATAAAAACTTGGATTTTTTTCACTCTTTTGACTTAAAAAAATTACAACGGACAGATTTAAAAATAAATTCTCAGTCTAAAAAGTACTCAATCGAAGAAAACGAACATCTCGCTGCCACGAGGAATGACGCTGGCGGGATTCGCGCGGATGTCGCCCGGAGGTCGTGACGTCACAGGTGCGGATGCTCGCGGAGCCGCCGCATTGGAAGGGACTCCGAAAGACGGTTGGTTGTGCTCGAAAGGCCGTCGATCGAAGAAATCGTGGTCTTCTGGCCGCGTCGTTTTCCGGCCTTCCCACAGAGCCAAACGATCCAACGCTTGAATTTCACTGGAAAATTGTAAACTTTGTATTTTTTTCTTCTGTCAATGCTTTGCCCGATAATTAAAGATTATTCGAAAAAGAAAATTCAGCACATAACTTTCCCATACTTCCTTGAAAAGCTTATTTTTCAAAGAACGAGTTTTAGAAAGCTCTCAAACTTTCAAAGGCGAAGCAAAAGTTTCTGGTTTCTTTGGAGCTTCCTTGCTCTTTTTTTATTCCGCTTGAAGAAATAAACTATTTTTAGATAGAATTTTAGACAGAATCTCCAAATCTTCCCACTGAAGTCATGTTTTTTTGCTCCTGAGCTTAAAACTTACTTTTCTTTTGTCAACTCAAGTAGAAAATTTAATTTCATAACAAATTTTTCCAAAGATTTTAAAATCAACCCTGCCCCCTGGACTATGCGAGTCGCCCAAGTATGGTAATATTACTTTTTCAGGGGCTGAAACTCCTGTTGGACATAGCCATTGCTCATCGTCGGCTTGTCCTCTTCGAAACGGACCATCGGCCTCGACTGTTGGGGTTCAATACTGAAGATGAATTTGACAGTGTGAAGAATAGGAGGAGACGAACTGAATAGGCGGGACATCGGGGTCAAAAACAGGATTGGTGGGAAGCTTCGGCGTCTTCGGCCTATCTGGTACGATTGCGCTTGGAGCTTCCTCAAAATTCAAAAATTCAAAAAAATTATTTTTCTCTATCACTATTATTTTTAGAAAAACAAGCTATTCCAGCAGTCTGAAAAAAAATTTAAAAAAATAAAAAGCTGAAATGTCACAGGAAATTTTTACAATTAAACATACTTTTTCTCATAGCCTTGCATAATTTTTTTCAATATTTAAAAAAATATTTTTTTCAAATGTCTTTGAGCTATGAACTTCTCTTGAAGTTTCTAATTTGAAAAATTTATGAAACTGTTAATTGCAAAAAATATCAGAAGATGAACCTGTGGCGGATCTGAAAGCATTCGGACGTAAGAAGAAGGGAAAATTCCGATCTGCCCGATATGATTACTGCCTTCCATCCAATTCAAGTCGATTTCTCGTCGGAACGTCACGATTTCACCCTGAAAGTCGGTTCTGTAATTTAAAGAAAAACCTACTTTTTCTCAGAAATCAAAGCGTGAGATTTCAAATCTTACTTGAATGAAAAAAAAACAAATAAAATTTTTTTGTTTCTTTTGGAGCGACATAAATTTTTTTTCAACACATTTTGGGCCCTGAAAAATGTGTAACTAAAACAAAAAAGGGCGAGTAAAATTTCGTTTTCAAATTGGATTTTTGGAAACGGTCTAAAAGAGATGGTAAGAAATTTCCAAAATAGCTTTTTCTAACTGAAATAGGTTTCTTTACACAATAAAAGAGACATAATAATTATTTGTTTTCTCACCATTTTCAGGCTCAATTCGTTGCTGTTTCTGGCGGTGAACGGATAGACGGCGCGCATTTTCTGGCGACTCCTCTCGAATTCGTATTCAACCTGAGAAGAAAGAACGTCGACTGAAACGGGGAAAAGGTCGAACCTGAACATAGCTGGCCGGAAAAATGCCACATTTTCCATTTCTTTCCCCTTCCATCCAATGAGAATCGATCTCCCTCGTGAGCCGCACCACATCGCCTTTGTTTAGAGACAGTTCTCTTGAACAGAGAAAATTAACGGTTGACAAAATTTTTGGGAAAAACCTGGCCGATTTCGCGTCAAATCTGTAAATCGCGGTGGCTGTCAAAACAGGCGCTCTTTGTGAGTTTGTCTGAAAGTTCAGAAACCAATAAGGAGACGGCAATATGAGCAGAAAAAAACTTTAGTGAGAAAATTTCAATTTTACTTTTTCATACTGAACTTCCACAATTCAGCAGAATGTTCTATGAAAATTGACAAGAAACACTGTACTCTTGATTTCCATTTTCATCGAAATTTTCAAAAGTACTTCAAACCTTAAAAATTTTTTTCTTTCTTTAGCGTCATTATCCCACATGAAGGTCTGATTAAAATTTTCAAAAATTCTTTTTTTACAAGATGAAAAGTATATATTTTGAGCCCATTGTCGCGTTTGGAATGGCTCGATGCTTAACGGCTGATAAAATTTTTATTTGAGGTGCGTCCGACTTGAAACGACTTGCGCTCGGAGCAACGAGAAATCATTGAAGATTGATCAAATATCAAATCTATAAACGCTCCGAGCCATTCTACTACTGTGAAAATTTATTTTTTTATTCCATCAAAAAATCCTTCCACAAAACCAACCGTCACAGAAACATCATCACGTATCGGAGATTGCCGGTAGGAATAATCCTGAATATTTCTCATTTTGAAATCGCGATTTCGAGACAAGAAATACCTTCATCAACGTGTCAAAACGGTCCATATTGTTCTGAAGTGCAGGTGCAATAGAAGGTCTTAAAACATTTATTTTTCCATTTTCATGACTTTTATCGAAAAAACTGACACAAAAGCGTGCCGACGATCTTTTTCCTTCTGTAATTCGTTTGTTAACCTGTCCGCTTTTTGCTTCAACAGAACCTGGAAAACTTTTTTTTTTTCATTTTTCAAGCTCATTTTTCTTACTTCCTCCTTTGATAACCTCTTCAACTCGGCGATTTCCTCTGCGAGCCGAGCTGGAGATCGTTCTTTTTCTGAAAGTGACCATTTAAGGGGTTTTTAAGGAGAGCTAGTCGGAAACTTTCTTCGAGTTCAAAGATTAATAAAGTCCAATAGGTTGGTTTTTAGAGATACTAATGAAGACTCTCGCTGAAAATTCCTAAACTTGTCGTGATTCAAACCATTTTTCTTTATATAAAAAAATAATTGTTTAAATAGCTAAGAAATTATGAAAAAGGTTTTTTCGAGGTTGATAACTGAGGAAAAAAACGTATTTCAAATCAAATTCCTTATTTTCGAATATTGTCCTACATTTTATTTTTATTATTGCATTTCTGGCGTTTCCTTCTCTTAATAACGGCCCTGAAACCGCAGCCTAATAAACAGGAAACAAATATAACTTCAAGGAAACAGTGTTAACTTTCAAACGTAATCCAAGAATCACTGCAAAAAATGTTAACCAGATGTGAAAATTAATCGAGATAGGAGTTGGAAAGAGGAGAGAAGTCATGCCTGATCGATCAACGTTTGGGGTACTTCTGGACCTGCGCCAGGTCTTGTCCAGCTGGTCGATGAACTGCTCCAACTCCTCGGTGGTCGCGTCGAGCTTTTCAGTCATACACCGCAAGGCTGAAGAGTTATTTTCAGAGTTAGAAGGGGAACATGCTTAGAAGAGGAATATTTCCATCATGAAAGAATAAAAAATCTATAAACTTTTTCGAGATCTGAAAAAAAGAAGGAAAATCTCTGAGCCATCCGTCTGCTAGTAGAAAAGTTTCATGAAAAAAAGTTCAAAAAAATATTGAAATTCTTCCAGTATTACAAATTCAAAAATATGAGATTTCGAAAACGAAGGAGCTTACGGAAAGCTTGAAAAGATCATTTCTGAACATTTGAAGATTTCAAAGAAGTTCAATTATCTTTGAGCCCTCTTGCCTAGGTAAATTTTTCAAAAAAAGAGAAGATTTTTTTTATCGATAAATCCAAAAATGTTACAGTTATCATTGAAAGTCACTCCAGAGCAAAAAAGACACACCAAGACGTCGCTGAGTCTTTTCGGCGTCTTTCTCGTTCTGACGGTCCATCTGGTCGTAGATTCGGTCGACTTCCTCAAAGGATTGGTCGCGACGCGGCCGACGACATCGCGCACACGGCGTTCCGCAGCCGCCGAACGAGCAGCGGATCGGCCGCGGATCTTCGTCGCGGAACTTGTACGACGGCAGATGGAAGTGCGGCGTCTGCGACCTTTGCCACGCGTACAGGTTACTGCCGCCTGCGGGGTTGAGTTTGGTTAGTTGGGAAAGGCACAGCAAATCGAATAGGACTTGAAGGGAAATTTATAGGAAAATTAATTCATAACTTTGAGGAAAATTTTGTTGAGGAAAGTAGAAGTAAACGTAGAACATTTCGAAAAGAAAACGGTTCATTAGAGCTTTTTCTTGTCAAAAAATCTGGAAGTTTCAATCATTTTTCATCCGTGGAGCGCTCATTCACTTATTTTTGGACGAATAAATTTTTCTCGATTTCCGCAGTTTATCGGACTGCGTCGCTCAAATCTCATAAAGCGCTTGTGCAAAAAAATAATTCATTTGAGATTTTTGTCAAAAAAAAACTTATTGTATACCACTTTAAAAAATTTATTCAATGACATTTTATCCTAGAGCGCTTATTCTCTTCTTTTTGAAAAACTACCATTTTCATCTTTTTGTTGAGACAATTTTTGCAGTAAACGTGAAAAGCTGAAATGTTTGTACTTAACGGCTTGAACTGCTTTCATTTTTAAGATTTTTCAGCCAATAGAGCAATGCTAGGAGATATATTTCCAGCCAAAAATCGTTTTTGAATTAACTTACATTGGAAAGAACGAGACGAGCGCATGTAGGCATTTGAGAAAAAAGACGCGAAAAAATGACTGAACAAGTGGCGAGACACGCAAACTGATTGAGTAACGTTTCGCATTTTGAATGAGGTGCTTGAAAGAGAAAAAAGCTCCAAAGAAAGGAACATCAGTTGGAACAAGATTTTTTTTCGACATTTGTTTCTATAGTCTGTTCAGATTCTAAATGTCAACCAGATAACTTCGCCCCTGCAGCCACAGTATCTTTTCGCGTTCAGGATGATTTTTGATTTTTTTTTGTTCTAAAGGTTCATCGTCATCTGGATGTAGTCTTGAGGGCTGAGTTAGCTACTTGGCCTTCGAAATATGAACAGACTATATTTTTCAATTCTTTTTCTTCAGTATTTATGACCTTTGACCTCGCGTGAACAATTCGAGTATTGGGTCACAAACAAAGACTTCACACCTATTTTTTCCAAATTTTAATGAGTCACACTCCTCCCGGACTTATTGATCTTTTACTTGCCCCTTAAACTTCAAAATCCTATCTATTCCAGAAGACGAACCAGGCTGGTCGTCAGGCTCGACGACACGACCGACGGAACGAGCCCGGCGCGGAGTTATGTCGACCTCGAAGCGTTGAGCTCGAGTCACGTGGGTCGACGGCGTCAGAGGCCCTTCAATCGATCGATTTTCGTTCTTTTACTTTGAAAAATTCCATGGATTGAATCACCAAATCCTTTCTTTTTTCAAGCTTGAAGCCATTTTTCAATATTTTTTTTTCCTTTCATCTTTTCTCATTTTTTCTTTCTAAAAGGCCTTTTCCCCATTTCAAAAGATTAAAAAGCTAAAACTTCTGTTTTAATGTGTTTTAGCCTGTACAGCGGTTCTAAAAGCCTCACAAAATGCATTCCAAGAAAAAAAGTTTGAAAATATACTAGCTTCGATCCTGAGGAAACACGAAATAAAAAATTGAATCCACGTTCACTGCAACTAAACAGTGGAAAAAATGATTCTCTATTCTCAAACTCAACTCGATTTACGAAAAAAAGTTATTAGATGAAAAAATTCTGACCTTAATAGTACTCATAATCAATCAATTTGGCTGGCAAGCCTAAAAAAACGTTAAATTAAGCCTAATTCATCTCAATAATAATCTTCTTCTGATGAATGGAAAAGATCCTACTCGAGGAGTTGTTGGTAGGCGTTGGAGAATGTTCTTCGCGCTGTGTTTGCCGCAGAATCGATTCGGCTGCAAAAATATATTATAACGACCAAATAAAAAAATGCATTGATTATAGATTTTGAATGTGGGGGACGACTGAATGTTGAAAAATCAAGCAGGTTTCGCGAAATTCTTTAGTTAACCGTTAGAGAGTAAAAAAGATCACTTAACTTCGGGGAGTCAGAGATAATTTCGCAGTACGCGGAAATTACCAAGTACGGCATCAGCTTAATGTTAAGTGAATTTCAAAATAGCTTTAAATCGAGTAAAAAAGTTCCCTCGAGGTTGGTTTGAAATTTTCAAATGGAGTTATGATAAGATTACCCAAATAGGAAAAAAAAATAAGGATCAAAGATCCTTGTAGTACTTTGCACAAGCAACAAAACTTTTTTAAAAGAAGAACCACAGAGAGAAAGAAAACCAGATGAGGAAAAAAAGAAAAATGAGCCAGGAAAACGTGGAAGAAGCTTAGGAAGTCTGCTCGATCGGGCGACCAACTATTTTGGACCTTCTCCATTTTTCTTTTACTTTTCCTCAATCTAAAAAGAATTCGAATAGTAGAAAATGACTCGAAATCGATGTTTTCGTAATGAAGAGCGCTTTAAACAATGTAATACGGGGAGTAGTACAAACGGAAAGAGAAACGATTAATAGCGAACACAGATGTTGCAACATGGGGACAAGAAACAGAAACTTCGTATAGCCAGCTTTTTTTTCAATCTTAAAATAAAGTGGAGAGTGAACAATCATCCGATAAAAGAGGCCAGTCTTTTTTTAAAATCATGTCTCAGGTTCAAAAAAAATGACGAGTAACATTTGAAATAATATCCAAGAAAAGACGTAAAATTTCGCTCTATAAGCAAAAAAATTCATACTATTTTTTTTTACTTTTTGGGATCGGTTTTTTTAAATAGAAAATCACAAAAATTGCCCAATTCATTTCTACAATCATCATTTTTTCAATAATTCTTCTTGAAACAATGAACATGTACAATACAGGCTTTTTTCAATCATTTCAAAAGAACCAAAAAAATGGGAAAATAATAATCCGTCTTAGGAATTTTTTTCAATGAAAGGTGCATTGGAAAAACCGAAAAAAACTTTTCTGTCTTTAACTTTTTCTCATAACTTATATAACGAAAAATTATACGATCGCACTTGGATTTAGGCTTTGAAATTGAAAAAAAGTTCTGAGAAAGGGGTAATTTTGGTTCGGCTGGTATCTTATTATATCCAAAGAGGGGTTAAAAATAATTAGTGAATGAAAAAAATCACTCTATTTTATTCAAAACATCTCCAAAAATCAGATTGTCATCGTTTCGCATTTTCTTAATTTGTGTAGTCAGCTAGTAGAGTAAAAAAAAAAGCTTTCCGCCAAGGTGACCGTAGAGAAGCTTTGGAGGAACAATAAAAAAATAAAAGCGAAAATTGACTTTGAAAAAAGCTTGCTGAATGGCTTGAAGGAATGAAAAAATACTCTATTCTCTTGAAAGATTTCCTTAAAAATCAGCGAAATTTTCAAAGTACTTCTCAAATTTGACTGCAAAGTGACCCTTCAAACGTTCATAATGAACAGTCTCCACCAAAAAAAAACAATTTAGAATCATTTTTCGCTCATAAACAGACCATAACGTTGATGTGAACAAACAATATAGAAAAAATCGACAAACTATAGAAAAATACACAAAAAAAGCGTAGAAAGAAAGAAAAACACATAAAAATGCGTTTGTTTCGAAAAAGCGATAAGGGGAAAGGAAAGTTTGGAAAGAACAACAGGAAAAGCACTCGAGCAGCAAAGAAGACAGGTCGCATTTTCGCGCGTTTTTTTCTCGCGTTGCTCAAAATTCAGCGAGCACTTTTTTGAGAAGAAACAAAAACGAGGGAAAATGGGCGGACGCATTGTTTCCAGCCGTGTACTTGAATTCTCAAAAAAGTGCGATACCTCAGGAAATTCAAGGGCTAGGAGGAGAAAAATGGTGAGAGGAAAAAGGAAAAATTTGAGTGGTATACATTTTATGATTTTTTTATTTGAATAGAAAAAGTAGAGATTTAAAAAAAAATGAAAGAAAAAAAGTTGAACTGCTTCAATAGCCGATGGATACTGCAGAGAAAACGATAAGACGTAACTTTTTACCTTTTTATAATTGTTGTACATTAAAAAGGTCTTTCTGATGATTAAATTCCTCTTTTCTTAAAAAAACTGTTTTTTTTATAACTATAAAAAAATTTTTTTAAATAGTTCATTGAGGCAGAGCTTCGAAGAAAAACAGAAAAACCTCGTAAAAATGCTTTTAAAATAGAAGATAAGTGAGGGTATTTAGAGATTTTCTTCGCATAAAATTCGAATCTCGACTATTTGGCATGTGGCTATGTAAGACAGAATACATGAAAAATGGATTCAAGAAAAGTGATACCGAAAAAAAAAATAGCAAAACGGTTTTTTTCCTGCTCTGATTCTATTCTTTCCAAGCTCAACAGTTTTTCCAGCAAAAAAAATTTTTTTTGAATTTATTTTTTTAAATTTCCAAACTTATTACCGTATCTGTAATACAAAACACAAGAAAAAAACCAAGCAAAACTGAGAGAAAAAATAAGTAAAAGGCATCTGAAAATACTGGCGGAGAGGGAAAATTAAATTATTTATGTCGGGAAAGGAGCTTGGAAGAGAAGACGCGTCGGAAAAGAACAAAACGAGGCTCGTATTTAATTTCCTCGGCTTTTTTTGGTTCCTTTTTTGATTGGCGTTAACTTTTTGAGGTTGGGTTTCAATGAGAAATGGTTGGAAACTAATAGTTATTGATGGAGGATCGATTCTGGTGTAGTGGGAGGGCGGGAGGCTCTTGGGAGATCAACAAAAGCCGTCGGCGAGTGGGAAAGCTCCTTGTAATATTTGCGCCGCGCTTCTGAACCAACGCGTGAGTCTCGCGGCTCCCGCAAAACTGTTGCATGTACTAACAGTTTGCGGAAACGTTTAGGTGCATGAAACCAGAAACAGTCCGGGCCGCGTCATTTCTAGCCCGGGAATAGTCTCTCCGGTCTTGATGGACTTCTGAATGAGATCAAGGTTACCAGATGTAGTTTTTATGAGGTCTTTAAAATCTGATCTCAAAAAATGACGTTCATGTTTGTGGAAGAAAGTTATGGACCTTTAAAAGTCGATGATTTGAGTTTTCAATCGAGCAAACCACATCGCGCTCTCATTCTTATCATGTACGAAGCTTTTTAAAAATCATATAATGCTCAAAAACTGCTGAGGAAAAAATTATTGGTTATTCTCTTCCAAAAAGACAAGATCCTCCAAAAACAAGCTTTTGGAGATTTAAAATTTCAATCGATTTTGGAACGTCCATGAATGGTTTTTTCGCGGCAGTTCTCCAGACCAGATTTGGAATACACGAAAAAAAACTAAACTCAGTAAGCTTGATCTCGTTACGAAGTCCAAATGGGACCAGAGACCATTCTCTGGTAAGCCGGATTTCGCAGTAATAAAAAAATCTCTTTGATAAGAAAACCCAAATAAATCAGTAAAAAAACAAAAAAAATCATTTGACTACCGTTTGATCTCTCAAAACAGCGTCCTGAAAATCTAGTTTTTTCAAATTTCGTTGTTATTTTTAGAAGGCTTTCAAGCACATTTTAGTGATTTTCCTTTTAAAAAAAAGTACAGAGCTTGATAAACTTTTGTTTTTCTTTAAAAACTTGCAGATTAGTTCATGAACTGTAGACTATAGAGGATTCTTTTCATGAGCTATTTTTTTTGAAAATACAGTAACTTTCTGGATGCTGGCTTAAGACACTCTTGAATCAAATACAAATATCCCACTTCGAGCTGAAAGTCCGAAACCAAAATCTGTTCACTCAGATCACTAATCATTGGCCAGAAACACCCCGTCTGGCGCGGAAACGTGAAGGAGCAAAAAAAGAAAAGTCCAAACAGAAGCGGAAACAAGCGGAATCCCCCTTAAGTGCTCGCTGTGACGAGCTCGAGCATCTTACTTTTCTGCAGCTCCGGCGGCATCTTCTATCGTGTTTGTTCTTTTCTCTTTCTCCACCACCAACTTTCGCCGACGCATTATGTTGACTTTATGCATTTCGACCACATATTCGCCTTTCAGAATCGTCCTGTTCTTCGGCAGTGTATCGAGAAAGAGAGAGAAAGAGCAACACAAATTAAATAACGAAAGCGGAAGAGATATGACAAGCGCACATGGGAAAATCTTTTTTGGGCGGTGCAGATAGTTCTTCAAACCTGGTAAAGGCGTTTTACAATCTAAAGTCCGGTGCTTGGGAATTTATGAAAGGAGATTTTAAAAAAGGCGCCTTGTCTCGTTCGTTCGAAAAAAGGTGGAGCAGTCAGAACTACAAATTTTTCAGGAAATTTCAGAAAAGTGGTTTTTTCCCGTTTCACATAAAGAGAAAATAATTATTGAGAGGCTTTGAAGGACAGACTAAACAGTGTGCGAAAAATAAGAATAAATAACCTCTTTGAAACGTATTTGACCTAGATGTGAATGAAATAAAAAAAATTGGACAGATCATTTCGGACCAAAAACCTAATCAGAGTAATAAGCAAAAATTTTTTTCATGGAAAAATGCAAAAAAATCTTTGAAAAATTTAAAAAAACTATATTTTTCAAAAAAATAAAAAGGCAAACTTTGCATTCATAAGTTTATGAAAATATAAAATTTGGTAAGATAAAGCTCAAAACTTCAGTTCAGAACTTAGATAGGACCAAATACACAGTACTCGGAGTGAGAATTTCGAAAAATAATGATTCGTGATATCATATTGATATAGGAAGAAGAAGAAAAAAAAAGCAAAAAAAGAAAAAAATCAATGAAAAACCTGAAGCAATCTTTTTTTCACAGAAATTAAATATCTGAAAAACTGACCTGGAACTTCGTCCTGAGGGACCTTGTGCATCTTCTTGAACATGTTCCTGTACCAAAGCGACATCTCCGGCTCGGTGGCCGGATGGAAATGTCGTTTGGGCGCGACGTCGTCGTCTTCTTCGGCGACCGTCGTCGACGTCGCCGTCGGATTCTGATGGCTGTGCGCGGCGTGAGACGTTGGCTGCTCGCCAAGTGGCGCAGGGGTCGCTAAAACGCCCGCCGCGACAACCGGGGGGCGTGGCGTCTGCTTGGGCTCGCGGCTCGACATCGAGGTGGCCGGGGGCGAGTTGGGCGTCAGGAGTGGATCCGTCGCGTCGTAGGTCGACGTCGACATGAAGCTGTCGGGACGTCGCGAATCGATCGATAGTTCCGTTCGAGAATCTGAAGCCGCCGCCAACGACGAAGCGATTGAAGACGCCAGATCGAAAGGTTCCAGAAGTGGGTCTTTTTCGTATCTAAAAAGTTCATATTTTGTTTTTACTGTTGATTTTTTTTTTCCTGATAGGCTTTGGGTAAAATGACTATGGAAATCAAGCTGCGAAAAATTTAATCAATTAAAAATCTCCTTGGGCAGGATTTTTCTTACCCCTGTCTCACTATGAAGAATATCTTTTTTTAACTGGGGCAAAAAATGTGAATTCTCAATTCACATCACAGTAAAATTTTCCCGTTTTCTTTTAAATGCGGAATAAAAAAAACAAGCTTGAATCTCCAAATCCAATTTATTCAAATATTGTCACCCCTCAATAAAAAAATTTAATCTTTTTTTTTCGAAATTTTAGTTAGAGTATGAGTTCGAAAATATAATACTTAACCATTCTGTTCATATCCTATGCTTCACGCTTTTTTAATAAGTCTACTAATTATTTTGAAAAATCACCTCGCAGTATCCGGGGACCTGGCAGACGATCCTTCATAGCCACTGTCATTGCTTCGGTGTTCGACATGTGCTGCCGGAGAATTGACAGTCTCGGAACTCGAGGCCACCTCCGAAAGTCTCACTGGAGTATGTCTCCGTCTGATAGTCCCGTAATGATCCGCCGAGCTGGAGCTGTACGGAGCTGGAGACTTCGACTTGAGCAGCAACTCAGAACTCTCGAGGTCCAACGAATGTCTGGATGAAGAGCGAGGAAGCGACGTCCGCGATCCACTTTGAGAATAGTCCGCAAACGACGTCGACTCTCTGGGTTCCGACATTCTGACAGTTGGCTCTGCAACAGGGGGTTCTGTCTTCTTCTCCACGTTGCTCTGTCCAAAAGGCGTCAGCTGGATGTCCGAAGAGAACAAGGAAGACGGCGGAAGGAGAGACTTCGGTTCAGGGATGGGTTCTGGCTTCGCCATCGGAGTCTCAACCTCTCTTTTCGGCGCATTCTGATTGAGCTGCTGCTGGCGGTACTGGTCGTAGAGAGAGCGAGCAGCGCCGCAAGCCGAAAAAGCGGCGACCTCCGAAGAGTCCCCGAAGGTCGAGATACAGGAAGAGATCATGGAAGCGCCATCGTCCAGGTCTTCTCCACCAAAACCTCTGGAATCCATGGAACTGTTGAGCGTCGAGTTGACGTCCGACTGCCGTTCCGAAGTGTGATAAGGAGAGCGGAACATGGGTTTGGCTGGAGGATTCAGGTTCAGAAGGTTTGAGTTCGAGGTCGGAGGCAGCTCTTGGGCTGGCTGAGGGGCTATCCGAATAGTCGAAGAAGTTCTTTGCTGCGTTGGTTTCGGAGGAGCTGGAGGTTTGGCTTCGATCGGGGGATGCTGGGGAGGCTGATGCTGGACCAAGTTGTAGCTGGGCGGCGGAACTCCTTGGAAGAACTTCTGCGGATTGACAGGTCCGTCGAGGACTCTTCCCATGTTGTGTTTGTTGGCGTGAGGATCGATGAAGTCGCTGGGCTCGTGGACGCGAACACTGTGCGCCCAAGACGGTGTAGACAGCTCATCTGGAAAACATTTACTTTGTTAGTAGTAGAGTTTCTGTACAACAATCCCATTGACGGAATTCAGGAATTAAGCTCGCTTCTCAAAAAATACAAAAATAAAGTTTGCCGAGATCCTTTCTAACTTTCCAGGCCTCCTAGTCTGATCTAAAAAATATTGGGGCTAGAAAGCTAAAAAAAAAAAACTTACATGGCTCCTTTCAATGATTTTCAACTTCAAAACCTACTTGATTTCCAAATTCATCTCCTTTTCGACTCGAAAGCTTCAAATCAAATCTTCGAAAATGAAAAAAAAAAGGGGGGGGGGAACCACAAACCCCTATAGGAACCCCTCAGAAAAGCCTCAGTACCTGAAGGAGTTTTCGGCCTCATAGCGCTGACACCGCCCGTCGGCGTCTTCATTTCGAGTCTGTCGTTGATCATTTGTCGCAAGGCGGCTACTGTTTTCCGACCAGGAACCTAGGAGAAATGGTATGTTGGAAAAGTCGGTCGATTTTTTTATAGTGGTCATTTCTTGAAACTTTTTTTCGAATTGAAAACTTTTAACGTTTTCAAAATCCTTAAAAGTCAACTGTTGATCGTTTGAAACTTTCAAAAAACCCAGAAAAATTGACAGCTCAAAAGAGGAAAATTTAATTTTTTTAGAGCAAATTTTAAGTCAAACCTTACCATTTGATCTGAAATCTAAATATTTTTGGGTTCAAAATATTATCTACTAACATTTGAGAGCTATTTTTTTGAAAGAAAATAGGAAAGATCGCAAAAAAAGAATAAAATTTTTGAATCCAGACTTCAAAATTTAAAACTTTTATTAAGGAATTATGTGTACTATACGTGTTCTATAAAATCGTTAACATTTTAATGAAACCCAAAGAACTTTTCGAAATTTGAAAACTAGCAGAAAAGCCACAATAAAAACCAAACGACTTTTAAAACATGCCAGAATAAATCCATCAATTATCATCAACTGTAAAATGATTTACCGAAAAAAATGGAATTTAACATAAGTTTTTCTATTGAATCGGAAACAGTATAAATAAGAACAATCGGCACCAAAGCTGATCAAAGACTAGAAACAGATTAAAAACGCCCAAAAAAAAGGAAGACTATTTTGCTTTTTTTCCAATCGATAAGCGAAAAAGGGCATTTCCGAATACTTCTGGAAATGCCAAGGTTTAAAAAAGCTATGAAAACAGAAATTCGCCCACCTTTCCTATTTTAACGACTTTTTTGTTTTTTTTTCGACGAAATGTGAGAAAATGTTTTCATTCAGATGCTAACAATGAAATACTGACTTTGACGGTATTTTAATCGCACGTGGTACAAAAAAATCGAAATTTTTTTCATTAATTTGTTGTATTTTCAAAAGAAAGTTTTTTTCAGTTCTCATAAGTCTATTTTTAAAAATTTTTTTAACTGAAAATTTCCAATCAAAAACATCATTTTTTTTTTGAAATCATTTTCATCAAAAATTACGAAACTCCGTTTGACAGATTTTGGAAATATTCACCTCGACATCGCCTTGTGCGGGCATCGCATTGTTGATCTGCGTCTGGACTCGCCACTCCGAAGGACCTGCCGCTTGCTGAAAATCGAAAACAATTGGAATATTATCGATAGAAAAAGCGGCGTGCCACAGCGCAACAGGTTGTGTGCCTGTCTACGGTCCACAGGGTCACAAGTTCGATCCGCGCCGCTACCAAGGGGTTTACAAAATGCTGGAAGTGGAAAAGAATCTCGACTTCAGAAATACTCAGCCGTCACACACAAGGACGGATATGTCACTAGAGCCAATCCACTGATTATCACTGATATCAGGATAGGACCTTGGCTCATCGACTTGAACGGCACAAAGGAGTGAATCAATAAGAACAATATCGATAGACGGGCAATTTGAAGACTAAAATGAAAAATGAACCGCGAAAGGTTCGCAAAAAAGAACAAATAGAGGCCGGCAGTGGATACGGATTGCGGTGTGCATAATGAGCAAATACGACTTTATTTGGGTATATTCTGTTGCGTAAGCCCATGATGTTTTATTAGTGGGAAACAAAAAGAGCTGCATTTTGAACTTTTGAGAGGTGGGATCGAAAAAATGTAACTGCATGGTTAAAAAATCGGTTTGAAAAACAGAATTATCAAATTTTTTTTTCCCCCCTCAATCTTTCGGGAAACAAAAGAGAAAAACCTCATTGAACCGTCCCTGATAGAGAAAAATAGTAGAATCGGTTCATCTGATTTTCCAAAGAAACCCATCTTGCCACAATTTTCAAACAAGGAACATATTCATGAAAAGTTATGAAAACCCAATAGCTGATCAGAAATCGGCTAGTGTTCGAAATGAAGTTTGCAAGGATTCATAAAGAGAGAGCCATGCGTGGAAAAATGACAGCTGACGAGCCAGATCGCCGTCGCAACCCATCGATTTGTCTTCTTTTCATCAGCTACTGACCAAAATCCCGCTTTTTCAAATCGATAGCAAAAGGTCAACGTGATAAGTACATGGGGTTTTTCCCTTTTTTTTCATACTTTTCAAGCTTTGAACTAATAAAACCAACTCTTTTTTTTATATCCAAACCACTTTATATCAAAAAAACTTTTAGAAGATTTTTTTCTCCTCTAAAAAAAGTCGATAGAATGCTGTCCGTTTATTTACTTCTGATATGACCAGTGTTCAACCGTTAAAAAAAAAAAAATGCATCATCAGCAACCGAATAATTAAAAAATACAAGAAGACCAAAAAGAACAGACTGAGAAAAAACTCGCGAATCTGAAAATCAATTTTTTTAAAATGAAGGTGAATCGGCCTGACGTCCTGGTGAGTCAGAGAACTTAGAAACATCCAAATTGAAGTTTAAATCGTATTTTTTCCGTCTAGAACCACTTATTGAAGCCCGAAAAATCGACAGATAGAGTATAAAACGCAAAGATTAACCTTTAAAAAAACTAATTTGATTTGAAGTTTCGCTGAAGTGTTGTAAGGATCACAGGCAAAGCGGAAAAGAAAGTTGTCAGTGTCGTGTAAATTTTTTACGCCTTTTAACAGCTCAGAACTTTTTTTTTGAAAAAATTCTAACGAAAAACTGTTAGAACGAAAAATTTGCGAGAAGAATATCCCGATGATTTGCCATTGGTAGGAAAAAAGTAACGGGAGCAAATCAAGGAAATAGAGCATGAGACCGTGGAAAATTCGAGTTGGGAGAAGCGCGTCGGACCGTAAGGGAGCGGCCGACGGATTGCCAATCCAGCGACTTTCCGGCACGGTTGTCGTTGACGCGGCTAATTAACGGCTGCCTTGACCTTTCCGAGTTATGACAGCGCATAATCCTATTGGCATTTCGAGTTGTGCCATCTGAGCACCTTTAATGGCCAGGACAATTTTGGCCGTTTTTTAATTTTTCTTTTTCGAATCGCTCAGAAAATTAAGTTGTTTTAAAGCTAATAAGAAGAAGAAAAAGAAAAAGAAAAAGAAGAAATAAAAAAAAGAAGAAGAAGCCTGGTAATCCCATTTTCGCATACGATACCCTCATCACATGGAAAAAGCTGAACTTATGAGAAATTTTTGGGTTAATTTTTATTTCTCTTTTTTTCGGTAATTTTTTTATTTCCATCAAAATATAGAAAATATTTCTCTAAACGTCGGCTGAATCTCACATTGTTCACAAAACTAAATGCTTATTCATTTGCCTCAAAATTACTGTAATCTATGATCTAACTTCAAGGCTTCCAAGTTCATTTACCTCACTAATACAATCAAAAAAATTCGATTTTTCTCATAATATATGAATTACTGAACCCTTAGTACAATCGAAGAGGAAGATCAAGAGAAGCCAGACGATTAGCGAGTCCACTAAACAGGACTCACAGCACGGAAATGGGCCCTTATGAATGAGAAATCGAGGCTTAGGCCAGAAAGTGGGCGGAGTCTGAACGGGCTGACGACCGTGTTCAACGACGTTTCCCGGCATAATTAATTGAGGCCTACGATAAAATCAAAAGTGCGCTCCGATGGGACAAAGGCAGTTTTCACGGATAGGACAAATTGCTGGATTCTTCTGCTGCTTTACTCGGATATTTCGCCTAAGAAAATTTCAGAACTTACAACTTTTTCTGAAATTGTGATGAGATGAATGATTTGATCATTTAAAAAACTTTAATTTCGATTATCAGATATTCATGAAGCAGTAAAACAAGGCAAGGCTTTTTCGTTAAATGCAAAAAAAAAAAAAATTTGAAGCTTTTTTCACTGAAAAAAATTTGGTCCTCACAGATGGAAGACCCGTAAAAACTAAGAAATTAAAAAAAATCAAACTTTCTCAGATTTTCTAAATATTAAAGTTGAAAGGTTTGCAAGAAATATTAGGAAATAAAATTATAATTTCCAGGGCTCGATGAATGAGTAAAATCAAGTGTTTTTCTTGAATTAAATATTCAAAAAACGCTTTGAAGCACTACAATAACCAATAAAATCATATGAAATAGATCACTTCGTCGAAAAATTTCGTAGTTTCCTTTTTTACCCTTTCAAGATATTTATCCCCACTGTAGCTTTAACAAACCAATCTCCCACTTTTAAAGCTACCAAAAAAGTTTCAAAGGAATAGCCGAAACAATTAGCGGAGGAAAAGACAAAACACGTCGTAAAATCAGTCTTCTGCTCGGGAAATAAAACAAAATGGCGCGTGGATGGGAAAAAACTTTCCAACAGAAGCTTCAGGGAGGTTCATCGCACAGTTCAGACTTCAAAAAGTATAATCTAGCACCAATTTTAAAACAAACCCCCCCTTTTTTTACCTAATTTTGTGCTGAAAAAAAAAATCTATAAACACCTTAAATTTTTCTTCTAATTTGATAAAAAAGTTAAATCACAAAAATTTTTTTATTTCTTCAAAATAAAACTCACATTTTGCAGCCTTTGTGAATAGTAGGACCCGGCGCCTGATGGATCGTACGACGAAGAAACGTACATTCCTGAAATCTGAGCTTTTCTTTCCGTTTTTTCTCCACACAACGTTCACTGGCCGGAGCAGATTAGTCACACTTTTGAAATATGCGGAATTTTTGAATTTTTCAAATAATGACGAGTCCAAAACGTTAAATTTAAAAAACCAGCTCAATACGCACAAAATAATTACGTGACAAATTTAAACGATAAAGAAATTGAGATATCATGATTTTTGAAAAATTCTATACTTTCAAATCAATTAAATCTTTTCCTTCCAAAATCCTTGGGGGAAAAATGAAAATGACTCAATCAAATATTAGAAAAGCCGATTTCTGGAAAGAAACAAACGAATTGAAGGAGAATAATGAATATTTTGGAATTAATGGATAGAAATTTTGTTTTTCAAAAAAATAATGTTTTTTTCTCCAAATCGATTAAAAAAAGAATTCATAAATCAATGACACATGAAAAAATAAAAAAAATATATATTCATATAACCAAAAACCCAGAAAAACTTAAAAATGAGACTTATTTTCCTGACTAAAATGAAAGTTGAAAAAAAAAATCTTGGTCCAATGAATAGAACTACAAATTGAGCCGTTGACCAATTGGTTGTAGAGATTGAACAAGCTTCCCTATTACAAAAAAGAGAAGAATTTGTATTTCAGTTCAGAGGAGCCGTTTTTTCCATTAAAATCACTATATGAGCGGCAATAAAGGTTTTCTTTTCTTATAACGGACCAACTTATATTTCATGTTTTGACTCCATTTCCTGAATAAGAGTGACTCAATCTGAGAAAAAAAATCTCTTCAAAGCCCAAAAAACATTAAAGTCTCCGAATAGGAAGTGCTACTCAAAAAAAGTGTGGCCCAAATCTGTAAAATAAAGATTCCTATTATCTCTAATACAAATAAACTTTATAAAAAAAGTTCTTTTTGGCATTGAATAATAAATCGTAAAAAAAGGTTGAGTTCACTTACTTGATCCGAACAAATAAAAAGATCTTTTTTTAATCGTTAACAGGAAAACAATCCAAAAATTTTTTTCAATGAAAATGTTTCTTATGAGGTGATAGACAATGGATTATTCAAGCTTACTCCGTCATCCTAACTTTTAAAGAGGCGTTTAAAAATAAAATCAAGCCTTCATTATTCAACAGAAACTTTCTCTCTGAGTGATCAACCATTAAAATACCCGAGCTTACTTTCAAACCTAATCTTATAAAAAGACTTCTTCGATCGTGTACAGAAACAAAAAGATTGTGTTTTTAATGGGTAAAACTTCCTTATGAGGTGATAAACAATTGAATTAGCCGAGTAACCGAGAGGACAGACTGGAAACGAAGGAGAGGGTCATGGCGGCAGTCGCATGCCGCCTCGAGCAGCTTCTTTACAGCCCCTCGGCGTCTCCTTCCACTACTGATTGGCACCCCCCGTCCGTCCGTCGATACGTATTACAATCCAAAAAGCATGTTCCTCCACCGTTCATTTTCACATTTCAACGACCTCTTTTTTAAAACCACCGAAAAATTGTGAAGTCGAGGAGTTTAAAAGAGTTTTCTTGGCTTTTCGGATCAGGAAATCACCGGCGTTTTTTCGAGAAAGATATCGATAACTCATCGGCACTTGGAAAAAGGTTCTTCGATGGGAAGTCTAGAAATTCCCGGAAAACGCTGTCATCTAACTTACGATTTTTCATGGGTACTACCTCCTCAAACTTTTAGGAGTTTTAAACAGACGTTGTTTCAGAGTTTGAAGTTATATTTTGAAAATTCTAGTCTCCAAAACAAAAAAATTTTCGACACAGTCTAGGAGAAAGTTCAAGATGTCTAAGTGTTTGGGAAAGTTTTCAGATTGATAAAAACTCAAACTAGAATCGTCTTACCCTTGCGGGTGATTCTTGATGCAAGAAACTGTGTTATGGCTGAGGAAAATAAATGAAAAAGTAGATTATCGATCAGTTTTCAGATTCGATAAAATCACAAAATTCTTCATTCTCCTTATTTGCCATCAAAAAAGTTTTTCTTGATTCAAAAAAAGACGAAACTGTAGAAAAACAACGATACAGTCACAAAATAGATGGTCAAGAGAAGAATGTCTTCAAATTCCCAAAATCGTTTCAAAACAAATATTTAAAACCAAAAGCAAACGTCTGGAGAACATAAAAACAGACGGACGGACGGCCAGCTTTCGCAAAACTTTCACTGGCCAAACAGAAAAACAAAAAAAAATGGACCGAGGAGGGGTCAAGAGCTTACACCTGCGAACAACATTGCGTCGCTTGGAAATCGACAAAAAGAAGCTAGAAACATTGAAGTGGGAAGGTAGAAGGGGCAAGCATTTTTTTTCTCGAACTTGCTAGATTTATTTCTTGTTTCCCTCTGTAAAACAGAAAAAGGAAACCGACCTGGATCAGGTTTTTGAACTGGCACCTCGTCAACGATCAACGTCTTCTCGTCGACGTCTTCTGCTCCAGCCGAACTACTGAAATCGCTTGCTTTTGATCTTGAACTTTCCAGTGATTGTATAGAAACTTTGAAGAATGATAAAAGTTTGATTCTGCGGTAAATTCATGGAGAAACCCCCAAGATTTCCATTATTACATCATCTGCAAACATTGAGGACAGATATTCAAAAAAGGACGAGCCAAGAGGAAAACTTCAAAAGAGTTTGCCGTTCTTTCTCCCTTTCCTTGGGTTCCTACCCAGAAAAAGTTCTCAACAAAGACGGATGGAAAGTTAGCGACGGATTACGCGTTTTGAAAGAAATGTCGCAGAAAGGAGAACGTGAGGAGCGTCGGTCACAGCTGGACGACGTTTCAAAATCTTTCTTTTTTTCGCCACTCTCAGCTTTTTTCCGTTGCAATCTTGGGGTTAACAAAACAGACGAGCAGAGGAATCGTGCCGATCCGACATCTGTTCAGAAATTGAAAGAAAAAGTTTCTTTTTCTCTTCGTAGTGGTTGTAAGAAGATGGATAGTTTCAAATTGAGCTTCAAAATATTTTATGAGCCATACTTCCTAAAAAACCATATTTCTCGGGCAAAATCGGAATGGTGGATAATGGTCGCTAAAAGAGAGAGGCTAAAAAAAGGCCGCAGAAAGGCAGCAACGAGAGTCCATTTATCGAGCCTTTCACTTTTTTGGAGATTTTAAAGGCTCGAGAAATGGTGCAAAATAGCCGAAAAAATGGCTCAAAAAGACAGCAAAAAAGAAACCTTTGTCATTTTAAAAGGAACATTTTCATGGAGCCTATTTATTTTTTTTTAATTTGAAGACGCAGTTCACTCAAATCAGGAAGGAAACACCATCAAATAGATTTCATGAACAGGGAAAATGTGGTATCCCCAAAACTCATTCATTCAATTTGCGAAAAAAAATATCTTTGTTGATATGAATTTTTCAAAAAAACAGGTCAATTCTTCTTCTACAAAATGATATAATACTTTAAAAAAACTGACAAAATATCTACGTATGTGATATGATACCTGAAATATAAAAATTTTTCGAGTTAACCTAAAAAATATAAGATTATCTCTAGGGAATTTAATATTGATTGAGAAAATAAAAATTCCCTAATGCAAAAACAACATGTTCTTCTTGACCATGGCAAATTATATATGATAAGTAAAACCAGAGCACTTAACCAAACAAGAAGGATTTTCTGCCAAAAAAGGAAATGACGGAGATTCGTGCAATTTTTGATTGGCATCTGCCGAAATTCGCTGTCCACAGGGAGCCGAATCAGAAAATATGAGGGAAAACAGCTGAGAAGGCAATTAGAAAGAACTCTTAGGACCAGAAAGAAAAATTTTTTTTTTCCAATTACCAATTTTGAAGACATAAGCAGCGTAGCTCAGGGAGAGAACAATTTTAGAAAGGCTAAAAATGCTGTAACATACGATTTGAACAGATTTTGAAAACTCGACTGTTAAAATTCCTATTATGAATACTTTTTGAAATTACAAAGTAAACCCACCGATTTAGATGATCCAATCACAACCCCGTTTTTCGTTTGAACCATTTAAAATTAGAGTCGTACTACACAGAACATCAAATTCAAATTAAACAAAATGATGAGATTATTTTAGAATAACTGACTAGTATTTTCAAATCTTGAAAACGAACCCTTCCGGAGACGTTCGGAGACTCGTTGAGCTCGATCTACCGGCAAAATCACCCGCCGCACTGTCATAGCCGCCAGAACTCTCAGTGGGTGGGCCTGCAAGAAAAACGGGCAATCATTGCACTTCAGACGGGAAAAAAGGCGTTTCAGCAACTGGTCGCGAAGCAGTTTGCAATGACGATATTACGTGTGGGAATCCTAATCGTCCAAGTGATTCATATTTACGAGTTTGAATAAAGGAAAACTTTGAAAATGGCTGGTAAAATTTAGAAAAGCGTTTGAATAACAAAAGAAAACTTCAGGCGTAAAATAAGTTTAGTACGCAGGAGCAGCGTGTATGCGTAAAAGAAACATACTGTAACAAGTACAAGGGAAATATATGTTTTCTAATCAGAGTTGTTTTTTGCTAATAAACGAAACACATTTGAATTATTTTGAAAAGGTGTAGTGAGATGCGTCTTTAACAATTTCATAGAATGTTTGATTGAGAATACTATAAAACTACCTTTTTGAACCCCCATTTGAATTTTCTTCTTTAATAATCGCTCAGTGACAGGCAAGACAGGCTCACTACGAGCCGCGCACTGCTCGAAAAACCGCCTTCTGCCCTAAATGACTGAATATTTCTAGGAATTTCAAGATTTTCCAACTTCAGTGGCCGCCTTGGAGCCGTGCATCATGTCGAGGCGAACTTGTCGTGGAGAACTTCTTGAAAGGTGCGGATTTGTTCGAGGGAGCACAGGTGAGGACGGCACCGAGCTGGGCGGCGAACTGAAAAGTTTAGATTTCTGAAAATTTTTACATTTCTAGCCTAACCTGTTTCTTTGAAAAACTGGCGAGTTGTGCACCGAGGAGCTCAATTTTTCCCTTCTCACAGTTGGATGATAGTTCTCTGGGACTCTGAAAGATTGACATGACTTCATAATTGAATTTAAAGGACTGAATTTCTATTTAATAAGAATATATGCTTTAGATAAAACTATGAATAAAAAACTACAAAGGAAGAAAAAAAGTAATACGGTTTGCTGGCTGAAGAGGCGTCTTGAAGGTTGCGTCTGAAAGCGAAAAATACAAAAAGAAAAGAAAAAGGAAGATCGTCATTTTGTGAGGAGAGCCATTAGTTTGAGATCAATGAAGCATGACTCTAAGGGCAAATGGACCGTGGCGGGAGGAACAAAATTAAACCAAACTCCAGGAAATTCATTTATCTTTTTTTGAGATTATTTTCCCAACCTTGCGCCAAAACAGCCGAACGAAGCGCCCATCGGCGAGTTTTTATCAAACTTGCTCCAAGCGAAAAAAGCGCGAAACTTGGGACAGTGGCTTGGAATATGGGAAAACGATAAGAGCAAAGGCAGCCGTTTCGTCTCAAACACCTCTGTTGATAACCTTTTTCGATTCGAATGATAACACTGGAACACGGGTTTTTATGGTGTTTTGGTGTGACCGACGAAATTTGAAGGAGTGGAGGCTGATTTCGAATGAGGGCTACGAGTACAAAGTACTGACAAAAGTGTTAAAAAAATTAAAAAAATTTTAATTTTTCAATATATTTATTATGAGAAAAATTTAGCAGGAGTTTTTCATGAAAGTTAGCCAATTTTTTTAAGGAGCTGGAAGCTAGATGAAGATTTCGAAAATCCCAACCGACTAAATTTTTTTATTCAACCAGAAAAAAAATCCAATTTCAAATTTTTTTCGCAATTTCCAAGAAATCGTCTTTTTTTCGAAAAATAGTGATTTTTTTAACCTTTCTCATGAAATTTCATTGACTTCAATCTCGTACATGAAAAACTTTGCAGTTTCAAAAAAATTGGGAGACATTTATAATCAGCCGACTTTCCTCAGTTTTCATACCAAAAAAAGCGAATTTAACAACTAAAAAAAAGCTAGAAAGAACCGAAAAGTGATACAACAAAAAAAAGAAAATCATCATAGACTTCCAACTTTCACAATGTTTACGAAAAATTTAAGACAACATGGAAAAAATAACAGAACAGTAAGTGGTGTTTGGAAATTTAATGATAACAAAAAGATAATATAATCATAACGATGTGACTGTAGCTTTATCGGTTGAAAAAAATCAAAAAAATTTTTTTATCTCTAATAAATTCCTATTCGACTAACCTGAGCAATGTTAAAACCATCTCGTCGCGATTCGCGTGTATTTTCGCGTGGGCGTCGTTGCAAGAAGCCACGGGAAGTCCGTCCACCGTCATGATGACGTCACCGATGTGGATTCCGCTCAGAAACGCTCTGCTCCCCGGTATGATCTACAACAGAACTTTTTTCTCTTCCAATTTTTTCAGTTTTCTGGCTTAGAAAAAAAAAAGCTTCTTCTACAGTAATATTATCAATAAATTGCTCATTAGGCATTAAATCTACCTGAATCAAAATAAAAGCTGTAGAAACTCACTTGACCAACGACTGGGCGAAGTTCTGCATCATGGGAGACTCGGAAGCCCCAGGGCGGTCCTCCGACCAATCGAAAAGTCAGAGACATTTCGTTGATTTCTTCGAATTTTGAACTGCAATTTTTTTCAATCGGAAACAGCATAGGAAAAATCGATTTATTTTGGACGTTGGTATTGAAATCGGAGCCTTGTCGAAGCAATAAAAAAGGGGGAAAATATATAAAAGTGGAGAGGCGCGCAGAAGCCGAATTCATTGTGTTGTAAGATCTAAAGTCGTTCATTTTCTAGAAAAGCCCAGGAATGAATTTTTTCGAGTGACTCGCGTAAGTCATTTCAAGTCCGGCGCACTTCAAAGCAACCGTTCCATTGAGCTCCAACCCATTTAAAATGCGTCTATGGGGTTCCAAATTATTGCTAATAAAGTTTAAATTCTTTTAGAAACAAGAAACAAGAAATGGAAATAATTAACATCACTTCTCACTTTTGACGATTCGAGTTCCATTTTTTAATTTTTTTTTGGCCCCAGAACTTTAAAAATAGATTAGAAATCTATGTTACCAGATGACCAGAGAACGGTGTCCAGTCCCAGTGGAACTTCTGACAGATCCCCGATTTTTTTAATTGTAGTGTTTCAAGCTGATCCCAAATATAATTTCAAAAACTGCCGCGAAAGTGTGTGAAAGAAGTAATTGACCTTAAAAATTCGAAAAATTATCCGATTAGGCATATTTCTGAAGGGTATATAGATCTTGTCCCTGATGGCAAAATACACATCTTTGAAAATATTTTTGAGCCTTGAAGCCCTTGATATGGTTTTTCAAAGGCCCACACATTACAAGGAAAATTGAACGGGTGGGTTGCTTTTTATAAAAATAAAACATCAGAAAAAAACTATTCAATTCGAAGAAAAAAAAGAGCCAGAGAGCAACTAACGAGTAAGAGCTTTGGGAGAACAATGGAAAGATAAAAGGGGAAAGTCGCGCAGAAGAAGCCGCTGGCCGGGGACATATGGGCGGCGATGTGTCAAATGGCTCCGATGGTATCTTCTTCTCCGATGAATTTTTATCGACGGGGTTTTACTGTTGGATGAACACTCTAATCGCTCTTTTTCCAAACGAAAACAGGTGCATTGGGACAAAAAACGCAACGAGAAACAGACAAAAAACTATTGGAGCGTCGAAAAAAACATAAAAATTTTTTTGATATAGTTTTTTTGAGCATAAATAGGATTTTTATTATTTTTTTTTTCACATAATTTGTTTTCTGGACATGGAAGAATATTCCGTAAAGAATTAAATTTTTGGCTTCAATTGTAATTTCGAAGGTAAAATGGGTAATCTCAGAAATGAAAAACATGTGAAATTTGAAACTTTCTAGGATTTTTCTCGATTTTTTTAAAAGTTAAAGTTCGTGAGGGCCTCAATTGCCTTTTTATTTATTTATTTCAGGCTGGAATGTCAATTTTTTTCCTTCTTTTTTCGTACATGTTATTTTTTTCTGCCTGCAAATAAATAATATTATAAAAAAAAGTTCTGAGCACCATTCTAGAAAAAAATTCCAATCACTTTACCGAAAAAAAGGTCAAAAAGTTGACATTAGCTGCCTCCCTTGAAATGAAAATTCAAATTTTTCCAAAGTTCGAGAAAAGTTGGAAAAATAAACAAAGGACGAGGGTATAACTATTACAGGACGATGGTGTTTTCCGGCAGCCACGGGCCTCGGCCAACAGCTGTTGTTGATGGGTCCGTCCCTCGATCGCCGCCAGGCCGTTAAAAAAAAGTACCGTCGATCAAAAGTCACTTTTGTCTTTTCTTCAAGTCCTCAAGTTTATTCGGGTTTATAACAAAGAAGCTGCGAAAATGAGCCAACGAAAAGCGCCACGGTCGGCCGAAAAGTGAGACAAGTTGCGCTCCAATGATACGTCTCGCCAATCAGTTTTTAGACTTATTTTTCTCGTTTTTGTTTTTTTTTTTTCATTGAAGTCTTGTTCATTACATGTCATTTGATGCAATTGGAAAAATATTCAGTGAAGTTAACCTGAAATGAAGTCCGTGAAACTTTTAAGTTTTCAAAAAGGATTATTTCTTTCAAAATTGTGCGTAAGAACCATTAAAAAAATAAACAAAACGATGCGAATCGCACAGATATTTCGAAATGAACAGAAGAAAGCCAGAAAACAAATTTTGTCACAGATGCCAAACATCCACGACTTTCTCATGGTTTCAGCCGCCAAAAACGAGAATCGAAAGCATTTTTGGGGCTGTAAACTCCTCGATTTGAACCATTTTCGTGTGTTCCGCACCGTTTTTACGACTTTCTGTGAAATGACGCATCCTTTTTTCGTTCGTTTACGCAGGGGAGGTCTAGTTTTTTTTTTCAATGAAGGTACAGGTAAAGTGAAAAAAGACTTGAAGTTTATTCTTATGGACTGGGAAAAAAACAACAAGAAGTAACATTGGGAAAAGGCTTCTTCTCTGACAAACTCTGTTAGACACACCCAAATATATTTTCCAAGAAAGTTTGACAGTAAATTGCTGAAGAACCAAATAACCGACTTATGCAAATAAAGGAGTTCAGAGGCGTTTTGAAAACATCATCTCTCAATGGGGAACAGAAACAAGGAAAACAACGAAAAAAGAAAGAAATTAAAACAATCCTTACCAATTAGACTTTAAAATTTAAATAAAGACTCAGTTGTGAACCGGTGAACAAAGAGTTAATCGATGGTTGAACATTATGCAAAGTTATGAATTATACAATCGATTAACAAAAGAATAAAGATTTCAGGTGGTTTTGAGGTCCGCCATCTGCAGAACTTTCTCGCAGACCTTTTTGTACAAGAACGCGTCGCCGTTGAGTCTTTTGCGCTTGATTCCCACCTGAAGGTGAAAATTCTGGTGAGTATTGTTGAGTTTGGTGGCAAGTAGAACATGTTGAAAAAGGCTACAAAAACTGAAAAAAATATTTTTGGACAAAAATAAGGATTTCAAAGAATAGCACAGGGAGAGAGAGAGAGAGAAAAATAAAATCAAAATTTAAATAGAATTAACTGTGGCCGGCAGGAGATGAAACAAATAACGGGATCAAAAAACAATTTTTTTTTTCAACCTTTTTATCGTGTCTTAATGGCTGTTTTTTGAATCGTGAGAAAGAATTTTTCCTTTTTTTTCCGCATTTGAAGAAAAAGTAGGGCCTTTTTTTCGGTCTTCAAAAAAACTGAGTAGAGTAGGGAAAAGAAGAAACGGAGTGAGATTCAAAATTATTCAAAAAATTTGAGCAAGGAAAGTACCGAAAGCAATAAAAAATTATCTTTTTTCTCGTAATACTTGGGACCAACCGTGTTGCAGTTTTCGAGGAAGACGACTTCTAGTTCGACGGTCATCGAGCCGGTCGCGTCCTTCTTCTGCCCGGATATTTTCCAGCCCTTGAGCTCGAACGACATGTTCTGCTGCTCGAAGACGTTGACGAGCTCCTGTCGGACGCGTTTAGGGGATGAAGATGACGTCACCGAGACGTTCACCATATTCTGATGGTAAGTGAAAAGTTCTTCTTGATTTCAAAGGGTTAAAAAATAATAAAAAGTGACTAAATAACACAGTCCGTTACAAGCTCTAAACTAGTATTATAACATTTTTCTTTTATTTACAAGATAATTTGTTAATTTGTATTCTCAGATCTGAATTTTAGTGACCTTCAAAGGGCTTCTATAAAATTAACAGAAAAAAATCATGCTAGGAAAAAAGAATGAAAACTAATCAATGCTGAAGTCCAACAAGAAACCCTTGCTAGTCCGAGAAACTCTACAAACCTTGGTGGATCGGATGACCTGCGGCGAGTCGGTCTTCATTTTCCGGGGCGTCAGGAGGTTGATCATTCGCTCGGCCTTGCGTTCCAGCGACGTGAAGACGCGCTGACGGAGTCGCGGTGTCTTGGTGCTGCTCCGCGGCGTCCGGCCGTCGCAGTTGCTGCCGCTTCCGATCGACGCAGGGGAACCGACGGCGACGCTCGCGACCGTCTTCTGGGTGCCGCGATCCGAGGAGCGCGCTCGCTGACGAGGGACCGCCTCCGCCTTCTGGGGACTGAACAGTCCACGCAGCGGCGGGCGGCACGGCGTCGCGTAGATGGTACGGCAGGTTCCAGTGTCTTCGGCTGAATCGAAGACATTTGAAATTTCTCAGAGCTCACAAAACTGTTTACTTCAAAAAATTCCTCAGTGAATATAATAACCTCGTTCAGATTTTAATGATCACAGATCAGAGTGAGTTCAGAAAATGTTCCAATGAAAGACAGACTTAGGACCAAAGTTCGTTTCGAAAAATTCAAGAGCTTGAGGGATTGAAAGAATATACTAACACCAAAAATAACTCTCACAAACTGATTCGAATTCCATAGACAGGTGGTTAAAATTCTTCGGCTCGCTATCAATTTATCATACCAACTTCTTCTACCCAATACAATTCATATACTATCCCTGAAGCTTGTGATAAAAAGTCAGGTTTTCAGAAAGAAAGAGATAATCTTACGCCGTGTCCAAATAAATCAGCTTGATTCTTTAAAAAACCCCTCAGAGAAAACGAAAGCCAATTGAATTTCGAAGATCAGAGATTTTTTTGAGCTTCGCAAAAAATACTATAAACAGGGCTTAAAAAACACGTAAAAGCCATGAGATTTCATTGAATCAAGTTTTATCCTCGTGATTAAAAATACTAAAATTGCTTCGGAAGTTCCATTTTCCCCTCCAAAAAACAAAACAAGAAAAAAACTAAACCATAAACTTTCAGAGGTCCACGAACGCTGGCGGCGCCAGGGCGGTAGTAGCGATTCTCTTTTTCTGGGACCACTTCTCCATCCTGAAATAAATGATCTAATACCCCTAAATTCGAAGAAAAAGAGAGCTAGATTGAAAACTGAGCTCAGAAAGTAGTTTTGTATATTTTTCAACACCGACAAGTTTTATAATCAACTTGTTAAGATCGCTTCTCAATCATCACAGCTCGGAGTAATTTTAAAAAATTTCGACTGAAAAAAATACCCGAGTTTTCTGTCGGGCAGGCGTGTTGTTGGCACTTTTGCAAGTGGTCTGCGCTCCTGAATATGATATTGATGAAAACTTCGAAAAACTTCGATCAGAAAGGCTGTGAAACAAAAACATGTAAAATACGGTTCTTTTTATTATCACGCTTCAGAGACCTTCAGCTCTGCTCTGACGAAAACGCCCCCTTTTGCATTTTTGAAGCTGGAATAGGAAATGAGAATAGTAGCTTGCTGGAGCGAAATTAATGAAAGATACGACCAAAAAAATACGCTTTTTTAGAGTTGTTTTTTCGAAAATGAAACTTGCGATACTTTTAAAAACCAAATGTATGTTCAAAAGAGCAGGGGTAAATTTCTGTTTCAAAAAAATTATGATTTTTTTCTTGGATTCTACGCCTTTTTCAAAAACTATAAAAAAAATTTTTTAGTGCACTTTTTGAAACAAAACTGTTCCACTAACAAAAATCCAACCAATAAATCAATTTTCCATCTCGACCCATAAGAATCCTACCTGAAACGGCAGGCGAATCGAAGAGAAGTCGCTGGTGGTTTTTGGGATTTTTCGGGGAGATTCCCGTGATGTGGGACTCCATGTTGAGCACGGCGTTCAGGTACGAGATTTGCTGAAAAATGAGGTATTTTTCTGCATGATTTCTTGACTACATTCTGTCGTTTTTTGTTAATTTTCGTTGAACGAAGCAAACGAATCTCTTCAATGAACGGAAAACGAGTCTTTTAGTCGATTCACGTGAAATTATTTTTTTCGAAGGTCTATGGAGATTTTGAAGCTTTCTTATATTAAGTTACAGCTTCTACAAAATTCTTCTGAACGTTTGGACTTCACAAAAAAGTGAGATAAAAGTGGTAACGGTATGATCGGTTCTTTTTGATTTTATAAATGGAAACTCTCATCGTCGTTCTTTTTTTTAAATCTTAATATTTTCAACCTTTTTATTTGTGAGCTTGAACTGGAATGAAAAATGATTGGAACTATTAAAGAGCTGAAATCAAACGAAAATCCAACTTTTTCGCGATCAGGCGATCTCGGCTTGGCGAAGCGAACGCGGTCGTGCTCATTGGCAGAAGCTCGTCGAGTCGCTTTGGGAAGGTCCCTCAGAATGTGCTCGACGGAGCCGGAAGACGTGGAGGTGCCGTCACTCGTTTCGAATTCTTCTTCGAGACCCGATCTGAACAATTTCGGTGAAATTCAAGCTTCTAATCCTCTTATTGAAAAAAAATTGCGAAGAAAGCTTTTGAGAATGACCGGCTACATATAAATTTTAAAAATATAAATACAACTAGAAGCAAATTATGAAATTCTGCGAAAAGGTTTTTTTTTAAAGAATTTTCCAAGGGACAGATTGCAATGAACTTTTTTTTCCAAGAAGATTGATCCAATTTTTAAATTGATATCTTATTTTTGTAACCAACCTGTCCAGGTGATTATCAAGGGACGCGTGGATCGTAGGAGAAGCCAAAACGTTCGACTCATTCTGCAAAATTTGCGCTTTAGGACCCATTTTCCGATTACCGTAACCCTACCGTAGATGCTCCAGCAACCCTGGGCGGCATCGGGAGGGCATAATGCGCTCCCTGGCGTTTCTTCTGCAGAAGGAGGAAATAAGTCGCTGTCATATAGTCGAAGCGCCATTCCTAAGCACAAATCTTCGGGTGAAATAATGATGTTTCAGCGATGAAAACCTTGACTTTCTCGATCATTTGCGCCAAAGACATTTTGTGATAAAAGGCCATCTCTCGGGCCACGTCTTCATCGATTACATTTTTCTGAACATTTCCATTTGAAATCAGTGATAAATCGATTAGGAAACAGAGTTACAAGAAAAAAGGCCCATTTTGAAAAATTCAGAAAACTCTTCTAGGAACGCCAGATGGTCCCTGAAGGGGTGAGAGGAAGAAAGAGCCCCTATTAGGAACAAAATAATGCTCCCTAGAGCGGTGAAACTAAAATGGCCCCTATAGATGTTTCGGGTGTGACGCCTAAACTCCTGAAGGTTGAGGAGTCCCTATAGGGGACCTCTCAATTTTTTTTTAATGATTCGAAACTTAAAAAGACGTATTTCACAAAATTTAAACGAGCAATCCGATATTTTGTCAATTAAAAAGCGCTAATATATTTTCCGCCTGGAAATCTCTGTTCTCATAAAGTTTATAAAAATCGCTTCCCTAGAGTGGTCACTTTTGCAATTTTAGTGCCCCTTGGAAAAAAGGTAGGATGGTCCCTAGAGGAGAGCCTAGAAGTTCCTATTGCCCCGCTAGGGATCCCTTCAGCGTCCCTAAGACTTTTGCAAAAATATTCGCGTCATTTTTGCCGTTTGCGTACTGAACGCATTAATTGACGTCATTTTTTTTTATCACAACGAACCTGCTACTTTTCATCCGTTTAACTTTCCCTAACGTTTAAAACACTCAACTTTGAGCGAGATTTTCAAACTTGAACCAAAGCCACGTCTTACTTTCTCGCTTTTGAAGAAGAAGCAATTTTCCAATCAAAATAATCAAAAATCAAACATCATAAATGGTGTTCCACTTGATCTGATGGCTGTGTTTGTGGTTGACCCAGGGATGTTGCAAAATCTCTTGAATTGTTATGCGCTCCTTGGGATTTGTCTGAAAATGAGAATATTTAAGAGTTTGTAGGTTATTTTTTAATGTTAACGGTTCGGAACAAGTGACAAATTAGAATATCAAAAGATTGACCTGCAACATTCCACGAAGAAGATCGCGACTTTGCTGAGTCAACTCCTTGGGCTCTTCATAATTTCCTTTCTAAATATTTAACTTTAAAACTCAAAAACGGAATGAAAAACCGCGATCTTCCTATAGAGCAACTGCATGTTATCGTCCTCAAAGGGCAGCTGGCCGCACAAAAGAGCGTACAAGAGAACTCCCATGGACCAGACGTCGGCCTCGTTTCCTTTGTACAATTGGCCCTGAACTTCTTGCTTTGTATTGACAATGCATCAAGTCCCAACCTGAATGAGCTCGGGAGCCGCGTAGGCGGGCGAGCCACAGAGCGTCTCCAAATGATGAGTTTCGAGGCGACCGGCCGCCTTTGCGCATAATCCAAAATCTATCACTTTCAAATGAACTTCCTCAGTGAGCAGCAGGTTCTCCTGTAAAATACGATTACTCAAAAATACATTTCTTTTCGATAAACCGGCTTCAAGTCACGATGAGCATATCCTTGTGAATGAATGTACGCCATAGCGCTCAATAACTGCCGGAAAAAGTGCCTCGCTTCGGATTCCTTAAGCAAAAGCTTGAAAAACAAAAGCAATAATTTTTTACCTCGAGTCTTCGCTTTCTGATGATATAATCGAACATTTCGCCGCCACTGCAGTACTGAAATAAAATGAACTTTGAAACAAATCAGCTGAATTTTCTACCTCAAGGATTATGAAGTACTTTTCTTCGGTCTCGATATACTGGTAAAGACGGCTGATGTATTGGTGTGATAACGAACGTAGGGCATCAATTTCGGTTTTTACGCGTGGGAGGTCGCGCTGAACATTATCAAAATTTTTAGCCCTGAAGTCAGGAATCGCCACCCCAATCGCCTTCTTATCAATTATTTTGATGGCAACTTTCTGATCCGTGAGTAAATGCGTTGCAAGTTTGACTTTTCCAAAGCCTGAAACAAATATTTAGAAAGCCATCAGTATAAGGAAACAACCTCCAGCACCGATTTCTTCGTGTAAAGCATAATAACCCCGTAATACATCATAACTCGACATGATTAGAATGAAAAACCTGCAAAAAAATAGAGATTGAATGAGAGTGGTGTAGAAATACGAGAAAACTTCATAATAATCATTTTTGTGATGCAAAAAATAAGTTAAAAACGAAAAAAATTTAGAAAAATGGGGAAAAAAAGGAAAATGAAGGAAAATCTCATTTGAATTCAAAAAAGGAAAATTGGCGCGCAATTTTCTTTTTTTTCCTTTTTCGTTGGCGCGCACTTGCAAGATGTAAGAACGAAGTTTAAATTTGTCAAATAGGCTGCTCCCTAAAATCGGAGAAAATAGGCGATTTATGTTGAGGAAATTACTTACAAATGCTTGAGAGCCCTAAAAAGGGCTTTTTTCTAACTTTTGTTGAAAGGGTTTTCGCATTTTCACGCAAAATGCGAGAAAATGGACTAAGTTTCAAACAAAAAATACGTGGAATATAGAAGAGATGATTATTTTCAAACAAACCTGTGTTCAGTTTGGTCGTTTAGAGACCATTTTCACGATGGGTGCTTCTCTAAGCGATGCTCTGAGACCTCCTGGCACTCCTGCTTCCGCTCAAATCGCAGAAAATCCGGCTCCGATTGCGACGGCGAGTTCGAAGGAAAAGACGCAAAAAGAGAAACCAAAGCAGACTTCAAAAGAGACTTTAAAAAAGACTTCAAAAGAGACTTCAAGAGAGACATCGAAAGAGAAGCTGAAAGAAACACCGAGTTCAACTCCGGACCTGAAGACCAAAACTCAGTCCAAGAAGAACGTTTCAGAAGTTTTAAAATTATAAATAAATTGATTCATTCAATTTTTGAGGGCGGGCTCAGCGAGAACGAAAGTTTGCAATCAATGCCAAACATGGACACGCCAGATAATTCGATGGTTCTGGGGCCTTCGTTGCCTTCTGCTGAGTCTGCTGAGTCTGCCGAGAAGACGCCGTCGCCAAAAGGAGCCGTTTCTTCTCCTTCCAAGCCTCAGTTCGTTATCCCCGCTGATAACGTGAGTTCCTCTCTTTTTCATAACCTTAATTTCAATAAAGCTTCAGAAAACAAAAGTGAATCCGTTTGATAAAAACTACGATACGATACTGATGATGCCGGAAGTTGACTGGAAAAAAACGGACAAGAAACCGAAGACTCCTCAGAAATAGTCATGTTGAATACAAAATAAAGTGGTCCTTTGCTTTCCGTGCAGAAAATTTGAAGACGATAATAACTTTCTTGTTAACTTTTCTTGATTTAAAAAAATGGGAAAAATACGACGTGAACTTCCTGATGTCGCTCTTCATTTCCAAGCAAGTTCCTGGACAAGAAAGCTTTCGATCGACGACAATGGGTCAATATCTGAGCACACCGGCTGCACCTTCAGCTGCACCTTCAGCTGCAGCTCCACCTGAGAAAAAAACTGAAGTCAAAGTAACGGATTACGCAAAATATTGTTTAAAATGAACATTTCAAGGCGGGTACCGTCTCGGAAAGCACACAGCAGCCGCCGCCTTCCAACACCGGGTCCATTTTGGCCGGGCCAACGGCTTCGCCGGCCAAGACACAGACGCCAAAGAGCGCAGTTATGCCGCCGGCCTCGCCCAAGCCGGTTTTCATTCCTCCAGCTGATACTGTGAGTTCGAAGACTTGAGCAGCTTGAAAATGATTTGATGGAAGAAAGGTTCAATATTATGAGTAGGTTATCACCGAGGCAAAGTTAACTTATTGGTTTGAAAAGCTTCGAGGTAAACTTTGATATTTGAATTTTTTGAAGCTTGTGGTTGGACTTTCTTTTTTTTTATTCAAAGTTGGGAAAGATTTTCCGATAAAATGGTATTTTTCGAAGACGTTTTTGGCAGTTTTGGAATGAACTTTCGGAAAAAGCTTCATCGGATAAAACTATAGCTGATTCACGGCCAGCTTGGGACGCTAAGGGGCGTGTCCTGACTGCACTCTCCACGAGCCAGGCGCTATTTCGTGCATTATCGCGTCAGGACCCTTTTTTCGATGGATCAAGCCAGCCGTGAATCAGCTATATTCGTATTTAAAAGCATTGTCTAGACCAGGCAAACAATTGAAAAAAAAAGCCTAAATTAGGGACTATTTCCATCCGAAGAATCTTTGCAGGCTTATTTCGGAAGAAAATTATTTGAAACTAGCAATTTTTCATAATTTTAACCTGAGATTTTTGAAACCTTCCACCTTTAATTTTTCAGTTGGAGATCAAAAGTTTGGTCTTTCAGAGAAAGAAAGCGAACACGTTCGACGCGAACTACGACACACTGGCGATGATGCCCGACGTCGATTGGAAGAGAAGCGAAAAATCCAGCAAATAGCCTCACATATTTCTGTTTTCACGCTTCATTTGCGCTTCGATAAAACAATGAGATTAAAAGATGATTTACTCATTTTAATCAAATTAGCCGTGAAATGACAGACCACGTGACTTTTCCGACATTCCCAAAAAAGTGTCGACTTGACTGGTCAACGATGGGCAACGCTTCGAGTTTGCTGCCCCCTTCTCAATCTCTGAGCGGAGCCAAGTCTGTCGCTGGTTCACAGAAGGAAGTTCCGTCCAATAAGGCCCAGTCCGAAGCGCCGAAAGTGGCTGTTCCGTCGAAAGCAACACAAAAAACCGAGGCTCCCTCAAAGTCTGAAGTTCCGAAAACGGCGGTGCCCAAGTCTGTCTTCAAGTCCGTCACGGTGAGTTTTTTTCATTTTTTCAAAAATTTGAATTCCTTCTTTTGAACTTGTCAAAAAGCATTTTGAAACTCGCGAAACTCGGTAACGCAAACCGGACGTTCCAAGAATTTGAAGTGATCCCTTTAGGTGCGTCAATACTCTTAAGTGATCCCTGAAACTGCTCAGAAACATTCGATGTGATTCCGACTTGCGTTACCGAGATCCAAGTGCTCTGCCCAATATCATCAGTTTCAATGAATAATCTGAATTTCCGACTTTTCAGCCGCCAAAGCCGAAACAAGACGAAGGAGCCTACGAATCGATCGACACTCCGATCGAAGCTTTGCCGGATCCGCCGAAGATACCACAAGCCAAGTCCGGCAAAAACTGAAACTCTCCCCTCGTTTATTGTCTTTTTCACTGAACCTTTTTCGATTTTTTGTTTTTGCAGTGAATCGTTGTCAATTCCGTTGTTACAAAAATTGTATTACATCTCATAGACAATCGTGTACAAAAAGTAAAAAAAAACAGTGGCAGTTTAAAGTTAAACTTGAAAAACTACTAAACGGATAATGCAAAGGAACGAAAAGCTTCCGAACGGTAAATGCTTTAAAAGTTACCCAACAGAAAATGCTAGAACTTTGAGCAGAATTGGAAAAAACGAAGCTGATTATATAAAGTTTGATTTGAACTTGGATAAGGAGAATAACTATGTGTAACTAGGAGATAACAGGACTATGAAGGCCTTTTTTGAAGTTATTGAGACTTGGAAAGATACTTCTTTTTGAAAGAGGGGAATTTAGAAGAAAAGGAAGAGGGAAGAAAACAATGACACAGAAACAATGAGGAAGGAGGTCAGGGAAACGGCCGAGTTGCAGCCGGGCTTGTCCGAGCACTGTGAGAAAACTCGCGAGACCTCCCATCGAACCCTAAAATCGCAACTATCAGGAAGCGGTTCAGAATTGAAATGATGTCATTGAAAACTTCAAAAATTACGGTAAACATGAAAAAAAAAAGATTTTAAACGAGAACGAGTACTGTCACATTTGGCTTGAAACGAAGATTTTTTTACACGAATTGTAAAAAACTTTTGCAAAAAAAGGTTCGAAGAATATCTTTTCTTTTTTTGAACTGGAATCTCCGAATTTTTTTGCATTGATTATTTTCAAAATTGAAGAAAAAAATACCTTATTAGACTTTCCGACGACGTCCTCTCCAGTGTAGGCGCACTCACGGACGATAGAATATTCGTCTGAAAAGTTGACTTTTCTGTGTTTTCAGTATTTCTTTAAGCAATAATGAATTCTTTTAACTTTGTTTTTTTCATGACTTACTCATTTATTTTTCTAGTTTTTCGATAAAAAAAGGAAAAAGTTTTTTTAATCTTTCATTTTTTTCTGCATAGTTTACATTCTTGTAAAACTTGAGAATAAATATAGTAAGTTGGATGATTTGGGACACAAATTATATCAATTGAAACTTGAAACAACTCTGAATTTTACATAAATCTGATTAGCCAAAAAATTCACCTCCTTCAATCATTTTTCATTGCTGCATTTTCGGAAACGTCTTTAAATTCGCCGAAAATCTCTTTAGATAAAGTAAGATAAAGAAGAAAATAATGGTTGGGGTCAATCCATCATTTGGCGGGGCTCAACCCGACTGATTGCAGTACGAAACGAACCGCTGATATATTGCCGGGAAACACGGCAGGCGATTGGCTTCACGGCTTTTTGGCCTCCGAAACTTTTCACCGGACACGGCTGGAAACACAAAGTTTTCAGTAGAATTTTTGATATTCAAAGGTTCAAAGAGCCTTTATTTCCATATAGAGATTTCACTCGAATTGATCTAATACTAGTCCAAGAATCTGAAAAAAGCAATTTTCGAGGCTAGACGTTGCAAAAGCATACAAGAACTGTGTACTTCAAATGAGTTCAAAAAAATTAAAAAATCTCAATTCGGGTTTACACTTGATTCTCGCATAAGTCAAAGCCGGGTAAAATGAAAAAAAAATTGAATATAGGCTATAAGATCCTTATCTGACCTTGAAAATTTCAGAATAAGGTCATAGAATCTTAATGAATGAAATCACTTCAAATGCAAGCTACATTCACCGTTCAATAGACATTAGCGACACAAAAAACCGTAAAAAGTAGATAAAAAACCTATAGACGCGGTAATTGACCCACTTCAATTTTATTTTCCATACTTCCATTTAAAACAGAGCCATGAAAAAAGTACCCTCAAGAACTGCTGGTAGTTGTCCTCGCAATCAGATTGCATCAGACTGTTGCAAATGTAGCAACTGAGCGAAGACGTCGCGACGACGATCGACGCCAATACGCACAGCGATAACACATGCATTTCTTGAAAACTTCTTCTTATAAGCAAAAAATGAAATACGAAAATGAACGATTCAGTTTTATCGCGACGACATGGAATGAAAGTCATATGAAAATAATAGGGGAAATTAGAAATTCAAAAATATATTTCATGAGAACCGAATTTGGTACGAAATCTTGAACAGAAGGGGAGAAAATTGATTTTTCGGCCAAGTCTCTCCGCCGCTTGTTTGACTAACCATTTACATGCGCGACGGTGTATTACGAATGATACAGGCAAGCGAGCGGAGAGAAAAACTTTTGCGAAAAAAAAGAAAGAAAACAAAGAGAGCTTTGGCCAATGTATTTGACGGTGAGAACGGCGTTTCCCGATATAAAAACAGTGATTCACCACGATTCGGCTAAAAGTCGTCAAAGCAAAGAAAATTGTATTTTGAGAACGGGAAAAGGGGAGATAGCGACGCATTGAAAGCAGTTATTGTTTTCAATTTTCGAGTCTACAAATCAAGTTCAGAAGCAATGGGAAATTCTATCAAAAGAATAACAAAGAAGGGGGAAACAAGTATTTCGAAAAGTTTTAAAAGTTGCCAGTGCAGAACCACCAATATGATAGAAATCGCTGAACTCAAATCACACTCAAAAATTTTCACAAGTTGGAAGTGACGGGGATTTTCGCATGGAGAAACAAGAGGCTGGTTTTGAAAACTTCGATGTTGTCAAAAAAAAGGGACAGGTGCTCTTCTCTCATCTTTTTTCCACCCACTGCGATCAATTACCCTGGCAGTTTGTTTGCTTTTTTCCAGGAGCAGGGGGTCATCTCAAGCGTTCCGACTCATGTCTGGCTCAGAAATCATGCAAAAAAACGTTGGGAAAATGCTGTAAAATGCAGTCGAATGTTGGAGTCGAACGAAACTTCCAAGAAAGATCGGAAAAAATAAGAAGTTAGGAATTAAAAGAGAATGAGAAATCTTAACTACGGAGAGGAAGAAAATTCGAAATTTGAATACATCTCTGTTACGTAATGGATATTACTCTTATGTGTTCTTTCATTCCGATGACTCAGTTAACAATAAGATCAATATGATAAATGATTCATCGACAGATTTCACACTTTTATGAAAAAAAATTCGAGCAAAAGATAGCTTTTTCTAAAAAAATCTTTGAGAAAAATTTTAATAACCATTTTACTGAAAAAAAGACAAAAATCTAAAAAAAAGAGAGTAAGTCAGAAGAACAAATTTGAACGTTTAAAGAAACAAGAAAGGATTATCAAGGATTTTTTTGGTATCGTGAAAATAAAACAAGCGAGAAACAAGAATAAAAAAACGAATAAATTTCCAAAACGTGATTTGCGGCAAATAAAAAATTAGAGGAGCACAGGCCCGATGCAACAGAGTTTCTTGCGCGGTGAGATAACATCAAGAATTTCTGTTTTTACAATTTTTTTTTCTCCGAAATCTTTCATTTTTTTCTTATTTTTTTAAAATTTATCGATTTCAAAAAGATATCTGGATTCCGAAAAATTTCGATACAGTCTGAGATAGGAAAACCTGCCAAGTTTTTCTTCGCTTAATTTGAACTTTTTTGTTTTGAAATGGTGATTTAATGATCTAGATTTTTGTCCTCTAATTTTTCAAGGAAAATGCGTTTATAAAATGCGAAAATAACGTTAAAAAAGAGAAGTGAGATGACAGACAGCCATGTCAAAGCGCAGAGTCAGTTTGAAGAGGATGATGTCAGGCGGATTTAGAGGAGTAGATATTTTGAGATAGAACAAATAACAATTTTCGAGCTAAAACGAAATGAATGAATCTTTTCGGCAGACGCGCAAGAACTAAGGATTTAAGGAAAACAATAGAGGGTGTAGGGTTGCACCATTGACTAAAGTGGCGCAGTAAGAACACAAAGAATGAAATGAAGAAAAGAGCGGACAAACACAAGAACGAAACACGTGGCTGCGAGGCTTCTAGGGGTCGGGATGTGATGCGGCGGCATACCAAAACACTTTTTTTTCTGCCACTGCTCTGTTCGATTTTTTCTTTCATCTTTCATTCTTTGGTTTGAAAGCACATTGGGAGAGAGGAGAAAAAATTTAGAAGAGAAAAAATTGTTTTTCTGAAAACTTAAGACTTATGTCATGCCTGACGTACACCTGAACAACAACAAAATCAATATGAAAGCTATGACGTGCATTTCCGGTCGCCGAGAGCTATAAATCCGGCTCCGGAGGCAATATCCTAGAATAATTCACCGGAGCAAAATGAAGAACAAGCAAGATACCGTGAATAATTTAAAGAAAAGTCAAAATAAACACATCTAGAAGGAAAACAGAAAAAAAAAACATTCGAATTAGAAGAGATAGGAGGTGTAGATTCTTGATATTTCTACACTTCAGCATAGTTGGGAATATTTTTCATAGCTCTTTTGATTTTCCTAAAACCATTCCTCAAAAAACTGAGCAAATTTCGACAACTGATTCTCCCATTTATCCCATCTTTTATGTTGCTTATTGCTCCTTTTTCACATTATAGACCATCAAGGAGTACCAAAAGTTGTTAGTTTTTTCAAACCGTTTCCAGATGTGAGTAAGGCTACTCCATTTTTCTGAAATGCTCGAGATCTCCCTCAGGAACAAGACAAAAAAAAACAAAACAGAAAGAGCAAAACAAGCGAATTCAAACAAGCGAACGAATGAGAATAAAACGGGGTTTTTGAAAATGAGCATGACGACCAGAACACGAAGAGCGGCGGTTCGATACTCTTGTGGCGAGAGGAAGTTAAGAAAATTCAAAGGCGAGTGTGTTGGGACGGCGGAAAAAAGAAGAGTTTCGGCGGCAGAGTGCGACGGAGCGCATTTTGCAAATCCAATGGGACAAGCCGCCGTTCTGCTTCATGACGAGCCGCTTCAATCAAGCTGCTGTCGGCGGGTGAAACGCTTTCGAATTACGCTCGATTTTACTACTAATATGAGTTGGGAGGTTGGAAAGCCTTGATGTGTGGATAAGGCAGCTTTTTGGTTTGAAATGAATATTTCTATCTATGATTTTATTTTCCGTACACTTTTTTTTTAAGCTTGTAAAGCTAATTTATAGGAAACTAGAGAAATCTAACTAATATGACCCTTTCAATGAAAAACTCTGTCTGAAAACCATTCATCTCTTTTTTTCTTCTTACTTTTAAATTTAAATCGAAGGTCTCCTGGGAAGAATTAGATTTCTGAAGACGTGACGCGCTGCAGAACGTTGAAAAAAGGCCTAATCTTGAATTATTTCATTTTTTCTTTCTTTGGAACAACAATGGAATACTTGAATAGACTGGAAAAAAAATTTCAAGTACTTGTGAAGTGTCTCTCGGCGAGTAATGTGCGAAACAGCCGTGTTTTCCAGAAGCAAGGGAGGTCTCCGAGTAAAGTAATATTAAAAATAGCAAGGAGAAAAATGTTGTAAAAAGTTGGTGGAAGTCTTAAAAGTATCCTCTTGGCTGAAATAAAATTCATTGTAAGCTTCAAATCGTTTACGAATGAAAAAAATTATCACGGTAAATATGAACATATTATTTACTATTAAAAGTGTTAAGTTAAGCTTGAACGTCAAAATTGTTTCTTTTAGGGAGATAGAACATTTTTCAACGAAATGAGAATGAAGAAATAGGGAAAAGTAGCTTTGGAAAATACGAAAAGAAGGGAGAAAAAGGAAAATATTTTTTGAATTGCATGCGATTCGAAGTTCTCTCCATGCTGTTGGCGTGAAAGAACATCGATTCCCCGTGGAGACGCCGACGGACCTCATTTCCGCACTTTCGCGGCTCTTTTTTCTGCTTTTAAGAAGTCGCGACACGGACACAAGTTGTTTATGAAGGGTTTCAAGCTTCGAGATCAGAGCCCGTTTGCATGGAAGCCGGAGTTCGGACTTGGAAATCGGCATGGTTGTTTCGGAATCCTCTTTGAATAGGGACCGCCAACGAGTTTTCGAAAATGAAAGCACATTGAAAGAAATGAATTTAACCTATAAAATAAGTCAGTGAATTTCAATTCAATAAAAAAAAAATAAAAAGGGTTAAACCCTGTTCTCACAGATGATTAAAAAATAGTATCGAGAACAGAAAAAATGGCTGAAAGTTGAAGTGAAAAGACACGATTTTCTTCATTCGTATATCTTCATCCGAAACTCCATCTCATAATGACCAAAAAGCATGGGATATTTAATCATTGTCGGAATAAAATCCGTTGCCTCGGGAACAGCCGCACTTTCATATTTCCACACAGCTTTGCCCTTTTTTCTTGAAATTGTTGTTTATTCGATCTTTTTCAAGTCCAGAGAACAGAACATTCCAACAAAAGTTTATTCAAAAACTAAAAAGTTAGTGAATGAAAAATTGGGAAGCGGTTCATAAGGAACATACAAATTCAAAGAAAGAAGGAAAATGACGAGTTAGGTGTACGGATATCCAATAAGAGTGCCGGGATGGTTTCCGTTCGTGGTTTTGGACCGTTGGAACGAATAAATGCCGAGGCTGTCCCAGAGAGGGAGTGCTATACCTATACGGAGCAGGACGTGGGTCGCCGAAACAACCATTATTTCTCACCAGAAAAGTACCAAAGGGAGAGGAAGGAAGATTAATCATTAACTGAGGCGTTACATAGGAGGGCTTGAATAGTTCTTTCACTTTTTCACTAGGAAGCCCGTCGGCAAGGTCAGAATAGTCGGAATGGATTTTGATGGTCGAGCCAGAAGACAAGTTGATGGCTTCTTGGAGGTCGTTAGCAGTTTTGAGCTGCACCCGGTCGTTATCCTCGTCGATCCAGCAAAGCTTGTCGGTTTTGAGGCCGAAGCTCCGCAGCTTGTGTTTGAGCGACTCCAGAAGTTCGGCGACGTTGGAGTAGGCGATGGAGAAGCGCTGAGACGTCTCCGAGCGAGGCGAGAACAGTTTGAAGGAAGCTGATTGGCTCATGATGAGTGGAGTGAGGCTCTCTTTGCAGCTCACTGCTTTTATACTCCTGGAGGTGGAGCCTGATAGTTCGAATCTTTTCGATGAGTTATTTAGGGAAGTTTATCAAACTAGCAATGGACAGCGGCTAATATCAGCAATTGTTGGGTGATAAACTGCACAGAGGAAAGAGCAATGACGTCTTTTGACTTCGATGAAGAAATATTGTCCTCCAGAAAGAGAGCAGAACAGGAGTACATACAGAGCAATGTATCGATGTTTTCCGAGGTCGTCCATTTAAAATTGGGAGGGATTTGCAACTTGTTCAACTTTGTAGAGATCTTACAGGGTGACAAATAAATATTCAAACGCGTTTGAAACGTTATAACTTTCTCAAAAGTCAACCAAACACCACCAAACTTGGAACAAATTTTATTCATACAATATAGAAACAAAATTCGAGAATAGTTTTCAAAACGTCCTCCTTTAGCTTTGATAACGGCCTTCAGTCTCTTCGGATACGCATCGATCACGGCACGAAGGTAGTCGTCGTCGATTTCGTCCCATTTCTTGATGAGTGCGGTCTTCAGAGCTTTGATACTTGGGTAGTTCTTAGAAGAGACCTTCTCGGTCAGATATATCCACACGGCATAGTCCATCGGGTTGAGGTCGGGCGAGGAAGCAGGCCAATCAGCAGCCGAGATGAACTCGGAAAATTGGCGCGATACCACTCTTGAGTCCCTTTGGCACGATGAGCGGGGCGCCGTCTTGCTGGAAGGTCCATGGTCGGTTTCCGTAGTGAGAGTTGGCTCAGGGCAACACCCTCAACTTTAAAATCTACTCCCTGTAGTATACTTGGTTCACTTCGACTCCAGAACCCACAAAAATCAGCGGAGTTTTGCCGTCAGCGGTAATTCCGGCAAAAACCATCACGGAAGCCGGATGCGAAGTTTTATTCAGAATTTTTACGGAGATGGGGCCACCACTAGCCGAAAACTGAAAAGTATGAGCTGTAACTTCAAAAACATGATAAGTGAGCCTGAATGAACGAAATAAACAAAAAAATTCAAAGGCCAGTCCTTTGTGCAAAAAGCAGCGATCAAACAAAAAACGGTTTGAATATTTATTTGTCACCCTGTAAATATCAAAAAAATTGGGAAAAAGCTCATCTGACTTTTTCTGGCCTTTTTCCAACTTCTTCAAAGTTGTCTAAATATCAGAAAGAAAGGCAAAATATTTGAAAAAAAATTCATATGAAAAAAATGAAATAAATTGATGAGATAATGAAATAGCTAAATAAAAAAACAAAGACACTCCAGAGGTGATTTTTCGAATGTAAAGGACCGTTTTTCAGTATTAAAGACCAAAAACCCACGTCTTTTCTAAGTACTCACTAGCATCGAACTGTGATTTATAACAAAAATCAAAACTGTATCAATCGAAATTCCTCACTTTATCTTAACACTGACAAAAGGAAGATTGATGATGGGAAAATGGAGATCGGCGGAAAAAAGGAAAAAAAAAACAGTGGAGAAGGTTTGTCGCGAAAGAGGCGGTCTGTACGCGGAGGAGCGTGAAATTTCAATTACCGACAGAAAACGAAGAAAAAGTGCGGGTCATAGAGAGACGCCACAACATGAAGATCGTGTGCAACGGCCTTCAGATGAGAAAAGTTGTGCCGCGCGCAAAAAATCGATTTCTGAACGTTGCCCTTAGATTTACGGGGCCACAGTTAGGAACCCCAGAAAGGAACCTATAGGGGTACAATAGATGACAAAAAAGGCTAAAGCTTTTTAGGGCCTAAAGCTTAAGTGGTCCTTGTACAAGATGTAGGGGTTTTCAGTTTTATTTTTTTGGTTCGGAGGGGTTTTTCGCTTGGAAATGCTTCGTCTCATAAAGTTCATAACAATAAACGACTAAAACGCTCCCCTGGAGGGGCCACCTTTGCAAGCTTTAGTGGCTCCTATAGAAGGATGGTATGTAGTCTCTAGAGGAAAACCTTCAAGGACCCTAAGGTTGCCCTATAGGGACCACTCCGGACGCCCAAAGTAGTATAGAAACAGAAAAAAATAGCACCGCAGCATAATTTTTGACTAAATTGATTGCGACAGGAAGCTTTCGCGTGCTGGAGAGCCATTATCATCCGTGTTCGAGTCGTTCTAAATCAAAAAAAAAAGAATTTCCTCTCGCAGTGATATTCTCTCCGACTTCAAGCTTGCCGGAATATTTGAAAAAACCTTCTCAAACTTTAAAAAATAAAACCTTCGAGTCTATTTGAATTTGGACCGCTTTAAGAATTAAAATACTAATGAAAAGGGTTCTAGTTAAAAATAGCTTTTTTGTTGAAAATAACTTAATTCAGTTCGTAACGATTCAAGGCAGCGGTGGACGAACAATTTAAGTATAATTGAACTGGAATTTCAAAAAAATTTCCTGTTTTTTTATTTAATTTTTTTGGGGTTAGAAACTCGGCTTTATTCTTTCTCGTTTTATTCGAACGTGATTTAATCTTATTTAAACAAACCTAATAATAAAATTCATTATTTTGATCCTTGTTTCAAGTTTTAATTACCGATTAAATGAACGTAACTTCCTAAAAAAAAGCCAAATTGTATTCGATTCCCGTTTAATTATTCGTCTTGGAACATGCCTTAGGCTGAAACGGTTAGTTTTTTTTTTAAAGTTCATCATTCCCGTAAAAAGAACTTTTTTTTTCTTTTCAGTCTCTCCTTAATTATTGATTGCACATCTTTGATCCTTGTTTATTTCGCAATCATTCGAAAAAATACGGAGCTTCGCGATAAGAAAGAGTGTGCAGAAAGACGAGAGATTAGAGAAGAAACGCCCCGCCCAACAAACAAGGAAGACGCTTTTCCAACTTTCGAAAATGTTCGAAACTCCGCCTAGCACAAAACTATAAAAGGCTTGAGGCTAGAGCAAGGGAGCTGCTGCTAAAATGAGCAACACCGTCTCTTTCAAAGTCGTTTCTGAAGACTCTCTGGCTCGTCGCTTTTCCCTCACCTACACCACCGTCGCCGAGCTTTTCGACGCCCTCAAGGAGAAGCTGACCAGCTTGAGCGTGACGTCGACCGCGTGGATCGACGAAGATGACGACGCCGTTGAGCTGAAGGACGTCGACGATCTCCAAGAAGCTCTGAAAACTCTCTTCTGGCCGCACTATTCGTCTTTTCAACGAAGGAGAGCAGCAGAATCAAGAAGGAGTAGCCGTCGTCCGTCGACGTCGGAATTCTTCGTCTTCATCTTCCTCCTCCTCTTCATCCTCGTCATCATCATCCGAATCGGAGAAGGATAAGAAGAAGAAGAAGCAGAAGAAGGCCAAACGTCAGGAGAAGAAGAAGAACTGCTGCCGTGGTCCCTCCCCGTTCCAGGCGTCACTCTAGAAACCGCTCCAGACGTCACTCCAGAGACACTCGTGCTCCTAGACGACGTGGGCCGAGGTTCTTGGCTCAACCTTACCCTTTCGAAGCTCCAGCTCCTTATTCTCTTCCGCCGCCGCCTCCAACAGCCATGGACGCCTTCAGATACCCTCATCCCCAACCTTACACTCATAATTTATCTTTTCGTTGATTGAACTGTTTTTTGGCTCTTGTAAATTTGTGGAATAAATGTTCTCTACGGTTGAATGTTTGGGAACGCAAGGAAAAGTGTGATATCGAGCCGTTTTGTTCCCTTATCGGGACGTGCCAATGAGTCAATGCCAGTGTAAACATACAAATAACCAACAAGGTTTGTTTGAATATGCGAAAAAAGGTATGAAACTTTAAAAAACGGCTTTAGAGAAAAATGATGTAGCGCTGAACTGTTTTTAAAATACGGGAGAACCTGGATGCAAAAGTTTGATTGGAAAAAAGAAACTGGAAAAACTGAAGTTATTTACGATGAGTAAAAAAAAAGTTTTCTATGAATATCTTCCAAACTTTCTTACTTTATTGTTGTTAATTGATATTCTTTGAGGGTCAATGAAGAATTGGGAATGAAGTGAAATCTGAACGAAAATATTTTACTAACCAGAATTTCGAAAATTTCGATACCCTAATAAAACAAGCTAGCCGGAATTTGAATGAATCTTATTCAGAACGAACAAATTTACCAGGGCCTATCAGCTCGGAAGAACCGAAAAAAGACGAAAATGGTGAAGATGAGACTTCTCGACGGCTTGTGCTCCTCTTTCAGCGCATGGAAGACAAGGCGCTGATCCAAATATGAAATGATTGGTTTTATAATACTTTATAATGGAACAAAATCCATAAACAACGCTCATTTCTACCCATTCAACTTAATAGAACACGTTTCTTTTTTTGAAATCTGCAAAAAGGTGTTAACGATCCGGCGAGACATGACAGCTCCCATCAAACACCAGAAAGGGCTCAAATTCGAGCCACATAAGTGACGCCTTGAGACCAGAAAATAATTATTGCAATTCAAATAACGAAAATATCGGAAGAGGGTTCCGTCCAATGTGTGACTAGCCCTTGGCATACTCTTTTCTCACATCGTAGTTTTTATTTTCGAAAAGTTTTATGAAATGCACTTACTTAATTCTGTTGAAATTGATCCAGTTCAAATAAAGGAAGTGTCTTTTTTATTTGCCGAAGTTGTAATTATCGAAAAAATAACAAACCAGATGAAATTGATCGAATGTGAAAGTTTCGAAAAATGCAATAATACTCGAGAAATATTTTATTTCATACATTGAAATCCTCCAATTTTTTAAAACAAAACCTTAAAAGATTCTAACAACAGATTTCCTGAAGATGTGGAAAAATATCGAAATTTGTAATACCTTGACGATGAATTTTTCAAGACTATGTTCCCTTCTTTCAGCGAAGAATAAAAACTCCGAGCACAACATCAAAAGTAAAGGCTAATTTTCCTCTGTTCTCTATTCCTTTTTGAAAGGTTCCAAACAAATGTGTAATTCTCAACGGCGACAGATGCGATCTGACACCTCGGAGCAACTCCGAAACGTCTAAGTGACACCTTGAGAGCCTCGAGGAGCCCCCGACAACCATTATCACACTTCGAAGGCATAATTCTCCCGAAAGAGGACACCGTCTTGAAGTGTGACTGGCATGTCTGTCATCTCGAGCCTGAGGCACGTCCTCAGAGCTCGATCTGGGGGCGGAGTCTTCTCGAACCGTATAAGTAGGTCCCTGATCGATGGAGGAGCCGTACTTGATCCACCTCTGTGATCGTTACTATGCTTTTTTTTAATTTTGTTTTTCTCGCTATGCTTCGCCTTTTACTATGTAAAGTCACTTACCCTGGTTTTAAATTCCCGTTTTCTGTAGTTTCCATTCAAATGATATGTTTCAGTTTTAGAATCTCTGAACAAGAAGCCTTTTTCGCATTTTACAATTTTCAAATCAAATGAAACACAACTCACTTCTTTACTTTCAGTACCTTCCTCTCAAAACTTCCCTAAACTCAATATGATCGCCGTCGCCTTCGACCTCGAACTCCTCGCCGCCAAGATCAGCGAGAAGCTGAAGCTCCAGGAAGCGGCCAAGCAGGCGACCGAGCAGAGAAGAGCCGCTTTCGAGCACAGACTCCGACTCGAGGACCAGTGGGTGGCTCGGCTGCAGTCCATGCAGACTTCCGACCACGAGGTCCAGGCCGAGTTCCGCAAGCTCTTCTTCCAGGTCAGTTCTCGAGTTTTCGAAAAGAATGTAAATATCTGTTTTGCAGTTTGTCCGCACTCCCGAAATCGCAACCGGCAAGATCACTCGATACGACGCTCAGTACCTCCTCGTGAGTTTTCCTCTTTCATTAACTCGACTTTTTCATTGATATTTTAAATCCTTTAGACACACATCTGTGAAAAATCCCTCCCAAACGAAAACCATTTCTAGAGCTTGTCCCAGAGCGTCCTCAACAAGCTGGACGACGAGGTAGTCATGCTCGACCTCCAAATCAACGAACTCGCGAAGCTCTACCGGCAGTCGTCCCAGAAGGTCATCCTGGAGATCCAACGAGTCGGCCACCTCATCCGATACGAATCCGTCCGTCTCAGCCAGGCTCTCCACGACTTCCAGTACAACTGCGTGAGTTTCTAGGATTATCCCAATAACTACTTTCAAATCTGAAAAATATTTTCCCTCATTCCAATCCAATCATTTTCCAGTCGTACGGGTCCATCTTCTTCGATTCGTTGGACGAGATCAAGAACTACGTCGAGTGTCTTCGAATCGCCGTCTCCCAAGTTCCAGCCTTCGTCGAGATCCGGGAACAGCTCCAGCTCTAAGTTGATCACTGTAAATATCCCTTGTAGATATCAATATTTTCATATTAGGCATTTGAAAAGTTCTCCTACCTTGACCGCTTAATTGGGCTCTTTTTGGTTCTAATTTTAATGATGTTTCTGTTATTATCCCTATTTTACCTTCCGAGTATCGATATCGGGTATTTTGAGATCTCTCACCCACACGGTTCAAAAACGGTTGTTCTTTTATTGGTATACATTTTTTGGGTATTCATTAAGTGTCTCTACCTGTGATTCGCCAAACCTTCTTGTTTTCTTTTTGTTTCCTGTGATTTTTTTCGCTTTTCTCAATTTCCCATGCTCATTCTGTTGTCAATTTTTGTTCCTTTCTTTTTTTAATAAACAAAAAAATCATCACACACCCTGTTTTCAAACATGAACACTAAAAACAGAAGCGGAAGCCTTGCTATGAAAAAGAGTTTTTTTCGAACTATTCAGAATTCAATAAGCTCGAAAAAGTCCTTCAAAAAAATCTAGAAGAAAAATTGAAATTTTTCAGGAAAACTTTTCTTAATTAGTTCTAGTCTTAGAAAAAAACTTTCAAAGTTTCGAAAAACTTCAAAAATTTTTTGATTACTTAATTTCTTTTTAATTATTATCTCATTTCATCACGTCGACTAGTCGGTCTCATTGCCGCCTCTCATGGGATAATATTCCGACGCCCGTCGGCCCTGGACAAGCTGGGCTCCGTACTTTTCCAACATGGTGAAGCAGTTTATTCGCTGGTCCTACGGGCCCACATTATTTCCCAACGCTAGCTGTCACGCCGGGACTTATTGGACAAAGATTTTGGATCGTAACCCGCGCCGACGACTAACTCTTCGATTATACCATGATTCAGCAGAGATTTTCTTCATCTTACTCTGAAAACTGAATAAATTGTAAATTGTAAATTGAATTTCTTTTTCATGAGTATGGAATGTAGCAAAAGAGAATGGTTGGCATCAATACTGTACAATACTTCTTGTCTTCAAAAAATACGCAAAAGAATATCCTGGAGAGGAATCGAACCTTCTGAACCAGACAACAAGGAAACTGGCCTTCAATAATTGCTTTGGTTTCCAAGAGAATTCATTCAAATCTACAAGCCACCAAAGTTCTGAGTTTCAACTCGATCTCCTCGACCGCGTGGTTCCCTGGTAAGAAGAGCTAGCCGAGATTTGAGCTGAATTTGATTGAGAACGAACAAAATTGATCACGGTTTATCAACTCGGAAGAATCGAAAAAAGACAAGAAGGGCGAAGACGAGACTTTTCTACGGCTTTTGCTCCTCTTTCGGCGCTTCTATCGGACCGTCGATGTTCTCGTAGGAATCGTCGTCCTTCGCTACTGCTTCTGCTGGCCCCTTTTCTACGCTTGGCGGCAACTGGGAAAACAGAAAATGGAAACGGGTTTAAAAACCTAATGATTATTGGGTTGAAAATACTCCAAAATCCTTTATTTACGGAAAACTCGATTAAAGATTCATATAACAAGTCCAAAAAGAACATTTTTTCAAAAGACAAGTTGTCCTCAATTTTCATTCAAGCTGTCAAATTATTTGCGTAACATAACTTTTTTTGAAGAAATTAGAAGAGATGTAAGCAGTTTTCTTTACAAAACTTTCATTCTGTTTCTTTGGACTATTTCTCTTCAAAAAGAAAAACGAACATTTATTGAAGATGGACTCGAAGATTGGGAACTGACATTAGCCTGAAAAATGGCATAGGGTCTTTGGCATAACTTTTTGAGGAAAAAAACTTTTTTTCTTTTTAATAACGCATATTTTTTTAGAAATTCCAGTTAATCTAGAACTAGATAAGTAATTAGGTTTGATTCCAAAACTTGAATCAAATAGATTTCAAAAATACCCGTTGACTTGAAGATTTTCGGTGTCAAAATCTTCAGTTGTAGAATGCTTGGACCGTCTTTGCAACGCTTCAAAAGAAGATGTTGCAAAGACGGTCCAAGCATTCTACAACTCTTTGTATGCTGCACAACAAAGCTCTCCGGCAATCATCGCGCCCTCCCAAGATGACCTTCCGTCTATTTTGCCGAGCGAGATACGTACTGCTTTGCGCAAAGCAAAACGAGGAAAAGCCCCTGGACCTGACTTCATAACGCTGGAGATGCTCCTAGCTGCCGAAGAAAATGCAGTCCCGATTCTTGCGAGTATCTACAACGAATGTCTCAAAAACGAAAGAACTTCGACTTCGATGTCAGACTCAATAGTCCGCCTACTTCACAAGAAAGGGAGCTGCCTTGACATCGGAAACTACCGACCTGTAGCCTTGATGTCGACTATCCACAAAATCTTCACCTCCATCCTAAGAAGACGGGCAGAACGGTCTCTGGAAGAAGCACAACCTATCGAACAAACGGGATTCCGACCTGGATACTCGACCTCAGAAAACACACTGGTCGTCTCCGAAATGATCCAGAAGTCACACGAATATCGCTTCCCATTATTTTTGATGTTCATCGATTATAAGAAGGCGTTCGATAGCGTGGAATTCGGATCCCTTTGGACGGCTCTAAGCGAATTTGGCGTTCATTCGAAAATAGTTAACACGCTCAAGAACATCTACGACGAAGCGAAAGTGTCTGTCCGAATCCGCGGGCACGACGTCCCAGTACAAATTGGAAGAGGCGTGCGGCAAGGCGACACTATTTCGCCCAACCTTTTCAACGCTACTCTTGAGCATGTATTTCGAAGACTCGACTGGAGTGAACATGGGATCTCCGTTAACGGGACGCCTCTCACACACCTCCGGTTTGCTGACGACATCGTTTTGTTCGCTTCAAGTTCGAAGAAATTAGAAGAAATGGCAAACCAACTAGCCACTGAGAGCAAGAAATCCGGCTTGATCATCAACTTCTCGAAAACGTATATCATGTCAAACCGAGCGAAGAGAAGAGTAGAAGTAGACGGAAAAGAAGTATCATATGTTGACCAGTTCACATATCTCGGAACGCATCTTCATTTCGCGGAAGGTTTCAAAACGGAACTACTCCGCAGAATCCAATCTGCATGGGCAGTTTTCCACAAGTTTTCTATATATCTGACGAAGAAAACAACACCTCTCAAGAACAAAGTCAAAATATATCAAGCTTGTATAGAACCTGCGCTCTTATACGGATCAGAAGTCTGGACCCTCAAGAAAACAGAGATGAACATGCTAGCCACAGCGCAGAGGAAGATGATGAGAAGAATGCTTGGTGTGACTCTAATGGATAGAAGACCAAACAGTTGGCTTCACGAAATGTTAAAGATGCGTGATGCTCGAATGGTTGCAACAAGAAGAAAATGGTTCTTCGCAAAGAAAATCGTGACGGGAGAAGAAACGTGGGCAAAGAAGATCGTAGAATGGCGGCCCTGGGAAAAGAAAAGATCTGTTGGACGACCACGAGCACGTTGGCGAGATGACTTCCGAAGCGTTCTTGGGGAGAATTGGTCGACCGTTGCGCGCAACAACAAGGAGCTCTTCAAATCTACCATGATTCAGCAGAGCCTTTTTTTGATTTCTCTGATGTCTGAATAAATTGAATTGAATTGAAGATTTTTCCATCGGACACATTTTCATAAGTCGCTTCGGGATTCGACTGAAAAAAATCTTGATTTTTTTAGAATTTTTTTGAAAAAGAAACCGATTGAGAGTCATTATTGATGCTTTGGCTTTTTTTGGAGACGGCGGAGCAGAAAAACTTTTTGGCCCATCGACGTCTGACCAAAATACTGAAATGATGGTGGAAACGTCTTCAAAAACGTGGCTTTTTTTCGCCAACAAACTCTTTTTTTCAGTGGTACTTATATGAAGTTGGTCTCTGAAAAAAATAAACCCTCGGTTTATCGATTTGTATTTTTATTCAAAGATGAGGATTTGAAAAGGGATTCCAATCTCTATACGGTGTGGACCTTGGAGACAAGTCTTCAATGCAAATCGGGAATACTTTTTGTATTCTTCTCAAGTTATATTATTTTATAGGGATACAAACTTCCGAAATAACGCTCATTTCTAACCATTCAACCTAATAGAACATATTTTCTCTTCTAAAAACTGCAAAAAGGTGTTAACGATCCCGCGAGACATGACAGTTCCCATCAAACACCAGAAAGGGCTCAAGTTCGAGCCATATAAGTGCCTTGAGACCAGAAAATAATTATTGCAATTCAAAAAGTGGCAATATCAAAAAAGGTTCCGTCCAATGTGTGACTGGCCCGTGGCCAACTCAATTCTCACACCTATCGAAGTTTGTTTTTCAAGTTTTCGTATATCTAAAAGAAGATGAACTGGTTCGTTTTCAACATCCATTTCAGTATGAAAGAAAGAATTCCTTTCTTCGTGTGCCGAATTCGAAATTCTCGGAAAATTTGGTGATGTTCAAAACATGTGAAACTCACACACATTTTTAAAAAAATCTTGAAAAACTTGAAAAAACTCCTGTTTTCAGAAACATTTTATTTTCGAAACCAAATCTAGAAAGATTACTCGAAATGAAACCTCGACGAAGATGGAAAAAGCCGAAATTTTCCCAGATTCAACTCTCAAGAGCCGAGGAATTCCACAAAACTGAGTAAGCTTTCTGACGTTCAATCCGTCAAATATAAAGAAGGTCTTTTTTTCAAACGTTTCTATAACTTTTTTTGAAGTATGCAAACAAATGTGTGTAATTCTCAAGGGCGACAGATGCGATCTGACACCTCGGAGCAACTCCGAAACGTCTAAGTGACACCTTGAGAGCCTCGAGGAGCCCCCGACAACCATTATCACACTTCGAAGGCATAATTCTCCCGAAAGAGGACACCGTCTTGAAGTGTGACTGGCATTCCTGTCATCTCGACCCTGAGGCACGTCCTCAGAGCTCGATCTGGGGGCGGAGTCTTCTTAAACCGTATAAATAAGGTCCCAGATCGATCGAGGAGCCGTACTTGATCCAACTCTTTCATCGTTACTATGCTCTTTTTATCTTTTGTTTTTCTCGCTATGCTTTGCCTTTTTATCGAAAAAGTCGCTTACCCTGGTTGGAAATTCCCGTCTTCTGTATTTTCCATTTTGAAAATGTATTTTAATTTTAGAGTATTTATTCTCTCAGGATAAGGAACTCCTCTCGCATTTCGAAATACTTGAATTCAAATAAAAAGCAACTCACTTCTTTATTTTCAGTACCTTCCTCTCAAAACTTCCCTAAACTCAATATGATCGCCGTCGCCTTCGACCTCGAACTCCTCGCCGCCAAGATCAGCGAGAAGCTGAAGCTCCAGGAAGCGGCCAAGCAGGCGACCGAGCAGAGAAGAGCCGCTTTCGAGCACAGACTCCGACTCGAGGACCAGTGGGTGGCTCGGCTGCAGTCCATGCAGACTTCCGACCACGAGGTCCAGGCCGAGTTCCGCAAGCTCTTCTTCCAGGTCAGTTCTCGAGTTTTCGAAAAGAATGTAAATATCTGTTTTGCAGTTTGTCCGCACTCCCGAAATCGCAACCGGCAAGATCACTCGATACGACGCTCAGTACCTCCTCGTTAGTTTTCTTCTTTCATTAACTCGACTTTTTCATTGATATTTTAAATCCTTTAGACACACATCTGTGACGAATCACTTCAAAATCATTTTCAGAGCTTGTCCCAGAGCGTCCTCAACAAGCTGGACGACGAGGTAGTCATGCTGGACCTCCAAATCAACGAACTCGCGAAGCTCTACCGGCAGTCGTCCCAGAAGGTCATCCTGGAGATCCAACGAGTCGGCCACCTCATCCGATACGAATCCGTCCGTCTCAGCCAGGCTCTCCACGACTTCCAGTACAACTGCGTGAGTTTCTAGGATTATCCCAATAACTACTTTGAAATCTAAAAATATCTTTCCTCATTCCAATCCACTCATTTTCCAGTCGTACGGGTCCATCTTCTTCGATTCGTTGGACGAGATCAAGAACTACGTCGAGTGTCTTCGAATCGCCGTCTCCCAAGTTCCAGCCTTCGTCGAGATCCGGGAACAGCTCCAGCTCTAAGTTGATCACTGTAAAAATCCCTTGTAGATAATCCTATTTTCATGAGAGGAATTTGGAAAGTTCTCTCACTTTGACCGCCTAATGGGGCTCTTTTTGGTTCTAATTTTAATGATATTTCTGTTATTACCCTTGTTTTACCTTCCGAGTTTTGATATCAGGTATTTTGAGATGTTTCACCTCCACTGTTCAAAAACGGTTGCTCTTTTATTGGTATACATTTTTTTGGGTATTCATTAAGTGTCTCTACCTGTGATTCGCCACACTTTCTTGTTCTTTTTTTGTTTCCTGTGATCTTTTCTTTTCACATTGCTCCCTTTTTAGTGTTTATTTTGTTGTCAATTTTTGTACATTTTTTTCAATAAACAAAAATCAACACATCCTGTTTTCGAACATGAAATAATCAAAAAACAAGTTCCCTGCTATGAAAAAAACACATCTCGAGCTTGTCAAACTATTTCAAAATTCAAAATTTTTCGAAAAAAAGCTCGAGGAATACTTTGTTGCCATTCCTGGTCGCAGAAAAAAAAAATTCAAAATCTTTCAGAGAACACTGTTTCATTTAATCAAACCTTTTTCAAATATTAAAAAAAATTTCAAAAATTTTTTTAATATTTGAAAAAGGTTTCAAGAACATTTTTGGAGTTTTATCAATTTTTTTGAATTTTTTTAGAACAAAAAAACTTAATTTTTAATTAATCTCATGTCATTCAAAAGTTTTCGTAAACTCTAGTTTTTCATCACAAAAATGTCTTGTACGAGGTTTTCTGTCTCCAAGAAAAACGCAAAAATTTCTCGCTCTGGAGAAGAGTCGAACTTACGCAACGAGACAACAAGGAGACTGGCCCTCAAGCCACCACGCCAGGCCATCTCAAATGGAAGGTCATTTTAGCGTAGAGTTCAGAATTTTCTATTAATTTGCTCAAAAATCTTTGATGGACTGGGAATCGATCCCCCATAATGGCTATCTGGGCAAAAGTTCAAGCCAGGGTTCCAAAAACGAGGGGAGTCTTGCCATTTGAGCAAACTCCTCCGAAAACCATGACCTGCTGAAGTTTTGCAGCTCAAATAATCAATCCTTCTACTTTTTTCATTGATATCGTGAGACGTCTTAGGAAGTACTCAATTGTTTCGAGGATTGAATTTAGCTTCAACGGTGAAAAGATTCTCTTCAGGGAAAAGAGAGCTGACATTTTAGTGAGAAGAAAAGGTCAATCTCTCTGGTTTCTCAGAGCCCTTACCCAGGTACACATACAAGCCACCAAAGTCTCAACTCGATTCCATCACTTGTGTCCACGTAGTTCTCTAGTGACAAGCTAACCTGTATTGGAGTGGATTTGGTTTGTAACGGACAAAACTGACCACGGTTTATTAACTCAGAATAATCGAAAAAAGACAAGAGGGGCGAAGAACACGTTTTTATTGTTTCTTTTTCTCAGAAAATCTTTGTTCAGTGGTATTTTTATAAAGTTGACCGGTGGGAAATGAGCTTTGGGTTTATCGATTTGTATTTTATTCAAAAACAACGATTTGAGAAAACATTCAAACTCCGCATGGGCATTGGGGACAAGTCAGTGATAAAAAAATAAATTTTTGAATAACTCTGCTGTTACAATGTTGCTATAATTTCCAAAATATTGCTTATATCTACCCGGTCAACCTAATAAATATATATTGTCTTGTTTGAAAACTGCAAAAATGTGTTAACGATCCGGCGAGACATGACAGTTCTCCTCAAACACCAGAAAGGGCTCAAATTCGAACCATATAAGTGACGCCTTGAGACCAGAAAATAATTATTGCAATTCAAATATCGGAAATATCGGAAGAGGGTTCCGTCCAATGTGTGACTAGCCCTTGGCAGACAGTCTTCTCACACCTATCGAAATTATGAAAATAAAAATGAACTGGTCAGTTTAAACAAAAAAATTTCAGTTGACATGAAGGAGATGTCGTCTTTCTTTGCCGACGTTGGAATCTTATGGGAATGTAAGAATTCAAAAAACTATTGAAAAGGAGTTTATCAAGTACACAAAACGAATATAAACCACGAAAAGCACTAAAAGAAACCTTTTTTGTTCTATTTTCCATTGAAAATGGACCCTTCGAAGACTTGAAAAAGGCGGAAAAGTTTTCGCAATCAGTTTTTTCGAGAGTTAGGAAAATGAAATTTTCGAAACTGATCACACAAGTAAATAAAAAAAAATTCCGTGTATTTCATCAGAAGCAAAGGATAATTCTCTTCTGTTCTCTATTCCTTTTGGAAGTTGCAAACAAATGTGTAAATTCTCAAGGGCGACAGATCCGATCTGACACCTCGGAGCAACTCCGAAACGTCTAAGTGACACCTTGAGTGCCTCGAGGAGCCCCCGAAAACCATTATCACACTTCGAAGGCATAATTCTCCCAAAAGAGGACACCGTCTTGAAGTGTGACTGGCATTCCTGTCATCTCGACCCTGAGGCTCGTCCTCAGAGCTCGATCTGGGGGCGGAGTCTTCTTGAACCGTATAAATAAGGTCCCCGACCAATGGAGGAGTCGTACTTGATCCAACTCTTTTATCGTTACTGTGCTCTTTTTTTCTTTTGTTTTTCTCGCTATGCTTCGCCTTTTACTATGTAAAGTCACTTACCCTGGTTTTAAATTCCCGTTTTCTGTATTTTCCATTTGAATAACGTATTTTTATTTTAGAATTTTTATTCTCTCAGTATAAGGAGCTCCTCTCGCATTTCGAAATACTTGAATTCAAATAAAAAGCAACTCACTTCTTTATTTTCAGTACCTTCCTCTCAAAACTTCCCTAAACTCAATATGATCGCCTTCGACCTCGAACTCCTCGCCGCCAAGGTCAGCGAGAAGCTGAAGCTCCAGGAAGCGGCCAAGCAGGCGACCGAGCAGAGAAGAGCCGCTTTCGAGCACAGACTCCGACTCGAGGACCAGTGGGTGGCTCGGCTGCAGTCCATGCAGACTTCCGACCACGAGGTCCAGGCCGAGTTCCGCAAGCTCTTCTTCCAGGTCAGTTCTCGAATTCATTGAAAAGAATCTAAATATCTGTTTTTGCAGTTCGTCCGCACTCCAGAAATCGCAACCGGCAGCATCACTCGATACGACGCTCAGCACCTTCTCGTGAGTTTTCCTCTTTCAATAACTCGACTTTTTCAACGATATTTTAAATCCTTTAGACACACATCTGTGAAAAATCCCTCCAAAACGAGAACCATTTTCAGAGCTTGTCCCAGAGTGTTCTCAACAAGCTGGACGACGAGGTAGTCATGCTCGACCTCCAAATCAACGAACTCGCGAAGCTCTACCGGCAGTCGTCCCAGAAGGTCATCCTGGAGATCCAACGAGTCGGCCACCTCATCCGATACGAATCCGTCCGTCTCAGCCAGGCTCTCCACGACTTCCAGTACAACTGCGTGAGTTTCTAGGATTATCCCAATAACTACTTTGAAATCTCTAAAATATCTTTTTCTCATTCCAATCCAATCATTTTTCCAGTCGTACGGGTCCATCTTCTGCGATTCGTTGGACGAGATCAAGAACTACGTCGAGTGTCTTCGAATCGCCGTCTCCCAAGTTCCAGCCTTCGTCGAGATCCGGGAACAGCTCCAGCTCTAAGTTGATCACTGTAAATATCCCTATTTGAAAAAGTCTCCTACCTTGACCGCTTAATTTGGCTCTAAGTAATTTTTAATAATATTTCTGTTATTACCCTTGTTTCACCTTCCGAGTATCAATATCAGGTATTTTTGAGATCTTTCACCTCCACTGTTCAAAAAAACGGTTTGCTCTTTTTATTGGTATACATTTTTTTGGGTATTCATTAAGTGTCTCTACCTGTGATTCGCCATACCTTCTTGTTCTTTTTATTTCCTGTGATTTTTTTCCACTTTTTTCCATTTTCCATGCTCATTTTGTTGTCAATTTTTGTACCTAATTTTTTAATAAACAAAAATCATCATAACCTGTTTTCAAACATGAACACTGAAAACAGAAGCGGAAGCCTTGCCATGAAAAGAGTTTTTCGAACTATTCAGAATTCAATAAACTTGAACAGTCCTTCATACAATTTAGAAGAAAATTGAAATTTTCAGGAAAACTTTCTTAATTAGTTCTAGTCATAGAAAAAACTTTCAAAGAACCTTGGATGATCAACTCGATCACTTTGACCGCGAGGCTCACTGGTAAGAAGAGCTAGCCGAGATTTGAGCTGAATTTTATTGAGAACGAACAAAACTGATCACGGTTTATCAACTTGGAAGAACCGAAAAAAGACAAGAAGGGCAAAGACAAGACATTTCTACGGCTTGTGCTCCTCTTTCGGCGCTTCGATCGGACCGTCGATGTTCTCGTAGGAATTGTCGTCCTTCGCAACTGCTTCTGCTGGCCCCTTCTCTACGCTTGGCGGCAACTGTTGAAACAGAAATTGAAAACGGAAATAAGGACCTGATAGTCATTGGATAGAAAATACTCTGAAAGGTTTTGACTTTACGGAGAACTCGATTAAAGATTCATATAAAAATGCCAAAAAGAACATTTTTTCAAAAGTCAAGTTGTCTTAAAATTCATTCAAGCTGTCGAATAATTTGCGAAATATAACTCTTTTGGGGAAATTAGAACAGATTTGACTAGTTTTCTTTACAAAACTTTCATTTCATTGTATTGGACAATCTTTTTCGAAAAAACGAACATTTATTGAAGATGGACTCGAAGATTGGGAACTGACATTTGCCTGAAAAATGGCATAGGGTCTTTGGCACAACTTTTTGAGGACAAAACTTTTTTCTTTCGATAAAGCACATTTATGAAAACCCTTCTTCATCTAGAATTAGATTGCTAATGAGGTTTGATTCCAAAACTTATCTAGAGGATTTTTTTAAAAAAATACCCGTTGACCTGAAGATTTTCCATCGTGCACATTTTCATAAGTCGCTTCGGGATTCGACTGAAAAATCTTGATTTTTTTAGAATTTTTTTGAAAAAAATAACCGATTTGGAGTCATTATTGTTGCTTTGGCTTTTTGGAGACGGCGGAGCAGAAAACTTTTGGCCCATCGACGTCTGACCAAAAATACTGAAATGATGGTTGAGAAGTCTTCAAACACGTGACTTTTTCGCTAACAAACTCTTTTTTATTGGTACTTTTATGAAGTTGGCCTCTGGGAAATGAGCCTTGGGTTTATTGATTTGTAATTTATTCGAAGATGAGAATTTGAAAAGGGATTCCAATCTCTATACGGTATGGACCTGAGGGACAAGTCATTAATTCAAATCGTAATTATTTTTGCATCAATCTCAAGTTATAATATTTCTAAGTGATATGAAAAAGAATAAAACCTAATAAAACATATTCTGTCTTTTAAAAACTACGAAAAGTTGTTAACGATCCGGCGAGACATGACAGTTCCAATCAAACGCCAGAAAGGGCTCAAATTCGAACCATATAAGTGACGCCTTGAGACCAGAAAATAATTATCCCGATTCAAATAGTGAAACTATCGAAAGACGGTTCCGTCCAATGTGTGACTGGCCCTTGGAAGACAGTCTTCTCACACCTATCAAAATTTTTTTATTAATTTTTTGCAAATACCATAAACTGATAAACTTATTCATTCTCAACATCCAGTAAGAAAGAAAGGATTCCTTTCTTCGTGTGCCGAATTCGGAACTCTCGGAAAATTTGGTGATGTTCAAAACATGTGAAACTCACAAACATTTTTTTCAAAAAAATCTTGCGAAGCCAGAAGAAAAACTCGAAAAAAATCGAGGAAACTCATATGTGATCAGAAAAGTTCCGTTTTTGAAACGAATTCTAGAAAGATTACTCAAAATGAAACCTCCACGAAGATGGAAAGAGCGGAAATGTTCCCTGACTCAACTTTCAAGAGCCGAGGAATTCTACAAAACTGAGTAAGCTTTCTGACGTTCATTCCATCAAAATAAAAAAAGGCTTTTTTCTCAAACGTTTCTATAACTTTTTTTGAAGTATGCAAACAAAATGTGTAATTCTCAAGGGCGACAGAAGCGATCTGACACCTCGGAGCAACTCCGAAACGTCTAAGTGACACCTTGAGTGCCTCGAGGAGCCCCCGAAAACCATAATCACACTTCGAAGGCATAATTCTCCCAAAAGAGGACACCGTCTTGAAGTGTGACTGGCATTCCTGTCATCTCGACCCTGAGGCTCGTCCTCAGAGCTCGATCTGGGGGCGGAGTCTTCTTGAACCGTATAAATAAGGTCCCCGACCAATGGAGGAGTCGTACTTGATCCAGCTCTTTTATCTTCACTATGCTCCTTTTTTCGTCTTTTTTTCTTTGTTGGACCTTTCTTTATTGCTCTGTTTCTTCTTTTTTCCGGTAAATACACTTCTGAACTGGTTTCAAGTTCCCGTCGTCTGTATTCCACATTCAAATGATATGTTTCAGTTTTAGAACCCTTATTCCGTTACAGATTTTTTCTTTGCTTTTGAGACAGTGTTATGAAATTCGCTTATTATGAGAAAGCATCAACTTCGGCGCATCGAAACGTTTTAAAAATTTCAACTTTTTTTCACCTTAATTTTTCAAGATTTTTTTCGCAATATGAATCAACTTCATTTGGTAATAAATATCTCTTTAATTTCAGTCGTGCCTCTTTTCATGAATTCGATATCTGGAAGACTGTCAGAAAAGCTGTTTCGTGCTCACTCGTTTCGTAGAAAACGCTCATTCTCTCGAAACAAGAAAATCTTTTCGCATTTTACAATCTTCAAAATCAAATAAAAAGCAACTCACTTCTTTATTTTCAGTACCTTCCTCTCAAAACTTCCCGAAACTTAAAATGATCGCCGTCGCCTTCGACCTCGAACTCCTCGCCGCCAAGATCAGCGAGAAGCTGAAGCTCCAGGAAGCGGCCAAGCAGGCGACCGAGCAGAGAAGAGCCGCTTTCGAGCACAGACTCCGACTCGAGGACCAGTGGGTGGCTCGGCTGCAGTCCATGCAGACTTCCGACCACGAGGTCCAGGCCGAGTTCCGCAAGCTCTTCTTCCAGGTCAGTTCTCGAATTCATTGAAAAGAATCTAAATATCTGTTTTGCAGTTCGTCCGCACTCCAGAAATCGCAACCGGCAGCATCACTCGATACGACGCTCAGCACCTTCTCGTGAGTTTCCTCTTTCAATAACTCGACTTTTTCATCGATATTTTAAATCCTTTAGACACACATCTGTGAAAAATCCCTCCAAAACGAGAACCATTTTCAGAGCTTGTCCCAGAGTGTTCTCAACAAGCTGGACGACGAGGTAGTCATGCTCGACCTCCAAATCAACGAACTCGCGAAGCTCTACCGGCAGTCGTCCCAGAAGGTCATCCTGGAGATCCAACGAGTCGGCCACCTCATCCGATACGAATCCGTCCGTCTCAGCCAGGCTCTCCACGACTTCCAGTACAACTGCGTGAGTTTCTAGGATTATCCCAATAACTACTTTGAAATCTAAAAATATCTTTCCTCATTCCAATCCACTCATTTTCCAGTCGTACGGGTCCATCTTCTTCGATTCGTTGGACGAGATCAAGAACTACGTCGAGTGTCTTCGAATCGCCGTCTCCCAAGTTCCAGCCTTCGTCGAGATCCGGGAACAGCTCCAGCTCTAAGTTGATCACTGTAAATATCCCTATTTGAAAAGTCTCCTACCTTGACCGCTTAATTTGGCTCTAAGTAATTTTAATAATATTTCTGTTATTACCCTTGTTTCACCTTCCGAGTATCAATATCAGGTATTTTGAGATCTTTCACCTCCACTGTTCAAAAACGGTTGCTCTTTTATTGGTATACATTTTTTGGGTATTCATTAAGTGTCTCTACCTGTGATTCGCCATACCTTCTTGTTCTTTTTTTTGTTTCCTGTGATCTTTTTTTCACTTTGCTCCCTTTTCAGTGTTTATTTTGTTGTAAATTACTGTAATTTTGTTTCGATAAACGGAAATCAATACACTCTGTTTTTGAACATCTAAAAAACGGAAGAAAAAATCTCCATGAAAAAAATATAAACGAAAGTTTTTCTCTTAAATTGTTGAGAAACTTTTTGACAAGTTTCACAGAAGGTTCTTTTGTAATCAAATTTTTTTCTCAGAACAAAAGAAATCCGACAAAGGCATTCACCCAGAGCTTTCCAAACGAATCCAAAAAAACTTGGTAAAATTCAAAATTTTTCCCTCAAAAAAATCTGTGAATCTTGTTGAAGACTATTTTTGAAGAACCATCAATATAGATAGAATGCATTCATTGAAAATCCCGGCGAGCCTAAGAAAAAAAAATGTCAGACAGACGTCGTAGTACTACTGAAAACTGAGAATAAAAAAAAACGGTACTGGGGTTAGAGAAAATGTTTTTTCACTCAGTTTCTTTTTTTAAGAACCGAATGTATCCTGAGAAAGTCCTTTACATTAATTTCATAATTTCAACGAGGCTCCGTTAAAAATCATGAGTCATGATTGAAACTTCGACACTGAACCTCAAGCTTCTAAGCCAGGCCGCCTCGACAAGAGAGGAAGGTCGCGGCGCGTACAGGACTCTTCTTTGACTTCTTCGAGGAGCTTTCTTTCACAAGTATATGGGGTCTAGCAGGGAATATCCCTTCTTTTCAAGAGCCTTTACTCTGGTCTACAAGCTACTACAATTCCAACTCCATTTGTTTGAGTCCGGGTGGTTTCCTAGTGAGACAAACTAGCCTAGATTTGAGTGAATTTGATTGAGAACGAACAAAATTGATCACGGTTTATCAACTCGGAAGAATCGAAAAAAGACAAGAAGGGCAAAGACAAGACTTTTCTACGGCTTGTGCTCCTCTTTCGGCGCTTCGATCGGACCGTCGATGTTCTCGTAGGAGTTGTCGTCCTTCGCAACTGCTTCTGCTGGCCCCTTCTCTACGCTTGGCGGCAACTGTTGAAACAGAAATTGAAAACGGAATGAAGGACCTAATCCTTATTGGATAGAAAAACTCTGAAAGCTCTTCATTTGCGGAGAACTCGATGGAAGATTCAAATAAAAATGCCAAAAAAAGAACATTTTTTTCAAAAGTCAAGTTGTCCTCAATTTTATTAGCTGTCAAAAAGATTTGAGAAATTCACATTTTTTTGGGAAAAACTAAAAAGATATCGAATGATTTTTTTACTCTACGAAACTTTCATTTTTGTTTCATTGGACTATTTTTACGAAAAACGAACATTTATTGAAGATGGACTCGAAAAATTGGGAACTGACATTAGCCTGAAAAAAATAGCATAGGGTCTTTGGCATAACTTTTTGAGGACAAAACTTTTTCTTTCGATAAAGAACATTTTTTGAAAAACTCTTTTTTTCTTCTAGAACTAAATAGCTAATGCCTTGTAATTTCGAAACTTGAATCAAATAGATTTTTCATACCCGTTGACTTGAAGATTTTTCTATCAGACACATTTTTCATAATTCGCTTCGGGATTCGACTGAAAACTCTAAATATTTTAGAACTTTTTCGAAAAGGTAACCGATTTAGTGTCATTATTGTTGCTTTGGCTTTTTGGAGACGGCGGAGCAGAAAACTTTTGGCCCATCGACGTCTGACCAAAATACTGAAATGACGGTTGAAAAGTCTTCAAACACGTGGCTTTTTTCGCCAACAAACTCTTTTTCAGTGGTACTTATATGAAGTTGGTCTCTGAAAAATAAACCCTCGGTTTATCGATTTGTATTTTATTCAAAGATGAGAATTTGAAAAGGGATTCCAATCTCTATACGGTGTGGACCTTGGAGACAAGTCTTCAATGCAAATCGGGAATACTTTTTTTGTATTCTTCTCAAGTTATATTATTTTTATAGGGATACAAACTTCCGAAATAACGCTCATTTCTAACCATTCAACCTAATAGAACATATTTTCTCTTCTAAAAACTGCAAAAAGGTGTTAACGATCCCGCGAGACATGACAGTTCCCATCAAACACCAGAAAGGGCTCAAATTCGAACCATATAAGTGACGCCTTGAGACCAGAAAATAATTATTGCAATTCAAAAAGTGGCAATATCAAAAAAGGTTCCGTCCAATGTGTGACTGGCCCGTGGCCCACTCAATTCTCACACCTATCGAAGTTTTATTTTTGAAAGTTTTATGAACTGTATGGAATTATCTGTTTTCTTTCCTCTGATAAAAAGTTCGGTTCAAAATGAACGACGTAATTCTCCATCTGTGTGAACTAGAGTATTCGGACCATTTCGGTGATCTCAATGGAATTTGAAAGTCTAAATTATTTTTGAAAATAATCTTTCATGAGATCAAAACTCTAAAAAAATAAAAAAATAAAAAAACTCTGAAGAATAAAAAGAACTGATTCAGGAAATTTTTCAAACATCCCTGTAACCAGATCTTGAAATATCACTCAAAAATGGGACTTCTACAGAAATGAAAAAAAAATTTTTTAAAACGTTTTTTTCGAATCGAAAACTTTTTTTGAAAAAAATGAACTAAGTTCCTTAATTACGTTATAATGAAAGAAGGTCTCCTTCTCGACTACCTATATAGTTTCTTTTAGAAAGTTTGCAAACAAATGTGTAATTCTCAAGGGCGACAGATCCGATCTGACACCTCGGAGCAACTCCGAAACGTCTAAGTGACACCTTGAGTGCCTCGAGGAGCCCCCGAAAACCATTATCACACTTCGAAGGCATAATTCTCCCAAAAGAGGACACCGTCTTGAAGTGTGACTGGCATTCCTGTCATCTCGAGCCTGAGGCACGTCCTCAGAGCTCGATCTGGGGGCGGAGCCTTCTTAAACCGTATAAATAAGGTCCCCGATCAATGGAAGAGCCGTACTTGATCCAACTATGAGATCGTCACTGTGCTCCTTTTTCTCTTACTTTCTTTGTTGGACTTTTCTTCCTTGCTCTATTTCGTCTTTTTTTCAGAAAACTCCCTTCTGAACTAATTTTAATTTCCCGTCGTTTGTATTCCACATTCAAATAATATGTTTCAGTTTTAGAACCCTTATTCCTTTACAAATTTTTTGTTTGCTTTTGAGACAGTGTTATGAAATTCGCTTATTATGAGAAAGCATCAACTTCGGCGCATCGAAACGTTTTGAAATTTCAACTTTTTTCACCTTAATATTCAAGATTTTTCGCAATATGAATCAACTTCATTTGGTAATAAATATCTCTTTAATTTCAGTCGTGCCTCTTTTCATGAATTCGATATCTGGAAGACTGTCAGAAAAGCTGTTTCGTGCTCACTCGTTTCGTAGAAAACGCTCATTCTCTCGAAACAAGAAAATCTTTTCGCATTTTACAATCTTCAAAATCAAATAAAAAGCAACTCACTTCTTTATTTTCAGTACCTTCCTCTCAAAACTTCCCGAAACTTAAAATGATCGCCGTCGCCTTCGACCTCGAACTCCTCGCCGCCAAGATCAGCGAGAAGCTGAAACTCCAGGAAGCGGCCAAGCAGGCGACCGAGCAGAGAAGAGCCGCTTTCGAGCACAGACTCCGACTCGAGGACCAGTGGGTGGCTCGGCTGCAGTCCATGCAGACTTCCGACCACGAGGTCCAGGCCGAGTTCCGCAAGCTCTTCTTCCAGGTCAGTTCTCGAATTCATTGAAAAGAATCTAAATATCTGTTTTTGCAGTTTGTCCGCACTCCAGAAATCGCAACCGGCAGCATCACTCGATACGACGCTCAGCACCTTCTCGTGAGTTTTCCTCTTTCAATAACTCGACTTTTTCATCGATATTTTAAATCCTTTAGACACACATCTGTGAAAAATCCCTCCAAAACGAGAACCATTTTCAGAGCTTGTCCCAGAGTGTTCTCAACAAGCTGGACGACGAGGTAGTCATGCTCGACCTCCAAATCAACGAACTCGCGAAGCTCTACCGGCAGTCGTCCCAGAAGGTCATCCTGGAGATCCAACGAGTCGGCCACCTCATCCGATACGAATCCGTCCGTCTCAGCCAGGCTCTCCACGACTTCCAGTACAACTGCGTGAGTTTCTAGGATTATCCCAATAACTACTTTGAAATCTCTAAATATCTTTTCTCATTCCAATCCAATCATTTTCCAGTCGTACGGGTCCATCTTCTGCGATTCGTTGGACGAGATCAAGAACTACGTCGAGTGTCTTCGAATCGCCGTCTCCCAAGTTCCAGCCTTCGTCGAGATCCGGGAACAGCTCCAGCTCTAAGTTGATCACTGTTAATATCCCTTGTAGATATCAATATTTTCATGATAGCTGTTCGAACATTTCTCCTACCTTGACCGCTTAATTTGGCTCTTTTTTTAATTTCAAGTAATTTTTAATAATATTTCTGTTATTACCCTTGTTTCACCTTCCGAGTATCAATATCAGGTATTTTGTGATCTCTCACCCCCACGGTTCAAAAAAACGGTTGTTCTTTTTATTGGTATACATTTATTGGGTATTCATTAAGTGTCTCTACCTGTGATTTGCCGTACCTTCTTGTTCTTTTTTTATTTCCTGTGATTTTTTCCCACTTTTTTCAATTTCCCATGATCATTCTGTTGTCAATTTTTGTTCCTTTCTTTTTAATAAACAAAAATCATCACACACCCTGTTTTCAAACATGAACACTAAAAACAGAAGCGGAAGCCTTGCCATGAAAAGAGTTTTTTTCGAACTATTCAGAATTCAATAAGCTCGAAAAAGTCCTTCAAAAAAATCTAGAAGAAAATTGAAATTTTTCAGGAAAAACTTTCTTAATTAGTTCTAGTCTTAGAAAAAAACTTTCAAAGTTTCGAAAAAAACTTCAAAAAATTTTTGATTACTTAATTTCTTTTTAATTATTATCTCATTTCATCACGTCGACTAGTCGGTCTCATTGCCGCTCTCTCATGGGATAATATTCCGACGCCCGTCGGCCCTGGACAAGCTGGGCTCCGTACTTTTCCAACATGGTGAAGCAGTTTATTCGCTGGTCCTACGGGCCCACATTATTTCCCAACGCTAGCTGTCACGCCGGGACTTATTGGACAAAGATTTTTGGATCGTAACCCGCGCCGACGACTAACTCTTCGATTATACCATGATTCAGCAGAGATTTTCTTCATCTTACTCTGAAAACTGAATAAATTGTAAATTGTAAATTGAATTTCTTTTTTTCATGAGTATGGAATGTAGCAAAAAGAGAATGGTTGGCATCAATACTGTACAATACTTCTTGTCTTCAAAAAATACGCAAAAGAATATCCTGGAGAGGAATCGAACCTTCTGAACCAGACAACAAGGAAACTGGCCTTCAATAATTGCTTTGGTTTCCAAGAGAATTCATTCAAATCTACAAGCCACCAAAGTTCTGAGTTTCAACTCGATCTCCTCGACCGCGTGGTTCCCTGGTAAGAAGAGCTAGCCGAGATTTGAGCTGAATTTGATTGAGAACGAACAAAATTGATCACGGTTTATCAACTCGGAAGAACCGAAAAAAGACAAGAAGGGCGAAGACGAGAATTTTTTACGGCTTGTGCTCTTCTTTCTATCGGACCGTCGATGTTCTCGTAGGAGTTGTCGTCCTTCGCTACTGCTTCTGCTGGCCCCTTTTCTGAGCTTGGCGGCAACTGGTAAAATATAACTTTTTTGGGGAAATTAGAACAGAATTGACTAGTTTTTCTTTTACAAAACTTTCATTTCATTGTATTGGACAATCTTTTCGAAAAAAAAACGAACATTTATTGAAGATGGACTCGAAGATTGGGAACTGACATTAGCCTGAAAAAAATGGCATAGGGTCTCTGGCATAACTTTTTGAGGACAAAACTTTTTTTCTTTCCATAAAGCACATTTTTTTGAAAAACTCTTTTTTTCATCTAGAACTAGATAAGTAATAAAGTTTGATTCCAAAACATGAACCAATGGATTTTTAAAAAGAAATACCTGTTGACTTGAAGATTTTCCATCGGACACATTTTTCATAATTCGCTTCGGGATTCGACTGAAAAAAATCTAGATATTTTTAGAACTTTTTTTGAAAAAGAAACCGATTTAGAGTCATTATTGTTGCTTTGGCTTTTTTTGGAGACGGTGGAGCAGAAAACTTTTTGGCCCATCGACGTCTGACCAAAACTACTGAAATGACGGTTGAGAAGTCTTCAAACAAGTAGCCATTTTTCGCTCAAAGCTCTTTTTTTATTGGTACTTTTATGAAGTTGGCCTCTGGAAAATGAGCCTTGGGTTTATTGATTTGTAATTTATTCAAAGGTAAGGATTGGAGAAAGGCCTCCAATTCCTATACGGTATGGACCTTGGAGACAAGTCTTCAATGCAAATCGAGAATATTTTTTGAATCAACCTCAAGTTATAATATTTTTTAGTGATATAAACACCTAGAATAACGCTTATTTCTACCCATTCAACCTAATAGAACATATTTTCTTGTTTGAAAACTACGAAAATGTGTTAACGATCCGGCGAGACATGACAGTTCCCATCAAACACCAGAAAGGGCCCAAATGCGAACCATTTAAGTGACGCTTTGAGACCAGAAAATAATCATCCCGATTCAAATAGTGAAACTATCGAAAGACGGTTCCGTCCAATGTGTGACTGGCCCGTGGTCAACTCAATTCTCACACCTATCAAAGTTTTATTTTTTTGAAAGTTTTATGAACTGTATGGAATTATCTGTTTTCTTTCCTCTGATAAAAAGTTCGGTTCAAATGAACGACGTAATTCTCCATCTGTCGGAACTGGAACCCTCGGACCATTTCGGTGATCTCATTGGAATGTGAAAGTCTAAAGTATTTTTGAAAATAATCTTTCATGAGATCAAAACTCTGAAGAATAACCCATTGATTCAGAAGATTTTGTAACCAGATCTTGAAATATAACTCAAAATTGAACTTCTACCGTAGTGAAAAAAATTGTTTTTCTTTTACATAGAAAAATAAACTTGAATCATAAAAGCAGTGAGCTGATTCGAACATTTCTGAAAAACGAACCAAGTTCCTTATTTACATTATAATGAAAGAAGGTCTCCTTCTTGATTACCTATATAATTTCTTTTTGGAAGTTACAAACAAATGTGTAATTCTCAACGGCGACAGATCCGATCTGACACCTCGGAGCAACTCCGAAACGTCTAAGTGACACCTTGAGTGCCTCGAGGAGCCCCCGAAAACCATTATCACACTTCGAAGGCATAATTCTCCCAAAAGAGGACACCGTCTTGAAGTGTGACTGGCATTCCTGTCATCTCGAGCCTGAGGCACGTCCTCAGAGCTCGATCTGGGGGCGGAGTCTTCTTGAACCGTATAAATAAGTCCCCGATCAATGGAAGAGCCGTACTTGATCCAACTACGAGATCGTCACTATGCTCCTTTTTCTCTTACTTTTCTTTGTTGGACCTTTCTTCATTGCTCTGTTTCGTCTTTTTTTTTTTTCAGAAAATTCACTTCTGAACTAATTTTAATTTCCCGTCGTTTGTATTCCACATTCAAATAATATGTCTCAGTTTTTAGAACCCTTATTCCTTTTACAAATTTTTTTGTTTGCTTTTTGAGACAGTGTTATGAAATTCGCTTATTATGAGAAAGCATCAACTTCGGCGCTTCGAAACGTTTTAAAAATTTCAACTTTTTTTCCACCTTTATATTCAAGATTTTTTTCGCAATATGAATCAATTTCATTTGGTAATAAATATCTCTTTAATTTCAGTCGTGCTTCTTTTTTTATGAATTCGATATCTGGAAGACTGTCAGAAAAAGCTGTTTCATGCTCACTCGTTTCGTAGAAAAACGCTCATTCTCTCGAAACAAGAAAAATCTTTTTCGCATTTTACAATCTTCAAAATCAAATAAAAAAAGCAACTCACTTCTTTATTTTCAGTACCTTCCTCTCAAAACTTCCCGAAACTTAAAATGATCGCCGTCGCCTTCGACCTCGAACTCCTCGCCGCCAAGATCAGCGAGAAGCTGAAGCTCCAGGAAGCGGCCAAGCAGGCGACCGAGCAGAGAAGAGCCGCTTTCGAGCACAGACTCCGACTCGAGGACCAGTGGGTGGCTCGGCTGCAGTCCATGCAGACTTCCGACCACGAGGTCCAGGCCGAGTTCCGCAAGCTCTTCTTCCAGGTCAGTTCTCGAATTCATTGAAAAGAATCTAAATATCTGTTTTGCAGTTCGTCCGCACTCCAGAAATCGCAACCGGCAGCATCACTCGATACGACGCTCAGCACCTTCTCGTGAGTTTTCCTCTTTCAATAACTCGACTTTTTCATCGATATTTTAAATCCTTTAGACACACATCTGTGAAAAATCCCTCCAAAACGAGAACCATTTTCAGAGCTTGTCCCAGAGCGTCCTCAACAAGCTGGACGACGAGGTAGTCATGCTCGACCTCCAAATCAACGAACTCGCGAAGCTCTACCGACAGTCGTCCCAGAAGGTCATCCTGGAGATCCAACGAGTCGGCCACCTCATCCGATACGAATCCGTCCGTCTCAGCCAGGCTCTCCACGACTTCCAGTACAACTGCGTGAGTTTCTAGGATTATCCCAATAACTACTTTGAAATCTGAAAATATCTTTCCTCATTCCAATCCACTCATTTTCCAGTCGTACGGGTCCATCTTCTTCGATTCGTTGGACGAGATCAAGAACTACGTCGAGTGTCTTCGAATCGCCGTCTCCCAAGTTCCAGCCTTCGTCGAGATCCGGGAACAGCTCCAGCTCTAAGTTGATCACTGTAAAAATCCCTTGTAGATAATCCTATTTTCATGAGAGGAATTTGGAAAGTTCTCTCACTTTGACCGCCTAATGGGGCTCTTTTTGGTTCTAATTTTAATGATATTTCTGTTATTACCCTTGTTTCACCTTCCGAGTATCAATATCAGGTATTTTGTGATCTCTCACCCCCACGGTTCAAAAACGGTTGTTCTTTTATTGGTATACATTTTTTGGGTATTCATTAAGTGTCTTTACCTGTGATTCGCCGTACCTTCTTGTTCTTTTTTTTTTTGTTTCTTGTGATCTTTTTTACAATTCGCTATCGTGTTTATTTTGTTGTAAGTTACTGTAATTTTGTTTCGATAAACGGAAATCAATACACTCTGTTTTTGAACATCTAAAAAACGGAAAAAAAAAATGGCTATGAAAAAGATAAACGAAAGTTTTCTCTTAAAATAGTTGAGAAACTTTTTGAAAAGTTTGACAGAAGGTTCTTTGTAATCAAATTTTTCTCAGAAAAAAATCCGAAAAAAGGCATTCTCCCAGAGGTTTCCAAACGAATCCAAAAAACTTGGTAAAATTTCAAAATTTTCCCTCAAAAAATCTGTGAATCTAGTTTAAGATTATCATGAAGAACCATCAATACAGCTAGAATGCATTCATTGAAAATCCCGGCGAGCTCTAAGAAAAAAAAATTCAGGCAGACGTCGCAGTATTACTGAAAACTTAGAATAAAAGAAAAAAAGGGTACTGGCCCTAAGAAAATGTTTTTTTTCACTCAGTTTCTTTTTTCAAGAACCGAATGTATGCTGAGAAAGTCGTTCGTCGTTAAATTTTCCCTCAAAAATATGGGGTCTAGCAGGGAATATCCCTTCTTTTCAAGAGCCTTTACTCTAGTCTACAAGCTACTACAATTCCAACTCCATTTGTTTGAGTCCGGGTGGTTTCCTAGTGAGACAAACTAGCCTAGATTTGAGTGAATTTGATTGAGAACGAACAAAATTGTTCACGGTTTATCAACTCGGAAGAATCGAAAAAAGACAAGAAGGGCAAAGACGAGACATTTCTACGGCTTGTGCTCCTCTTTCGGCGCTTCTATCGGACCGTCGATGTTCTCGTAGGAATTGTCGTCCTTCGCTACTGCTTCTGCTGGCCCCTTTTCTGAGCTTGGCGGCAACTGGTAAAACAGAAATTGGAAACGGAATGAAGGACCTAATCATTATTGGATAGAAAAACTCTGAAAGGGTTTGACTTTACGGAAAACTCGATCGAAGATTCATATAAAAATGCCAAAAAGAACATTTTTTCAAAAGTCAAGTTGTCCTCAATTTTATTCAAGCTGTCAAAAGATTTGAGAAATTCACATTTTTTTGGGAAAAATAAAAGATATCGAATGATTTTTTTACTCTTCGAAACTTTCATTTTGTTTCATTGGACTATTTTTTTACGAAAAAAAAAACGAACATTTATTGAAGATGGACTCAAAGATTGGGAACTGACATTTGCCTGAAAAATGGCATAGGGTCTTTGGCATAACTTTTTGAGGACAAAACTTTTTTCTTTCGATAAAGCACATTTTTGAAAACTCTTTTTCATCTAGAACTAGATAAGTAATAAAGTTTGATTCCAAAACATGAACCAATGGATTTTAAAAGAAATACCTGTTGACTTGAAGATTTTCCATCGGACACATTTTCATAATTCGCTTCGGGATTCGACTGAAAAATCTAGATTTTTTAGAGTTTTTTGAAAAGGGAACCGATTTAGAGTCATTATTGTTGCTTTGGCTTTTTGGAGACGGTGGAGCAGAAAACTTTTGGCCCATCGACGTCTGACCAAAACTACTGAAATGACGGTTGAAAAGTCTTTTAACACGTCTCAAATAATTATGTGAGGTTGGCTCGTTAGAAATTTATCTTGAGTTATTTTCCTTTTTTTTTTAAAGCAAGCATTTGGCGGGGCCTTTAGCCTCCGCTTGAACATTGAGGATAAGTCATATCGAAATTCCTTCTGAATTAATTTTCAGTTATTATACTATATACGGGAAAAAAATTCCCAGAAATAACGCTTATTTCTACCCATTCAACCTAATAGAACATATTTTCTTGTTTGAAAACTACGAAAATGTGTTAACGATCCGGCGAGACATGACAGTTCCCATCAAACACCAGAAAGGGCCCAAATGCGAACCATTTAAGTGACGCTTTGAGACCAGAAAATAATCATCCCGATTCAAATAGTGAAACTATCGAAAGACGGTTCCGTCCCATGTGTGACTGGCCCGTGGCCAACTCAATTCTCACACCTATCGAAGTTTTATTTTTTTGAAAGTTTTTATGAACTGTATGGAATTATCTGTTTTTCTTTCCTCTGATGAAAAGTTCGGTTCAAAATGAACGACGTAATTCTCCATCTGTCGGAACTGGAACCCTCGGACCATTTCGGTGATCTCATTGGAATGTGAAAGTCTAAAGTATTTTTTTGAAAAATAATCTTTCATGAGAAAAAAACTCTAAAAAAATAAAAAAATAAAAAAACTCTGAAGAATAAAATAACTGATTCAGGAAATTTTCAAAAAAACCCCTGTAACCAGATCTTGAAATATCACTCAAAATGGGACTTCTACAGAAATGAAAAAAAAATTTTTTTTTTTTTACAGAGCTAGAACAAAAACGTTTTTTTCGAATCGAAAACTTTTTTTGAAAAAAATGAACTAAGTTCCTTAATTACGTTATAATGAAAGAAGGTCTCCTTCTCGACTACCTATATAGTTTCTTTTAGAAAGTTTGCAAACAAATGTGTAATTCTCAACGGCGACAGAACCGATCTGACACCTCGGAGCAACTCCGAAACGTCTAAGTGACACCTTGAGTGCCTCGAGGAGCCCCCGAAAACCATTATCACACTTCGAAGGCATAATTCTCCCGAAAGAGGACACCGTCTTGAAGTGTGACTGGCATTCCTGTCATCTCGAGCCTGAGGCACGTCCTCAGAGCTCGATCTGGGGGCGGAGTCTTCTTGAACCGTATAAATAAGTCCCCGATCAATGGAAGAGCCGTACTTGATCCAACTACGAGATCGTCACTATGCTCCTTTTTCTCTTACTTTTCTTTGTTGGACCTTTCTTCATTGCTCTGTTTCGTCTTTTTTTTTTCAGAAAATTCACTTCTGAACTAATTTTAATTTCCCGTCGTTTGTATTCCACATTCAAATAATATGTTTCAGTTTTAAAACCCTTTTTCCGTTAAAGAGTTTTTGTTTGCTTTTGAGACAGTGTTATGAAATTCGCTTATTATGAGAAAGCATCAACTTCGGCGCTTCGAAAAGTTTTAAGATTTCAACTTTTTCCACCCTAATATTCAAGATTTTTCGCAATATGAATCAATTTCATTCGGTAATAAATATCTCTTTAACTTCAGTCGTGCTTATTTTCATGAATTCGATACCTGGGTGACTGTCCGAAAATCTATTTCATGCTCACTCGTTTCGTAAAAAACGCTCATTCTTTCAGTATAAGGAACTCCTCTCGCATTTCACAATGTTCAAATTCAAATAAAAAGCAACTCACTTCTTTATTTTCAGTACCTTCCTCTCAAAACTTCCCTAAACTCAATATGATCGCCGTCGCCTTCGACCTCGAACTCCTCGCCGCCAAGATCAGCGAGAAGCTGAAGCTCCAGGAAGCGGCCAAGCAGGCGACCGAGCAGAGAAGAGCCGCTTTCGAGCACAGACTCCGACTCGAGGACCAGTGGGTGGCTCGGCTGCAGTCCATGCAGACTTCCGACCACGAGGTCCAGGCCGAGTTCCGCAAGCTCTTCTTCCAGGTCAGTTCTCGAGTTTCTTGAAAAATATATAAATCTCTAATTTCAGTTCGTCCGCACTCCAGAAATCGCAACCGGCAAGATCACTCGATACGACGCTCAGTACCTTCTCGTGAGTTTTCCTCTTTCAATAACTCGATTTTTTCATCGATATTTCGAATAATGTAGCCATAAATCTGGATTAAATCCCTCCAGAACGAGAACCATTTTTAGAGCTTGTCCCAGAGTGTTCTCAACAAGCTGGACGACGAGGTAGTCATGCTCGACCTCCAAATCAACGAACTCGCGAAGCTCTACCGACAGTCGTCCCAGAAGGTCATCCTGGAGATCCAACGAGTCGGCCACCTCATCCGATACGAATCCGTCCGTCTCAGCCAGGCTCTCCACGACTTCCAGTACAACTGCGTGAGTTTCTAGGATTATCCCAATAACTACTTTGAAATCTCTAAATATCTTTTCTCATTCCAATCCAATCATTTTCCAGTCGTACGGGTCCATCTTCTGCGATTCGTTGGACGAGATCAAGAACTACGTCGAGTGTCTTCGAATCGCCGTCTCCCAAGTTCCAGCCTTCGTCGAGATCCGGGAACAGCTCCAGCTCTAAGTTGATCACTGTTAATATCCCTTGTAGATATCAATATTTTCATGATAGCTGTTCGAACATTTCTCCTGTCTTGACCGCTTAATTGGGCTTTTTTTGGCTCTAAGTAATTTTAATGATATTTCTGTTATTATCCGTATTTTACCTTCCGAGTATCGATATCAGGTATTTTGAGATATCTCACCCCCACGGTTCAAAAACGGTTGTTCTTTTATTGGTATACATTTTTTGGGTATTCATTAAGTGTCTCCTGTGATTCGCCATACCTTCTTATTTTCTTTTTTCGTTTCCTGTGATCTTTTTTTCTCCCTTTGCTCACTTTTCAGTGCTTATTTTGTTGTTAATTTTCGTAATTTCACTTCAATAAACGGAAATCAATACTCTATGTTTTCAAACAACAAAAATCAAAAAAAAAACAAGGAATTTTTCTCGGAAACTATAAACTATTCCCAACACTAAAAGCATCCTTTAAAAAAATATTTTTAGGTTGAAAATATTCACAAGCTCTCTGTCACTTGTAGCCATCAAAAAAAAAAAATTAACAGCTTCGAAGAACTTTGAAATATATTACACATCATTTTTTTCAGTTCGGAAATTTCCAAAAACACTCTGGTCAGAAAACTAAAAATTTTGGGTCCACTCTCCAAAAGTTCTTGATTTTCGGAGAGTTATCTTTGCCTTAATCTTTTTTTTTCGATTTCCATCATTCAGACTTTTCAAAACCTCAGCTTTTCGCATATTTTCGAAAAGGAAACTGTGCAAAACATCGAAAACACTTCTGCAGCTGTCTGGACTCTCTCTTTCTCGCGCCAACTGTTCCCTTTCCGTCCCCCTGCAATAGTTCAGCATCAAATGACGTCACGAGGGGCCGCCTCCAGTGGAGGCCAACATCTTGAACCTGGTGTTGATCTTTGTCACTGGTCATCATTGCGAAATAGTTCAATCTCAACAAACACCTTTTCGAAAAGATTCGAAAGATCAGGCTCCACCTCCAGGAGTATAAAAGCAGTGAGCTGCGAAGAGAGCCTCACTCCACTCATCATGAGCCAATCAGCTTCCTTCAAACTGTTCTCGCCCCGCTCGGAGACGTCCCAGCGCTTCTCCATCGCCTACTCCAACGTCGCCGAACTTCTGGAGTCGCTCAAACTCAAGCTGCAGAGCTTCGGCCTCAAAACCGACAAGCTGTGCTGGATCGACGAGGATAACGACCAGGTGCTCCTCAAAACTGCCGACGACCTTCAAGAAGCCATCAACCTGTCTGCTGGCTCGGCCATCAATATCCATTCCGACTATTTTGCCCCTGCCGATGAGAATCCTGCTTTCGTAGTCATCGACAGCGACTTCGAAGACGAGGGGAATGATGGCAAGTCAACGTCTTCCAAATCAAGGTCTTCTAAGGAAAGATTTGCAGATATTCCTCGCCGAACACGCTCACGATCCCGTTCGAGAGGTCATTCTCGCCCACACTCCAGGTCGCGCTCCCGCAGTCATTCCCGCGGTCGTTCTGGACTTCGTGAAGAAAAAATGAAGAAACTCTTCAAGCGGCAGGCCATGTTGATGCATCGGATGATGAAAGAGCAGGGTCGTCCCGGATTCGGCCCGTCGGACTTCTATCCATTCCCTCACTTTGGTCCTGATATGGATTCTAAACGTCGTCATTGCGGCGGCAGACGTCCTGGTCCCGAGGATTTCATGGAGGGTGACTTCCGCGGTCATTTCGGCCGTCGTTGCGGAGCTTCTCCTTTCGAATTCGGTCCGGGATCCGGACGTGGACGCTTCCCAGAAGGGTTCAACCCTCGTGGCGGCTTCGGATGTCGAGGTCGTGGAGGTTTCGGCGGCCGCGGACGTGGCGGCTTCGGCTTCGACTTCGGAAGAGGCGGCTTCAGCGGACCTTGGGGTCATCGCGGACATCATCACTCTTTTTAAGCCGTCTTGCCCTTATCTTTTTAATATGGTTTACTGATTATCAGTGTATACATTTTTTGTCTAATCATTATTATTTATTTATTTATCCTCTGTTCTATGATTTGATTCGCAATATTGTACATTTTTCAATTTTTAAAAAAACTCGTATTTTTTTCTAATAAATGTTGTGAATATAATTTGTTATGTGTACAATTTAAAAAAATCACAATAAGCAAATACTAAAAAAATATTTCAGCTCCACAGGTTCAAATGAAAATATTCAATCGAGCCTTTTTTTAATTTTTTTGGCGCGCAGAAACCCTATAAACTAGCTTGAAATGCTCAAACATATTGAAAACTACTTCAAAAATCAGTTTTTGCGAAGAAAAACCAACTTGGTGGTTATTATTTACCCAGGAAAGAGCCTTCAAACTACTCTCTATTTGAGCAAAAAAAAACGTCGACCCTGATGGTTTTTGGTTCGTTTTCCACTTTTCTCTCATCACTGGATTTTTTCCGGGTTTCTGGTCAGTCAACTGAAAAAAAGGCTGCGAGATGAATAAAACAAGTATTTGAAGGGAGACCAAACTACATTTTCTTCTTCATCCACCTCAGAACTTCCGTTAAGATTTTTATTGAATTTTTTTCACAAAAAGAAATGAAAATTCACAAAGTTTAAAAATGAAAATACATGTATTAAAATGAGATTTGTGATTAGTTATTCCACGGAAAAAGGCGGGAAATGGTGGTGGTGGTGATGGTGGCCGCCGTGTCCTGTGAATCAAGTTAATTTATGGATTAATATGAAGCTTCAAAAAGAAAGTGTACCAGAAAAATCAAAAATAATCTTTCTCGCAAATAAAATTCAACGAATCAAAGTATAGCCTGCGTACCACGACTTGGAATTTCACCAAACGACATTCCGCTGTGCCGCGCGCCATTTCGAAACCGTGATCGCGCTTTTTTTTTCTTTCACAAAGTCTATTTTCATGTGCTCCCACAAAAATAACAATCAATTGAAAGCGTGACTTGAATTCGAAAGACGCTTCGCGAACGCACGCAACGGAACAGCGGAATGTCGTTCCGTGAAATTTCAAGTCGTGGCACACAGACTATAATTTCAGTTTTTTTCTTCCTCGAAAGCCTTTTCTTATGCCGTTTTCGAAGAAATTTCCGCGATAAGCTAGTTGTCATTCTCAGTCTGTGACAGCTATTTTGAATTTCGCGAAATCACTTTGAAGTCATTATAATTGTTCATAATTTCTTAAATATTCAGTTTCAAGATGTCACAGCTTTATTTCATTGATCAGAATTATTAGGTGAAAAAATCATAAAAACAAAATGAGAAGAAGCGAAAACGCTTTCAAAAAAGAATACTCAAGTTTCCAGTTGGAGAACTGACCACTAAAGACTAGAACTGAAAAATTATATGTTCTCTTTAAAATTGAAACTTTTTCTGGCCAGTGAAGTTTCAGTTTATTTTGAAAATATCGGTCAAACTACAAAAAATTTATACAGCCTTTTTTTGCGTTATAAAATCAACAGAAACCTCCACGTCCGTGACCGCCATGATGCCCATGTCCTCCATGTCCTGTAAATTGAGAAATCAATTTGAATCGGGGAAGTAATTGTTTGAAGAAGTTTACGGAACAATATTTTCAGCAGGTGATATATATCATCAATTAATAATTAACAATAATCAATTAATAATAATGCGAACCTCCATGATGACCGTGATGGCCGTGATGTCCAGGACAACAGTGACCACCATGTCCTAAAAAAAATTTTTTTCGCTTTTTTTATCATCTATTCATTACAAGAATTTGTCCTAATGACAGTCCACTTATTTTACAGAATCGCATAGAAATTTGTATTCTAATCAAAAAAAGGGACGAAATTAGCGAAAATTTATTCGCTATTAAACTTAGAAGCGTTAGCACCAATTCGCGCGAATTTTTTTTGGAAAAAGCTTCTCAAAAATCTCATTTTCGAACCTCTATGTCCATGACCGCCGTGTCCATGATGGCCGTGATGATGACAATGTTCTGAAAAAAGATCGAGGAGTGAAAATGAATATAATAAATAACAACAAGGGATAATTTGGATCTTTCCGAAATTCCTTATGAAAAAAAATATTCATTTCTCAGAAACTACATCAGTTGAAAATAAAAGAACTTTTTTTCTACAGTCTAGCCAAAATAAAAATCTTACTTCCATGCCCATGACCGTGGTGTCCATGATGTCCGTGTCCTAAAAACCGAAATTTAAATAATTTGACAGGTATTTCGAAATAACTCTATTACTGGTACCTTGATCAAGGTAATTTTCGCAAAACGCAAAATTATCTCTGACTCTCCAAAGTTTAGTTGTTTTTAACAATCTTTGATGGCTATTTTGAATTTCGCGGTATTTCTTCGAACATGACATAAAAGATGGCCATTGGACTTGCTTTATTGATAAGAAAATTGAAAAGAAAATTATTCACAAACCTCCGTGATCGTGACCGTGATGATGATGATGTCCATGGCCTGAATAACAATAATCTTCTATTTTTCTATTTTATATTTAGAATTTTTTTACTCATTTTTTAGCGGTAAAAGACTTACGATCGTTTCCCAAAACTCGAATTTGAGCGCGTGAAAAGCTACTCTAAAAAAATATAGAAAAAAATACTCGAGTCCAAAAAAACATGCAAGCTCATCATTTCCGTAAGATGACTTCAGAGATTTTCGTATTCCGATTCATTTATTTTTTTCGTAGTAAAATTTTCTTTTTCAATACTTTTTGAAATGAGATCAAACCTCCATGACCGTGAGGTTTGCAATGTCCCCTGCCGCCGTGATGATCTCGATGATGGCATTCCGGAAAAGGCGGCGGTGGCGGCATACAGACCGAACAGAACGGCGGCGGAGGCGGAAGACTTTTCCTCGAAACTTCGCGAGAAGAGCCACGCGAGCTGCTCCGCGAAGACGACGACGAGGAAGAAGAAGAAGAAGAGGAAGAAGAGCCACGTCTTCTGCCTCTCCTCTCTTTCGGACGTCCACGCGACGGCTCTTCCGACTCAGAAGAATCCGAAGACTTGCCGTCGAGACTCACGACATCTCTCTCGTCTTCAGTCAAAGCTTTCAGGACGTCTCCAGAAAGAAGACGGATCGCGGAGCTTTTGGCCAAGTGCAGGGCTTCTCTCAGGTCTTCAACAGTTTTCAGGAGGATGACGTCGTTTTCGTCGTCGATCCAGTAGAGCGAAGTTCGCTTCTCGCCTAGGGACTTCAGCTTTTCCTTGAGGTTTTCGAAGAGCTGGTGGACGTTCTTGTAGGTCAGGGAGAAGCGTTTGGAGGCCTCGGCGCCCCGGGAGCGGAGTTTGAAAGTCGCGGACTTCATACTGGTTTGAGACGGCAAACAGAAAGACGTTTATAAAGGGAAACTCGGAGGGCGGAGCTGTTTTCCGAACGGCCGCAGTCAACACAGGTACACAGATCAGCATCAGAAGGGACTTTGCTCAAACATCAGCGGCCTTTCTCCGCTTTTTTCTCGAGGACTTGTTATTGCCCGCCGAGCACAAATGGCAATGATCTCTGGGGCCATTTTTGCTGAAAGTAAAAAATATCTTTGATTAAGCTTTACCAAGCTGTATTAAAACACTTTCTTGGACTGTTGCGAAAAGAAAGTGAACTCTAAATTCTCTAATTTTCTGTGATTTGGCGATCAAAATTTTAGTTTTTATTATTTTTTTTGAGCAAAGTGACCATGGGGATATTTTCAAAGGGATTTCTAGGAAAAATTTTTGAAGAATAAGCAATTCGTAACTCTTGAATTCCAAAGTTATCCCTAAAGAGGTTGCTAAATGTTTCCCTAGAGGACAACCTTCAAGCCTTCAAGGGACATTCAAGCCCCAAGGGGCCACTCCAGGGTTAGGAATATTTGCTCAAAAAGGTTATCTTTTCAGAATGAGTTAGGTTGAACTTACACACATTGCGAACATTTTGTTTGCGCTTTTGAATGATTAAAACAAAATTATCAATGAGAAGTTACCGAAAAAAGGTTTCGATGAAGACCCCTCAAAAAGAATAATTTTTATTGTCTATGACAATGATCCAACTACTGAAATTATTTATGGGATATCTGGAAAAAATATATTTTTTTCTTCGGGCTTCATTCCTTCCGGTCCAGTGGTCTCTTTCAAAAAAATGCCAGTTCGATTCTGATTATGAAAATTTCGTATTTTGAAAAAAATTCTCTAACATCATTGTTTTTTTACTTTTTCGAACAAAAGCATCAGAAAAAGAGAAATTTTTCTGTTTTAGTCTCTCAAAGCGCAATGACCTTCGAAGCCACTAGCTTTCAAAATATTTATGGAAAATCTCGAATCTCCTTGGAAACGGAAAGACTTCATCCGGACAAAAAAATAATATTTATTGATGAAAACAATCATTTTGGTCATCACAAAACCATCGAAAAAAAGTTCTAAAAAAAAGAAACTTTATACATGAAAACCAAAGTATTAAAGCCCGCCTTAAGATTTATCGATTGATAGGTAAGGACTGAGTTACATGGAAGTTGGATACTAAGAAAGCCTAGACGGTTTAAAGAAATAAATTATTGAAGAAGATCAAGTGAACGAGAATCGAGGAAGAGGTGATCAGCGACGGAAAATGGATCATTGAAAACCCTATTCATGAGGGGTAGGTTCTTACAGGGAAGGTAATTTTACTGAAGGATTTGAAATTTTCTGAAATTTGGCTAGAACAATCTTTGATGTACCAGAAGACAACTCCGAAAGTTCTCAACTCCAGAACTTTATAGTTTTCGAGAATTAGGGTCTGAGAGCCTGAAAATAGCTTATTTTAACGATTTTTGAGGGTTTTCTCTGACTTTGGGTGTTCTTTCTTAAAAATTGAAAAGTTTTGAAATTCAAGGCTTTCAGGATCTTCATCTGGTAAATCCAGAAGTTTGCCAATTTTCAAGTAAATCCCTGTCCCAAAAAATTAACTTCCTTCTCAGTTAAACTTGGAAAATCAATAGTAAAAAAATTAAAAGAAATAAAATATTTACAAGATTAATAAAACCAATTATTTATTGTCCCGTTTACCGTTGGCCGTCCGCGTTCAGGGCTTCCTGATAATCAAAAAAGTTTAATTCCTTGAAATTTAATGAAGGGAAAAGAGAAACTGGACACAAACCGCAAGGAATCCTTTCTTCATGTTTTGGATGATGAACTGAACGAATTTGAACCAGGCCTGCGTCACGCTTTTGTCCACGTTGAGTACTCGTTTCGAGGCGCCGCAAAGGGCATACGACGCTGAATTATTTTGGAGTTTGAATCTCGCTATTAATGTAGTCAATTCAAGCTTTTCTGATGTAAGATATAAAAATATTCAGAGAAGGAGAAACTAATATTCAGAGTAGAGAGGCAAATAGAAATCATTTTTAAGTTTCAGAAAAAATCCTGGTTTTTTGTGGGGACTGAGGAAATAAGTATTGAAAAAGGTCAGATTTTCACCTTTTGGATCCTTCGTGAGAGCTGCAACGACGGATTCCAGCAAACAGTTCTTCACACAAAGCCAATTTTCGGCCTGAAAAACGCTGATTGAAAAAAGAGAGTCTAAAAAAATTGTTGCGTTAAAAAAAAATTAAAGTTGTTTTTCGGGTAAAAAAAGGTTATTATATCCGATTCACGGCTAGCTTGGGTTGTTAAGAGAACGCGGCCTGCCTGCGCTCTCTACAAACCAGGCACTATCTCGTGCATTATCGTGTCAGGACCCTTTTTTCAATGACTCAAGCCAGCCGTGAATCAGCTATAGAATTGACTGACCGTCTAAAAACATGATGTACTATTTGTCGCTATGACCAAAGTTGTCAATCTTCAGTTTCGACAATTTTTAACGGATAATTTTCTATATCTTCACTTCTTGCCTCGATTACGAGCAAATTTAATTTGCTGAAAACGCTAAAAATGGTTCGAACTGGTTGGAAATATCGAGTTTCGAAGGTAATTTGAGAAAATTTTGAGTCATTTTATTTTTCAAATGAAAATCTCACTTGAAACCAGACTTTCATCCGAAAGTGCATTGCGCCTAGTTGCAACGAGAGCGTCTGGATCTCGTCCGCGTAGTTTTCGTCGTTCAGCTTGGATATCGCCTGGAAAATCAGAATTTAGACTGAGTATATTCAGTTTAGATCAAACACCAAACTGATAAAAATGCTACTTTTTTCTACAAATCAAAAAAAAACTTTTTAAAATCGAGTATTGATGTTTCAGGTCAAGTTTTTATACAAAATTTTTTTTAAATTCTTAGTCCGATTTCGTTTAAAATTTCAATCCTCAAAACTTTTCAGTTCGAAATATAGGTGTTTCATAGAAAAAGTAATACGCTGAATTCAGAAAAGCTTGAAAAAAGACTTTTGGAGTATAATTGTTCGAGAACTTTCTCATGATAATATGCCGTGTTCAATTTCATTTCGCGAAATGCAAAATGATCGCTGACTGTCCAAAATTTAGTGATCTTTTCCTTTCTCTAACGGGTATTTTGCATTTTGCGGAATCAAATTGAACACGGCATCACAAAAAAAAAATAAAATTGAAAGGGGTACTAGATATTTTTCGAGTACTTTTCGAGTCTGAAATCGATTGTTACCTTGTTGAAGAAGGTGTTGACCCCAGAAGCGACCGATCTGGCCCTCGCCATTTTGTTCACGTCTTCTGGTGTGTAGTTCCCACTACCCAACAAGTTTCCAGACTTGCACTCTGAAGCACTTTATTTATTTTATGGTTACTGATCAATTATAACGTTTGAAAAACACTTCAAAACCTTCAAAAGACTCAAAATAGTTTTGGTCACAATGAGCTTTTTATTTCAAGATTAAATCATCAAAATTTTGGGTGACACGAGGTTTTTGATCGCTCGATCCACGATTCAAACCAATTGAGAAACACCTTGAGACAAAAATTCCAAAAAGGGGTTGAATTGGGGCGCATCGCGAGCCGCGACGCGGCCTCAGGATCCTCGAAGCCGATCCTCGAGCAAAGTCGGAGTGGTAGATAATGGCCGCTAAAAGGGAGAGGCTCAAAAAAGGCCGCAGAAAGGCAGCGAAAAGAGAGCCTTCATCACCCTAAATGGAACATTTCTATGGTCCTTTATGGACCCTCGGAGGGTCCTTCCGACTTTGCCAATTTCTGCAACTCTAGCAGAAACATATTGAAAAGTTTTGCTCTCACGATGATTTTATCGATTCATCAATTTCTAACTCCCTACTTTTAACTTTTTTCATTTGAGCTTTTGAGCTTTTGAAGTTTCCTCTGCAAAAACTGACCAAGGAGCGCCCTGAACCGAGTCCGATTGTCATTGAGAAGCCGAGCAACAAGTTCGCACCCGATATCGGCTTGTGAAGAAGCCCTGAAATTTGAATTTATGTAAAATAAAGTCCACATAAAATTATTTCAAGCATTTCAATTAAAGTCAGAAGTTTCAAAAACACTTTTTCCTCGATACTCTTCTAAAAATCTCAATTAGAATATACTTGTAATCACTTTGAAAACTGCGAAATTTATTTATTTATTTTTTCTATCCAAAATTTTCTTTTTGCTCAATGCTTCGATTCCTTAATTTACTATATGGTCCTTAAGAATCCTCTTAAGCGGCCACTAATGTTTTCCCCAGTATCGCTCTTCCTTTAACTGCTAAAGTTCACCCAGAAAAATAATTTTGAAGTCTATCTTTATTCTTTAATAGAATGAAAACAGATTTTTTAATAGTACGCTGTTTTGTCTGAACGTAGAGATAAAACGGCAATAACTTTCTTTTTGGGGCTTCAGGGACACTAATCCCTCAATGAAATGCTTCAATCCGATTTTCGAACGCTATCCGAGGACAAATCAACAAACTTTGCATAGATTCGTACGAAAATACACTCCTAACAATAAATCTAAGCCCTTCTTTCTACTATTTTTCTTCAAATCTCATTCATACACGGACCAATAATGCACTTATTCAAAAAGGGAAATCCTCCCATTGAAAAACCCGCATACTCATCTTTATCCAGACAACCCACTTTAATTACGTAGTGAAGAAACCAATATTTATGCTTTTATGGCCTTCGAAGGGCAATAAAGGATCATTTATGGAAATTCTGATCTTTGAAAGAACGTTCTTTGTTTCTATTTTTTCAGAATAAAAAAAAGGAAAAGCATCAAAAATCCTGAATGTCACCGAATAGCTTTAATAGTCCGTCACTAAGAGGTTTCGAATGTTTCCCGCGCTTCGAAAGACAAAAAAATATAATTTTTTTGTTCCTTGACTCAAGTTCCAATGAATTTTTCCTAATTTTCATTGTAAAAAGAGATTTATCAAAAAAACTATGAAATTTCTTTTTTCAAATGTGATAATTTTTTTGATTTTTTTGCTCTGATCAAAAGTCAAGACCCAAAACTTCTGTATAATTTGTAAAAAACAGCTTTTCGCCTTTTGTAAAAACGGCTTTTCGCCAATTTTGAACATACTAAACGCAACAAAAACGAAATTCGTTTCCGCTTTTGCAAGAAATAAAAGGCCTTGACTTCAAATTGATTTAAAATTCATGAAACTCCGGGACAAAAAACCTTTTGCAGCACTACGTGAGAGTTTCAGATTATTGGACACCAAACAAGCAAAATTCTAAAAACAAAACGTAATTACTCACACGTTTCAGTATACTTTGCTTTTTTGAACAAATCTCTCCTCAAGAAATTATAATTTCACGGGATCCAGAGCACAAAGTTCACTGAATGCAATTTGGAATCCACACGGGAAAATTGAAAGGAGAATTTTGAACCCGGTCATTTCAGATGAAAATAATGCTAAAAGAAGCACAGCCTTTAAAATATTCCCGGGTTTAAAATAGTCGAAAAAGAGGAGTTTGAAAATATGAATTTCCAATTTTAAAATTTCAAGCTTCAAACGCTCAAACTTTTGCCCTTGAAAAAAAAAATTTTATGAGGGTTCAAGGTGGAAAAACCTCGGAAGAAAATATTGAGCTGGCCGGTTGAAAATGAGTGTTAGATTATCAGTAGGTTCTATGAAATACTACACCAATTGATCGATACAGATATGATTTTCTATTTGCGCCTATAAGGTCAAAGATTTCCACCAATGTCAATGCGGAATATAATTTTTTTTACCTAAAGTTCTTTCAAAATATTATAAAAAAACAGTTTTTCTACAAAAAAATTTCGTTTATTTGCATCTATGCCTTTTTAAAAATGTCCATGGATGAATTTTCTCTTCAAATCCCTGGTTTTATTGTAAAAGATGAACCAAGCGATCCTTTCTGGCCACCCTAGAAGATCCCTCTCATTCGCTAGAAGGACTTTGGTCAAAGAACAAGGGCCACTGAAACCTCATATCCCTTTTTTCTGTAATTGTGCTTGAGCTAAACGCGACGACGACTATGCAAATGATTCTGGGGGAAGGCGATAATTGAGGCGTACTTCTCCCAGGATCGGCAGATGTGCTGCCGCTCGGCCGCCGTCAGATTCATGCTCCGACAGTTGCTCGCCTCGTCGGCCTCCACCATCGGACTTCCATTCGCAACCCGCGCCGCCATCGTCTTCGTCGACGATTTCCGCGATTCTGAAACCTTAGAAGTTGTGTTGCAGTTGAATATTCGATTTGAAAGGGTAAAGAGCGTTTTCAAGAAGGCCCTCTCAACAAACTCAATCATGTACAAGTCTGGGTTCTCATCCTTTCTAGTTTGCTCAAAGATTCCAGCTGGGTGTGAAGATTTTGGATGACTCAATTAACAATGAAAAAGAGATCTCGAAAAACCTATGAGATTCCTTTAAACAGGAGCTGAGATTTTTCAAACAGGAATACGGTTTCTTGCAAGTTTTTCAGGATAAATTGAAAAAACAGCATTTTCAAGAAAATAATTACAAAAGTCAAAATCACCAGAGCTTCTCACATCCCTATGTCTTTTTTAGATTTTCTTTCCAAAACCCCAGAAAAAGCCTCAAAATTCAAACCTCTATCAAAAAAGGTGCTGAAAACGGTGAGATTTACTAAGAAAATAAATCTTTAGCGATTATTTTTTGGTGATGGACATATTTCTACTTCAAAACTGTATTTTTCTCTATCATGAAAAAAACTATGAAGAAAAATAAACAGCCTAAAACCGAAACTTTCCGAGTATCTCTCCACTCCGCCCTTCTTCAGAAGCTTGAAAACATCAGACTTCCCCATGCAGGAAGTGCAGACAAGTCGAAATTTACATTGCATGAGGAAGACATACAAAAAGTTTCGCATTTATTATAGATAGTTGCAGATTAGCAGTTTCATTACGAAGCCGACTCAGAAAAAAAATAGAAGCCTAGAAAAAAATTAGTTATTTGTTTTTTTAAAAAAATTTGAAAGTTCCCAACCCGTATCAATTACGAGGAAGCAAAGTTAATAGGTTAACAGATGAAGCTCAACTAAGCATTTGGAAAAAGCGTATCAGTGCAAAAACAGTGCTTGTTATTATAATCGAATTTGTAACAAGAAATAGTGAACTTTTTAGCTGGGAAACCCTACAAAAAATATGGCATTTGTATTGAAAAAGGACTACATGTGCGTTATCCGGTACAAATCCGTTTACCTCGAATTTCTTCTGTCAAAACAAGAACTCCAATTTTTTCTGCAGAATTCCTTTCTGCCGTAGGATAAATGAAAATAAATATAGCGAGGCCGTCGAATTACGCGGAAAATGACGCGCGGTCCAATTAATCAAAACATTCCCAGTTTGAGGTTTCTTTGGTTTTTCATTTAAACCACATGGACTCGGACCAATCAAAATTCAAGAAAAGGTTCGTAGTTTGAACTGAGATGCAGACATTTCGTCATCACTTGAGCCGTTCTATGCCAAACGAATATTATTAGTTCAATCTTCAAAGAAGAAAAAAATATGGGTCTTCTCGCGTCATCCGTGTCGAAAAAAATCGCATTAGAAAGAAACCAGGAAACGAATCCAATTTATGTGAATAAGATTTCTCAGGCAATCCGATTAGAGTCCTGGGATGAGTAACTGCGTGAAAAGGAGACGTTGAATAAATCACCGAAACAAAAAAATTTTTTGGAAAAAGCTCAGCACAAAGGAAGAGTAGTCAGAAGTTATATGAATTATTAACCATCTTGTCAAAAAGCGCTCAAAGTTTCAATGGAATCTGGTCGCCCAACTTTTTGCTTTTTTTCACATTTAAGAGGGGAACGCATTAAATTTTCATAAAAGCGGGACGATGGTTCACATTCATTTTTTCAAGCTCAAAGAAATAGAAGCATAGAATATCAAGTTGCATTCCTTGCACTTTTTTCAACTTATAAGAGAAAGAAAACGGAGTTCTGAATAGTTCGCAGTTCAGATCTCGGGTTTGAAGAGGTGCATAATGATTAAAATAGTAGTTCTCAGTTTATTTTAAATGTTTCAATTGAAACTTAACCGCTGTCATTTGATGCTTTCTGATTATAATAGCAGTTTTCTGGAAATAACTACAACTTTCAGCCGAAAAAGAGGCTAGTGCAAGGAACTATGCGTAAAATTTCGAGCAGTTCTTTGTCAGAAAAATTCAATCCTGGGATTTGGCCAATAATATAATTTCCCGGCCTTTATCCATAGAGCACACATGGGAGTTGGAAATTGGCTCGTTGTCTGTTTGGAATGCTTTTTGAAGATCCTAATGAGCATGATTCCCTGTCTAGGAAAGGAAAGAGAAAAACCTCGTAAATTTAGTTTTTTCGGAAGACTTTTTAACATAAGATTTTAGCCGTAGAGCACGTTACAACGTTAAAACTTGCCCCTTATGGAGATTGAAACTATTACTCAACTTATGACGGAGTTCAATACTCCCTGAATAAAAAATTTTAGAGCATGTTTTCCGGATTGAGAAGCTTTCGAATCTCGATTCGTTGTTCGCGAGAAATCTTTTTTCAGATTCTAACGAGTCTAATGATCACAAATCTCTCTTAGAATTCCTGAACACGAAGAAATGTAACAAACATCCAATTCCAAAGTGAAAAAATGTCCTGGAAAATATTCACAAGACAAACAAGGTTACAACCTAGCGGCATTCGGAGAAAATGCCCACGTTTGATAACTCTCTGGGGAGCTTTTTTTTTCGGACGATCAAACTGAAAAATGTCTCACTTTTCCGCAGGGCGAAGCAGCTTCTAAAGGAAGAAGTCGACATTCCTGGCGAAATTTATAGAGATGTTGCTGGACAGAATGAAATATCGTGGGGCTTAGGTCGACATGGCTGTTGAATAGAACGCCATTTCTGAGTTGGAGACAAGCACGGCTATAATTCTGTGCGGGCGGAGGATTCTGACGGACCTCACGAGGACTTTGTCTGACTCTCTGGACTCTCCGCGTCTCTCACAGTAGAAGGGGTGGGACTTATGACGCCGTGGATCCACCGGAAATGTTTCAGTCCTCGGGGAGTGATTTCAATTGTCTCGGAATATTGTTAATTCATTGAGAACTTCAATTAGAGAGGTGAGTCACGGTTGATTGGAATCAAAAGTTCTCAATTTGAGTTTGAAATTCTGCAAGGTTTCCGAGGAAAGCCCTGCAGTCGAGAATTGAATAAAAATTAGCTATAATTTTTTCAGAATATTTTCCTGTCTCATTCGGAAGAATACTTCCTTTCTCATGTTTAAGAAGTAGCCCCCCAGTAATGGGTTCCAAGAAAAGACCTGCCTATTCACTTCCTTCCCAACTCGACCAAAGAGCGAAACGTTTGCCAAGGAGAAATCAACGAGTTTTTCGCCCCTCCGCAGAGTTTTTTATCGATAATGTATGCATCCTTTCCAGATTCTTTGCACAACCTACGTTGAAAAAAAGTAAGTGAACCCTTGAGTCGGGTATCTTATTTCGACGAAGATGATTCACGCCCTCTCGATTTCTGCAGCAATCCTTCATCTCAGGTCACTGGAAGGTCTCCAAGACCGTCAACCTCAAAAGAAAGGAAAACCCGGCAAATCGAACAATTTTCCGCCCATTTCCCTCTTTCGGTCGTATACAAGTTGTTTACCAAAATAATCCTCGATCGACTAGAAAAAGACGTCTTCCGAACGCCTTCACAAGCCGAATTCCTCAGTGATTTCTTCTTCAGTGGCAACATTGAGAAAACGTATAGAAGGTACAATCTTCGGAAATCGTCAGCAACTACTACAAGTGCTAGACGTTTCCTCTGTTTTTGACGTGTCTGAGACTTTCTTTGGAAAAATATGTTGTCTGGTCGAAGTTTTTGCTTTGTTTGAGAAAAAGTTTTGCAGAAAATGAAATGAAAAAAATTTTTGAATATTCCCTGTACTCTTTGTAACAGGATTTTGAACAGATACGCTAGCCGAGACCCTATTTTTTTAGAGTAAATTTATCTATTTTTGATCTTATCTTTTCAAAAAAAAAAAGCAAGTTAAAATTAGAATCTGATATTCTACTTCCAATGCCAAAGAACTTTCATCCAAACTCGACATACTGAAAAACACAGGAAACAAGATCAGCCGAGAAAACTAATCGCGTTCCAGATTATTCCAATATTTCACTGTCTCGTATCTTGGTCTTTGACACCATCTGAAGTCTTAGACGCTACTGCTTGAAAAAAGCTCTTAAAGGCCCGTTTCATTGTCTAGTTAATCAAATTATGCTGACTATGTCACTAAAAAGCAATTATTACGCCGCTACCGATTTCAAAAATTGTATGGAAAGCTTTCTTTTTGAACGTCGAATTGAGGAAAGCAAAATTTTTTGAAGTCAAAAAACCGCACAAACTCCAATCTTACGTCGAACAGGAAGTAAATATGAACCGGAGGACAGAATAAGAAGCAGATAAGCTGAAATCGTCGTTTTTTTGAGATGAAAACATCAGAGACTGGATGAAAAACTCTGGATAAATAACTCAGTCTTCACTTGATATCAAACTCTTTTCACAGCCTACTTTTCGAAGCGGCTAAGATTTCTTGAAAACTTTCTCAAGTATCTCCAAATTTCTAAACTTCAAAAAGTTGAGAAACAAATCAGTTCATTCGTGTAATTTCTTCACTCGAAGTGGTAGCTCTCTCAATCGGCCGAGGCTACCCTAGAGTGTACACGGGGTCCGTGCCCGAGCCCCACCATCTCCGCCGTGCCCGTACCCGCGAAACTGAGGGATCTACTTGTGGAAAAGCGAGGAGAAGGACCGTAAAACCATGCTTTCAATTCAATCAACCTCACGTTTTGAGTTCTTTTCCGGCAAAGGCGGTGTTAGTTCCGCTCAAAAGAGCAATTTTTTCACCGCCTAGTCGATTCCATCTGACTAAAACAACCAATAAATATTGATGATGATGATAAAAGACCGATGAGCTAGACAAGCTATAAGGAGACTCAGCACCAGAATCCGACTAGATCTCCAGATAGACAAAAAAAAAGTCTCGTGGGGAAACCCAACCAGATGAGCCCATCATTTCCAGAACAAAAAAAAATGAGCAACGTCATTTTGTAAGAGTAGCCGGAACACCTAGCCGTGCAGTAGCCAGAATATTTTACACTTTATCCAAAAACTCCAGAAAAAAAAAGTTGAATAGAATTTCTTCTAA